TACTCTCATGGCTATGTCTCATGATGTTTGGGCTACAGGTGAGTATTTGTGGGGTTGGACCGATGCATGGACACTGACCAGTGTAGCTTGATCGCGGAAACGTATCAAACGCGCTTGCAGACAACCTACTGGAAGATCTCGGCTTAACCAGTGATGATTACAACAACGGTACAACCATCCAATTGCTTTGTTTTCTCTGTGCAGAATTCCCAGTGCAATTGTGAGTATTAGAGAAACTGCACTTTAATCTCCGTCTGATTGATCCTTTTTAGCCTCACCAAGCGATATGGCTTCAAATACGTCCTTCCGACCATGATGATGGCCTGGGGAACTGCTTCTTGGGCCCAGTCATGGATGCACGACCGTACTTCATTCTATCTCGGCCGTGCGGCAATTGGCTTCTGCGAAGGTGGTTTTATTCCTGGAGTTATTTTGTTTGCAACCTACTTCTACACATCGAAAGAGCTTTCCATACGCCTTGCAGCTTTCTGGTCCACTCTCAACGTCGCCCGTGTCGCTTCTGCTCTACTTGCAGCCGGAATTCTGGAAATGCGCGGCGTCGGAGGAAAACCAGGATGGTTTTGGCTGTTTCTTCTCGAAGGACTTTTGACCGTCGTTATCGCCGGAATATCATTCCTGTACTTGCCAGCTGCGCCTACATCTACGAAGAACGTACTTTTTCCCAAGGGCTGGTATAATGAGCGAGAGGAAATCATCATGGTGAACCGCATTCTCAGAGACGATCCGGCCAAGGGTCTCACAGCTCTCAAAGAACCCGCTACTTTCAAGGATATCCGCGCAGCCTGGTCTGATTCCTCCATGTGGGGTCTGTACTTCATCGGTCTCATTGCCTACATTCCCGCCTCGCCCGTTCAAGGATATCTGACACTTACGCTCAAACGTCTCGGTTTTAGCAGATTCGACAGTAACATGCTTACGATCCCGTCTGCTGCGCTCCAGGTCATTACCATGTTGGCACTTGCATACTCTAGCGAATATTTCAACGAACGCACATTCCATTGCATATTTGGCGAATTCTGGATTATGCCGCTGCTTATTGCCCTTTTGACGCTTCCGGACGGTGGACGAGAGTGGGGTCGCTTTTCGTTGATCACACTGATCTCCGGATATCCATACTTCCACCCCTTAGTATCGTCCTGGATATCGGAAAACACATTCGACGTCAAAAAGCGCGCAATTACCGCTGCAACATACAATGTCATTGTGCAGATTGGATCTCTGATCAGCTCGCAGATTTACCGCAAGTACGATGGCCCGTACTACAAGCAAGGAAACTCGGTGCTGGTAGCCATTTGTGCGCTGAGCGTGGTGACATTCCTCGCGCAAAGAATGGCGTTGATGCGAATGAACAAGAACAAGCAGAAAAAGTGGGAACAAATGACTAGCGAAGAGAAGGCGCTGTACCAGGCGGATCTTGCCGCACGCGAACTCGATGGAAACAAGCGGTTGGACTTTAGATTCACACTGTAGTCCGTATCAAGAAGGTGGACCGGGCTATGTGGAGGAAGGATTACTGCTTACGTGTGCGGAGTACTGGGCAACACGGCACATAGCTTGGATTCTGTAACTTGGCGATGGAGTCGCCAATGGAGTCGCCAATGGAGCCGCAACGTGCTCGTCAGCCGAACCGAGGCTTTTGCGAATCGCGGGTGTACATAGCCGCAGGTTGATGTTCGAATTCCAGTACGAACGCCTTGACACGATCGCCTTCAATTGATCTTCGTCTCGCAATCTGGCATCAATTTCCCGTTCATGCTAACAGAATGGGCTGCGTTACGTTTTGTGTTGCGATTTGTTACCCCAAATCTCAAGATAGTTGATAACCCATTAGATCTTGATCAACATCTGGTAACACTAAAAGGTTATCTTAATGGAGACTGTCAGCCCGACCCACTTCTCCAACCACACTCCACTTAGCAGCATGGCGTTATTGCGGGGATGGATGGCGAAATGTCACTACACGTGCCGTTGTCGTCTGGATTTTGGAAAAATTCAACAACACTGAATAGCGCCGCGATCTCCCAAAGAAGATAGTGTCTCCGATGCAGAACGCCTCCTGACACTTTTGGCTGTCAGGAGCGGATTGTCCCGTTTTGGTCAAGGTGGCACAGCTTTTTACTGTTCAGTCGACTCATCGCTAGAGCGGAGTGGTTACACACAGCGGCCTGTTGCCTGTGAAGTCTCGCATCCTTTTCAAACCCAAGTCGAAATCTATCCAGTCATTATACGTACTTTTTCAACATTTACAAGATGGCGTGGGAAGAACCTCGTAAGACCGGTATGCAATACCGTCGCCTGGGTAACTCTGGGCTGCACGTCTCAGTACTCGGTCTAGGAGGATGGCTCACGTATGGTGTCCAATAGTCTTTGCACATATGTCAATGCTAACTGATTTGTAGATTTGGTGGCCACGTCGAAAATGGTTTTTGACCCTGTGCTTATGTCAATTGATCACATGACTAATTCCAGTATCAGAACGCACGTTCTCCATCATGAAGACCGCATATGATAACGGCATTAACTTTTTCGACACTGCGGAATCGTATGCCGGAGGCCAATCTGAGATCATCATGGGCCAGGCCATCAAGAAGTTCGGCTGGAATCGTAACGATCTTGTAATTTCCACCAAACTCAACTGGGGCGGCGCAAACGGAGAAGTCCTTGTGAACAACCACGGTCTTTCTCGTAAGCACATCATCGAGGGACTTCGTGCGTCGCTTAAGCGCATGGACCTGGAGTATGTCGATATCGTGTATGCGCATCGTCCCGATCGCCTTACGCCCATGGAAGAGACCGTTCGCGCCTTCAACCACGTGATTGAACAAAAGGGCTGGGCCTTGTACTGGGGCACATCCGAATGGTCTGCAGACGAGATTGCTGAGGCTTGCGGTATTGCGAAACAGCTAGGTCTCATTGCGCCAGTAGTTGAACAACCACAGTACAATTTGCTTGAGAGGAAGAAGGTCGAGAGCGAATTCCAACGGCTATACTCGCGTTTCGGACTTGGTCTGACTACCTTTTCACCGCTGAAGTTTGGCCTCTTGAGCGGAAAGTACAACGACAGCCCAGATGCGCCTCCAGCAGGCTCAAGATTTGCGGAGGGCAATGATAAGTTCGTTAGTGGAATGCGGGATAGTTATGGAAACAGCGAGTGGAGCAATATGATCAACAGCGCCAAGGCTCTCAAGGTTTGTCTTATAATTGCTATTCTTAGCCGAGTTTCATTGCTGACATTCCCACAGCCGGTTGCGGACAGCCTAGGTGTTAGCCAATCGCAGATGTCGCTCGCGTGGTGCTTGAAGAACCCGAACGTTTCTGCAGTCATTACAGGTGCCTCAAAGCCCGAGCAAGTCATTGACAACTGCGCGGCTTTGAAGGTCATTGACAAGCTCACGCCAGAAGTGATGGAGAAGATTAACGAGATTGTTGGGCACATTAAGCTCGACCCTGCACGTCAAGATTAGAGTGTCCGTTAATATAGAATAACGACATTCTCGGGAGAAAACTTTGGTGAAGTTGCTGGATAGTGTTGAGAAAGACGTCTAGTCAAAAATTGCAGTGAGAATATATGAGCTCGAAACAATGCCCAACAACAGAATTTGCACCGATGACATTCCAAGACTTGATTTAGCTCTTGATTCTGTACAGGCGACACAGGGTCCCCATAACGTTGATATTTTGGCTAGGCGAAAAGAGATAAACTTCATAGGAGGTTGACGGCTGTCGCATAGGATGGCACTCAAAGATTGAGAGAGATCCGAGCCCAACACTGTCGAACACGACACGGCTGACAGCTGCCGGGCGAATGCGGTTGGTAACTGGACAAGAACTCATAATGTCGGGCGACAGTAACCTGGATGGTGTCGCCCTTCCCATCATCGGACCTACCTCCTGTCGATTTTGGCGGGCGACGGTGATCAGATGGTGTGGCTGACGAGTGACGGCTGTCAATTGGTGTCGCTCGTCAGCCACAGGACCTACTCGCATCCGACAGCTGTCCGCAACTTGCAATGGAGGTAGTGACCAGCAAGTTAGCAAAGTCTGCGGAATATTGCCTTGGGTAAAGTTATCTCACATGGATATGCTCCAAAACTTGATAACGGCGGACATTATCCTCCTTCTAACTGCAGCTTTAGTTCCTTCGCAGTCGGTCTCAATTGTCACGTTTAGCAGTTCTTCGGGCCAGGTCTCTGAAGTCGCCTTGGCCATTCTGACAGTTATAGAACACTATTTGACAGTTAAGACGACGGTATAGAGCCTACTGGATGCTATCACATTGTGATATTCCTCTCTACGTGCAGCCTGAGGGTCTCAAGTGCTCTGATCATTACCGTCTCCGTATTTACCCGGCTAATACATGTCAGCTCATGAGTGGTCTGATTACAGAGTCGCATGACATAAGTAGCCATTTTCGTCTATGTGCATTCAGCTCGTAAGTACGGAGGTTATCTACTATCAGTGCTACCAATGAGAGTACGTCCTAGGCGAACCTCAATGTAGCAATCACTGCAGTCTGCACAAGTCTCGACCTTCGCGTTTTCAGCTTATCCATATTGTCGAGTCACTGAAGTATTTTTCATCGCAGAAGATATGCCAAAGGCTCAACGTTTGGAGTCCGATGATAGTCTTTGAATGATCGCTTTCGTTGTTCAGTAATCGCGACTGCACAGAAGTGTTCATGGATTTTCTTATCTCAGTACTACTAGGGACTTCCATATATTTTCTGGGGGAAATCTCTAAGCAACGAAGCTGAGTTTCGTAACCTTGCTTTTTTCAGAGCGCGTGGTGAGCTGTGGCTTCGTTGATGACTCGATTAGGTGAATAAGCAGCCAATCAATTTTCTCCACCGCTTGGCTATCAAGGCTACGGCTACAATACTAACAGCCCCCGATACTAAACACTTCGAATCCCCAACTCTCTATCCAGGCCGCAATCGAGTCTCGAAACCTCTCCGTACCGAGCCTTTCACAACCTTTACCATGGACGTTGGAGCAATCAATAAAAGTCTCCTCAAAGCCGTCGAAGAGGAAGATTTACCTCAAGTTCGGAGTATTATTTTTGGTATCCCAGAATCAAGCAAAGGTCAGGACTGGTCTTTTCTGTCACGAGAGCCAGTGCTGCTCGCCTGTAACAAAGGAGACGTAGGCATTGTGGAGTTCTTACTCAAACAGTGCCAACAGGAGAACTTTACCGATCTCTCAAGACGAATCACGTTACTTCATCGAGCAGTTCAAGGAGAAGGACTGAATCATTGTAACACAGTCGAGCTTTTACTTGGATTTGCTGCTGGCGACGGCGGTGCAGAAGCAGTGAAAAAGTATGTCAATATCCAGGACCACGAAGGGAAAACGGCACTTTATCATGTAGCTGCAGAGGGCGACTATACGATGCTTAGTATCCTATTCGAAGCAGGTGCGGAAGTCACTATCAGAGACGAAAGAGACCTCTTGCCCGCCCATATCGCTTGCATAGCAAAAAAATACGAGACGATGAGATGGCTGTTTCAGAATGATCAAATGGGTATAACTGAAATCATGAATCACGAGCGGATTGTAGGAACCACTTGTCTTCATCTGGTCTCAAAGAGAAACTGTGGAATGGCACTTGGCTACCTCCTTGATTTGATTCAAGACGAACAAATCATGGCAAAAGACAGCAACGGCATGTCTGTATGGGAGGTAGCATGCGGGGGGGCCAGCCGCTCGTTCTGTCCAAGTTTAGTAAAGCCCCTGCCAAAAGAGATGATTCGAAAGCCTAAGGCATCGGGGAAGTGTGTTCGGCCGCAAGATCCCTCTAGGCTAGGTTCGATGGGATTAGCAAAACCTGAAACCGACCAGGGGACACCCACAGATAGTGAAATGACTCAAGAGTTTCCCATTAATCTGGAAGCAGCGAGTGTACTTGTTTTCAACGAATATAGGGCTCCCTGGGACTACAGCCAATTTGATTGGAAGGAATATTCTTTTCCTGGAATAACTTGCTATTCCTTTCTACTGAATCATGTAAGCAGACAGAATCTTTCCATACCGGCAAGTACTAACAACAACTAGTTCAGAGGATTATATGTAGAGCTACCTAGTCATAGGAAAATGGAGTAAACAAGATATTGACAAACATAGGCTTTGTTCGGAAAACTTCTGATTGAAGATCGTATCAAAACTCGGGACATGAACAGATTCATAGAAGGGTTTCAGTATGAGCAGTATATCCGGGACCAAGATGAAAAAGGACCTGCAGTCCTGAAGCTTCGAGAGCCTTCCTGTACTGTGACTCATGGCGGAGGTTCAAAATCTTTCACAATTGCGGTATGACCATCCTATTGCCTTCAACCAGTATGCTGATTTGGGCAGATGCCGTACTTCAAGGTACTCGAACAAGATCGAGTCTTGAAATGGAGGCATTCGGCGTATGTTAATGCATGCCTACAGCCTTTTATATCACACTTTACAAACTGTCCTAGCGGATCACTAGAATCTCTCAAAGCGCCATATTTACCACTAACGCTTGACGAGTACTGCTGCCCTGCGTTACCAAAATCGATGTTGGATCGTCGGAATCGAGATCAAGTACTCGCCAAGGCCGGAAGTACAGACTCATATCCAAAGGAGCTTGTTACAGTGTGTCAACTGTGGGTTTTGCAATGCGAAAATGGGCTCATAGTTGCACACGAACCGGACGAAAAAATAGGTACTGATAGTTCAGGGCTAGACTTCCCCTTATGGGGACACGACTGCCTGACGGGGGACGCTAAGCGGTATATTGGTATCATGCTGTCTCATTTCGTGGACAGTCTCGACCGTCCTTCTGAAACAGGCTCAGGAAATCCCATTCTCCACACATTTGAGAATTTCATCGCCTCATGTGCTCATGCTGTAGATGAGTACAGCAGGGGAGACGATTTGAAGAAGCTTGACATTGACAAGGAAAAGAAATTTCTGCACGACATTGATGATATACGAGGAGAATTGGGGATGATCAAACGCGTCATCCTGCAGCAAGAGGAGGTCTGGAAATTTTTTGCAAGCAACGCTTGGCCAGAACACTGGTCAAGTGGTGCAGAAGGGCGCATGGTCGTAAAAGACGACGAAGGGAGATCTATCGAAGAAGAGGATGAATGGCAGCTTATTCTACGCGCGCAGACTCAGTTCGATCGATTTCGACGTCGAATCGCGCAATTGGATGAAGACGCCGCCCGTATGGAGAAATCCATAATAGCCAAACTGGACCTGAAGCAGAAACACGCAAGCCTTCAAGAGTCGCATGCAACAGCCGTCATGAGCGCAGCAGTTCTCGGCTTCACAGTCATAACCATCATTTTCACCCCCTTGTCCTTTCTCACTAGCTTGTTTGCTCTTTCAATCGACCGTTTCCAACGGAACCAGGTCGACTACTACATACCCAATCGTGAGAACGAAGTCGACTTCAGCAATCGAACCCGAGTTTATACGACAAATTACATTGGGAAATGGGCTGGTCAGTACTCTCCACACCTGCCTTCACTGTCAAATTAACAAAAACAGCTACCACAGAACTTGCATCTATCGCTGTAGCCCTGCTCTCCATGTGGCTTGTCATTGAATACGGCATGGATGTGCCCGTGTTGCGGCACAGTGCAACGCGGTTGGTGGGCTTGCCAAAGCGGATATGGGAATCCAAGTTTGTGACAAAAGTGAGTGAACGAATTAAACTTAAAGGGCTCCGAAAACAGAAGGGATCTATACCTGTTTTTGTGCGTAAACCACCTGCAATCTGGCTCAAGAAGTCCAGGCGCAGGTAGCGGCGTTAATGATCGTTGCGAAAATACTATCTACATGACCGTTTCAAGGAAAATAACTACTTGCAATATTTCTGTATCCTATGCCTACCCGACTTAGCAATCTGAGAATGTTCTCGACAGTTGAAAACAGACAACCTCGCAAAACCAGATCACCTGTCTAGTCCGCACATCGCACATTGTCTCACCGCATCTTCTAGTGGGATCGGATCGTGAATATTGATAAAGAGCAAAATATACACAATATCGCAATTAGAATCAACCATCCCGATTGACCAGCCTCTCAACACTATCTCTCACACAATTAGCCACTTCCTGCATAAGCCCATCTTCCACAGCACCCTCTGGCCAAGAAAAGTTGAGCGTTGCATTCCCATCACCACCAGTCACAACACTAAGCGCAAACGCGCTCGCCACCACATTAGGAGACTGACTGAAAACCATCCTACCAACACTCCATATACTCTTCTCGTCCTTCGTGTTCGGCCAAATCCCTACATTGGACAACTCCGCAGTGGGCTTGCGCGGCTTGCCTAACATGCCAAGGAGAAACTGCGGCATGGAAGAGACGTATTTGAGAAGCGCAACCGGGTTATCAGTTCCGGATTTCGCTACTTCGGCAGCAATGGTGGACTTGACAGCTCTGGACGTTTCCCAGGAGAAGTTTTGGAGGATATCGGTTGCGGGACCGCCAGTCGAAGTAGGTCGATCGTGGAAGAATTCGTATTGCGTGATTGCAGATGTCATTTGTTTCTTTCCAATGTTGAGAAACCTTCTAGCTGATATCGGGCCATCAATTCTTAGTCTCTTACATTCTTCAGCTGGGAGGTTGGCGAAGAGCGAAGCGGCTAGAAGACATTGCAAGGTCGCTGTCACACTGGTCTTCTCTTCCCGGCATACTTGAACTAGTATACTTGTATTTGCCTTAGATAGTACAACCGTGAGAAATCGTGGCTTAAGAAGTGTTGTGACATCCTCTGGGACCGGATTGCCTGTCCACAGTTTTTCAGAGGCGATGGCATAAATCGGGGCCAGCAGAGTATTCAGGATGGTCTTGCTGAAGAAATACCACGATATTGGCATGGGATGTAGTTCCTCAAATGGTGGCAGTAGGGCTTGCTGGGGCGTTATGATAACCGGATCCATGCTAATCGTCATTTGAATAGAGTTCAGACCTGCAAGAAAAGACTCGTGGAACAGAAGTGCTGAGGTGCCGTCTGCTAATGCGTGATGCCACGTCCATGTCGCAGTGAATCTACATGTATCGGGTGACAATCTCGTCACGAGCAAACGCCAAAAAGGCCTACTTCCCAGGTTTTCCTTGAAGTCGCGGCTGTGCTGTTGTGCTAGCAGTTCGTCAAGCTCATCGTCGGCCTCTCCATCTTCAGGGAATGGGCACTTGCGATTGTGAAATTCTGTACAAGTGCGAAGATCGATTTCGGGTAACCGTGCGAAGTATACGTCTGGGTAGGATTGGTCTTCGTTGAGAGCAATGGCGCTTAGAGCCGGGTGCTGAGCAATGACATGGCGTAGCGCGATGTAGACCTGGCTTTCGAGTGGCATTTCCAAATTTCCTTGAGTTCCGTATTCTGCAGTGAAACCTACATTTTTGTAGAAGCCCAGGTGGTGTCGTGTTGTACTAAACGTCTCCAGTCTGCCGCATGGGCGTAATTTTTCGAGGCTCCTCAGATCCAACATTGCAATTCTCGCGTATATTTTCCCCCTGACTGCAGCTTTAGCTGCATATAAAACCACTCAGGAGTTCTCCTGCAGACGAATGCAATCTCGATGCCTGCCAAGGCCTCTGCTGCTATTTGTCCAATCTATGCAAAGATGAAAGGGATCTCTACTTCGGATTAGCGCTGCTATCGTGTTATGAACATCATAATGTCCCTCAACATAACTCGAACAATAGGATCTACAGGACAATGAGAGAGTTTAGAACAATAAGAAATGTTAGGGGCTGAGATACATACCAGACGAATGGAACCAAGGTGGGTTGACCTTTAGGTAAAAGCAGGAAAGAGTCTATTGTAGCTTAGTTTCTTCCACCTCAACAAAAATGGCCAATCTTTTCCCTTTGGATTGCCGCGGAACGACAAATTACACCAAAGCTTTCAACTTAAAACGTTTATCATGAAGTAAAAAGTGGTTGCCTAATGGCACCCCAATTGGCTCATGTTAGGGTCCTCCTCCCACTTAGGCATAGTGCTCAGATACTTGACTCGTGTCAGTACTCCTCACGTGATACCAGCTGCAGGACCAAAAAATTATCAAAACATACAACAGCGAGGATTCGCCAGTGATCACCCACCTGACTACTAGTCCACCGGTCAAAGGCTTAACGTGCGGCGAGCGAACGAGAGCCAGTGATTTACTTTGCCGATGGTCGTATGTGCCATAAATTGGGATTTTGGATGATTGAGTATCGCAGAAGAAAATTGAGTTTCCCTAAAGGAACCAGACATGGGCATCCAGATATATGGCAATATGATGGACCGAAAACTCAAGTTTCGAACAAAGATCACTTATATAATCAGATTCGAAGATGAGAGCCCCAATATTGTCAAGCCCAGGAGTTCTCATACAAAAACAGTGGGACGCAGAGATGGTCTTCCAGCGTGCGCCTCCCGTCCGCCAGTGTTCACCATTGTTCAGGGCAATGCCAAGCGTTCAGGAAAGTCAGCCGACAACACCTCCAGCATATCTATCCCTTTTCGGGTTGAATGTATTAAAAATGTCGAATCCGTACCACCACGACGACCAAAAAGCGGCTGAAACTAAACTTGGCGCAGTCATGGCATCTTACGCATGCCAGCCTGTGACTATGTAGTCATTTGCACAACACCACCATCCACATCCGCAAATCCATCTCCCCACAATGCTCAGAATGCCATGTTGTTAAACCGTGATGTGCTCCACATAAAATATTGCTTGAGGTTGGTCAAGTAATAACAAGCCTTTAGCCGAAATGCAAGAAGGCTATATTAGCCCCCCAACTGCCGACAGTGAATAGGTGCGCATGAGGTAGCAAGGACAATTTATATTTACGCGATCATACTGCATGCTGTGGGGCCGGCAGTTGCAAGGTATCAGTCCAAATATGGGGCAGCGTGAATACTAAGTAGAAGACTCGGGCGTCTGAACCGTATACATTGTCGTCGAAAGGATATGAAGGTCTGTACAGAAGACATTTTCGAAAACACATCATCGTCCTTTACCACTATCCTTCTTCCAATACAACTTTCTTATTCATAATGCTTCTCACACCACTCTTTTTCGCGGCCCTTGCGGGCGCTGTGCCACAGTTTGGCAACAACCAGCGCTTCACCATGCTACGATTTGGCTGCGCTCAAAGTGTCATTGATCGTATTGATCCGCTCGTGAACCCAGGTCTTGCACCTTCACCGCATATGCATCAGATTGCAGGCGGTAACGCGTTCAATACCACGATGCCGAGTACAGATATTTCGAAACTGGCTAGCTGTACGACGTGTGGTTACAGTGAGGATGTACGTTTCTATCTTGTAGATACGAAGATGCTAAAGGGGGAGAGATGAAGGAATGCAACAGAGCTGACGATATGTAGTTGAGTAATTACTGGACAGCAAATGTCTATTTCAAAGCAAGGAACGGGACGTATAAACGTGTGCCGCAGGTACCAAACCGGTTCGTTGTACGACCTTATTCTTTCTCAATCAAATGGACTAATAATACTCAGCGACCTCTTCAATGACAAGTACACTGGCAAGACCACTGGTGGTTTCGTAGTATACTACGTTTCTGGTAGCAAAGGCGATGTCACAGCGTTCAAGCCGGTAAGCAACAACGCTAAATCCTCCCCATCTCATGGGATCGTTCAAAAAAGTATCTAAACAACCTACGTAGGGATTCCGCATGCTTGTGGGCGACGCAGCAAACCGCGTTTCCAAGAACCGCAAGTCCCAGACTTGTTTTCGATGCTACACCGGACCCAATTTTGGAGGCGACAATGCTGCACCATGTCAGGACGCCAAGTAAGTATCCTATCCATACATCTCTATCATGTTTGTACTGACGGCTCGTAGACTCGACACAGAAGGGTTCCCCACGACACCCTGTCCAGGTGGTATCCGGAGTAACATTCTTTACCCCACGTAAGTGAATTGCCGCTACTATCACGTCACTGCTGATGCAGAACAGTTGCTGGGACGGCGTCAATCTCGACTCACCAGACCACAAATCACACGTCGCATACCCGACAAACGGGCCCGCCTTATTCACCGGTACCAGCACAGGCGGAGCTTGTCCTGCCAGCCACCCTGTTAGAATCCCACAACTCATGCTTGAAGTACTCTTCCCCCACAACACCTTTATTCAGTCCATCAACTAACTGTGGCCAGATCGTCTGGGACACAACCAAATTCAACAACAAAGCCGACTGGCCAGCTGATGGTTCCCAGCCCTTCGTCCTCAGCACGGGCGACAACACGGGGTACGGGCAGCACGGCGACTACGTGTTCGGATGGAAAGACAATTCGCTTCAGAAGGCTATGGATGATGCGAAGGGCTGTATGGGGGCGAACTGTGGGAGCTTGAAGACGCAGCAGCCCGCTGATGGCAATAAGTGCGTTGTTCCGAATCGGGTTCCCGAAGAACGTGATGGATGGATGAAGGCGCTGCCAGGTATGGATGGTATGCCTATGGAGTAAGCTGCTTGGCTTTTGTGGTGGCTGTTGGTATAGGGTCTGGGTCGTTGGTCGTTTTTAGTATGTCGTAACGCTATTGCAATCGTAGTGATTTTACATAGATTCTGTGTGAGTATTCATGAGAAAGCCATACTTTTGTTCTGGTGTTATATAAACCCAACCGTCCTATCCAAATCTGTCACATGTGAGTAGAGCAGTATATTGTGATTGCCATTCATCACCGGTATCATGTCACAGTCAGAAGTCCAATTGATCTCTTAGTTCGATATCACTGCGATGTGATCGTTCCAAGCTCCTGTATGATTATCTCATCGACCGCGGTTTGGCGGCGCTCATTCACCAAGGATAAGTGCCAAGCCTTTTTAGTCGCAATCAGCAAACGCCCTCAAAGTAAGATACAAGTGAGACGCGCAGACTCTACTTATTCTCACCTTAAATTAAAAACATTCTAAAGCCTTACCGTGTGGGCAGCTATCGTTCAATTGCGCCAAAGACAATATGAGCGATGTAACTAAGGTCACTGGTCTCCTCTGCGACCTACAAAAGCTGGACGAAGCGGGACGCGACCGCATACTGGATCTATTGTCTACTGAAGTTGTAAAGGAAGTCCTCAAAGCCTCTCTTCGTCAGCGTGACAGAATTGAAAGCGAGTCAGGTGCCAGTAGGCTCTGGACATGTGCTCAATCATCACGCATAGAGAGTATTGCTCCGCCAAATCCACCAACGACCGAAAATGCCAGTGGAACGGTACATGTTCAAGAAGAAAGATCAACAAAGCAGGCCAGGCAAATCACTATTCTTCGATACCGCAAGCGACCTAGGATTGAAGAGGAAGACGCACGAGGTCAAACGGCCGTAGAAAGAGAAGTTATTGAAATCGAGACGGACGAGGAAAATGAAGCGAACAGAAAGAACAGTCAAAGCGTTCGACGTTCACTTCGATTGACGGGGTGCGTTGGGCCAAAGCACCTGATCGCTGACAGCAAGGGTATTGCAATTAACGGACGACGACCAAGAGAGCTTCAAGCCTATCTCTATGTAAGCGAGGGTGTCATATCCAACTGGCTTCCTGTAAATGTACAAACCGACCTGATGCACCGTTTTGAAGATATGTGGTCAATGAAAGAACATACGATTACCCAGTACACCACCTATACCTACAACTTGATAAGACATTCATCCGGTCCTTTATGCATTCACAGCATGCTTCTCGCAAAAACCCGACCTTCACTCGAGGTGGGAAACCGAATAAGTCCGCAGACGATAGTTGTATAGATGCTGACTATCCTTGCGCCGATTTCAGATGGCACAAACACGAAAAGAAATTTGTCGTATGTTTTCTGCCTCTGCCTAAAGCACTGCGCAAGGGAAAGTATTCGGGTGATCTTGGGTATTGGGTTCTCTGAAAGCAAATTGCTGGGATGACTCCAAAACGTTAGTCAAGTTCAGTTTCAGGGACATAGGGACATATTGGGGCTCTTAGTTGAGTTCTGCCTGCTGTGGCTGGGATTGGGAAAAGAAAAAGACCCTACAGAATACAAAAAGGGTCCGATGTGAACCTGTACAATAGTAGAAAAGCACTTACATGTTCCTCAAATAGTGCAAGGTTGAGGCGGCTGGTAATTCTTCATCGTCGCGTCGACATAATGTATCCCGCCTTTGAGGCGAGACATCTTCTTCATCAACGTCGTTTAGTGAATTCATCCCTTACGTGAACATGATATCTCAGGTCCCGCTCACAGCAACCCACTCGCCGCTCCAAATGCCATCCGTCTTGCAACCCGGACAGCTCGTGTGATCGCATCCCGTCGGCTTGGTGAAATCGTACTCTTCCCATGTGATGGTTTCCCCCACATCTTCGTCCGCCATGATAGTATCCTTATTGACATCCATCTGTGAGCTAGGTACGGCAGCAGGAGCAGTAGCAGCAACAACGGGTTCTTGGATCTTGGCCTCAGCCTTGGTCGCCTCCTCCTCTTTCTTTGCCTCAACAGCCTCAGACCCAACTTCCTTCTCCTTTCCACCCACCGCGACCCCCACTTTCTTGAACCTGCTCCCCGCTGCGGCTGCCCCGCCACCACCACCAATCTTGGTGAACCGACTTCCAACACCAGGCTTCTTATTCGCATTTTCAACATCTATACTGCGCATATCCAGGCTTTGTTTCGGTTTGGTGCTGCTCTCGCCTTCATTGGAGGCCGTCAGCTTCTTCATGTCTGCAAGGCGCTGGCGGTGGTTGTGATCATAGGAGCGGAGGTGGTTTTCATAGTCGAGTTGGCGGGGATATCCTTTGTCGCATATTGTGCAGTTGAAGAGGCGCACAGCGGCGGGGAGGGGGTTGTTTCGCTGGTGAGGCGTGTTAGCATATAAATGTATGCATAGTAGAAGAGATGTAGGTAGGGCAGATATTACGTACTGGAGGCATTTTGATATTTCTTAAAGAATCCTGCGATGAATCTTGAATGTGGTGAAAGGCACAGCAATTCGCCTTTCAATGCCCTGGTGGGTTCAACACGCGTCAAGTGCGTCTCACAAACGCGTAAAGTTGTAGAAACATTTAGTGTTGCGGCGCACCGCCTCGGTCCACACCAACTGGCACAGACCCACACCGACAAACCCACGCACGAATCAACGTCATCCCAAGTCTCAGCCAGCAAAGCAATTCCCCATCCTGATGCATTTCCCCATACTTGATAAATCCCCATTCCTCGCACTCGTTTTGCACGACTGAATTCGCCAAAAAAATCATGGAGGTCAACACTGACCTGCCGTTCGACGACGACGGCAGCGTCATTGGTCTGACCGAAGTCGATCCCTCACCCGTCGACACACCGCCCGAATACCGAGAAAAGAGCTATTTCCCAGACCAAGAGCGGCCTGAGGGGGGAGAGACAGAGGAAATGCGGGGGATCAGACGGATGAATACTCTAGGACTTAGGTTAGGTGAAAGAGGACCTGCTTGGTGGCGTACGTTGTCGCAATTGTCCTTCTACAATGGATTCGCTTACTGATATGTCCTCACGACATAGTCCTTCGCATCCAAAAGTACTCGTCGTACACATTCACCGCATTTGCCGCCCTGCACATAACAAACGTCTCCATAATACCGTTGGCTACCCGCTCCGTCGTCGAAAGTAACCGCTACCTTCTTCTGACCCGTCCATACTACCAGTCTGCTCTAACAGAACCCCTGCTTGTTGCCCTGCCATTGGCCGCACACATTACGTCTGGAATTGCGCTGAGGTTTTGGAGAAGACGGCAAGCGCTACTGCGATATGGCGCTGAGACACGGAGAGAAAAGCGCACCATTCCCTGGCCGGTGCTCAGTGGGACGAGTGCCTTGGGGTATGCGTTAATACCCCTAGCTGGCTTTCACATCTGGACAACGAGAATATTGCCATTGTATGCACACGGCGATTCGTCGCTGATAAGTCTTAACTACATCTCACATGGCTTTGCGCTGCATCCTAAGGTTTCCTTTGCCGGCTTCACAGCCCTTGTGAGCGTCGGCGCATGGCATTTTGTCTGGGGTGCGGCCAAGTGGTTGGGCTTTGCACCAAGCCAAGTCAAGAATACAGAAGAGAACAGAGCGCTGGTTAGGAAGAGGAGATGGTACTCTATCAACGGAATCAGTGCTGCTCTGACTTTGCTGTGGCTGGGTGGCAGTCTTGGTGTTGTCGGCCTAGAGGGAACGATGCCAGGATGGGTGGGCAAGGAGTACGATGAACTGTACAAATACCTGCCGATCATTGGGAAAAGGTAAAAAAAAGATGAAATATAGAAAGTAAGGAAAGAGGAAAGCGCGCGTATTGTATTATACTATACCCCTCCTCATAACAAGCGAAAGATTCAATACCATTGTAGATATCGCTGATGCACGTAGTCCTGGTTTAGTGAAATTAAACATGATCTGTGAAGACTGAGTCTCTGACACAGCTCACAGCCTCCGAATCGGCTAGGTTCCGCTAATCATCAATCTACTTCATCTCTTCCAAAAAGAAACTAAGAAACAATGCAATAAAGCATCAAATCGCCTTCACATAATTCGTAACCTTGTGGAAGCAAGCACCACATCCTCACATGCCCGGACATCCCTCTTACTCATAACGCAACCTCTTCCAAAGATACGAGAAAACTAGCCCATTTACCTCCTCCCCAAATCCACCTCCAGTACCTGAACCATATCCCCATTCTCCTCTCCTTCAAGCCCAAAAAACGGCTTGATCCCCTTCTCCACAACTCCCTCCATCAACCCGCTTACCAGCCCTTGCAAATCGCTTCCTGTTTGTCGGAAATCCGGAAAAGCATTGACTTCCAACAACCACGTATTCAAGCCTCCAGCCTCTTCATCCAGTCCAACCATGAAATCCAGACCAAAAATCTCAAAAGAATTGGGTAGCGGTTGAAAGTGGATGGACATTCCTCTCGCCGCGGCTTCAAACGTCGAAGCAGTGATATCGCAGATTTGCTGGAAGATAGTGTTTTTCCAGTTCGATGGTACGTTTATTTTGCGTCCCGCATCTCCACCCTCACTGCTAGATGAGCCGGAGAAACTTGGCTGGGCGGGCAAAGTATCCGGTAAATCCCAGAACAAGCCCACAGATCCCTCTCGATCCCCGCTGTCCTGCAGACAGGTGTTGGTCAAGTGGGCGCGCATGGCTTCCTGGCTATTAGGCTCGACGTCAGGGGACCAAGGGGGGAGGTAGAGGTGTGCGGCAAAAAGAGCGAGCATGGGCTTGTAGACGTGCAGTTTCAAGGCGCCAGTGGCGAGTATGTAGGTTCTTATGTGGAATTTCCGGAGGTCACTGGTAGGGTTATTTGGTGGGGTGAGGAGGAGAGGGGGGTGGATGTATGGTTGAGCGATAAAGTGGCGGAGTTGGGAAGTTATGATTCCGTTGTCTTCGTCTTTTTCTGCCTTTGAGTTTTGCATGTTTGAATCACTGCGTGCGTCTTCTTCTTCGTCTTCGTTGTCACTGTCTGGGTCCCATTCCTCGAATATCTCCGTGAGTTCTTGCTCACTGGAGAAGAGGCGGATACCTTGGCCTCTATCGCTCATTCCTGGTTTCAAGATCCACCATTCCTTTTTACTGGAAAAAGCGCCATCTTCACCACCCCCAAGTTCTTCGTTTCGCGCCCAGCTTTCCTTCAGTTCCCATGCTTCAACTAGTGCATCGTCCAGAAACTCGGCATAGTCAACTTCAAACTCCACACTAGGCTTGACGTGCTTCTTGAGAAGCGAGTCAGGGTACTTCGTGATCCAGTTGGCAATGGTGGTGCTGAGGTAGTGCTTCCGGATCAATGCTTTACGGATTACGTAGGCGTTGGCCAGGGAGGTAGATGAATGCTCCATGAGGTGATCGAAATCGATAGACTCATACTGAACAAACTGTAGAAGATGGGATGAGGGAGTGGGAAGTTGGGATAATGAAGTGATGAGTTCGTATGACGATGCAGGAAGTCGTTTTTCCAGGGCGGAGAGTATAAGTGGCTGGACGTAGGGATCTTCGTAGTTGATCAGTGTGTAAATCTTATCGCCGATCTCAGACCCTGGAGACGCCATGCTGCCTGATTTAAACCCCTGGACTCTTTACTTTTCCAGTACCTTGATTTCTCTCTGGACGGCGTCGCTATGGCAACCACCTGCAAGAAAAAGGAGAGAAACCTAAGTGGGTATCTTGTGTACAGCGTCAACGATGGGAATGCAGGGATTGTGAGTGTGTATGTGAAAAGAAAAAATGATATTGTACACTAGTGAAAATCGTTACTGTAAGGCTGTGGTGAGCCTCGGTGTGGTATCCAGAGCCCAGAAAAGTCGAAATATCCGTTTTCGCTTAGCTCTAGCCAATTAGCGAGCTGTATTTGTAACGCCATACCATCATCCCCTATGATGTCGGGATATTCTTTGCACGTCAAAACGCCTCTAGCACAACAAAAATCAATCAGACAACTTCCAAATCATCATCGTCGTCGTCATCGTCGAGGGCAGCGATGAGTCCTACGTCAAGTCCGCCAAGGCTTTCTCGGCCAGGCTCACGTATGCCCTTTCCATCCAACAGCAGACGAGCCCTCTTCTTCGCAGGACTCGCCTCACGCGTGCCGCGAAATGCTGAAGGTATTACCTTCTTGGGAGATGGGATTCGTCCGTATTTGAATGCCCACCCTACTGGATTAGTGGATGTAACCGACTTGCCCGAAGCAGCTCGTTTCCGCTTCACAGGCGCCAGGGAGATATCTTTGGATGTGCGATTGAGGAGGCTTGAGAAGTCCGTCTCAGCCGGCTTATCTAGCCTTGAGCTTGTCGAGATGAGAGAAGAAGGGCGTGCTCTGGTGGGTAAGCTCGGAGTGCCAGCGCCTTTCGACCGTAAGTAATCAGCTCCGGTGGTGCCATCCCCCATAGTACCAAGCTTCTTAGCAAGTTCTCGCTCTTTTTCCCTCTCAGCCAGTTGCTTTCGAAAGCGGTCTTCGCGGCTCACTCCCCCTTCCCAATTTTGGTGATCCCGATCGATGAGCTTGGCAGCACCTCCAGGTCGTGGGGCGATGTACACGGTCTCATGTAGTTCGCGATCATGATACCTTCCTTCACGCTTAAGCTCATCACCTTTCGAAGCGCCGCCTCGACCAAACATGCCAAACTTGCTGCTACCTGGGCCTCCACCAAAGCCAGTCATGGTGTTGACTTGCATGCGGCCTTTCTTGGCTTTGTCGACCTGAAGTTGGATGTGAAACTCGCAAAACTCTGTTTTCCGGCCATCAATCCATTGACCACAATCCTTTCCATCTTTCCTCTTTGCGTTGCAAAAATCCAGGTCTCGTGCTGTTCCAATTTCAAGTATGGTGTCGTCCGAGCTGGTCAGCTTCAGGGAAAACTTGCCTGTATCGCGGTTCCGTGGCGGCATGATGTCGGGGTTTAAGATGGCAACAACTGTGCCAAGGGGAAGTTTCCAAAACTGGGAAAAACCGGTATCGAACAAGAACAGATCCAGCTCCCACTTGAGGTCAGTCAACTTGATCACCATGAACTTGCCGTTTTGATCCGTTGGCTGTTCTTGGCTGTTCTTGGTCTGATCTTTAGCGGCATTCTTGGAGTTGTGCGGTGTTGACTTGTAGCAAATGACACCTAGTACAACATAGTCGTTTTCCCAATCCGGAGGTTCATATTCTGGTGCCTTGACCGTTTTGAGCAACTGGGGAATAGTGAGAACGGTCTTGCCTTCCAGAGTGCGTGTGACGACATTGTGCTGCATTTCGCGCGACTTCAAGTGCAGACCAGAAAAAGGCTCAAAGCTAGGGGCCTCTGAGCTGTCATCTCGGGATGAGATCTCGGCGTATCGAGAAGCGGTCGGGATTGAGCCAAAACTGGAGGAAGATGCCTTGGAAGACGAGGACACCGGGCGTGAAGTGTCGTTGCGGAAAGACAAGGTGGAGCCAGGTCGAGGGGAAGATGGAATTCTCAAATCAACTGAGCGGCTCTGAGGTCTGGTACGTCTTGAAAACGGCGGGGGCATCTCGCGCGAACTCGGTGTCTCAGAGCCTTGAGAAGAACTGGTCCTAGAAAGTGATGGTCGTTCTGCTAAGCCTTCGATGGTATGCAAGCCAAATCCCCTGTTTCTCCTCAGCTCGGCCTTTTCCTCCCTCTCTTCACGGTCCTTGTCTCTGTTCCTGCTTTCGGCAATGCGCTCGCTGAAAGATTTGATCTTAGGAGTCTCACTGCCCTTCAGCGACCCTGTTCGCGCCCGCCCAGCCAGAACGCTGGAGGGCCGCTTGAGACTAATATCACGTGCCGTCAGTCCTTTGTCGATGCCCAGCATGACTCGTGCAGGACTCTTTGGCTCGTCAGGTGGTGGCCGTGTTCGAGTGGGAGAGCGTGGCACTTGTACGCCCGCTTCTTGACTGCTTAATGGCGATGGGTCGGCCCTGCGCATGGTGCTGGCTATGCTGGCTCGTGAAGAGGCTCCATTGCGGTCAGCGTCGGCAGATTCTGCTTTCTTCTTCTGCAATGCCTTAAGTTTTAACTTTGCCTCGATTGCTTGCAACTGGAGACGTAGGGTTTCTTCATCATCGTCGTCCCCATCGCTCGTGTGCTGGGTGTAGTCGCGCGACATGGGGCGGCGCTTCGAGGGAGAGGGTGAGACGGAGTTGCGCTCGCGGCGACTCTCGTATTTTCTGCGTGCAGAGGGCGAGCTGAGCAATGCTTCCACAGACGATTGCGGGGGCCAGTTGGGTTGATTATCCTTGACTGTGCGGATACACTCAGCGCGTGTGTTTACGGTAGTCTCAGCGCGGATGACGCACCTTTGGCCTTTGGACTCTCGCGCACTATCATTGTTGTGGTGGTGCAGTGTTGTGAGCGTGTATCTCTCAACAGGGCCCATAGCAACACGGGCAGAATGAGGCTCTCAACGGGCGTGTGCCTGGGCGTTTGATAATGTGAGTGTGAGCGCAGATGTGTAACCGAAAGCCGTGGGCGTTTGTTGACACCGGGTTGTATGGTTGACCCCAGACATGACAGCGCCTGTGGGAACGGCTTTCTCATCTAATCCGAAACTGGCGTCTTTGCAGGGGTCGCGCGTTGCTTGCACGCGACGCGACTGACCACCCTAGCACCAGGAACAGAACAGAACAGAACATACAACCCGGATATTACAATAGACTTGATTAATACGGATATCAGATACCATTGCTGCAATGGCACGAACACGCTCAAAACCTGCCAAGGCGACACCCACAGAGACAACACCAGAGCCCACCACATGCACAGCAAAGTCGCTCCCCGCAAGTGCACCAAACCCACCCAAACTCTTTGTCTTGCCCAAGAATGCCTCTCGGAATGCGCGCATAGTCACGCTAGATAACCCTGCAAATGAAACACCGTCGCGCTACTTCTTCTGTCCAGAAAGGGGCTTCTACGAATTCACTCGCATTGCGGCCCCAAAGAAGGACTGTCGAAGTTGGCTCATCACCAGTAGTGATGGTACTACACGAGAAAAAGAGGAGAAGGAAGACACAGATGCCTCAAGAATAGGCAGTGGATATGTCGCCAAAAGCGCCGATCTGTTCATCGCCACGCCCATCGATCTCCTCTTCCTCATCCTGCCCGCGCTCGCACCCAAGACCGCAAAAGACACAAAACAGCACTTCCTTGCGTTCGACGACTACCTCGATAAACTCTCTTCTTCATCGTCGCACTGGAAGGCCCTTCTATCACAAGACGAATCCTTAAAATCCATGCTAGAGAAGCGCATCCGCCTCATCTGCGACACTGTCGACGCCGGCGACGAAACCATGTACCGCATCTCCCTCCCCAAACTCCTCGAGGTGCTAGTCGCAAAAGCCGAACGCATGATCCAGCGCGGCCTCCCTGCGTCTCTGGAAGAAAAGTTCATAAAAACCGCCCTGGAAATTCCCGTCATGAACATCAAACGCGAAGAAAGCACACTAAGTGCCGTCTCAACCAGCAACACAGAAACCATCGAGTCAGAACACACCACCACTACCACAACAACAACACAAGAGGATTCCGTCACACCAGCCCTCACAACACCCCCAGAAATCCCCCACCTCCTCCGCCTCCGCACATCCCTCACCTACCTAACATCCTCCTACCTGCCTCCCACCCTCACCTCCCTCCTCACCCCCCTCCTAACCCCACGCTTCACACCGCTAACCACGCACCTCTCCGCCATCGCCGCGCTAAAAGCCGAAGTCGCATCGCTCCGCAGTATTACAGACAACGTGTCGCGGAAGCGCGCTGTGCTGGAAGATGACGACAAGATGGCGGAGAGGGAGGAGAAGAAGCGGAAGAAGGAGGAGGAAGATAAGAAGAAGAAGATGGAAGGGAGGGGTATAAAGCAGTTGAAGAAGGTGGATACGAGTGGGATGAAGAAGATGAGTAGTTTTTTTACAAAGGTCGAGAGGAAGAAGTGATATTGATTTCTGTACTCTGGACTTGGGGCTGGGAAGATAATGAGCGTATTGTATTAGTAGAACCTGTGTGTATTTGTATAATTAGCATTCCAAGCGGGACATAAGCAATATATATATCTCGATATTTTCTCATTCATCTAAACTACAAAGTGGCCCTTTACTCCCCCTGTCATTACTCCTTATTTCCCCCAACCCTGTCCAGAGGCGCCCGAGGGGGACCAAAAGATCCAGCTGATCCTAACGTTTCCGAGTCGCAACTCGTTATCTATATATGTACGCTACCTACACACCCTCCTCTCTTCGTGCGTGGCGATCAACGAACGTGATTGGAGCCCTCGCATCTCTCCCCAGCATTACAGAAATTAAAAGAAGCTCGGCTTGCAAAGCCAGAGTGAGCTACTTGAAAATGAAAAAGTGCTGGCTTCAAGCTGTCAGACACTTTTTTCCCTTCTTTCGTAATCATGGGGTATCCTTTTCTTTCTAGAAAGAAGGAAAAACAAAAAAAGGTGGAAAAAAAGAGCAAGAAGAAAAGAAGACGATCAGGTAAACAAAAACAACGCTTGCTATGCAAATAGGACCAAAAGCAGGTATGCACCAGAACATGCCAGAGACCTAATCAGGTAGATGACAATGACCATTGTTCCGCCATTCCCGTCGATTACGCAAACCAAAATCAAGACGAACGGGCTGCGTGCGGCCGTTAGACCTTGTCGATTGACAGGAAAGAGGTGGAATGCTCACTTCGAGCTCGCTTGTCGCTGGCCTCGCGTTCAAGCGGCTCTCCACTGCGTTTCTTGGATGACTTGGCTGAACTGCTGGAGCTGTGTGCTGATTTGACTCGCGTCCAAGAGTCGAAAGAAATTTCTGGGTTCAAGTTAGTATCAGATTATTCAGTAGGAATAGTTGGAAAAACTTACCCTTCTTGAACTTGCGAACAGTGGGCGGCGGTGTGGTGGCTAGAGACGGTGCTTGAACAACGCTCTTGCCTTTGTTCCTGCTTGGCGTAGCAACCGTAGGCTCAATGTCGGTTGTCGCTTCTTCATCATCATCGTCGTCCTCGATACCATTCGCACGGTTGCGCTCTTTGATCTCGGCTTGGAACAGCAGTTTTGGCTTGATAGATGACCGAGTGAGCGGGCGACGGGCCTCATGACCAATCTGGCGGCGAATCCGTCGGTCATCGGCAGAGAGTTCATCTTGCTCGGCATCCGAGGCGCCAGATGGGGCATCGTCATGGAACTTGCGGAAAACCTTGCGGCCACGGAAGATGTAAACCATACCCTCGTCACGGTCGACTGCTTCCTCCATCTTGGCCGACTTCATGTCCAGTGTCTTCTTGGCCTTTTGTGGAGCCCTCTTTGCTTTTCCCTTGCCCTTGGTGGTGAGAAACGGATTTTCTTCGGTCTGGGCGCCAGGAGTGGGTATGCGTTCTTTGGAATCCGTGTAGATGGGGATTTTTTCCGTGGTCTCGTCCATGTGCTTTGCGAAACTTTCGAGAGTGTAAAGATCCTTGGTCTTGCGCGATTTGCGGGGAGTTGGCATGGCCTCGTCAATGGTAGAAGGTCGGTTGGTAGGGAACAAGACCCGCGCAGTTGAACTCACGTCGTCGACGCGACGCTTGCGGGGCGTCTTGGCTGGCGTTGGTAGCATGCCCGGCGCCATTGTTGCGGAGAAGAGGAGGCGTCGGCTTGAAGATGGTGCAGCGCAGTCGGAGTCGGAGTCGTGCAGAGTAGAGTCCAAGGGTGCGCGGCGGGTAGAGCGTGGAGAGCGGAGTTGCTGAGGTGAAGAGGGAGGTGAGAGAGCTGAGGCGTTTGCGCGGACAGCTGGTGACTTTGACGTAGCTGTGGGAGTCACGTCACGCCTAGCTCGTGGGGTTGATTGCGCGTGGTGAATGTGAATGTCGCGTCGAGCGGCGACTCTGCTGGACCGACGCGGTGAGAACGGCTCGTAGTTGTCTCCATGATGCGGTGCAGGCGGAGTGCGCAGGCGACGGGGCGGCGAGGGGGTGCGCTCCATGTTGGGTGTTTGCGTGTTTGTTTATGGGGGGCGGTTACGATGTTGGTGTAGCAATGGGTATGAATAGTGGGTATCCAAAATCAAAACAAGTCAAGCGAAGCTCCAATGACACTGCGCGCACTTGTCCCAAGGCTCAACGGATGCTGTAGTGATATGCGCGGGCGTGGATGCGATAGTTGGGCTGAGTGGTGAGGGTGAGGGTGAGGGTGCAGTCCAAGGGCGGGTGGAGACAATGGGGGCTGCCTCAGATAGGGAAGGGTCGATGCAAGATGAAGGAAGTGACGAGGCTGGGAGATGGCGGGTGCTGTTCCTTGGCAAAGCGGTCAGGGCGGGCGCACATCAACAAACGCCCGGACCCTCCACCACCCCGGCCTGCCCTAACCGCCTAACGCCTGCCCCGCCAACCCAAATACGTCAAACACGCCAAACACCTGTCAACTCGTCTGAAACCCTGCCAGCTCGAGCAGTCCTACGTGTTCTGCTCTTCTGCGAACACGCAAGCAAAACGGCGCACAATGGATCCACCAAATCTCGGCGCGCTGCACCTCTCCGACTCCGACACAGACGGCGACGCGTTGTTCGACACCCCCGCAGCGCGCAAAACGAACAAGACAAAAGATGTCGAAAGCGATGCAGAAGGCGCCACCGGCTCCAGGCCACGCGCAAAAGAATCTCATTATACTGCCGAAGAGGCGCGAGAGGAGGCCTTGCGCAGGGAGCTAGAGAGCATACGAAACGTGAACAAAGTCATTGAGGGTGTCATTGAGAGCTTACAAAAGGCCAAAGACAACATGGCTGTAAGGGACAAATTTGGGAGAGACACAATGCTTCAGCTGACTTGCTTCCAAGACCGTAGCCCGCACTGTGCAAAATGCATCCACCCTACTACAGACATGGACCCGCATCCTGTCGCAAACCGAACACAACCAGCGCCTTATTCTGAACCCTCAATGGCAAGGCGCGTCGCAAGATCTAGTTGATATTGAAGAAGAGCAAACATATCGTCAACAGGCTGCACAACGTCGCGCAGCTGAAGAGCAGGCACGGAGAGAAGCAGCAGCGAGGAAGATTGAAGAAGACCGTCAAAGGGCCGAAGCTGCAGCAAAACCAAGCACGCGGGGCAGGGGCAGAGGCCGACCGCGAGGTGCTTCGACATCGTCTACAGGAAACTATGTCGGAGTAGGCGGGCAGGGAGGACGAGGTATCAGCCGCAGTGATTCTACTAGGGGCAGAGCTGGCAGTGGCATAGGGCGGGGACTTCGTGGGCGGGGACGAGGTCTGGGCTAAGCACGTATCCCACCAAATAGGAAAAAAAACTCAAAACATCCAATTGGACTTTTCTCTCCTTGGGTCTTTCTACCTCGACGTATAGCGACACTAGCGCGCTCGGCCTGAGTCAAATCAGCATTCGCATTTGCAATGCATCGGGCATCGGGCATCGGCGAATGTTGGCCATCTGGACATGTCCGACGTCGTTGAAAGCGAAGCTATAACAACAGCCTACTCTGTGGATCTAGAGTCCATCATCCATCAATGGCGCTTGCACTGGCAGCTGATCAGATTTGTGGCTTGTACCCTGGAGAAGAGTGCGCCATCGGAACTAAGACGGTACCTGCAGCTCGATGCAGTCAACGGGCCGGATCTGGTGTCGTCGGATGCACTTCTCGAATTGGCTAAGCTTGGGGACCCCACTTGTCGTCAGTTGGACCCCGCTGCGTCAGTCTGCGAGATCTTGCGACTCTCCGTGAATTCAAATTGAATCCTCTTCCCTGTTTCTCAAACTTTTGTCGCCTGGTTTCCTCTGACCCTTCTTTTTTTTGCCGTTCAGATTCCCCATTAAACCACGTCCACATTTGTCAACATGGAAGTTCCAACAGCATCGTCGCTACGCGACATTTACCCAGAGGACGCGCTCCCAGTCGAGACCAAGCGATGGGACAGCTTGCTAGCCAGATTTAAAGACCTCTACGGCAAGCAGGCAGACTTCGTCGCTAGGAGTCCTGGTCGCGTGAATATTATTGGCGAGGTATACACTATAGTGAATTGATATACGATTTGCGGCTCACGATACATAGCACATTGATTACTCTCTTTACGAAGTACTACCAATGGCTATCACAGCCGATTTCATCATGGCAGTTGCTGTCCGACCATCTGATGAGAAGCCCCGTGTACGCATTGCAAACCTCAACTCAGAGAAGTTCCCCACGCGCGAGTTCGACATCCCTGAGGGCGAGATTCCGATTGATGCGACAGAACATGAGTGGACCAACTACTTCAAGTCCGGTCTCAAAGGTGTAACACAGCTTCTGCAGAAGAAGCGTGGTAAATTCACGTCAGTCGGAATGGATATTGTATGCGACGGAACTGTCCCAAGCGGTGGTGGCCTCTCCAGTTCGGCCTCTGTTGTCTGCACAAGTGCATTAGCTGTCCTGAGCGCGAATGGCGAACAAAAGATTGATAAGACTGAATTGTGCGAGCTTGCAATTGTATCTGAGCGTTCAGTCGGTGTCAACTCCGGAGGGTAAGCAAACACCTCGGTTCGTTGTCTTCATAACTAACGCGTTTCAGCATGGATCAAGCAGCATCAGTATTTTCTCTGCGCGGCTCTGCCCTATATGTTTCATTCAAACCCAGCCTTAAGTGCACAAACATTGAATTCCCACAAACCGACCCAGAGCTCGCCTTTGTCACAGCTCAAAGTTTCGTTGCAGCGGATAAGCATGTCACAGCCCCAGTATGCTACAATCTACGTGTAGTAGAGTGCACTTTAGCAGCAGTCTTCCTAGCAAAGGCATTTGGCTTGAAGAAGGCTCTCCCAACAGATTCCTCACCACTGGGAGTCAGCCTACGCGGCTTCCACGACACCTACTTCGAGGACAAAGAGGGCGTAGACGACAACACCAAAATCTCCGTCTCCGAGTTCGAGACCCAACTCACAAAGTTGATCCAGCACACAGAAAACTACCTCCCACAAGAAGATGGCTACACCCGCGAACAAATCAGTGGCCTCCTCGGCATCTCCGTCGACGAGCTAAACCAGCGCTACATGTCCAAATTTCCCGTCCGCGCCGACAAATTCATGCTCCGCCAGCGCGCCCTGCACGTCTTCACAGAAGCCCTTCGCGTCATCAAGTTCCGCTCGCTCCTCGCATCCCCACCCTCGAAAGACAGAGACTACCTGCAATCCCTCGGCGACCTCATGAACACAACCCAGGACTCGTGTCGCGAGATTTACGACTGCAGCTGCCCAGAGCTAGACGAACTGTGCGACTTGGCACGCGCTGCGGGCTCGTGTGGTAGCCGCCTGACGGGCGCGGGCTGGGGTGGATGCAGTGTCCATCTCGTGCCCAAGGATAAGGTCGAGGCTGTGAAGAAGGCTTGGGTCGAGAAGTATTACAAGAAAAAGTTTCCGGACATTACGGAGGAGAAGCTGGCGCAGGCGATTGTGGTTAGTGAGCCAGGGAGTGGCAGTATGCTATTCAAGGTTACGGGTGAGAGAATTGCTTAGAATCTAGGTTTTTTGGGGGATTTTGGGTTTGCAGCTGTGAATATATAGTTGGTTGTGAGAAAAAGGGACTGTGATTTAGATGCTGGTCACTTCACATATCCTGGGTGTGTTGCTTAAGCAACAGAGGTCATGAGCTAAAGGAATCGAATCTTTTGCTTAGATATATTAGTTTGATGTGTACACATGACTTGATCTAGTCATCACTTCAATTACTTTCACCTTGGCAATATCCACTTACCTGTATTTCCCATATGATATAGGCCTGTTGCCCTTCACACTCTCAAATACTACTATCACGACATATCTGCAAACACTTGATATAAAGTCTCTCATATATTCCGCAATCCCACCTTTTCAAGTCTGTATTCACCTATAAGTAGATATCCTTTTCCCTCCTTTCCTTTCCCTCTCTTACAACTTCTCCACCAATATGGCTAGACGCCACAGCAAGAAAAAGCCGCGAAACCCACCGGTCCGCACTGAGTCTAGTGGGAGCGAAATACCCGTTTCCCCACAGCGCGTCGATGCGAGAACGATTCATCAGCGGTCCCGAGGTGCGAGCGAGCATATATACGGGCAGAGCTCATATGCTGGATCCTGCGCGGAACCTGGGTTACCGGCGTGTACGAATCTGGATCAAGGTTTCAGCGAAGAAAGGACACTGCGTCAACTTGGGTTTGCGGGCGGGAACACAGCACAGACGAATCCGTCAATGCACAGGACATGGGACGAAAGCGGAGTGGGTTTATGGTGGTATGCATGTGGCTCTTATACGTCGCCGGGTGGTATAGCTCTACCATCCACTTCTGGTGAGCGGGAGACATGGCAGAATTGTGCGTATCAAGGCTCGTTCCTGCATGGTGATGTTGCTGCAGCTCAGAGAAATGCGGAAGGCATGGTTTTTAGGACATCATCTTGCGGCTCTGTAGCGAAGCGGGGAGAGGGGGGGCCGCTGTGGGATGTTAATGCGTATTTTGCGTATTTTGCGCCGCTGGGTACGCGTCATATGCAGGTGGTGGGTAAAGAGGAGAAAAGGGAAGGCAAGAAACGAATGGGAATGTGACTTTTGTGGACTCGAGTGCTTTTGCTGGGGTCTGACGGACGGAGTAGCAGACGAAGAGGCGGTGTCGTTGTAGACGGACTAATTGGCGGGATGGGATTTGGGTGGCATATCGGGAGACGTTGCTGAGTGGCCAGATTCCCAGTCGTTGGCATTGAAAGGGAACTATGCCGACTCACGTTCCAAGTTGGTTGACGGCATTCGGTATTCGGTCTCGAAAATGTCAAGCGGAGCATGATGGTATTCGTCCAAGAAATATGAAGCGTCCTACGGATGTGAGTGCTCTGGATGCCCTTTTTTATGTACTTACTTGCTGCTATTGTGCCAGCTTGCGCCGTTCTGCGTAGACGGACAAGCATCGTATCCACGTAATTCTGCATGCGGCTAAAGCGAAGTAAATTGATGCCCTCTTTGTCCCGCGCGGAAGCAACTCCATTGCTACCCATCCGTATTACCGAGGATGTGCTCCTGGGAAATGGATATGATGCGCACGCCTTGTGGCAAACGAACCTATCGCCCGCCACCGTTTGCAGAGAACCTCATTCGGTCTGCTTAGCTCGACCCAAAGATAAACTCGCTGGGGAGCCGGTATGCTGAGAACCTGAAGCTCGCTCATTGATGGCTGTGCCCCTATTGGCAGCTAATCCGATGAACCCCCTTGCTTTCGGCCGTAGGACATCGCGTGCCTGCGCAGCGTACATATTGTGCACCTCTTCCTCCCTCGCAATCATCTTCTTAGACCATAGTGAGACAGACACCCCTCGCTGCTGAGCTGGTGTGATTGTTGCAGGGTTTGTCAACCCATTCGTTCAGGGTCGAATGACCACATCCACAATGCCGCGCCCGTTTCCGAGACCCACTGTTCTGAGATCACCAAGCATCCACGTGCAGTTTGTAGCCACAATTGGTAAGCTCATCATGAGACAAAAGGTGGCAGTTCGGGCCCATGAGCTTCGACAGGGGTCTCGCCCTGAATCCTCCAAGAAACAGATGTTCTCTTCGCTCGCGAACGCGTTGGTGTAGCGAAGAAGCAAGACTCAGTCGTCGACCCATTTCGCTGGGGGCCTGAAAGATGGCTTTCTGCCAGTGGGTAACGCGAATCGATCTGAGCATATCGGGCGACCACGACACTCCCACGTCTTGGTGTGTAGTCGTATTAAGCACTTGTGGTTCTCGACCAATGATCCACCCTAGTGGGTGTCGGTATAGTGAAGGCGAGAGCGGGAGAGGAAGTGGGGGATCTTCAAACTAAAAGGAAGGAATCATGACCCTTCGACCATTAGCTAATAATAAACAGTGGGGGGGGGGGGAAAGCTATGCAGCAGCTCTATACCCAAATGGGTGAAAAAACACGTTATTTTGCGGTAACTAGTAGACTGCATGTTTCGACGTAGCACGTCGGTGCAGATACTGTAAATGAGAGGACATGAAGGGCAGGTATGTTGAGTATTGAGACTGGGACCACCAAGTAATCCTTCCTTCAGGGTTTTGATGCTAACGTCTTTGGCTTGTGTTGCAGCCCACAGAAAGTCAGTTTTGTCCCCAGTACCTTGCTCCAAGATGTCAGCGTGAAGGACTCAATAGTGGGAATATGAATGAAAACGATACCAAAGATGATCACCAAGACGGTATATCAGCACATCGAAGCTACATGGAAGTGCTAGGAGGCCTTCGATCAAGTTTCGCGCATAAATACTGAGGTTGATGCGTTCAACAGTCTGGACGTCTGGTAGGCGTTCCAAACTGAGACGGGATGACTTTCCAGCGCAGTGTGCACTCTGGACTAGGGAGATGCGTAACCCCAATCCATCTAGCACTTTTCAATCCAAAACAGCCAGTATCTATGACCAGCTAATGTTTTGTAGAAATCACGAAAGTGAAAGTCCTGTGAAGAAGATAATGATCAGATCGACAGGATACTATACATCCAGCAAGCGAGGATTGGGTTCTTTACAATAGTAAGCAACGCATACATACCTCTTCGCAGCGGTTCGCAACCTCTAAACTACCGACTGCCTCGTCAAGAAAAGAGAACAAATGAAAAAGAAATTTTGATGTTCACTCCCCTTTGTTTACGGTATTGTATCTGATTACCAAATGGTTTCGATCTCGCTTCTGATCCGCTTCCGGACCGCTTCCGCAACATCCACCGTTTCGAGCTAGTCGAGGATGTGCCGCGGTATCCCGACGACTCTTACAGGGAAAAGAATACAAGCAGGCTTACGACGCCAAAGCGTCCTGCGGATTAACAATGCCGACTTCTGTATCGGGAAATTCATGTTCCATCTTTCGATTCTTCGGTACCGATGTAGGATAGAATATCCGGCCGATTCAAAACGTCATGATTCAAATTGCATGTGTCCCCGTCATGTATATTCGCTGGAGATTGACCTCTGTTCATCCCGCAGAGCCCAAGTATACCGTTATTTTTTTTTTGGAGAAATGCTCCCCTCGCGCCCCTCGCGACCTAACCCATCATAGGAAAAGCCACTACCAAAATACTTTCCAACGTTTTACGAACAGCTCACAATATTCGCGCATACAGACCAATTTACATGATAGGGCAGATCACATGCCAGGGCGGTTGTTGTATTGCTGCAAAAAATAGCTAAGACCTATTTGCCCGGGCAGCCGAGAAGGACGGATCGTGTAACCACGGGCCTACGATCCTCGACAGTACATTTTAAGATCACGTCAAGTACCGAAGCAATCATACTAAACGCACTTGCGATGTATCTCGGCTAGAAGGCAACCTTGGGCCCAGGCAAATCGGAAGAGATGGAATTATGCCCAGAACGGATCAAAGCTCGCTTCTCTGAGGCAGACGGAATTATAGACCCGAAGACTCGAGCCGTCCCTCTTTGCATCCGACTGGCTCAGACGGCTGGACTTGCTCAGACGGCTGGACTTGCTCAAATGGCTGGACTTGCAGATACCTTCTCTGATAAGAAATGGAGGTATGCCCGTCGACCCTCTGGATTGGACCAATTTTCCAACTCGGAAGTCAGTACCCGTCTATCGCTCTTTTACGATTTTGGTGAGGCTCGGAGATGTTTTGCGAGCAACCAGAAGATGTCATGACAATGCATGGAGAACATGTGACAGGAGCACAGACTTTGAACGCAGCCTTCGAGCGCAGCTATCTACGGCTTTATAAAGAGGATCTCACGCTTGGGAGCTTTTGTCGAAGATTACGCACACGACACCTGTATTAACGAATATAACGTTGAAGCCACGTGGGTCAATGCTGCACACTCTTGCGTATTCGATTAGCCATGATCAAGTACCGAAGATTCTCGAAGAGCGCGTGCAAAGTAAAGTCGGACAGATGGACCACCATAATATCGTGGCTTGGTAATTGGCGGCGAGATATGCTGTAAGAGCAACATTCTCGATTCCCTGTCAGGGGCTATCTACCGGGCTTTTTCTAGTACAAAGCAACGACTGGTGGGGTTTCAGAGCCGTTTAGACACGTCAGTAAGTCTGCAAATTCAACTCAATACTTTGATCCATGATCGGATCAGTGGTTGATAATGATTGTTAGCACAGCCTTTTATGAATGTTACGTCAAGCGACATGTGCGAAGCTTCTCGGATCAACCCATTGCAAAGCAATTGTTCCAGATTCCAACCACACCTTCCGAGTCTCCGTTGTCAAGGTATTCCAGTCCTGACGTCAATTTTAACGAACGCTATGTACTCCCGAGATCTATTCTATGCCTAGAAATGGGCCGCAGGAATATTGCTCAACGTTTATGTCGAGCGGCTCATCCCAGAGAGAAGGCCGGGGAAGCACATCATTTCGGGCAAGGTTCCTTGGCCTCTAGTGGCTGTGTCGATGGGAGTAAGATGCAGGCATTGTTGCCACGCAAGTACTACTTCTTCGTGCTCGAACAAGCACTGCATCTACAATCGCAACAGGGAAGGCATTGTAACGGAGTTGGCGAGACAGGGTACAGTGGCCGATTCGATGACATGCCCAAATTGGCAGGTGTTTTCGTTCGGTTGATGGAAAAAGGCGATGCGGAAGCAAGCGCTTCAGCCAGGAATCCAGGTTTGACCAAAACGGCCGAGAAGGCGCTACTCCTGAGGGAAAAAACACCGAACGCCAATGCACTTCACGTGTAATTCGTCACCTCCCAACGCGTGTGCCCGATTTTCATATGTTTGTGCTACTACATGACCTTAACTTAGAGCAGCGCCTCAGTATGGCGATCACGCTGTGAATGGTCCACAGCATAAGCGGCACGTAGCGGAACTTCAGGCCGACAGCCATCAGTTTTGAAACCAAGACTCGGTTATGACGTTTTGGAATAGGTCTAAGATTTCGCATCCTCGCAGTTCATCCCCCGCAATGGGTACAGTGAATATAAAAAAGCGGGGTCATTGCAGGGACCAGGACACCGTGCTCTGCAATGCTTGCATCCATGTTGCCTCAAGTATCTGCTATAGTCTTTGCCCCTTGGGCATTATTGATGAGTCTATCTGGCCGGCCATCTCGTCTGTGTGTGCACGCTCGAAATATTCAAGATGCTCAAGACGTTCGAAGGCAGTACAATGAAGGAGGTCCCAGAAAACATTGACAAGTCATCACAACCACCACCTCCGCCTTACGTGGCCAACCCATTAGCTTTGCCCGATCCCCCTCGTCGCCGCCAAAGACGCAGTTGTGATGCGTGTCGACGCAGCAAAAGAGCCTGCGATGCAGAAAGGTTTGCTGACTTTACAGGCCAATCCTGTTCGAACTGCCTCCGAAAAAATCAGGCCTGCACTTTCAACTGGTTGAAAGCTACCGCAAACTCAAACCAGGAACCTCAACGAAAGAGGACAAGATCTGGGACTCAAAGTAGCAATGACAGCATCGAGGAATCCACGAATCAGCATCACGGCTTCCAAGGCAACGCTAGTTTCGAGGTAGCTGACCGAAGAAGACGCTGGGAAAAGTCCTTCGGGGAAGAGGAGGATCAAGACGATGACTCAAATAACATGCCGCCCGAGGATATAGATAACAAGATGAGCGGGTCAAGCTATGCTGGCGATTTGGTGCCAGTGCGATCACGCAAGAGCTATGGACGAGGCCCGTTCTCGTCGTCGTCACACTCTCAACGATCCTCATTCGATGGACGGTTTAGAGATAAGCGGGCGATGGGTGAAGGTTCATTTCAGTTCAAAGACATGCTCCTAGGGGAAAGGAGTTCACGTGGTTTCGTGACCAACGGCCTACTTCGGATTTACAATGACAGCATGGAAAACGCCCTTTCATGCTGGCTGACCGAGCACAACTGTCCGTATATACTACAGAAACATAAGCCGTCTGTCCTATCAGCAGGGAGAGCAAACAGGGAATGGGGTTCGTCGTGGGGTAACCGAATGTACAACCGCGTCATTCAGCTTGACCGAGCGTACAACTCCATTCGTATACGAGCCTTGACGGCCGAGGAAGAGCGTACAGCTTCCAAGGCACTCAACATGGCCGTTGTGGCCTTTGCATCGCAATGGGCTCAAGCAGGTGACCGAGGTTCGCGGGCTCGGCCGACAGACTACAATTTCTCAACGGACGAATTCCCAGAGTCGAACTACTTTGAGCGATCGATGCAAGAAGGTCTGTGGCACCAGACATCCCAGATACTGCACCGTGCAGCTGGTATCGATTCGTTCCGCGTCGTCTTCGCAATGATCATCTTCTCGCTCACGCAGCGGCCTCTCGACATATCCCGCCCATTTCCGTACAGCGTTTCCCAATTGAAAGCCAAGTACGAATACTTCAAGAGCATCATACAAGACGATGAAGCTCCGATATTTCTGGAACTAGCATTGCGCCAGATGATGGCTCAGCGACGCGCACTAGAGCGTGCAGAACAAGCCATGCCTAGAACCGCAGACGGAGAGTTCCAAGATCCTCTCCGACAAGAAGACCGCGACACATTCAACTTGCTATACTGGCTTGGTGTCATATTCGACACGCTATCAGCCACAATCTCACAACGCACAGTCGTCGTCGACGACGAAGACTGCGAACTCCCTCGACAAGAGAGCCGCAAACCCGCCCAGCCCACTCCTCCCGCCGTCGCCACATCTGCCTCGACTTCATGGCCAGTAATACCCAACATGTTCAACACCCAGTTCCATCCTGTTCCCCCAGACGCCACCATCGAAGTCCCGACCGTAGACAGTGAGGCATCTAAGAACCCAGAAGACAACAAAGTATGGGGCAACTTGTTCATGCGCAACCCAGACTCGCAAGCAGACCCCGAAGCAACGAGATGGCCGTGTAGTTACACACTCGCAGCGTCAACACTGAGTTCCGCCGCGCCAGTAAAAGTGCTATTGTATCGACGGGTATCCCAGATTCAAACGCTGGTATCACGACGAGCGTCAGCATATAAAATAGAAGTAGGTCAAGTTCATTATTAACAAGGAACTTGGAAAATCATTTCCACAATCCATCATCTTCAAGATGCAATACTAACGACAGAACCAGTCCGCCATCAACGCCGCCTTCCAAGTATACACGCACTGGTCCCGCACCTACGCCCCCTTCATCTCAGACTGCATAACCCACCACGCCACGCTCCCCACACGCATCCAATCCTGGTACATTCTCCTCGCGGGCCATTGGCACCTCGGCATCTTCCTCCTCTCAGACCTCCTCCACGCAATCGACTCTGCAGCCCTCTCGCTACCCAACGAGCGTGCCTGCCGTCTAGCTGCTAACCTCGTGGCTACGCTGCGCCGCCAGAATGCGGTCGCGGTCGCGGATCTAAGTCTTGCGAGTATACACTCCGCAACGCAGAGCGAAGAGGAATTTGCGGCAGCAGCGGCGGCGGCCGCCGGAGGGGTGCGCAGCGAATTCCATTTTGCGCTCGGTGAAGCGGCGTTATTGACGGAGCCGTGGACCGTTGTCTTCGTCCGTTCGTTGTGTAAAGCAGGCTACATACTCGTTTCCATCGCTGCCTCCACCGACTCCACGCGCGAAGAACGCGAGCAAGCGCAGTCGCGATGCGGAGATTGCATCGAGGGTCTGTGGCTTCTCGGACGGAAATCCGACATGGCGTTCCTGGCGGCCCGCTGCTTGAGTAGCATGCTGGATGATGCGGTGATGGAGATGGGGAGCAGAAGCGCAGCGACGACGACGACGACGGCGACAACGGAGGATGAAGACGAGGGAGGCCGCACTAGTGCGAGTGAGAAGAGTCCTGCCCCCGGTGCTGGCGCTGCACCTATGATCGCAGCTACAGCGCATTCTACGTCGTTCTTTCAGAACTGGGGTATCGATGATATTATGGGTGATACACACACTCAAAGCCATGCCGGAGCACTACAACCAGGCCAACAACAACAACAACCCAACTATCCCCATCCTCATCCTCCTCCTCCATCCAGCTACCAAGGATCTGCGGCTAGCTACCCAGACTCCAAAGCCCAGCTTCCGCTCACAGATAGCGATATTTTGGATTTCCAGGCGCCGTTGGATCTGGATGGGACCGGTGTTTGGGATTTCAATATGCAATCGTAGGGTTGGTTGGTTTTATCGGATATAGATTGATGATTGAAATGATTGAATGACCATAGACATAACCTTTTTGTAGTATGTGGATGTTTTTATTGACTGGTTGAACGTACAGCCAACATCAGTTTAGTCTTTTTTTCCCCCTCTGAAGTGTAGGAGCTTGTATGAAGTGACCAGGTCTTCTCCTTGGTCAATGCTGAGCAGCAGTCCTCCAAGTCCGTATTGACAAAAGGAGGCTGACTTGTAGTTTGGCCGAAATTTGGTAGATACGAAGCGAATCAATATCGGATTACTGGCATAGATAATCACGTCAACATCTCAGAATTGAGTCTTCAATCTAACGTCTCCAGTGCCGAACCCTGTTAGCAATGTAAAATCAGTGACACAAATACTATCTCATAGCGGACACAACTACAACAACTTAAAATGGGAGGCACGGCTTGCATTTGAAAAACTAGGTATCATTCACATGCTGTCAACCTTAGACAGACCTAACCGTGACGCCGCCCATGCTGGGATTGCCCACGCTGGGAATACCCATTGCCGTATCGTAATCTTGACTTTTATAGTGTCATAAGCCATAGCAAAGAACCACACAGTCGCTTCACCAGCGAGTAGCTTATTTCTTCTTGGATTCAGCCTCCTCAGCCTTGGCCTTGGCGCGCTTCTCGCGGGCACCGACATATCGGGCCTCGGCGCGGGAGTCACGGAGCTTCCTGTAGGCGTTCTCGGTAGCCTCGTAGTTGCCAATGGGGCCCTCCTCGATCTGGACGACGTTCTTGATGGGGAAAACGGCAGAGGTGTTGCTGACGAGGTTGTCACCGCTCTTAGCAGCCTTGACGTCCTCGGCGGAGGCGTCACCGTTCTTGGTCTTGCCGTTGCGGCGGGGGAAGAGGATGAGGCGCTTCCTGTACTCCTGGAGACGCTCGACGTTGGCCTTGAGGCCCTCCTCGGAAAGGTTCTGGCGGCGGGGGTCGACAGAGATACCGATGGTGCGAGCGAACTTGCGGGGGATACCGGCAGCTACAGATGTTAGTAGTGCTCAACATAGTTTGGAAGGTAACATTTACCCTTCAACTCAGCAAGAGAGAAACCACGGCCGGGGCGGACACGGCGGTTGTACTTGATGGCTACAACGGTCAGCAATTTTGGCAAAGTGCATTCGGCGAAGAATAATTACTTGGGCAGCGGACAACGGGCCTCAGCTTGTCAACCGGCCTGGGGGCGACCTTCGCGGCCTTGGCAACACGAGCATTGCGTCTGGACTTCTTCTTGCCAGGCTGTTTGCAATGTCAGAAATCTGTACACAGGCGCCACTACTCTCAGCGAGGTGAGAGGGGAATTACCTGGTCGAAGTGCACGCGGACGTAGCGTTGCCTGTCTTGCAGTTAGTTTACTGAAATGGTACAGCAATTTTCCCATTTCTTCAACGTACCAGTCCTTGTGAAAGTGATTCTTCTGAATCTGCTGGTTGTGCTTGATCGCCATTGTATCGGATTTTCTATGCTCGAATCAGCCCTGTCATCCAACTGCGCCTTTTGGTATCGTGTGTCGCGTTGACAATTGAATGCTACGATTACGCTCGATGCGACGCGGGAATGGCTAACGTACCTCGACGGCGGACCTGGTGGTTAGTGAATCGTACGGCTGTCGGGGAAAGAAATCTCGACAATCCGCGAATTTTCGAGGTGCCGCTTAGCGTGCGCGAGGCGAGCTGGCGGAAAAGCATTTCGCCGACGCTAGTCCGCTAGTAAGTGGGTCGACAAGACGGCGCGCATCCTTCGGGACATTGATGTTTGAACCAAATCATGAGTAACGACGGTGATCACCCATTAGTCGAATTTGTTTTTATCAAGTTGCATTTTGAAAGGATATAGGGCCGTGCATGTTTCTGCGTAATCAGATCGCCATGACTAATTCTATAACAAACACCGTACGGTCATTGTAGCAATCCCCCCATTGGATACGCGAGAATAGAATAACAAGTATGAAAAAAAATAAGAAGTGAGAAGGGAGGAAAAATAAGAAAAATATACCAAGGAAGAAGTCTAAAAGAAAATACCTCCAAAACCTTGACCATAGGGCAAATATATACATGAAAGTATTACAAGATACCTAAATATAGCCAAAGAGTATAACTATTCGATAAACACCTGCCTTGTTTTCCCTAAACCTGTCGCCCTAGTCTAACATCCCAACTGAGATACCTAAAAGCCACCGTCATCAGCATCGAAGAATTCAGTACCTGCACTGTCAGTACTCTTCCAACTCTCTCTTGGTATCTTGTCTCGAAGCCATGTCAGAACGGCATCTGTACCCTTTTGTAGGACTTGTCGGTTAGGCACCCTGAACTTGTTTCCTTCAACCTCGAAGCCAGTCAGAGTGCCTTGGAGCAAGCCGATACGTGGCTCCAAGCGGTCAATATCATTGTTTCCGAGGTTCACAATCCTCAGGTTCGTCAGACTTTCGGCAGGGACTTCTGAAATCTTATTGTCCGATGCCAACAGAGTGGTGAGCGACGGGAATGAGGTGTGAAGGGTAGGCAGAGCACCACTCAGCCGATTTATCGAAACGTCCAAGGTGACAAGGTGTGGTGCTGTGAGGTGGGCCGTCAGTGGTGTCAAGCTTGTCAGCTTGTTGCTAGCGAGACGGAGATCGCGAAGTTGGGCGAGTTCGAGCGGCGCTGACAATGCAACTCCAATAGGGTTCCTGGAAAGATCAAGAACAGTGAGGTGTTGAAAAGTCCCAACAACAGGCGGAATAGCGGTGAACTTATTGCGCTGCAGTTGGAGTTGACGTAAGCCATTAACAAGAACTTCTGATGTAGCGTCGTCAACTTCAAGCTCGTCCATATCCTTGCCTGCTAGATCCAAAGTGCCAGAGGGAGTAAGTTCCCATTTGGATTGAGGTTCTTGAGTATCTTCGTTTACAAATTCTTCATCAACCTCGGCTGGGAGATCGTCAGCTGGCAACCGGGAGGCCAAGTCACGCTTCAAGTCTTCGGTACCCATGGAAAGGAATTTTCGATCACGCAGGGGGTTGGCAGCCACAGTAAGGTGGTCAAGACTCTCCATAAGTGCAATCTTTTCGTCAAGCTGCGTTATGTCGTTGCCAGTAAAGTCTGCAGTACGGAGCTGCTGAAGGGCGGTAAAGCCTTCTGGCAATGCTGTGAGTTTATTCTCTCCCACTAGTAGAGTGATGAGATTGCTCCAACCCGATACTGTAGGTAGAGAGGTAAGTCGGTTGATAGAGACGTTCAAGACTTTGAGTGCGGGCAAATCAATTGAGTCGTCTTCGCATAGCGACGTAAGAGAGTTCTGAGCCACGTGCAGTTCTTGCAGATGCGTTACAGAATTTCTGGAAAAGAAAGCACCCTCGAGGCGATTCTTAGATGCGTGCAGCTCGATGAGGGCGGAAGAGAAAACCTCGGTGGGAATGCTGCGGAGCTGGTTGTCGGTTACATTAAGCGTACGGAGTTGGGTCAAACGCTCGAAGCCACTGGGGAGGCTATCCAGCTTGTTTGCTTGCAGTTCCAGAATCTCCAATGCCGTAAGATCACATAGCGCTGGTGACAGGGGACCTTCGAGGTTGTTCTCGGCTAGCTTTAACTCCCGAAGAGTGGGTATTTGGGCAATAACGTCAAATACCTCCATGGACAGCTTATTCCTTGACTAGAAATTGTTAGCACTGTTGTACAATACACAGATGGAGGCATATTGAGGGGAAACACCGCTGGCTTAAGCAAAGACTTACAAGGTTCAGTTTGGACAACTGTGTAAGTCGTCTCAGACCCATGGGCAACTCTCCAAGTATGTTGCCATGAAAGTCAATATTCTGGACTCCGCCAAACTGAGGACCCGCCTCGTCGGAGTCAATCATGTCTTCGACAGTAACGTCGGGAAACATGCTGTCTGGGATAATTTCAAGCTCATTATCCGCAGCTAGAATAGCAGTAAGATCTACAACCTCTCCCCACGCCACCTTTGTGTCGTTGGGATCATAAGTATACATTGAAAGTACATCATCTGGTATCTCTTTAAGGCCCATTGCAGCAATGTTCAGGCGGCCATCTCCACGAGCAGTATCGATACGCCGACGCAGAACAGAGCTGCCACCTTTAGCGCGCTGATTGAAAGGGTCTTCATTGAGGCCAAAATCAAATGTTGCAATTTCGGCTGGATCGGGAATGATGACATCCGAAGGGGGTGTACTATTCCTAACGGGCTCGGCTCTTGCTCGCTTGGCAGCCTCCCTAGCCTTTGCAATCTGTTCCCTCAAGGCATTCGAGGAGCTCGCAGCCTTTGGCGATGCTTCGACGGGTACCGGAGCAATGTCTGGCTTCTTTGCCGCCTTGGCCTTTGCAATGTGGTCTCGCAGAGCTGCTGAAGAGCTAGCGACCCTTCGAACGGTGTCTGGTGTCTTCTTCACCGGGGTCTCGTGACTTGTGACTGGAGAACTCACGGCAGTACCGGGAGGTGAGGTTGCTTGTGCAAACATGTTGCCGAGGGATGCGCGGGTTCTCGGTGTGCGGGCAGTGAGGTTCTTGGTGTTGGTCATCAAACGCGGTTTGGGTGTGTCTTGGAGATTGTGGGCTGCCGACAGTGGCTGCTTCTTAACGGTTGACGCGGAACGTACAAGGGGTGTTTGTCTGGTAGGCGTCACAGCTGATGGAATGACGTTGGCACTCGCACTCCGCTTGCCTGGGGATGTCATGGACATTCTGTTGGTAGGCGGAACAGCAAGTCTCTTTGGAGTCCCTGGGATAGTCTGCTGCGAGCCATCGCTGGTCGATGGCCTGCTGCCATTGGACGCGGCTGACGCTGGGCGCAGCGGTGGTGGCATGCTGTTATCGTTGTTGAAGAAGCTCGATCTGCGCCTTCCCTTCTTTGGTGCTGGTGAAGATGGAAGTTGCGAAAGACTCTCTATGGTTCTTTCCGAAAGTGAGGGCCGCGGCTGCTCTGAGCCATCTGAAATGGCGGCCTCGTGCTCCGCGTCACTTTCATGGTGTGCTGCCCGTGAACTGGCGCGCGAGGATGCCCTTGAGGCCGACCTGAAGCCTTCTAGCCGGCCCAATGTGTCTTCCGGACCGCCAGGAACAGATGACGAGGTTGGACGTGACGATTCCTTCGGCTTGGACGAGACAGGCCGGGCCAGGGGTTTCTTGAAGGTTGAAGCATCGCTGTAGTTGGAGGAAGCGCTCGAGGCAGCAGTCGAGGTGCGGCGTTGGCCAAAGTTGGGGATGCCACTGACTCTACGGGAAGAGAAGTAGGGGGTCCGTCCTGGGGTCGAACTCGGGGGCGCGGCAATCGAGGGGGCAGGAGCAGCAACAGGAGGAGGAAGGCCGTTGGGGAGGACGAGCGATGCCCTGGATGTTTTCTTCTGCAGGGTCGAGGCGGTTGGGCGCGAGATGGAGGCCAGCGAGGGTTTCTTGCGTAGTTGCTCAGTCGAGGGGGTGGCACGCAACTGTGACTGACTGGCTGACTGGCGCAGGACGGGCAGACGAGAGGCGGGGGCGGGCCTGGGGATTCCCGAAGGGCGGGTCGACGAAGACTGGTCCATGGTGTTGGGCGCTACAGGATGTCACGCTCACGCCTAGGGGTTCCGAAGGCGTTCATGCAGACTCGCATAGACAGACAAAGGAGCTAGAGGCACACCCGGCCGGGAACGAGGGTCGAGGATCCTGTGGCGACAAGACAAATCGGCTGGGGCCAGAGTAATTCTCCGCGCCAGGCGCAGCAGCTAGTCTGAGCGTGAACGGGAGGGAACGGTTGCCCAGCCGACACGCTGCTGTCTGTGTTTTATCGACATGGCGGCCGTTCGGGCCTAGCGCCGACTGCGCGCACTGCAACCAAGGCAGCCAGCCAACGCAGGGCCCGCGACGCTGCGACCGCCCACGACACGTCTGCCACGGCCTATTTTGCCCTTCACCCTCACCACCACCTGCAAGACTCGCCATCCCTCATCTCCGCCCTTGCTCGCCACCGCAAGCGGCCCACAGCGCGCCCCGACGCCGCCCTCGCCTTCTCCACACACGCACTTGTCGCGCTCCCGCGTCGCGTATTACCGCCGCCCGCCGCTCCGCCGCAATGGACGCCCACCAACACGCATCCCAACACCAGCCCGCGTCGCCAGGCACCTCTAAGCTGGCCTCGCCCGCTCCCCGCACCACATCCTCCATGACGCCTCCCCCCTCGTCCTCACAGGTGCCCGCTGCTCGCGCGGCAATGCGGACGCCTTCTCCCCCCACTCCCCAGCTCACTTCTCCCCCGCCTACCACCAAGCTGCCCGACCAGGCTTCTGCCCTGGCCGACTTGGGCGCAGGCCTATATCCCCAGGACCAGGTCAACAGTGCCTCTGTCCAGGAGCTGAGGGCCATGGTGAACAGCTTGTCCAACGCACTGCGCGATATGCGACTCTCGGCAGCCCACTACAAGCTGCAGCACAACATGGCCGTCATGGAGAGCCAGGAAGCTGCGAGCCGCATGGCTGTCGAGCTAGCCATGGCCCAACGCGAGCTCGACGTGCTGCAGCAAGCCGAGGAGAAGCGTCGTGTGACAATGGCCGCGCCAGAACAGACGTACCAGGACTCGGCCAACGCGGCCAATGCCGTCATGGTGTCTGAACTGACCCGCCAGAACCAAGTCCTTCAAAGCGAGAATGACGAGCTGCGAGAGATGTTTGAGCAGCAGAAGCGCTTGACTGAGCACCGCGAGGGCGAGCTGGCAAGTCTCATCGAGGAAAACGACCGGCTCAAGACGAGAATCCGCAACAACCGCGACCACATTGCCCCTCTATTGGAGCAAATTGAGCAATCCTCGCCCCGATCTACCTTTGGCACTCCAGCCCAGCCTACCCCAAGAAACCGCCTCAACCGCGTCCAGCCTCCCCCGCTTTCTCAGCAAAACAGGAGCCAGAGCAACTTTGAGGCTCTGTTGTTGGCCGACAAGATGCTCAGCCAAGACGTGTCCACAGCTCCTTCCACTCCCAACAGAGTGCAGGCGCCAAGAGCACGCTTCAGTCACCAGCGAGGTGCACAATCCATGTCATCACTGCCCCAAACACCCAACCAGAGAGCTGCCTTCCCTCGTGCCGAGGTGCCTCGCACACCGCCCCTCTTCGTGCCAATCAACATTCCCCAGTCAGCACCCCCAGCCCACTACCAGCAGAAGCCCGAAAGCATTCGGCGCCAAAGCAGCAACTCTACCATTACTGCTTCTAGCATTGACGAAGAGGAGGCTTTTACAGATCGAGAAGACGACCAGGTGCCAGAATCCCAAGCCAGCCAAATGGCACGAAGCTTGCTGCAACAACCGCCGCCGGCAAAGGGCATCATGTCTGCACCGGCCTCGCAGCCTTCAAATCTTGTGCAGAGCAAAATCTTCGGTCAGGTCAAAAAGGGCCATGGCTTGACTCGCGCCAACGAGCTCAAGAGGGGCCGCATGCCATCAACAGTGGACTTGCGAAATCAGACTAGTCCGCCAAAGCGCGGACGCGTCGATCAAGGTGTAGGTCTTGGCATTGGTGGTTTGTTGCGCGAGTGAAAGATATGAACTGTTCCTGACCTTTTTTGTGTGCCAGGGCATTTATTATTAAGTCTTCACGAACACTCATGATTATGGCGACAACGGGCAAGCGAGCGATTCGGATTTGAACTCTGGCAGCTGGTTTTGTATTTGTGCTTTGTTTTTGTTTCGGGATACCCTTCTAGCTGCGCTATAAGTCGACGCAGCGACGTGTTATTGTATTTGTTTACGTCCATGTGTTGATGTATTTTGTATGAGGTGACATGTGGTGAACTGAGGAATTATTAGTTTATGTAGCTCTACTCGACTCGAATGTTAAATCCAATCACGTGTGTGATGCCACCCGCCCACATGAGACCTGTAGTCTCTAGACTTGATGGGTACCTGATTTTTCTTTCTGCGTATCATTGCATTAAGAAGGAAGTGGCATAGGTGTGCCTTCCTGAAAATCTGCCATTAATTTACTCCCTGTGTTTTTGTGGTAATCACAACCGTCACATCGCTAACGTCGCTGCCAGCTCTTGACATTAACGGTTCTCACGTCTCTTCATCAGACTTGTTTACTGATCTCATCGAATGCTGAAGAACTTAAGCTACGATACGCCGATACCATGATATCAACATGAATTTCATCAGTATGGACGATGAGAGCCAAAGACCGGATGGATTCTATCCCTATCTTCACTCTCACTCTCATCGTCACATAACACAGTTATATCGCTGGAAATCACTACTCCTTCCAGGACAACTTCCAGGCAATATCTCAACTCTGTGCAACAACCTCACAACACCATCAAGAAACCCAACATAAACTTGTCATGGATTCTCCCACGACGGAAGCGACTGCTGAAGAGAACAATGACGAACTGAAAACACTCATCATACAAGAGATACGAAATTGTAAAGATGCCCTCAAGCTTACTAACCTTGAGTGGCAAAAGATGAAAGAGCAAGAAGCCAGTGTTGTTGAAGCTGAGAAGAATGCACTGGATGAAGCCCATGAACGCATCAAGCAGCAAGAATGCACTTACGAAGAAACGAACAAGTTGTTTAAAACCTTGCCGACAAAACATAGTGTTTAAATCGTGCACAACGCCTTGCTTGTTGAACAGAAAAAAGAGGCCTTGCTTATTGAGGAGTCTTTCCATGCAATCAAGACTGCAAAAGCGAAACTTCGGGAGGAGAATTTGTGTCGGGCTCAAGCTTCCACAGCTGCTTACGAGAGAGAGACAAGGATACTTGAGGGAATGATTGTAAAGCTTCAGCAGGTGGCTGAGATGGCTGGCATCCTTCTGGACGATGCAATCACTGTTGAGCAGAACACTATTGGTTTCACTAACTCTGCTGAAAACTTTCAACTCTCTCGTCCAGCTTTGCTCTTTCCTGCAGCCTGGTTAAGTCGTCTTGATGCTGTTTTGGCCCAAGCAACGGTACCTGACCGTCCCGCTTATGTGCATGCCGCATCAGATGTCCAACGTCGCCCATTAGGCTCGGGCATGCAACAGCGTGTCGAGAAAGACCTACGAGATTATATTAATTCAAGAGTTCATTCGAAGAATGAACGTACACTACCGGACAGGACACACAAAGAGACACCACATGTAAGACATTTCGTTCAGAGTAGTCAGCGCACCCTAACAGCCGGCAGGAACCCTCAACACCGGTTCGACCAAATACTCCAAAGCCTGACCCAGAACGCGAAACGATGGGTGATTGGATGGTATGTTTTGTAAAACAGGGTCAGGACATCATTTGTGAGGTCGAGAAAAGATACGAGCATGAGATCGATGTGGCCAGCAGGCAGTACGAAAAGGAGGACCGCGCTACCGAAATAGCTCTCCGAAAGGTTGATGAACAATATTCACGGGCTTTGCGATTGAAGAAGATAATGGAGCTCTTTTGGGAAACAGAGTACACCAATGAATGGAACGAAGGAAGGAAGATTATAGATGAGGACCTAAAGTTCATCCGGCAAGAACGGAAAGAGCTCACCAATCGCCAGCCCAGATGCGAGGAACATCTCCTCAGACGTCAAAATAAGGCCGGCGCACTCTTGGAAAAGCAGTCAAGGTTCTATAAGGCTCTTCTTTGTCGAGTCGAAATGAAGCTGCCAGTCTCAACCAAAACTCGGGCGAACTCAACTGAAGCGTTTGCAAAGCCCAGACCATCCATCGCATAGGAAACCATGGAAATGAGGAGATGGAGTTGGTTCTGGTGCAGTAATTGGGTTGGCTTTTCTCATAGTACAGGATGATGTCTCTTTGATGATACTGGCGCAGGCCCTCCATCGACCCTGTCCCAGCCGTTGTCGCTTTCCCCGCACAGGGTGCGAATATGCTTGTGTATTACAGGAAATGACAGCTAGGAATCCTTTCTATACATGATCACTATTGCCCAAGCTCCTGTTTTCTTGTTCGGAGGATCAGTCTCTCAGCATCTATTAGCGACATTGTCAAGCGGTGCGGTAGGACAGTCAACATGGAGCGTGTAAGTCCTGGATCTGTGCCTCTGGAATTGATGATACATTATCTTATGAGACGAAAATTTCATTACCCATCGGGGTAGATGACAGTCACATCTACCATCTACTCAACGACTCTACCAGTAACTACTGACTGGATCATCAGGTCCGTAAAATATGCACCCTATGCAAGATCGAAAGGCAATTTGAGCATAGCACAAGACGCGATATCAGCTGCCCTATCCCGCGACCCTCGCGAGGACATACCAATCCTCATGCTCAGAAAGGACGAAAGATATTCACTCATAACACTATACGAACAAACACACCGCTCAAGAAGAGAAACACTCTTCGTAAGAAGAATAGAAGTGCTGCCATGGGTACGCAAGGTGCTGCTGATCCACTGGAGTAATAGAACCCAGGCTTATAAAGCACAGCAAAAGACCGTTCTGCAACACGCCAGTCAACAAAAGAAGACACAGAAGTCGCAAAATCCGCATGGCTACGTACATGGCTCAACAAGCTTCCTATCACCACATGTCCCAAGTCTCCTACAACACCTCCATCCAGTACCTCTCCATCTCCCCGAAAAGCAACCAGCGTAGACCTATCCCGCATAATCCCCTTCCGCCGCACAGAAGAACCACCCAATGCCCAACCTACAAACACTCGATCGCCCATCACACACCGCACCCGCATCCCCCAAGCCACAAAATCCAGCAGCACCCCAAACCACTCCCGCCATCTCTCCCTCTCCAAAAAGCCCATGCACAAAATCAACACAACCACCACTACCCCTTCCACCCCAACAAAACTCCAAAAACAAGCCCCCGCCCCGTCTCGCCCCAAATCCACCACCACCACTACCACCACCATCCTCCGCCCCTCCACAACCCTAGCTCCAGACTCCAACCCTATTACAAAGCGCCCGCAAACCCACAATCCTGATCCGCACCCAGAACAGCCCAAAGGATCAGTGGTGGGTGATAGGCGGAATAGCACTGCGTACTTGACTATTACCGCCGCTGCAGGAGAGGAAGAAGAGGAGGAGCTGGAGATGAGTGAGACGAGGAGGGCTTTGTGGGAGTATTGGAATGTGCAGTGTAGGTTTTTGGTGGAGGAGTGGAGGGATGACTGAGTAATTGGCTGTCAGGTTAACTAGTAAATTTCTACGGTTCGAGGGGTATTTATTGGACGATGACAGGTTCAAGTAGGTTTCCTTTGTTTCTTCGATTATTTATTTATTTTGGTATAGAAAAGGGGGGGAAGGAAAAGGGGGAAAGGATCTAATTCCAACCGGGAAAATGTACAGAAAATTCATACACATGGGCATGCAGAATAAGAAGCAAAAAAACAAAAAACAAAAACTGGAGTCTCAGTAGGGATCTCACCTATTTTCGATGAGAGAAACTTTCATAATTTTACAAAACAACAAAGGACGAGGGAAAGGGGGAGACTGCTAGGCTAGACTAACCACCGGGTGCGCAACCCTCTAGAAAAAAGCCAGAAAAAGCTTATAAAACCTGCCTTTTGCTTGCTAGTCTTGCAATCGATCCCCCACCATTTTTGACAGAAAAAAACAAATAAAGAGAAAAACCCATCATGCCCGTTTGCTGCAAATCTCACTTCCTCACCTTACCTCTCGACTTACTCCTTGTAACCCTAGCCCTTGGAGCATCATCATCCTCCGTACTCTCCGTGGGAACATGAACGCCCAGCCCCTCACCAGCCCCAATCATAATCCCATCATCTTCCGTCTCTCTATTATCGGAATCGATACCCCCGTCAGGACTCTGCGTGCGGAGATGTGCCTCGCTTTTCGCACGGCGTTCCGCCTCCCAGCCCTTGACGAGGCGCGTGACGTCGTCTTCACGGACTTTTTCTTTGCCGTTCCAAGCACTGCAGCCGCCGCAGCGCCAGCGGCCGACGTCTTCTAGTGTACGCGCGCCGGGGGGTGCTTGGCCGTTGACGAGGCGGCATTCTGTGCAGATTAGGGCGAAGCGGTTCTTAGCCTGGGTCTCGTCTTCTCCGAGCAGGGCATCGAGAATACGGTCGTACCAGTGGGTTTCGGGGACCGTGGGGGGTTGGGGGGCAGGCTCCTGCTGCGGCTTGTTCAGATGAGATTCAAAGGCATTGGGAGCAAATTTAGCACCGGGAGCAGTGAGGGGAGGCAGCGACGGTGGAGGTGGAGGCGTCACAATTGAAGGCACCTGTTGCGGAGTTGTCGGAAGCTGGGGAGGTTGAGGTCGGTGGATGTTTGCAGTAGGCGGAGGAGCTATGCCAGTGCGTGGACCTGGCGGCGGTAGCGGCTTCTGGGGTCCCCTTGACCTGCTGCGGGCAGGAGAGTCATCTTCATCCTGAACCAACTCTTTTGGCTTTGGCGAAGCACCGCCGTATTTCTCCAGCAGTTGCTGCGTCGAGTTGTACTTTGTAGCCTCCTTTAGGCGCTCAATAGTGGCGTCGCGCTCCCTGTCCAACTTTTCGAGGTAATGCTCCGTGTTGCGAATGCGGTAGTCAAAGTAGCTCATGAGCGCGTAGCGTAGACCGTAGATGCTGCGGCATGGCGGTTAGCCAGATATGACGCGTTAACGGCTCCAAAGGTGGGACGTACAGTAGTGGGCCGCCCGCGACAACAGACCCCTCAATAGGACCCCAATTCTGCCAGCCAGTGACAAAAGTGAGGACAACGGCGATCAGAATATATGCAAAGCCAGCATACAACGTCCACATGACACGCGCGCGGCGCGCAAGCTGTTTCTGTTTGTCATTTCGCGCGGCGGCTCTGTTGATCTTGCCAGTGAGGGCGTTGAGTGTTCGCTCAAAAGATGCGGCATCTTCGCTGCCCTGTTGCTGTTAGCGTAAAGAAGGCGGGGGTAGTGGGAGAGGACAGTTACCTTCCAGGGCCAGAAAGACACCATGGTGGCTCAGTGGCAGATCGAAGCCCGGCGTGGGAGCTCGATTTGTACTGTAGAGGCCAGTTGTGTGTGCTCGTGTGTGGACCTCTGTGAGGCCTGACATCAGCGCCGATGCAACTGTTAGATCGACGACAGGGATCTTTCCGAAAGACGGCGTCACGTGCAACTAATGTTCTTTGCGGACCTCCGCGCCCTCGTTATTTGCTATCCATTCAACTCTCACATCGACACACCATGGCATTGGCAGCTTACCGGAACCTGCTGCGGTCTGCGCGCATCGCCTTCCAAGGTACGAACACTTCATTATCTTTTGAAAACATGCTCACAGCGATAGGCGACACACACACATTCGTGGCCGCCCGCGCAGAGGTCCGCAAGAACTTTGAGTCGAATCGCAATCTGCGCATCGGAAGCGAGGAGCTGCAAAAGTCGTTGGTACATGCAGAAGAGGTGTCCAAGTTCCTGCGCGAGAACGTAGTGCAGGGCCAAGCAGAGGATCCAGATGGCAAATACAGTATGCAATATACTACATCGTTAGTATTGGCGCCTCTCGACTAACAATCTATAGAACTACGGATACACGAGCACACCGAACGAGGCGATAATGAGGACATCAAAAAGGGAAAGGGAAAAACTACATTGGGCGGAACAAAGTGCTGCTCGTCCTAGGCTTTTTATCCATGACAAATTGAATCGTGATACCCATGCATGCAATCCACGCATCGCAAAACGCCGTCCCAATGCAAGGAAATATTAAGCTAATTTAGTTGCCTGCCAGACTGGCATATTGGACTTCATCGTCGGCACCGGGTGGCGGCGCAATGGCCATGCTGTCAAGGTTGCTCTGTGGACCAGCCTCAATGGCGGCTTGAGAAGTGGCAGCGGCCCGTCGCGATGATCCTGCCACTTGACGTCCTTCCTTTGCGTATTGCATCCTGACATTCTGGTCCAGGCTGTCCAGCTGCTTCGGCTTGCCCCAAGTGACTCGCATCGGGCAACCCTTGATAACTACCTTGCCCTTGAGAGCTGCTGCCGCAGTCTCTGCATCCTCTCTCTTGACATAGTTGACGTATGCACAGTGCGCTCGGTGCGAGCAAACCAGTGACCGGAGCTGGCCATATTGTGTAAAGTGCTTGCGGATCTCGTGTTCTGGCAGGTCGTCCTCGACACCAGTGACAAAGAGTGACGCAACGTTGGGGTCGGAAGGTGGTAGCCAGTCTTGTGGGCTCGGCTCTAGGGGTGGACCTCCCATGCGGCCTCCTCGTCCTGGCCGCATACCTCCTCGCGCAGAAGGACCGCGAGAATCTCGGGTTCTGATGGGTCCTGGGATGTGGTTGCTCTCGCGGCTCGCACCTGCACTTGCACCTCCATTACCACTACCACCGGGCGCTGGCAACGCCTTTTGTCCGCTGCTCTCGCCCGCCTCGGTCTCTAACCGTCGTTGCTTCTTGTAGTATGGCTCGCTCTGTGCGAGGCGCTTCAAAAGATCACGCGCCTTCTCGTCGGTCTTTTCATAGGCTTCCATGGCTCCCCGTCCCTCCTCAATCTCCTTCTCGTGTTCCTGCGCGTAGTACTGTCGGTTGATGTCGCTCTGCGGGCCAGGTGCAACCATCTTCAGCGCCGCATCACGGACAACGATAGGCAGACCAAACGAAAGATCCAGCATGCAGTGTTGGCAGCAGTTCTTGAGACGCGCGCATGTCAGGCAGATGTTGGTGCGCTTCTGTCGGGCGGTGCGGTCGGCCTTCCAGCGGAAGATGGTAAAGGGCCGCGTGCAAATCTTGCACTCGGCGCCATAGTCCTCCTTGAGCATCTGCACATAGGGGTTATCGGGCAGACATTTTTCGCAGACGGACGGGAAGTCGGTCGTTTCCCAGCCGCTGCGGTTCAAGTCGCTCTTGATCTGGGGCGGCATAGCGGGTAAGGAGTGCGCAAACAGTCGTGATTATTGAGTATATCTTGTCGCAATATACTCTGGCGATGGCAATGAGCGTATCAGCAGGCGTTGAGTACGTGAGAGTGGGGCGCAGTGATGATTGATTGCGACGACGGGCGGCGAAGATTGATGAGCAAGGTTGGTGGAGTGGCGCTAGGAACAAATGTCCAGGCACAGCAGCGCGGGCTTGGCTTTCACGCGCACGAGGGGGCAGCCGCTAGTGCCGTTGACCAGACCGCGTACAGAGTGCGCTGTGATTGGCCGATTACAGACTCCCCCCTTTGAATTTGTCCACTCTGCCTCCCCATACCGCTCTTTCCCTCCAGCATTGCTTTCTTATAAAGTTTCCAGGGTCCTCGCCTTTGGAATTGCTTCTCTGACACCCGCTTCATCCGTTCCACTTTTACATCACTCTTTATATCCCTTCTAATATCTACAATGTCTTCTGTTGCGCTTGAAAAGGAGGACCATACTCGCGATGCCGAGTTCAACAAGGCCATGCACGGCCAGACTGCAAAGTCTCGTGGTGGCATGACGGCCATACTCGGCAAGGACAAGGCTGCTCAGCAAGCCGCCGTTGACGAGTACTTCAAGCACTGGGACAACAAGGCGGCAAAGGATGAGACTGAGGAGACTCGCAAGGTATGCAACAGGTGGCTCCTAAACACTAGCATGTAGACTAACGTGTGATAGGAACGACGAGACGAGTACGCCACCCTCACTAGGCATTACTACAACCTTGCTACCGATCTATATGAGTATGGTTGGGGCCAGTCTTTCCACTTCTGTCGCTATGCCTACGGCGAGTCCTTTTACCAGGCAATTGCCCGTCACGAGCACTACCTCGCCCACAAGATGAACCTCCAGGACAACATGCGCGTGCTCGATGTTGGATGTGGTGTTGGTGGACCTGCACGAGAGATTGTCAAGTTCGCTGGTGTCAACGTTACTGGATTGAACAACAATGACTACCAGATTGAGCGTGCGACCACCTACGCCGAGAAGGAGGGTCTCTCACACAAGCTCAACTTCGTCAAGGGTGACTTCATGGTAAGCATTGCCGAATATCTCGTACTATTTCCAACTAACGTGCGCTCAGCAAATGTCCTTCCCTGACAACTCCTTCGATGCCGTCTACGCCATCGAGGCTACAGTCCACGCACCGTCGCTCGAGGGCATCTACAGCGAGATCTTCCGCGTCCTCAAGCCCGGTGGTGTCTTTGGTGTCTACGAGTGGCTCATGACCGACAAGTACGACAACGACAACCCTCACCACCGCGAGATCCGTCTTGGTATCGAGATTGGTGATGGCATCTCCAACATGGAAAAAGTCGAGGTTGCGCTCGCTGCCATGAAGGCGGCTGGTTTCGTCATGGAGCACCACGAGGATTTGGCTGACCGGGACGACCCTTACCCATGGTACTGGCCTCTGTCTGGCCAGCTCAAGTACATCAGCACCCTTGGCGACATCCCCACCATTCTTCGTATGACCAAGGTTGGACGTGGACTTGTCCACAGGTTCGTCGGTTGCCTTGAGACAATCGGTCTTGCCCCCAAGGGCACTCAGAAGACCGCCGACAGTCTTGCACTGGCCGCTGACTGCCTTGTTGCCGGTGGCCGCGAGAAGCTCTTTACGCCCATGTACCTTATGGTCGGAAGGAAACCAGTGGATGCTTAAGTTTTTTCTTTCTTGCTTCACCTTGCATTAGAATTCGTTTCGCATCTTGGGCCTGGTTGGTCGCGGGCATTTTTGTTTCATCTTTCCATGTGGGAGAGCAATCTCCTAGCATTTACACCAACGCGCCTTGGAGACGCGGATATATAGTATAATAGCTGGTAGCAAAGCAAGGTCTAGGGTAGGTGACGGTAACGCGAAACGTGGTGAAGATAGAGGAGAATGAAATATATAATACGCCTATCGTGAGTTGACACTGAACGTGGGAGATGAATGAGTGAATGTCCAAGGGCTGTGTTGACTATTAACACGTCTGAAACGGAAATGCGGTGCAGGAGTCGGGTTAGCATGTCCGTCCGGCAGAGGCGTTATTCCCCGGCGTAGGTGTTAATCCCCGGCGTTGAGGGCTGCCGGAGCTGAAGAAGTCAAGTGTCGGGTGTTCTCGCACTTGAGAGTAGGGGACCCACCCGAAGCTTTATGACTTAGCGCGTTCAGGGCCCCAACGATTCGCATCCCCGACCTCCGAAGAAATTGTCCAGCAGCCTCAGCAACCACCAGAAGCCTCAGCGGCCAATTCTCGCCCCCGGCATTCCCTCACCACACCCCAAACACTCACACATCACACACAATGGCTGCCTCAAGGCTCCTTCGGCCGGCCTCGCGCCTCATGGCCTCGACACGACAGGTGCCCGCTTTCCGACCTGCTTTCCGCGCCGCCGCCCTGACACCATCAATTGCAAGGAGAGGATATGCGTCGGGACAAAAGGAGATGACTGTGCGAGAGGCGCTCAACGAGGCCATGGCCGAGGAGATGGAGCGAAACGACAAGGTCTTTGTGCTCGGTGAGGAAGTTGCGCAATACAATGGAGCGTATGTGACCCACCATGCCCATTTCGGACAATTCAATTCTGCGATGAGGGAGAGACAGCTGCAATCAGAAGCATCATATTTCCCATTGATTCGAATTGGTCTCTGGCTAAACCAGGTGCTAATGGATTTCCTAGTTACAAGGTCACCAAGGGCCTCCTCGACCGCTTCGGTGAGAAGAGGGTAATCGACTCTCCCATCACCGAGTCTGGTTTCGCTGGTCTGACCGTTGGTGCTGCGCTCGCTGGCCTCCACCCCGTTGTAAGTACTTTCCAGCTCTTCTGATCTACAAAAGCAATGCTGACAGAGATACCAGTGCGAGTTCATGACCTTCAACTTCGCCATGCAAGCCATTGACCAGATTATCAACTCCGCCGCAAAGACCCACTACATGTCCGGTGGTATCCAGCCCTGCAACATCACCTTCCGTGGTCCCAACGGTTTCGCTGCTGGTGTCGGTGCTCAGCACTCGCAAGATTACACTGCGTGGTACGGAAGCATTCCCGGATTGAAGGTTGTCTCGCCATACAGCGCAGAGGATGCCAAGGGTCTGCTCAAGGCTGCTATCCGTGACCCCAATCCGGTCGTCGTCTTGGAGAACGAGTAGGTTGCATTGATGGCGCAGCCAGTATGCACAATGCTAACGTAAGCCAGGCTTCTGTACGGTCTCTCTTTCCCCGTCAGCGAGGAGGTCCAGAGGGACGACTTTGTCATTCCTGTAAAGACACCCCACCTTTTTACCCACTGACCAGCATGCTAACCGTACCCTCAGTTCGGAAAGGCCAAGATCGAGCGCCCCGGCAAGGACCTCACCATCGTCACCCTCTCCCGCTGCGTCGGTCAGTCCCTCGTCGCCGCCGAACAACTCAAGTCCAAGTACGGCGTTGAGGCCGAGGTCATCAACCTACGTTCCATCAAGCCCCTCGATGTAGAAGCCATTGTCAAGTCCGTCAAGAAGACCGGCCACATGCTCTGCGTCGAGTCTGGCTTCCCCAGCTTCGGTGTCGCAAGCGAAATCATGGCGCTTACTTGCGAGTACGCTTTTGACTACCTTGAGGCTCCGCCTGCTAGGGTTACCGGTGCTGAGGTCCCCACTCCTTACGCTCAGAAGCTCGAGGAAATGAGCTTCCCCACTGAGACTCTGATTGCCGACTACGCTGCTAAGCTGCTTAGGGTATAAATGTCGAAGTAGTGTTTAGTGCAATGGATAGTTAAATCTCTGGGTATGCGGTTGATTCGGTGTGTATCGCGCATGGACATGGGTGGTGGTGGATTGGCGTAGGCAAGGATGATAGCTGACCGATTTTAGACCCGAAAGGCGGAATCTTTTTTGCTTCCTTTTCGGGCATCTTTATTTGTATGATCAGATGATGAAGACATTTGGAATATTGGCTTTCTCTCGCCTCTGCTGTTTTCTCTCAATATTGAGAGTTTTTTTGTATTGATGTATTGCCATGTGTTTGTGTGTTTGTGTGTTTGTGTGTTTGTGTGTGCATGTTGGGGTGAGTAGTAAGTATTATGATGCGTCTGCGCCTAAATAAGGTTGCATAAAAGATATCGAATATGACTGTCTCGAGCTGATACATACACAACTATGAGGATAAAAATCTTCGCTGGTTGACATGATGAGTTGGTGGGTTTATATACATTCGGGCATGATGGTCTGTTTTTTTTGAAATTCAACTGTAATTTAGGGTTATTAGCTGGTCCTTGCATGCATATTGTAAAGATAGGGCTTTTTTGAGTCTGTGTCTTTATTCATTTTATTTTAACCGATAGACGAGAATTTGTAGTGTAGTGATCATATTGTTTTATCACGGATGTTGGTGGTGGTGTGTGGAGGTTGTATGTGTCTGTTTTAGATTTTGGCGTTATCAGGAGTCTGGACGATATTTATTGGGGGGTTTCGACTTTGAAAGAGACATCCAGATTTTTTCAAGGCTGGGTTGTGTGCATGCGGTTTGATTCTTACTCTTACCTTTTTTTCGTTTCTCTCCGGCTCTCAAGAGATACTGTGTGTGTTTGGGATTTTTGCTGTTTCACCTCATTAATATATTGTTTTCCTTGTGATATTAGGGAAGAGACTGTGAGACCAAGCTTTTTGTTGCAAGATATTTATACCAGAGAGTTGTGTGGGGTTTTCAAGTGCTTGGCTTGGTTATGGGGTATTAAGGGGGGACGAGGTAAATGGATGCATGGTTTTGTGAGTTTGGATGGTGTCACGGGACTTTTCTTAAGTGATTGAGGAGGAAGAGGGAAAGAGGGAAGGTGGGGGTGATGATGGTTATGGACAGTTGATAGGGTTGGTGAGTATGCCGGAGTATGGGCGTGAATGAGGAGTTTTGGAGAAACATGTATCAGGAAGGTGGGAGAATGCTGGATAGGCTGGGCAGACAGTGGACAGGTGTATGAGAAGAATATTTTGGGGATGAGAGAGGGGGAAAGGGAGGTTACTGTTTGTTTGTGAGAGGATGTGTGTGTGTTGTTAAGAAGTGTTAGTAGGTTCGATAGCAAGTGTTCACTTGTGCTTGAATGAGATGGTGTCTACCTTTTAACCAGAGACCAAATCAACTCTATATGCTTATATGATCTTTGAGTTCATCAAGCAAGGCTTCAGTGTCAAATTGCAGTGCCGAGGCTTTTGATTTAAAGCCGATCTGCAGCAAAGCGAAACTTTCTCGATTAGAGACTAGGGGGAGCAGATAGTCAGGAGTGTTACGTATTGTCAGATCAGTTCACATCTGTTGAGAATTTCACGAATATGGTTGGTTCCATATTGTTTGATGTTGTGATCTCCTGACATGCTGTTCAAATGAGACCCGCAGTTGGAAGAAGTCTAGGTCTGTGTGTTGCTGCAGTGTGCTTTGAGACTGAATCTGTGTGGTCGAACTGTCTTTTGTAAGGGAGGGGAAGGAGCGGTCAAGAGCAGCGTTAGATGAGGGGAAAGCAAGTAGTACTCGTATCGATGAAAGACTGTCAGATGCCGAGTTAATTCAACATTTACGGTTATGTAACTATGCTCAAATCTTTTTTTTCCCGCCACGTACTTTATTTTCTCTGTGAGCGTAGCGGAATCGGCATGTTCCTATAGGGCGCACATGGGCTTTTTTTCTAGCTTAAAACACCCCTAGCAGAGTTGAAAGATTGTTGTTTCTGTGTGATTTCTGCAACCTGATATGGATCTTGAACAGTTGTCTCTTCAGTCCAGCTGTATTACTGTAAAGGTACCGAGGTAAGTATGGTAGACCCTGAATGCTCGTTCGACTAGAGCAATCTCTCCATTCTGAGATTTTTCCCAGGACCCCGCTTCCAAGGGAGAGCCCAGATTCTGGACGGTCTTCCATCTTACTTAGTTTCGAATACAAGACAGAAAATGTTGACTGCGCCTTACGCGCGTTACTATCTGACACGCGTAGCCTCGGTGTGGTATAAGTAGTAGTTAGGTTACACCCAGTCGGCCCGAAAAACTTGTCCCTATTGCGGCAAATCGCAGAGTCACTGAAGGCTGCCTGTTGAAACCGCAGGGGCGAATGCACCGGGCGTGGATAGTTAATTCTTGGAAACTGGGGTTGTTGCAGACCGTCATGTGCTTCCAACACCAAGATACGGCCGTAGAAAGGTATGGTTCATTATCGGACCGGGTACGCATAATACTGAGGGTCCTTCCTATTTAAGCTGTGTGGCGCCTAGAACTTGTTTCACGCCCAATCTCGACCACTCCTTCAACGTCACCAGATACCACACCTTTCAAGAGACGACAGTTCAACAACATGCCATCGCGACTGACTCGTTCAACGGTTATGATCTGCGTCGCAAACGGGAGGGAAGACGGGTCTGGAGTTCCGGCCCACAAGATCACTCAGCGGACACGGCTCTGGAGAGACGCACAGGACGAGGTACCTGGAGGCGGGAAAACAGCGCTTCATCCCCAAAAGGGCACCACGACCGCTGCACGCGGCTCCGCTCCTACAACTACCAAGGAGGAGATGGCAACCATATTCTGGGTTACGAAAGCTGCATCAGTAAGGCCAGATTCACAGCCACTCGAGCGCCGTATAGCCCCGCAAGGGTTTCGTCAACGACCGTTGTTGCAGATGCTAGGTTCCTTTGCCCCGCCTTCAACATGGGTTGATTCCCAACGGTATCGGGTCAAATTTCAAGTCCAAGCATTTGCTAACCCATTTGATCTATGTCCCGTTGGGTGTGGCTGCGGTTGTGCATTCGTTCAGAGCCTCGGCACTCTTCATGATCAGCATTAATCCAGCTACTTTCAGTCTCAACCCTCGTGAATTACCCCTCGACGACGATTAGTCATTGGACGATTCTTGTCAACATGCAGCTATTTTAGAGGAGGTGGGTTTAGAGCCGGACCTCACCCGTGACGGGAAATGACCACCGCCTCTTGTACTCTTGTAGTCCCAGTGTAATGGTTCTCGACCACCACTACAACTTGGAACTACTCTACACGTGGAACGTCCCATGGATCTCAACACCACATTCTCATTCTATTAGGTGCGTGTGACTCCCAGACACCCCCCAAAGATGCTACCTGGAGCGAGTTGGCGGTTGCGTGGTCCAGTGTATGTATTACATCTGGCATGGCACATGATTTTGTGCAGGAAGAGCATCTTGACCAATTCTTGATCTGGACATGGCTCAGTGTAAACTTGCCCAGGTCTGCTCATCGCCAAAATGAACTGCACATCCGTCCTTGGCACAAGGACAAGGTCCGTTCGGGTTGGCATTGCTCGTCATCTCCATCTCATGATAAGGCAAAACCCGGTGTTTTTCACCAATCCTCAAACTGTTACAAAATCTATCCCAAAGGTCGAACCTAGCACATATGAAGAGCATTAATATCCGGAACACGACAATGCCGCGTTTTCCGATTGGACTCATCGAGTACATTGGCATGGGCATTTTGGATGCTTGACCAACACTGAGGAGGTTGTCGCGCTCTACCCGGTGCTACTGTGATGTTGAAAAGCAACTAGCAAACACCCCCCGTTTTTGAACAACCCCCACCTCCCCCCCCTTCCCTCCACACAACTTGCTTTACTTGAGATGGGTATGATCGACCAAGACCCTCCGTTGGACGTCTGCAACAAAGCACGACCAGGTGTTATAGCCACTTGTGCGATAGTCCGTGTGCGCTTGTGGACTTTGGGTGAACACCATTGCGCCTTCAAGGTCCGAGGTGACCGCTCATAGATCGAATAAGTCTCAAGCACTGCATTGCAACGATGCCAGATGTCCTGTCGTCACATGGATCACATACTTCCACTGCACTTACAATGAGCTCTAGATCGTTCCCTTGTAGAGACAATTGTTGATAACGACATCACGAACGAAGCAGCACAGCGCCTACCATTTTGAGAAACGGGTTATAACCTTCCCGCCAATGACACTGCGGAGTGCTATCGCCTTGTCTTGCTCTGTCGAATGACAGATCGTAGCGCCCTAAACTCTTGCCCTTTATGGCAGCTCTTGTTCGAGATGTACACTAGTATTATGCCAGGATACTACACCCTGTTTTTGTTGCAGCGATTGTTACAATCTTTGCACACACTACACAAGAGATACATGGCACAAGCATCCACAGGCACAGGGATACGCATATGATGAGACAGCTGCAGGTGTCGGTTGCAGAGCGGAATTCACCGCCATCTATGTTTGAGATCAAAGACGTCACCACGTAATCTTGTCCGTAAGTAAGTGCCGAACTTGAATGCAATTGAGATCAATGAACTATACCGCTGCTACAATAGCGACGATGCGTTCTGGTCGACCACATTCTGGAGTTAGGCATAACATCGGGTAGTTGACAAGGTTCTGCGTGGGCGTAAATCAATACAAGGCTTGCCAAGAGCGCGGGGACATTGCGATTTTGGGTTACGCTACGGACCGAGAATTGCATCAAGATGAACCATCACGCGTCTGGCTGCACGTAAGGCGTTGTATCCCAGCATACAGTTGCCGTCTAGATGAAACACTACGCCAACCTGAGTCGCTACCCGATGTCATCCTGAGGTGCGCTTCCAGAAACTAGTAAGAGCCGTTCGGCTTTATCTTTGACACTACGGTGTGACAGGCAGCCGGGTTTGATTGACCGATTCACCTTCCACATTGCGGGCACAGTTGACCTCTGGCATGTACATGTGCATATACAGCCCCAGGCACGTGGCAAAGTACCGGCCAATCTAGCAGCTATTGCCGGACACTAGGAAGCAAGGCGCGCAAAACACATCGGTCCTCGCCGACCCTGATGTTTCAAGGACAAGCTCAAGGTTCACCCAAACTCGGGGGACATTACCAATAACACGGATCGCCCAGCAGGGATCATGTCGATTACCACACGCCTTTGCCTAGGAACTGCGGATCCAAGGCCAACCACGAAGGATTGTTGGGGGGAAAATTCGTTACATTGCCGGCAACAGTTGATTTTTGCCTAGCTTCCAAGATGGAGCATTCTTTGCACAGCTCAAATCACGAGTTGTGATAAGTAATGTCGCAGCAGTCCCAGCGACGCGACACAGCGGGGGCGCATGGGTCCTACAACGGCTGTGCAGCCACGTGCGGCACTTATCCAGTGGTTCAAGTAGCAGGGGTTTTAATCTTGTCGTCCTAACCCGTCACTTCAGCTGAGGGCCAGGATACGCCCCATTATAGCTGCCGCGGCAAAACAACAACTGCAATCCTAATCACCCCCTGAGCCGCACTATGTGCCGCAGGGAGGTAAAGCAAGAGCCAAAGCATTTGCAGACAAGAATTGGCTCATTGGTAGCCTATCTGTGTGCCACAATACTATTACTATATATTCAATTGACATGGTTTCTCTCTGACTGGTGGGGAATCAGAAAAGGAAGATCCACTTGTGGTTGCAAATCATGTCGTCGGGAAGGGTAGCCTGGAGATCGGTAATCGTCTTCGGACAATGGGCTTGTTTTGAGCAAGTGCTAGCAACGACCATCCCGCGCCACGCAACGGACATGCCGTAGTCTACTTCAAGACAGTTTCAAATTCTTGTCAATGGCTGGCTGTACCTACGTACCGCGGGGTACATGTGCTGTATGCCGGCTATAATATCCGCGGATGCTCCCGAGCGCTGCGCCCCTTGCCTTTTGCTTCTTGGGAGCCACTGTTTATTTTCATCTTTCTTTTTTTTCTGATTTCGTCCTCGAGTCAACTCACCATTTCGGTGCGCGAGACGAAATGACCTCGAGGTTTCCCACAGCGGAGGAGTTTGCGTCGTTCCCGCCGCCGAATTATGTTGACCCGATAAACCATCTGCCTATGGCACTGGGAGTTGTTATTCCAATGACTGTCCTGGTCGCCGTTTTCATGTCGTGTCGACTGTATTGCCGAACTGTTCTTGTTAAGACATTGGGATGGGATGATGGGTTGATGTCAATTGCAGCAGTAAGTTTGATATGCAAAGTCCTACTGCTATGGGTCGACAGCTAAACACCAGTAGTTGCTGTGTATTGGGAGCAACATCATGCTCATAATATCAATGTTGCCAGAGTACCAGATGGGCTATCATTTATGTATGCTTCTGCTCTCTGATATAACCAAGCCCAATAACTGATCTCAAAAAGGGGATATTCACCCAGAGAAGCTCTACGGCTCGATGAAGGCTGCTCAGGTATGTCGTATGGGATATCAGGAGGTGCTCATGCTTACGATTGTCTAGATGGGTATGGCTACTCAGCTGCTCTTTACCACCATCACGACTTTTATGAAAGTCGCCATTCTTCTGACCTACATACGTAAGCGAACACCAAGCTACAAACTCGACCAAACAGCGACCTGACATGAAGTGTGCAGGCATCTTTCCAGCCAAGCTCGACAGGTGGTTTTGCAATCTGATGATCTTCTACACAGTGACGCTAAACACAGCTTGCTTTTTCGTGACACTATTCCAATGCTCGTAAGAATGATCTTCGACTTTGCCTTGAACATGGTGTACTGACAACGAGCGTCACAGACCGGCAAGCACGTACTGGAAAGTCTTCGAGTTCATTGGCACTGCCAAATGCCTCAACATCAAGGTCATATACTATTTCCACGGCGGGCAGAATACCTTGAGCGACTTTGTTGTCTTTCTGTGGCCTGCAAGAAACCTCATCAATGTCCAGGTCTCACGGCGGCAGCGGGTAACGCTGATTATGATGTTTTCACTTGGCGTAATGTGAGTTTACTTTTGTCTATCGGCTTGCAAGCCAAACTCTAACGTCTCAATAGTGTATGCATTGCTGGCATCGTACGGCTCTACTTTACGTATCGATATCTCGTCTCGTTTGACGCATTTTGTATGTTACCTTCTTCTTTTGTTTTGAGAGATTACACAATTCAGCCAATCATAGATACTAAGACAATAACAACAGGGTATGGCGGCTCAACCTTCATCATCATGTCCATCGAAAGCGCTGTGGGCGTCGCATGCGGATGTCTCCCAGGCTGCAAACCTTTGATGAACAAGATGTTTCCGCGCGTCTTCGCCAGCTCTTCGCAGTCATCGTACCCCCGTCGGTCGGGACATTTGCGCGCGCACAAAGGCATCCAAGAGTTTTCTTCGGGAGCACGTTCGGCACAAGTATCGTACAACCAGAAGGAAGATAACCCGAGCGCAATGGAAAAAGCGATGCGACGAGATACACCGCCAAGCCATGAAGTAGTAGTAAGCCCGTCGAAACCGCATCCTCAGCATCCTCAGCATCCAGGGCTACGGCCACCCAGTCGAGCCGCGTTTCCCGGGGGAAGAAGAGAGGGATACAGCGAGTTGGACAACGGGAGCGACGAAAGCATAGAAATGTTCTTATTATTGCAGCGAAACTAGAAGATGTACAGCAACTTTTTTTTTCTTTGCTGAGTTTGCATTGATACCCTAAAAACCCCGTACTACTTCGGGCTCATGAATACATGGTTAGTAGTTCCAGTCTCCTCCTGACCTACTTGGATACCTCCACTGGGCGGTAGAACTTCGGAGTCCGGGCTAGGCATTCGCCTTCTGGTGATGTCGAATAACATGGATTCCGCGGACCGATTGTGCAGAGACTACTACGACATATGACAGGACCTACTAATACGCGTATGAGGCGGCTGGCCGCGGGCGTATTCCGCAACCGTGACTTGTATTGTGTTTGTACCTGGTTATCGGGATATGAAAACATGGCCTATGCCTGTCGAGTGCCCAGTCAGCCATGCTCCTCAGGGCAAAGCAGAATCCTTCGTTGGTCGGGATCTCATTCACCCAAACCGCAGCGCACAGAATGCACTTACGCACTACTAGGCGAGATGACACGTGCCAGGTCGGCCACAAGGAACAAGGATCTATCTTGCAAGAATAGCACTGCATCAGCCCCCAACCCCGCCCATGCTCGACCACATTACACGCCTGAATCATCTCCTTCACCCGCTTTTTTTTCCTGCCTTGCTCTCCATCTATTCTGTTGTTGGCGAATTAGCGGGCGCTGTTGCTGTCATGGAGTAACAAAATGTGGCACTGGATGCAGATGGCGCTATGCATGCCAAACTTGACTAGTCCATGTGTTGCTGCAATCGCGCGGCTGGCCAGAGAGCCCAAAGCCGAAACGGACCGGTGGTGAAGACATTGATTCACGCTTTTGGAACGTGGGTTAGTAGATGCCGCGACGCAGAATGGAGGCGACTACGGATGAATGAGGGATGTCCTATCTCTTTTACTACACTACTACTACTACTTATGTTTTTACACGGTGCTTGTTCCCCGCCATTCTTGTTTTAACACTCCTTCCACCGTGTCCCAAACATTTTTTCCGAATCGCAACTCAGACTCCGTATACCGAGAATTGTTTTGAGGGGTTTGTAAACGATACTCGACGTTTATCTTTCTTCGCTCTCTAGTGGGGTCTCGTCGACTGTACCACCTGCCTGTTCATATCGTGGGGAGTACTAACGATAGCCTCGCGGACACGGACATTATACGAGTGGCCGTTCGGCAGTTAGTTCATTCTTTTGGAGACGAACATCCCTTTCCACATATTTCCAATACGACATCGATAATCGCTGAGACCCTCGTGAATCCTGCTTGCTAATCATGGCGACAACACCGGTTGAACACACAACGACGACGGCCAAGTTTCCCACACGCCAGAAGCCGCTTCCTTATACTTTTGTCAATGGGCGCCGTACCCCTCTTTCTTCCATTCTCCCGCCCCTCGTCTTCGGCACCGCAACCTTCAACCACCTATACAATACTGATCCCTATGCCCTCGACACCACGGGTCTCGTCACATCGGCCCTCACACATGGCATCCGCGCTTTCGACACATCGCCCTACTACGGACCCTCTGAACAATTACTCGGCGATGCGCTCGCCACACCTTTTGTCCGCGAGACTTTCCCGCGCAGCTCATACATGATATTGACAAAAGTCGGGCGGATAGCAAGCGAGGAGTTTGATTATAGCACAGAATGGGTGCGATATAGCGTCCAGAGGAGTCTGCAGCGCATGCAAACAGAGTACCTGGATCTCGTATACTGCCACGACGTCGAGTTTGTAAGCGCAACAGAGGTTCTGGAAGCAATCAAGGAGTTGCGCCGCATCAGAGACGAGGAAGGAACAATCAGATACATTGGCATCTCAGGATATCCGCTCGATGTACTGGGCGACTTGGCTGAACTCATCCTGCGCGAGACTGGCGAGCCCCTCGACGCAGTGCAGTCGTATGCAAACTTTACGCTTCAGAACCAAGAGCTCGCTGGTAAGAATGGTGTCTTGCGTCTGAAGAACGCGGGTGTGGATGTTGTCCCTAACGCATCGATTCTTGGTATGGGACTTCTTCGTCGTGAAGGCATCCCCGTCGGCGCATTGGGCGACTTCCATCCTGCGCCGTCTGATGTCCGCGAAGCCGTACGCAAAGCCAGCGAATTCTGCGACGGCTACGGCGAGCGCATCGAAGTCATCGCCATACGCTTCGCGCTCGAGACATGGATCTCGGCTGGTGCACTGTGTGGCTCCAAAGGCGACCCCGCGTCTGGTCTACCCTGGCAACACGAATCCATCGACGACGTTGGTGGCTCTAAGCTCGGTGTCAGTGTGATCGGCGTGTCGCGCGCAGAGGAACTGGAAAAGACGATGTTAGTCTGGCGTTCGATTCTCGACGGGCTCGAGGGCGGCCAGGAAACTGCTGTCCAGGCTGGTCGCTGGTACCGCGCATGGGAATGGAGTACGAATCGCCGAAAGGCAGTCCAGATTCTTGCAGAAGGCGTGCAAGAGGTTCTGGGCCCCGCTTTTGGTTACACGTGGGCGAGTCCTAACCCGGGCTATGTGAATAAGCGGGTGAAGATGGGACTTCAAGATGACAACGCGTCTGCGCCCAAGACCAAAGAGTCATGTTTGACACCTGCGGCTAGTCCCGCAGCCTTGCCCGTAAAAAACGTATCGGAAGTTACTGAAGATGAAAAGGTGTTGCCGTTGAGGTAGTACACGCAGAGGGAGGAGGACTTGGAAATTGCTGCATACCCCTAAAGTTTTGAAAATAAACACATACCCCACACGTGTAAAAAATTGCCTTTGCGACCCTAGTCCCGGCTATTGTTTTCTTTTTGTGTTTAGAGTTTCTTGTCAATAACATGGAAAACATGGCCTGATGGAAAATATCACGAATCAAGATCCCAGGCTGCATTGCATTTCCCCTGCGTTTTCATATGCGTGTGCATCGGACCAATGATGTAGTGCCAACATTTTTCCTTGTTTGGCCATTTCCCTTGACATGTGGGAGAGGGAAAGTTGCGAATGCGAGTATACATGATTACATGTAGAAAGGATGAGTGGGGGAAAAGATGTGAAGACCAAAGGAAACATGGAGTAGCTCATCTCATAAACTCATCAAATTCCAAATGTCATAACAAACTATCCTTAATAATATACACATATAAAAAAAAAGACTCTCCGCTTCCGCTTCCGCTTCCGCATCGGTTCGCGACTGCAAGTGTCTTACAACTTTGCAAAAACCGTTGGGACAACACCTCCCATCTCAACCAAGGTACTCTTATTCCTCACCCAAGCCTCAAGTCCCTTCTTCCCATTCTCGACACCCACACCACTCTGTTTCCACCCGCCGACACTCATCTCCGCAGGACTCTCGCCCCAAGTGTTAATCCACGTGATGCCCGCCTCCAGCCTCGCAATAACCTTATGCGCGGTATTCAAATCTTTAGTGAAGATACCGGCGGCGAGACCGAGCGGCGTGTTATTCGCGCGGGACACGACTTCGTCGATGGAGGAGTAGGAGAGGATGGACATTACGGGCCCGAAGATTTCTTCTTGGACAATTTTCATGGTGTCGGTGCAATTTGTGAAGATGGTGGGTTGGACCCAGTAGCCCTTTTTATACGACTCTTCCGGGTGCGAGGCGAGCCATTTGGGGGGCTCCGGGCCGCCGTAAAGCAAGGTAGCTTTGTCTGTGTCGACTCCGTGGCGGATGTATGAGAGAACTTTTTCGTAGTGCGGTTTTGAAACCAAAGGACCGAAGTTTGTGGCGGGGGAGTAGAGGTCGCCGGGGCGGATGTATTGCATTTTTTCGAGGAGGCGCTGCTCGAATTGGGGTTTCATAGATGCGGGGACGAAGACGCGGGTGCCGTTTGTGCAGACTTGGCCGGTGGAAAAGAAGTTTGCGAGCATGGCGCCGTCGACGGCTTGGTCGAGGTCGGCATCGGGGAGGATGATGCAGGCGGATTTGCCGCCGAGCTCCATGGTTACGTATTTCATCTCGCCGGCTGCGCTGCCTGCGACCTTTTTGCCGGTTGAGACTTGACCGGTGAAGCTGACTTTGGCAATGCCCGAGTGCTTGGTGAGGTATGCGCCTACGTCGCCGCCGCCCTGGACTACGTTGAAGACGCCGGGAGGCACACCGGCTTCTGCGTAGATGTCGGCCAAGACGGTGGAGTGGAGTGGTGTGAATTCTGATGGCTTGTAGACCATGCAGTTTCCAGCGGCGAGACAGGGAGCCGATTTCCAGAGAGCGATTTGAATGGGGTAGTTCCATGCTCCGATGCCTGCGCAAACACCCAGAGGGCTCTTGGTTGTGTATACCCATGCATCCGGTCGTAGCGGCGCAGTCTCGCCGTTCATACCGCCTCCTCCGACAAGGTTGGCGAAGAATTCCAAGACATCTGCGCCTGTGACGATGTCGACAGTCGAGGTCTCGGAGAAGGGTTTGCCCGTGTCTGTGGTTTCAATTCTTGCGAGTTCATCGTTTCGCGAGCGCAGAATGGCTGCAGCCCGCTGGAGAATGCGTGCGCGTTCGATAGGAGGCGTGGCGGACCATGCTGGAAAGGCCTTGTGAGCAGAGGCTATGGCAGCATCGATGCCAGCGTTTGTAGTTGCGTGAATGTTGGCAACAGGCTGCGCAGTCGCGGGTTCAATCGTTTGAAATGTGGATGAAGAGGAGCCTGATTGTATCTTGCCGTCGTAGTAGGCAGAGCGAGGCGCATATGGGAGAGACATGGTCAAGGAGCCTGTTTGGCGCAACGGAGTGGAAGCAACAACTGAGGATAAAACAGGGCTTGTACGGGAATGTCACGAAGATGGAAATACGGCAGGAAACAAATCAAGCACCGACTGTCCACTGCAAGGTGTCAGTTTTGTCCCGGAAAGATGATGCAACGTCAAGGTACGAGGTTTTGTGCCAACATTTGTATGTAGGTACTCTATGCAGAGTGACAGCTAGAGGCAGGGGGAGCTTATATGCAGCCGTTGCACTTTGCTTTCCCGTCTGGGGTTAGTTAACGAAGCCCCGGGTCGGGTCGGACAAAAAGATGGTCTGGTCGTACGTATGCAAGGAAATGGAGGGCAATGCGCAGCGGTCTCTTGCGGGATGGCGCGACGTCTTTGAGCTCAGAGTTTCTCGCAGGTGGCGCAAAACGCCGTGTCGGATGGCTGTCGTGCTCACCGCCCTTGGATCGGGGAAAGTGCAGCGTGGTATTGCAGGGATCCCACGCTCGGAACATGCACACTCAGCTCAGCGGGGTGCGCTAGTCTGCATGTAGCAATGGCGTCATTGGTCAGTTTTGCGACACTTTTTTTGCGTTGCTGACCTCTCGACTGATATGGGACGAACCAACGGCGTGAGAGAAAGCCTTTGATTCATCCACCACCACCATCAACGGATGAGAACAACCATCGTCTTTGATTCGTTGTTAACAACCCCTCTCCCATCTAGTTCATGTTTCCCCGCTCAGCCATCGCATTCCCGCTGACATACGCAACTAAGACGTTGACAAAAGCACGTGCATCGTTCCGGTCCTATCGCAAACGGCCCTTTTTAGGCCCTCTTATCTTGGAAAGCAAGTTACACGTCCTGCAGCGGAACTACGACACGCCATCCGCCCAGCCTCACCACTCAATCGACTCCCTTTTGGTATCCGACTCTCTGCCGATCGTGACCACCAGGTCCGTGCTGACAACACTGACCTTTTCACGCCATAGTCTGCCTACATATAAGCTTGCCTCTACGTGAAAACTTGGTTGAGATCAAGGAAGTATCCTCCTCAGCAATTATTTCATCTTCATCCCTCACCCACACGCGACCATGGCTTTTGAGACTGTGACGTCCATCCCCAAGGATGCCGACTACGACTTTGTCATCGTCGGAGGAGGCACAGCTGGCTGTGTCATTGCCTCGCGCCTCACAGAGTACCTCCCAAACAAGAAAGTCCTCCTAATTGAGGCTGGCCCAAGCGACTTTATGGATGACCGTGTCTTGCTCCTCAAAGACTGGCTCAACCTTCTCGGAGGAGAACTCGACTACGACTACGGCACTACCGAACAGCCCAATGGCAACTCTCACATCAGACACTCACGTGCAAAGGTCCTTGGTGGCTGCTCCTCACACAACACACTCATCTCCTTCAGGCCGTTTGAATACGACTGCAAGAGGTGGGAGCAGCAAGGGTGCAGTGGATGGAGCTTCAAGACTTTTATGCGTGTGCTTGACAACCTCCGCAACACCGTTCAGCCCGTGCACGAAAAACACCGAAATCAGCTCTGCCTTGACTGGGTCGAATCATGCTCAACCTCTTTGAACATTCCTATAGTCCACGATTTCAATCACGAGATCAAGACCAAGGGTGCTCTCAAGCCTTCAGTCGGCTTCTTCTCGGTGGCATACAATCCTGATGACGGCCGCCGAAGCAGCGCTAGTGTAGCCTACATTCATCCAATTCTCCGTGGCGAGGAGACTCGCAACAACTTGACCGTCCTTACCAACGCATGGGTCAGCAAGATCAATGTGTCAGGCAACAAAGTCACTGGCATTAACCTCACCCTTCAGAGCGGCGAGAAGCTCACCCTCAATCCCAAGTGCGAAACCATTCTCTGTGCAGGTGCTGTCGATACCCCACGATTGATGCTTCTGTCCGGTCTTGGCCCCAAGCAACAACTCTCCAACCTTGGCATTCCCGTCGTCAAAGACTTGCCCGGTGTGGGCGAGAACTTGCTCGACCACCCAGAGAGCATCATCCTCTGGGAGCTTAACAAGCCCGTTCCTGCAAACCAGACCACTCAGGATTCAGATGCCGGTATCTTCCTGCGACGAGAGGTCCCCAACGCGGCTGGTGACGATGGTGAGGTTGTTGACCTCATGATGCACTGCTACCAAATTCCTTTCTGCCTGAACACTGCTCGGTAAGTTGAGAATGACTTTTAAAAAGAATCAAGATTTAACATATGACAGTCTGGGTTACGACTCTCCTATCGACGCCTTCTGCATGACCCCCAACATTCCCCGTCCCCGCTCTCGCGGCCGCCTCTACCTTACTTCTGCCGACCCCAACGTCAAGCCTGCTCTCGACTTCCGCTATTTCACTGATCCCGAGGGTTACGATGCCGCTACCATCGTCGCTGGTCTCAAGGCCGCGCGAGAAGTCGCCAAGCAAGCCCCATTCGCCAACTGGATTAAGCGCGAAGTCGCACCTGGCCCCCACATCACTTCCGATGAGGATCTTTCCGAGTACGGCCGTCGCGTCGCTCACACCGTCTACCACCCTGCTGGTACTACCAAGATGGGCGACGTCACCAAGGACGAAAAGGCCGTTGTCGACCCTGAACTTAAGGTCCGCGGCCTCAAGGGCGTGCGTATCGCTGACGCCGGTGTCTTCCCCGAAATGCCTACTATCAACCCCATGTTGACTGTCCTTGGTATCGGTGAGCGTGCTGCCGAGCTGATCGCACAAGAGTGGGGTTGGAAGGGTCTGGAGAAGCAGAAGTTGTAAGTGTGGATTGTGGAGAGAGAAAAAGTAGGCATTTGACCGGGCCATTTGTTACGATTAGATGATGATGTGTGTATATTTCCTTTCATTTCTGTATATCTTGATAGTAGTTATGATTGATATCTTTGATGTGCCAGAATACGACAATACCCTTTTCACGAGTCATGCAATGTTTTGAATGTAGCATGTGATTTGAGTGTTGCAATTCAATTACCATACAATGAAGGAGACTTGAAAGCTCCCCAAGTCGATCGACGCTTCTTCGCTTTCGATGTTCAAGAAGCTTCGATGTTTGTGTGTTCCCACTCACTTATTTGTACAAAAACCATTCCAGGGACCCTAGTTACAAAGCAAAAAAGTACGGCTAAATCGCCTTAGTGTTGCCTGTACATTCGCCTTTGTCGTCCACGCAATATACCAAACACCGTAGTTTTTCTCTCTCGCACACGGACAAACTGTCTCAGTCATCAAACTCAAACATTCTGACCAGACCGTCATCTTCTCCCGCATCTCCCTCGTCTTCATTGTCACTCTCATCACTATCTTCAACCGCAAACCGATCATCAAAAGGCCCACCACTCCTCATCTCTTGCTCTCCCCAACCCTTCTCCTCTTCTGCCTCCTTCACCTTTCCCTCACTCTTATCCCCACCACGTACAAAGTCGCCGGAAGCATCCGTATCATGCATATCAAGCACATATCTGCCCTTCGCATCCGTAAACTCGCGCTGGGTCAGCTCACTCTTCTTGCGCGCTTTGCTCCTCTTCTTGTCCGCCTCTTCCTTCTTCGTGAGCCACTTGCAGATCGGGGTGGGCAGCTCGTTGTGGCTAAACCCTGACTTTGCGAGGCCCCAGCTGGTGAGGGAGGCGGCGTACTTGTTTGTGGTTGAGAGGGCGGCGGCGCTGATGCTTAGGGTTGCTTTGCCCATGCCTGAGGTCGCGAGGGCGCTGGCGTACGAGAAGGTTGCGCTGCTGACTTGCGTGATGGCGTGGTTGGAGTCTTGCAGGGCGGCGGACCAGGTGCCTGGGAAGGGGTATGAAGGCGACTGCTGGGGGGTTTTGGAGTTAGTGGGAGTGAGTGAAGGAGGTGTGGCTGTGTGGCTCACATTTGCGGTGGGGGTAAGAGGTGAGACGTCCTGCCACTCTTCGGTGCTCTCTAGCGACTCGTATTCGGAGAGAGAAGAATCTTCGTTGTCTTCATCTTCTGTGGCTGCAGAGATGTCTGCTGGGTTGATGAAACGGGAGCAGAATGCTTCTGGCTGTGCTTGATGCGTGACTGGACGTTGGGTATGCAACACTAACTGCTTGTTCCTCTGGACTTCATCTTCACTGTCTTCTTTCATGCCGTCGAAGTAATCATGTTTCTGGGGGTTCGACTGCTTTCGACCCTGAGGCTGCTCGCGCCGGGTTCGAGACCGGCCTCTGGATCTGCCCCTTCCGACCTCGTTGCTGCCTACAGCCTTGCGCCGAAACCTCGTAGTATAGGCCATGACGCTCGCCATGTACAGAACTTGGACTTGCTATATCTTCTGAGTATCAGTATGCGAAACTACAGCAGTGTCCAAAAGCAACGCAAAAACAAGCAAAGCGGCACGAGAGTTTCCGTGCGTTGAGGACGAGGTAGCGACTGCGGCAAGAGGTTCTTCAATTGGGTGAGGAGATGATAGGAAAGCAGATGAGGTTTGACGGGAGCTCTGCCGGATTGTTGTGATCAGGCCGCGCTGCGCATGAACCTAGGTTGTGACGGTGACTTGCTACAAACGACTAGAGAGACGTCATAATGTATACAGTGATAGCTAGTAGAGGGGAAAGTCGAGTGTCTACAGGACAAATGGTCGGCGTTCGTAGGTGCCAAGGTTTTGAGGGACTTAATCGGGGTGGATGGTTGTCCCCACACGATTCGTGACCGAATCCAAAGGTAGCCTTACGTTATACAAGGCTGCGGTAGGCCAGTGGGGTTCAGCATGCTCGTGATGATAACCTTGGGATTGCTTTGGTCCTTTGCAAAATTAAGTTGCTATTGAGTTCTCATAACGATCAGCGTCTACTGCATGGAGCTGTTACTTTCTCACTCTCGCGCCAAGGTGTGAAAGCGCGCACACGTGATATTAATGATTGTGAGGCAACTTGTTATGCCGTCTCAACTATGTCTGCTAAGTTTCTTTATGAGACAAAGGTCACTAAAACTTCTTTGTTGGGGTACATGTCTTCAGTTTGCACTCTATATTAGGCAGTGTGGTAGGTCGCGCGCTCAGCACCCGGTGACACAGAGTGAAAGCATACTCAACCATTACGAGAAATTTCTCGAACCCTTCTCACCTCTCAGCGAAGGTTTGTTCCAGAGCTTTCAAAACCCAAACCCTTGCACACAATCACCCTGTGTGCTATTCCTTGGCTTATACTCACATCTTTTTAACTACTCGCAACTCCACATTCAATCTACCCTGAACAACCTATATACCACCAGCATATATAAAACCCAAAGTAAATACCAATATCAACCATAAAATGGCTAACCGAGGTCCGCTGGAAGCTGTTGTTACAACCCATTGCGCACTCACTGACTTCCCATAGCTGTATACATCTCCGCTCTGGACCCAAGGCGCTTGATGTGCGAATTACTAGAAATCATGCGCAATGACAAAGACAACAACCACCTGTCGCTTACCTGTATGAGAGTTATGGAAAGGTACCTCGTCGCAAACCTCCACCAGTCGTTGTTTCCAATTTTGCTGCTCGACGAGATTCGCGCAGCTGATAACCGGGCAATCCATCAATCTCGCCAGTCTGAGGCACCTACGAGGAATAGAAGGGCCTTAGGAGAGATTTTGAATGTGCATCCGAGGTCAGTCGCTGATCCAGGCGAGAGTTACACGGGAGTACCACGTAATATCACTAAGTCCTCCTTGGTGACTAGATACGACTTATCAGTCGATGACTCTCCCGCAATCCGCTTTCAGCTACCACCAGCTCCTTTGAATATAAGAGGTTCATCGTCGACTGAAAAGGCTTCTAGTGTCAGTACTCCCAGGGAGAATAGGCTACCGCGTGATGTCAACCGGGCCTTCTATATAGTTAACGAAGACGACGATACGGTTATCGATGAATCTCTACTAGCCCATCACGAGCCACCAACAGCTCCTCTGAATGCACGCGGTTCATCGTCGACCGAGAAGGCTTCTAGTATAAACACTCCCAAGGAGAACAGATTACCGCGTGATGTCAACCAGGCCTTTTATGTGACTGATGAGGACGAACCACCGCCATCTTCTCCGCCTTCATTCGCTCAAACTTCGATCGAGCAGACTTTAGTACCCATGGGGAACAGGAGGGTCTTAGGGGAGATTTCAAATGCGATTTCAAGGCTAGTGACTGGCCCAGGTGAGAGTCATTTAGGAGGACCGCGTAATATCAACCAATCCTTCTGTGTGGCTGAAGATGACGAGCCAGTCATCAATGAATCTCCACCAGTGACTGAACCAGATGAGAGTCATTCGGGAGGACTACTTAATGTCAACCAGCACTTTTGTATCGCTGAAGACGACCCATGCGTCGATGAGCCTCCACCAGTCCACCATGAGCCACCACGAGCTCCTCCGAATCCACGCGCTCAACCTTCGATCGGGCAGCCTACCCGTGTTAGTAAATCTAAGGCTAATACTCAGCAAAACGCCAGCTCCATTCTTCGCCCAACTCGAAATGACCAGCCAAACCGGAGGATAATCACCAACGCCAACTACGACGCAGCCGTAACCCTAGAGGAACTCGAGCAGTCTTTCATCGAAAAGACAAGACCAGCAGATCATGGCTCCGAAACAGAAGAGACTACTGAGCCCGACACCCCCACCGGCCCGAATACCGCCCCCGCCCCCAACGTCTTAGAAGAAATCCCCAAAATCGTGGTCACCGACTCCCGCGAAAACATCCAAGCCATCGTCGAGGTCGAGCCCGTCGAGCCCGAGCAACCCACAAAGAAACCCACAGAACCCACACAAAAAGTTCCTGAATACAACTTCTACAAGCAAAAGAAAGCAGGTTTCTACGACAGAGCAGCCGACGAGCCGCAGCGCCTATATCCATCCACGATTGTAGAGAGAAGGGACAAGCTTCCTTCTAGCTGGTCTGCGCGCCATATGGGAAGGAGTCAGAAGCCTGCTCGTCCTGCGTGCTCGTCCCCACCGATTCAAAGGGCTGGCTCGGCGCCGGTGGCTGCTGCGAAGAAGGCTACTATGACGGAAAAACAGGCGCGTAGTGTGGAGACAAGGAGTACGACGGGGAAGCGGGCTCGTGGGGCGGAGCCAGAGACTACGACGAAGAGGCTCAAGAAGCCGGGTGGGGGAAAGAAGGATGTTTAGGTTTGGGGCAATGGGACAAAGGATATTGTGCGGTTTTTTTCTTGTGGTCGGTGTTATGCTGGCATTTTGGTGTTCTTTGTTTCCTGATGTCTTTATACCCCCTCTATTTTCATTTCTTTGCCGTTATATCGATGTGCCAAAAGTTAGAAGCTGCGTTCATTCTGTTTGCATTTTATGCCTGCTCTAGATAGTTTTTGAATACCTTTGCTGCTCTTGCTACGTTGGTTTCTTGGTTGTTTTCCTAACGTCCCCTCTGGGTCACGCAAATCCCCCCGTGCCGCAAGAAAAGAGAGGTACTTCATCCTCAGAAAACAATACTTCTATTCGCGCGTTGTTTCTATACTGTTTTTATAGATAAATCATATTTTCTACCTTCTTCTATAGATGTAGACACCTTTCCTTACAAAAATTACGCTACTACTGTTGCATCTGCGCTGGTGCGCAAAAGACACCTTTTCTAGAGACAAGTAATAACACCACTATAGACAGCCTCCATCAAGCTCCATTACACCTCTTATACTAACGAACAAATTTGCGTGCACTAAGGAAGCCTTTAGCAATGCTAAGGAGTCAATCCCAGGTCTTGGTGCGGCGTGGCGCTCATATTTATGTGTGATCGCCACCCCTGTTGGTACTTCCCTAGCGAGCAGCTTCCGCATGTGGCCAATACAAGACTATTTACGTCGTAATATTCTCTAGGCTAAGCTTATGGCTTCGAAGCGCTGTGGCTATATAAGCTCCGAAATCCTGTTAACAAGATGAAGATCACGTGATAGTCAGCTTTAGCTTCATAATAGCAATCTCTCTTATATTAAAATAACGTCTTGTTAGCCTAATAGAATAGACCCAAACTCTATACTAATGCATTAACATATACCCCTGCGTAACGGAACAGCCCCCGCAACGGAACATCTACCTAATATCACGTAACCTAGATATAAGGCTCGAAGTGCAGCCCTCGGGCTAGTAAGACTGAGGACCTGCATAGTACAAAGCTCCCTTCTAATCCTTAGAACGAACTCCAAGAATTTGTCCGAATACTATCCTAATATTCTGACTCCTACCTACCAAACCTTTCACGACAGGTACTTCAGCTTGCAACACTTCACTCTCTTCGTATATCTTATAAAATATTATGTATAAGGTAGTATCTACAGTAGAATATAGAGAATCCTAAGTTTGTAGCTGCATTTACAGAAGAAAATTCTTCTGTAATAGCACCTTCCGCACCTGCGCTATCTTCCGCCTTGCTATGTTGCAAAACTAACCGCTATGCATGCAGCACCAACAACAGGCCCCATAGACTATTCTTGTACTTTAGACAGCTACAAATAAACCTACAGAGCCTACTCTAGCTTTTACAGGGCTACCACTAGCTCTAAAGCAGGCGTAATATGCGCATTGCTCTGATGCCACGACCCACGAAAGTACTTCTAGCAGACGCATCAACCAATTTAGGCTAGCTGTCCGCAAGGCTTACCTAGTGGCTTGACACGTGCCCGTGTATTAGATTGCTTAGTCTATGGCTGTGCAGGGCTTAGCACGCTGATAGCACACAGGTTGCGTTAGGAACTGTGACGATACCCGGTTCAGCTCCACCTAGGCCACCACGTGCCCAGAAAGGTACAGTGACAGGAACAGATCAACTACTTGAATAAATTTAGCTTATATTGTAACTAGTTAGCTGGACTACAAAGGCGTTTTAATCCTGACAGCTAATCTACTTATTATAATAGATTAACTACTGTTATATCAAAACAATCACGCAGCGTAAAAGATTACTTTGTAGAAACACAGTACTCGCTCGAAGATTCTATGTAGCGAGGGATAGAGGCACATATATATGTACACATCCCCAGCCCTCTAGAAGTGCCGGTTTAATGATGATAGAAGAGAGCAAAGAGGAATTGCCACTAGGACATCACTGGAAGCGACCTATCCAGACCTTTCCATGCCCCGTGCCTATCCCTACGTATTCGCCTGATATAGCTGTGCATCCTGGTCGATATTCTGTAGGTAGCCACAATAGCTTATGAGCGTTTAGACAAATCCAAACCCCGTCGTCACTAATATGTATGTTCTGGCTTACAGGTTTCCGTGCTTTGTCTATAACTTTATTGGGGTATTGCGACCCTAGTATCTGAGCAAGATCAGAAAAACCATAGTCCTCGAACGTCTGTAGGCACACCCCGCTGTGCGTATCCCAGATCTTGATGGTGTTATCGGACGAGGCTAACGTCAGCCTCGCCGAGTCGGGCGAGAAGGCGACTGAGTGGACCCAACCACGATGACCCTTAAGCGTCTGCAGGCACACCCCGCTGTGCGTATCCCAGATCTTGACAGTATTGTCGAACGACGCCGACGCCAGCCTCGCCGAGTCGGGCGAGAAGGCGACTGAGTTGACTGAACTGTGATGGCCCTCGAGCGTCTGCAGGCACACCCCACTGTGCATATCCCAGATCTTGACAGTCTTGTCGTACGACGCCGACGCCAGCCTCGCCGAGTCGGGCGAGAAGGCGACTGAGTTGACTGAACTGCGATGGCCCTCAAGCGTCTGCAGGCACACCCCGCTGTGCATATCCCAGATCTTGACAGTATTGTCGGACGACGCCGACGTCAGCCTCGCCGAGTCGGGCGAGAAGGCGACTGAGTTGACTGAACTGCGATGGCCCTCAAGCGTCTGCAGGCACTCCCCGCTATGCGTATCCCAGATCTTAATGGTGTTGTCGTTCGACGCCGACGCCAGCCTCGCCGAGTCGTGCGAGAAGACGACTGAGTTGACTGAACTGCGATGGCCCTCGAGCGTCTGCAGGCACACCCCACTGTGCGTATCCCAGATCTTGACGGTGTTGTCCCACGACGCCGACGCCAGCCTCGCCGAGTCGTGCGAGAAGACGACTGAACGGACCGAATCGCGATGGCCCTCGAGCGTCTGTAGGCATGCGCTCCAGCTGTCGTTCATACTAGGGTTGATTGTAATATTGTCTGGCTCCTCGTGCTTAAATAGGTTCCTAACTATGCTCTTCTTAGGACTAAACAACAATGCTGATGCATAGACCTGTAGAGCGCTATCTTCAATAGCTCCCTTATGGTACATTATAAATCGACGTGCGTCCTTAAGAAGCGTACTAAACGAGCTCTGTTCTTCTCTCCCCTATTTTGCATTAGTTAGATACTAGTCGTATTTATAGCTTAGTAAATATACCTGAGCAAAAAGCCAGAGCTTTTCTATTGCAGCTATACCTTCTGGTACTCTCTTACATAGACTCAAAGCCTCTAGCCAGTATAAATACTTTTCACGCAGGAACTTCTCGACAATACCTCCATCTTGCATAACATCATCCGAGTTCCCTGAAGACGTGAGATTCGAGTCGCACAGGTGGTCGATCCAGTACTCGCATGCATATGCAATGTGTACAATAGTGCTGTTCTTGCTCCTGTCTACCATACCCTCGGTTCGCGCTCTTAACTTCTCTAGATTGCATAAGTCTCTCCGTAGTGTATTGCGCATCGCACTAAGCAGACGATATGTCACCTGTCCATGCTCTACTGTCACTGTTCCATCAAATATCTGCTGGCCGTTGCCAGATGTAAAGTACTCTTTGGCAGACAGGTGTATGAACGTCACTGTGTTGTTACGCACTGCGAGAAACGAGCCGCAACGGGCGACGAGATCGGAGACACTCTCCGCGCTACCAAACAGATCGTTTGGCAGACCAGCAACTACTACAAGCTCCAGCAGATGCAGTGGTCGAAAGGCTAAAGTGAGTGCCCGCAGGACGGCTTTGCAGTACGCTGTTGTGTCATTTTTTTGCGCTAGGATCTGTTTCATCATTCGGTTGTAGAGCGGGTCCAGTCCAGGTGGCATCGCTTGCAGTACCTTCCGTGTATTATGGTGGAGGACATTCTCTAGCTCTTTACACACGAGCGATATCCATAGAAACGTGCCCTCGGCCCTGTCGCGGAGCACCCGCTGCACCTCTGCTTGTAGTCCAGCGTCATACTTTTTTGTAGTTGCCAGGTGCTGCACCTTGAAGTTGACAAACGCCGTCACAGCCTTCGACACGTGGCTTTCGCAAACCTCAAGACTGACCTTGATGCCAGCCAAGTCTGGCTGCAAATACCGCTCAATCCCCTGCACGTTGCGGCTTGTCACTAACCACTTCACCTTCGACCGCCGCGCAAGGTTGCTGTCAGTGATGATTTGAAGAAGAGTAGGCAGACCAGAGTCGCACTCGTCGAGAGCATCAACTAGCAGGTATGTCGTTGGCAGAGTCGGGTCATTGAGTATGTCCGACAGTATCTCTCTCAGCGCATATATAGCGTTAGCACCTTCAAAAAGCTGCTTTCCTGCAGCCTTGTATCGCTTCTGGACATGTCGCATCAGCTGCATCTGCTGATCGACGAGCATGTATATAAGTCCTCTCAATACCGAGACAGCGCTGTTAATCTCCGGCCGAGTGTTCTGGCAGAAGAAGTAGGCCACTAGGCATGGCTCGAACCCTAGCTTCAGTTTATACAGCACCTTTGATACTGTCCATGATGGTGACCTGATCTTGTAGCCTTGCGATAGCTCGGCGATGAGGCCCATGGTCATCATCGTCTTGCCTTTGCCCGGATCGCCTTTGATCCACAGCAGCCGAGGACCCCCCTGACTCCTCCATTGCTGGAAGTTTCTATCTTCTAGGATCCATATATAGCAGTCCCTGAGCAACTTGTCCTTGCCGTCTTCGATTCTCGTTCGGTCTTCGCGCGGGTCAGTGACTCGCAGGTCGCGCAGGCACTCGTGGTGGGTCGATCTGGCGGCGCCGCTATCGCCACTAGGAAAGTGCACGTCGCCGGTAACATTGCCGTAGATGATGTTTCCGCCGTCTGCTCGGTTGTTCGTGTACGCGGCGGCAGGGCTTGCCGTGGGCTGCATCGCTGCGACGTCAAGTTAAGCCGTCGCCTAGCGGTGCACCGGCTGTGGCGATCTTCGTAAGGCTGATCTGTAAGACTGTGCTGTTCCCGAGTGAGGCAGCTGTCGACTTGAGCGCCCGCCAGGATGTCCGATGACACAGTGCACTCATGAAGCGCAGTGCTGCATGAGAGACGAGAAGGTTTTGCTTCTGAATTTGCAGGCGTCTGCAACAAGGCTGAGGTCTGGCCAAGTCTTCAGGCGACTAGCTAGTACAATATGATGTTCTTCCTCAGCCGCAGCCTACTACAGAATTCCCCACCCTTCTACTTGTCTTAACAGCCATGACGGACCCTCTAAGTATCACTGCGAGCGTAGTCGCAGTCGCCGGCCTCGCCTATTCCAGCAGTAAAGTGCTGTATGAGTTGATCTCGACAATCCGCGATGCGCCCTCGGTGTTCCAAGACCTAAATCAAGACATCAGTACTCTCAGTCATATCTTGAATGCGTTGAAAACAAACCTGTCCGATCGCGGTGCAACAAAAGGTGAAGCACAGCTAGCATGCTTCACAGCCATGGAACAAACTCTACAGGGCTGTGATCTCGCGTGCAGGGCTTTTAAAGAAAAGGTGCATGACCTTACAATACACTCCCAAGATGGAAAGAGAAGCTTCAGGGATGGAGTCAAGCTGAAGTTTCAGAGCAAAAGCATCGATGATTTCCATGCAAAGGTTAATAGTTGGAAGGCGAGTCTCGCTCTTGCACTCGACGTAGCTTTACTGTAAGATACCCTAGACGGCGGAAGAGGGATGACTGACTAATCACCCAGTGTGACCCCACATTCTGATAAGAATGCCCTCAACGCGCTCGAAAACAAAATGACGACTGCCAGAGACCAAATCACGGTCAGTCTCGAACAAGTCAATACAAGGTTAGATAAGCTGCTCGCGTTAGAACCGGAGAGCGAAGAAGACCTGCAGATGATTGCTCAAAAGAAAGCGGTTGAGGAACAGCAGAAAGCAGCTTTTGTACAGTGCCTTTCCCTATACCAAGCAGCAGTGGATAGAGCAACCCAGATGACTGGTCATTCTTTCAAAAACAACAAACTTCTAGGCGAGGCAAAGGCAATCTATGGCGATGTTGGACAACTAGGAGAGCACAGCAAAAACCATAGCTACGATGGTAACGAGGCCAACAATGAGACGAGAGCAGTATATGGGAATATAGACGGAAAATCCTTTTCAGATTTCATAGGACGTGGCACGTAATTCACAAGAAAGTCTTGCTATAGCTAGACTTCCTTTTACCTTGGTTCCCTATCACAATATAACATACTGTAATCATCTCGAGGTCGTCAGACGACTAACCGTTGTGGGGCTATACTATGGTTATAGTAATTCTCTGTGATCTAGCTCATAAGATTATCTAGATGAGCCCGCGTGAGGCGACGTCGAAGCCCTGCTATAGTGGCGACAACTACGATCCAGCTGAGGCTGCCTAAGCCGCACGGCTAGCTGAACGCCATACAGTTTAAAACTATGCCGGTTTCGGCGGGCGAGAGCCATGCGCAGCATAGACGGCAATCTGATGATCCAACACGTGATCAGTCCCGCTCTACCTGCTGTGGATTCGTTACGCATGGATGCACGTTAATACATTTTTGCAACAGGTGCCTTCCATAACAGTCCTAACTCTGGCTGACGCAGCCTAGGCATGCTCTTGGTTCACACTATAGCGTCAGCCTCTTCACCTTCTCCTTGCAGATTCGCACCTACTCCTGCCACCTCTTCTACTAGTACTTTAGCAGAACTCTTAGGCTTATGCCCTCGTTTCTTAGCACCCTTAGTAGATAACGCTTTCTCCTCTTTCTTAGCACGCTTAGCTTATACCTCTTTAAGATCCTCGAAAATTACTACCTTCGCCTTCCCCAAGATAATAGAGCTAGTTAATTACTAAACTATAGCCTCTTTATTAACATTCGTTAAGAATTTACATATCTTAATCTTAAAGAAGCGTCTACTTTATAAGAGATATCTATGCTGCAATCGCGAGCTTCTATACCTACTTTTATAGGCGTTATTTACTCTACTCGTCTAGTGTATACGTATTCTTTTTAATTAAGTTATATAAGGACATTATAGTTAGCCTCTATTATTACTAGCGTTATAGAGGTTATAGAGCCTATTTTTAGACTACGGCCACGAGTAAAATTATGTCAGAAGGTGACAGCAACGTGGATTCGTATTCGGCGGAGTGAGAGCGTTTGGCTTTGCTCTTTCGTGTGTTGTCGATGTGTACTGCGACTCTCGAGACGCAGGCGCGCTTAGTGTATCATGAGAACTCTCCTAGCGACTCGAAGCGAACGCGTTCTCTAAGTATAAGGAAACAAGGAAGAGTGGTTTAGATGGTGTTGGTGAGGTTGTGAATTAGCCATGAACTTCGTACAATCATGCCAAGCCCGCTGCGGGTATACGCTAGAGCCAAGGTAGCATGGCTACACGCTTTCATCAAGCCCCAACTATATCTGAACCGAGCACAAATTGGCTTCAACCCATATCTCTGCGAATCCATTTCCTTCAATGCAATTTTCATCTTCGATTATTTCTGGAAGAGAACGATCCGGTATAGCATCGGAGGTGATATTTGGTGGACACAGGTCTGCAGATTGACCCACCAATAATCACATGTTTCATATCGATGTATTTAAGGTTCGTACTAAATGTGCTGGACCGTGTATCGCAGTCCTTCTCCGCACTTTAGTGGGGGACTTTGCGTCATCCCCTGAGTTATCTAAGCCGCGAATGGAAACATAAAGCACAGGCACAACTGCTACTCCCGACGTTTTTAGAATTGAGATGGACCATCATTCGAACATAGCTGCAATGTCAACCGCAGTCGATATGACGTACTTTCCACAGGATGCTCTATGCTATCTATCGTCGTCGATACCGGTGTTGCGCCAGTACCTCACGATCGAAGAAGAAAAGCAGATCATCGAACAGTTTAAAAAATCATGGCGACCCAATGCGCAGGTCTTATGGAGCGGCATTCTACGTGAAGAGGCTCAAAAATGGGCAGACGAACATAATATGCAAACCTTGACGACTGTAATGGGGCTCCTCATGGACAAAAAGAATCCCTTGTGCCCAAATCATGATAAAACTAGATCGAGTTGGACCAAGTATATCAAAGGAGCATCTGCAGTATTTGCGTGGTCAGTATCAAGAGGGAAAACGGTTGTGGTACTATCTCCACCACCTCCCCAGAGGTTCAATCCAATTGGGCTTACGAACTTCCAACTGATCGAGGCTCCAATTCTCCACTGGGCAGCAGCACTAAACCATACTAGCTTACAAATTTACAGTGTGCACCCAATGGTAAAGGGAGCAGAAGACTTTCGCTACCAGATTTGGCCTGTAGATGACACCAAAAACTGGGATATGCATTTTAAGAATGTGCAGTTTCGGCAGAGGAAATGGAGAGTACCAAGCTGGGATAAGTGGAAGATTCTCATAAAGGAAACCCTTGATTCTATGGTGGAGTCTGGATTTTGGAGTGGGAGTGAGTTGTTTGGGCTATCAACATGGAAACAAGGTTCTGCATGTATGAAGAAAGAAAACGAGCGGAAGAAAAGAGAGGATACGTTAAGGGAAGAAGCCAAGAAGATGGAGCAAAGCAAGATATCGGAACAAAAAGAGAAGAAGAAGAAGAAGAAGAAAAAGAAGGAGAAGCCGAAAAAGACGAAGACAAGTGAGGGCGTAATGGAAAATCAGAAGCCGTGCCAAGAGCAGAAGAAGTGCACCAAGAAGAAGAAGAAAAGAAAGAAGAAGAGGAAGGAAGGTAAAAATGAAAAGGTAGAGAAGACGAAATCGAGGCAGAGAAAAGAGACATAAACAGACGTGATTCCTACTTATTTACTCTGAGGGCTGTGTTGTCCAAAAGACTTTTCGACACCATGCGTATTTCTACTTTAAATTTTGCAGTCGGTCTTACAGCCACGTTCCGCCGGGGCCAACTGCATTCTGTATCTTGAGGCAACACTGGTAGCAGGATCAAGCAGAATCAGGTAACTAATAGGATCCATATGCAATTAAGTGTGACTAACAAGTGAACTAGGTGCCTAATGGTGATGACGCAGCCGCAATCAGTGTATGCGCCAGTAAAGGCAGCGTCTTGTAGTCGCTTAGGTGCGTGCGCACCTTGGGATTAATAAAATATATTAAGAGTCCCCAGCTAATCAGTACCGGCTCACTGGCACAGACGGTTGACAGTCTGACAGTTTGTGCCAGCAAAATGGTACTCATTGGCTGACGCTTATGGGCAAATGCTAGTTAACCAAGTGATGTAATTTAGAACAGCAATGGACACGACTTGACTTTGAGCTTGCCGCCGCTAGTAGGGAGAATGGTCAACCCGCTCCAGCCGTACCCTTGCGCCGGAGGCGATGATTTCTAGATATGGCTGATGAGGAGGATGCTGTTTGCAGGAAGGAGTTTTCAAGTTTTAGCACCGAAGGAGCTTTCTTAATTTTTTATTATTTAACTACTGCGCTAACTGCAGAGACGAACACTTTATCTAGCCACTTCATACATCCTGTATCATCTAATACAATAACTATCAATTATTAACTATTAGACAAGTGAACATGTACCTAACGCTTAGTAAGAAAACATCCAGCTCAGTGAAACCAGTGCGCTTCTCTCATATAGCTTGCATATCGAAGATAGCTTAATTATATGATTCGAAAATTTGCAGCCATTTCGCCAAACTCTGCGCCATCAACAACGCCCCGCTTCATACGAGCTGGTACAACAGTGGGCCCAATATGAGCGCAACGAACTGACATAACCGGCTCATTGTTGGTTGCCATCCCAATTACCTCTCTAGCGTTGAAATCATCGATCCTCCGTAACGTCATCAGCACAGCCGAACCCCTTACTCGGCAAACCAGATCCCCTGGCCGCGTGACGCGCGAGCCCATGCCTACGAGACCCGATGCCGTACGGTACACGATACGGCACATTGATGGCCATGTCATGCACTCGAGGAACCCGCCGGCGGTGGCGCCTTCTGCGCGCCGCCGCAGCTCAACTTGCAGCTCAGCCGGCAGGGTGTCGAAGACTGAGCGAACAGGCAAATAGCTCTTGCCATCATCATCATTAACATCACCGGCCTCAGATAACGCGCTGCGAAGCAGCTCGTGATAACCGAGAACGTAGGCGGCAAATGATCGATGGTGTTCCTCTAGCGTCTGATTCGACCCTATATCGCTGGCCGGATCATCCCTTTCCCTCGTGCCGAGCGAGAGGGCTATTGAGAGTGATTCCAGCACGGCCAGCGCGTCGCCACCAGGGCTTGCGAATGTGTTACCTTGCTGTTCGGCAGGACAGATCAGCTCCCACACACGATCAAGCCAAAAAGGGTTTTGCTTTGTCCGTTCTCGTGCCAAGTGTGTGATGGGGAAGTCTGTCGTTTCCATTCGGCTCGAAACAGTAGAGATCTCGTCGACCACCCAGCCTCGCACCAGGAGGCGTGGAAGCGATGTTCCGTCCTCACAATCAACTCCACCCTCGAAGCTGATCTTGTCGTCCTCTGTCGCGGTCGCATTCATCGGGTAGTCGATCGGTGTAGTACGGTTAATGCTATGCCAGTCAGGCACCCAGCTGGGCATCCTAGCTTCGTGCTGTGGGTCCCAATCACACTGCTCTAAGGAAGGGTCATTCTCGTGGTCGACAAAGCTGACAACGTGCAGATTATTCGTCTTCTGAATGAATTTGACGGCTAGTCTCGTGTATATGACCCCACGCGTACGTGTGTAGTCAGGTTGAATTACAGGCTCGCCACCAAGGACGGCCATAGGATGACCGAGTAAACTAAATACGCGGTCACGTGGGTCAGTTACGCCCAAGATGCGCGTCCAGTGCATAGCAGTCAGAAAGTCGCACTTAGGCGTGTCATCTTCCTTAGTAGCCCAGACCATCACGATGTGATGGGCGACCCACGACGCTAGACTGAGATGCGTCACCAGCGTGGCACCGCTGTAATCCAAGAACTGAACGAAGCGGCCCGTTAGTTCCCAGTCGATAGTGTCGAAATCCAAGGCACGATTTTCGTCCTCGACAGTATTTGAATGGCCAGCTTTGGCACTGTCATCGGCGGGCTTCAGGGCCGTGATCAAGAGAGCCTGGCGGGCGAGACCAAGCTCTTGCACAATCCACGCGCGGTGGAAGTATTCAATCTCGAAGAAGAATCTGACAGCCTCCCACTTGTATGCCTGCTCCTCAAATCGGCGCCGGTCGTCCTCGGATAAGTGAGCGACGTCCGCGGTGGGACCAGCTAGATAGTCGTGGTGAAGGAGAATGCGCGCATCGCAGAGGCCAGCCTCTGGCTCTTCCATGAAATCGTGTATGAAGCGGATGGCGTCCTGGATTAAGAAGCGACCAACCTCGCTCGTTTCCCATCCGAGCCACGAGAGGACACGGCTCGCGCCAGCATAGATGAACGACATGAGTTTGACTTGGGAGAGGCGTTCTTGTAGGTCCTCCTGGTTGATGCACACTGCGTCGACCCACAACCGCCGCACTTGTTGTCTTTGTGCTGGTGCCTTGCCCGCATTTAGCTCTTCGCTGCTCCCAGCAACTGGTCGGTGTCGGAAGGCCGTCAGTGCCCCATGCAGATTCTCTGTCACAGACAGCGTCACTCCATCTATGGTGATGTCGCGCCGCTTTTGTGGGTCACCCCAAACGTATGATATGGCCTCGTACGGCGCCGCGTCTATAGCCTGCGGCACCAGCCGCCCGACAATGGGGTCCGAGAATTTGCCGGCTTCAAGCTCAAGGACGCGGACGAACTTTGGGGCGAGAGGGTGATAGAAGTCGGGGAAGGGATGACGGCTTATGTCCTTCATGCTGATCGGTAGCGGAAATCTTAGCGTAAAGCAATATGTCTACTAAGAGGTGCCTAACATGCGACGGTGTTGAGCAAAAGTGGGGTTAGAGCTTACACAGTCCGTGCACTACAGGGATGCTCATAGCCGTCGTGCCGCGCTCTGATTAGCTGTGTAAAGAATCCGGGTGCTCGGACCTGCACTTACACATTAGATTATGCAAAAAGGTGGGATTTGCGTGACCTAGGAGGGGATATTAAGTAATCACTTTGCATTTGTTAGAGTAGATCTTATTAGTCTCTTAGCATGGTGCTTTTGCTTCCAAACCATTTGCCTATCCTGTATGACGCAGTATCATGACACTGAGTTGATGTAGAGTAATCCTGATCTATCCAGCTATGTGTAAATCATGAGAGCAGTTTCCCACCAAATATTTTGCATAATCCAAGAACAGATGTCATTAGGTAGAGTTCGATATTGGGGAAGTACACAATATTGATGCCTTCAATCTGTCTCAACCATAATATTTATCTTGTTCCACATAATCACCAACGCAAGATTGAAAATACCATAGTATGTTCACTCACTCTATGGCGAGACGTGCCCTAGGTACTTCAACTCGAATCTGTGTTTAAAATCCAGCAGCGTTAGTTCGTAGTCTCATTATCTCTAAAATTACTGTGTACTTTCTCTGTTACAACTCTTCCTCTCGCAAGCTTAAAATTATGGTTTTGTGACTACTGTAACTGCCTAGTTACGCATACAGGAACCTTGAAGAACGAATTTTGAACAGGAAACGAATTGAGCTTTGGGGTTCGAAGAAGAGGATATAAGCCGGCCCATTGGCTGAGTAAGAAGCGCAAGGTGCGGGCTCTTGGGGCACTAAATAATCGGATTAAAACCACGCCAGCTGTCAGCCTGATCACGGCAAAGGTTACTTGAAGTAGCGTTACAAAATCTACAAAAGTATTAGAAGTCTTGCTAAGTATATTATTATTCGTGTGCTAAATATTTGTAGCTAAGCAGTGCGTGGTGTTGGCGTTATTAAGGAGTTGTGCTGTTGTGGTTGGAGCACTTTTTATCCGGCTATTTCATCCCCAAAAGGGGGCGGGTCGTTTCCATGGACGTGTCGTAAGATTGAACATCTTCACCGCAACTCAACAATGGCTTCCCAAGATCCTAAACCAGATTTGGGCTCATATTGGCAACGAACCCCAACTTTGGCATTGAAACAAGTTCTATGCTTTTACTGCTGGGACATATCGTCGAATTTCAAGCGATGCACCGCTTGCAAACGGGTCTCATACTGCTCAGTAAAGTGCCAAAAGCAAGATTGAACAGAAATCACAAGAAAATCTGCAAGAAACTTGTTGCTTTGAACAAGCAGAAAGGATACGCACCCTCGGCTGGCAGGCGTTGGGGCGAGTACTATGACGAGCAGGTACATTACTCATCTCACTTGGCAAGACGAACGAGTAGATTTTGAGACAACTTTTAGGAGCTAGAGTTCTCAAGATGTGGTACTCTGAATCCTTGTGAACTTGGAACCTTGGTTGGGTATGTCTGAGAACCGACTGCCAACAAACTATGGCCATTTTGTATTCGTCATTAAACTGACGCTTGCGGTTAGCCACGAACCATATTGCTATCGCTGTTGTAGAAGAGAGTCTCAATTTGAAGATGGGACGAAGTTGAATACCTGCCGATGCTGCCGCCTTAACTCGTTCTGCACCTCTTGCCAACAAACACATCCATCAGCGGAGTGCACGACCTTGCAAGATGTTGCAGCTGATGAGAAATTTTTGGTAGATCTCTACCAGCGAACGGGACACGGCTTGACCATTTCTATCTCCAAATTTCCCAGAAACCAACATTATCTTCTCTCTTCTGCAACGGACTGGTATGACTACTACACGAGGCTCTCAGAAAAGGGTGGCCTCAGTTCCAAAATGAACTGGGATCTGAAATACCAGGCAAACGACCCCAGAGAATGAGTATTCGTCGAACATATGAGATACGGTACCAATGCGACAACTATCCAACTCACCTTAATCGCTGCCTTGGAGGCGACGATACACAACATCGGCACTCAGGATTCGATCAACCTTCACATTATAGGTGCCGTTAGAAGTGAATTTGCCTCTGTTCTTGCATTTAAGGAGCTATTGCATCTTCTACTGTCGCTTACAGCACTTCAGTTATCATTTGTGGGTTTGAATGTAGAAACCCAGACGCCATCCACAATTCAGTGCTGCACTGTGTGTACCAAGATGGGACGGTCGATTTCCATTACCACCTGGAGAGGTCCGTATCACGCATACGTCGATACCGAATTCTACAAGACGCCAGATCTAGCAGCAGCCTTCCACTCAGGATTTTCGGTAGATGAACAAGCGGACTGGTACCCAACCATTAAGTATCTTGCACATGCTCCACATCCAACACTCTTTGCTGCGGGTAGATACTTTGAGATTGAGGGAGAGATGAGAGTTTGGAAGAGTCTGGGGGCGAAATTTATGAGGAACGCTAAAGCAAATAAGTGGAAGGGGATGTCTCCTTCGCTCTCAGTGTGTGGAGACAAGTCAAATGAGGTCACTTATAAAAATCATTGGTGGTATATTGTGAAACAAAGGTGATTTAGAAATATGGGGGATTATTACGGCCACGATTCGGGAGTCGGAGTCATGAGATTGATCTTCATCAACATCAGTTTTCTTTAGGTGCCGTGTGAAAGTAGTCGTCTCGGCTCTCCGCCCGCGTCGCCGTTGCCGCATTGTTATGCATGCACGTCAACACACATCTCCCAATCACACCGCTCCGTTGCATGTATACACATGCATAAGATATTATACGAGGCCGCCACTTCCCTCTCTTTGTCTGGTACCTCACTTTGAAAATGCGCTTCATCGCTCCCTCCTTCTGCATCTTCCTTCTGTCTACGTACCTCGTCTACACAACTATGGCAACCCAGAGTGCGAGCACTTCATCGCCCGTAACGCGTATCGCAACATTTAGGTTCCGCGATGAGGTGACACCGGCGCAGAAGGGCGACCGCACCGCAGCATTTCTGGCGCTCTATTCCGAGCATCCTGAGCTGCTGGTCGAAGGACCCAAGGGAGGCAGGCCATTGAATACACCACTTAATTTGACCAATGTGAAAAGGGAGAGTGTCTGGGATACAGGGTTTGTGGTTGTGTTCAAGGTAAATGAATTCCACTTCGTTTCGTGTGTGGTATATTGGATCGATGAGGGGGAGAGTCGGCGAGCATGAATGGTTATGAGAAAGTAGATGAAACTGATAATCGGTAGGACGAGGCTGCGAGGCAAAAGTTTGATCTAGATCCCGGACATGACAGATTGAAGGTAAGTCTTCTTGCCCTCCACATTTTTTCCTTGTTTTCATTTGCACATTTGATAGAGCTGATCAATAATGCAGGAAGAAACGGATCCGTTGCTGGAGCAGGTGTTTGTGTATGATTTTGTTGCACAGCCAAACTTGGGTTGGTGAGAATAATACAGTCAAATGGTCATGTTGATAGTTGAAGAAATCATTAATTAAATGATGGCTGTATAGAAACTGAAAGTTTGAATACGCTATGTCTGATTGGGTTGTACATAATTCGACTCACTGTATGCAGAGGAATTTCCTTGTCATGTCTCTTCCAGTAACTTTTTAGAAGAAGAGATCCATTCGTATCTGGAATCATCTGTACAGATTTCCTAAAATTAGTCAGAAGATGTGACCACGGTATGTTGGAATCTACATACCAAGCTGGACAAAGAGAGAAAAAGGTATATCAGGTCGTGGAATGTTCATCACGCTGATACATGCATTCTCTCCCCAGCCATTTCCTTGGCCGCCACTAACATTCTCATTTGGTATCAATTCAATTGCCGGACGCCTGGGATTGTCGGATCGGGGAGTTGCCGCACGCAATCCCACATGAGCACATACATAACTGTACACCTGTAGAATCTCCACTGACGATTCCCGCCCCCTATCGCCATCTATGATTTCGAATGTTGCCTCCGTTAGTCCAAGGGATATCATCGTCACTGCAGTAGACGCTCAGGTTAGGGGTGGTGTTGATGTGGACTGGTGGAAGGCCAGCCTCGAGAGCACGTCCGTGGAAGAGGTCAGAAAAGCATGCAAACCCAGATTGACATGACTCTAGGCCCTTGATCCGCGTGGGAAACGCATCCTCTATTGGTACACATCGGGCGATGAATGGCAGGCTGGAAAGCAAGAGCAGGAAACGATGAAGAAAATACATGATCGTGTGACTGGCCAGGTCGGGATTACCCAAAAGCGATTTCACTGCAGCATTTGAAACAAACCATGACTTGGTTTTCACTTTCCCGGCCTGTAAAAGCATGATACGAGCGGTTGATTTCGTATGATATACTACAATATCAAAGCCATTTACGCTGTCTGCTGAAATATATATACTTGAAAGAACCTAACGGGGTCATTTTGGTGAACAGAGCGTCTGTGGTCTCGAGTCCGCCGAAATAAGGGTGACGTTATAGAGGGGTTTGAAGAAATATATCGGCAAGTATTAGCCTATATCATGTAACTGATTGATCGGAATCAGCTGTATAAAGCCCGCTCACAATTCCCAGTTGAAATCTCCATCAACTCACCACTGCTATCTCTCACTGCAAACATCTCTACTCGCCTCGACAAGATTCTACAAAAACATATCATCATGCATTCCATCACCACCCTTTTCACAGCTGTCCTAGCCCTCCTGCCGTCTGTGCAAGCCGATATCCCTCACGGCAACTGGATGCAGCTTGACTGTTATGTCAGATATGTGTACATGGACGGCCGGCTGGTTGATTCGAACCGTAATCTCCACTACGACTGACAGCTTACCGCCCAAGCCTGCAACAAGAATTACGTCTTCTCCGTGGTAAGTACTTTCATGACCTAACTCTTTTGGGACATGCGGCCGTGCTGATGGCATACAGGCGAAATACAGCATTGGACGCGGCAGAGTAAGATTGTCTTCCATTTGCTCGAAATGAACGTGGCTAACATGTCTAAAGTGTATCGCCTATATTAGCGATGGTTTAAATGATGCTGATTTGTGGGAGAACTGTAAGAAGCAATCTCAGAATGGTTGGTATGATATCGATAGGATCACTGGTGATGTTGTTGTCAACGGTTCTCCTTACAAGGCTTATGATGCCGAAGGCCGCGGCTATTAAGGACTTAGTGCTGGTGAATTGGATAGAGAGAATCAGGACCAGTAGATCAGTGTTGCATCATTGATATTAATTAGAAGAATCTCCATTCTTCGAGCTTTGTGTCTTTCACTTTCCGTCGAGAATCTTGCTTGTGCCTGTGAGATGTTGTCATCTTACTCTGACTTTTCCTACTGTATGATATCACGCCATCATTCCTCGCAGACCTACCTGAAGTGCTCGTATGAGAGAGAGGGTTTTCTCTCACTAAGATCGCTGGCAGAATGGCTCTTTCCCCAACGTAAGTCACTCAGATATTGAACTTGTTATGGCACTCGCTCAAAGGAGTATAGTGTCTTGACACCTCCCTGATATTTCTAGTTGCCTCGAGACTACACCACAGAATCAACCTTACACAAACTTCTATTTGACCTCTATTAGCCCATATTTCCCATAGTAGACGTCAATACTCTGATTCGTTCAGTCCTGAAATTCGGGTGGCGAAATGGATGCTTTCACCACCAAGGACTCACCTGTTTGCTCTGTGCTTATGTAACACAAACGCACTCAGAGCTCTATTATTTAGAATCCCAACAATACATACCACTTCTCAGCTACTCAGGCTAATTCTCATTACCTGTCTTCCGACTTACCTCATAACTATCACTCACAATGTCTGCACCAGACGACACGAACCTCAGAGCCCTACTCCTTCTTTCTAAGGAGAGCTTTTTGGCACGTGCTCGCGAAAGCCTTCTCAGAGATTTGACCGATAATGAACTGGCCGAGTTAGTCGCGCAAATGATCAGCCGAGACAAGCCGCGAGGTGATCTAGAAGAGATCGCACGCATGATGCTAGATGTCCTTGCAAGGCGTGATGCCCAGAATGATGACCTCCTCGGCCTCGCTACGAAAGACGACACCGCGGCCGCAACAAGCGATGCATACAATGAAGTCAGAAATCCATCAGGTAAAGAAAAGCTTTGCACTCGACGACAGAACACATGCTGACAGGGAAAAAAAGGTACACAAACGGCAACCAACCCTGGCGGTGTCTCAGATGTATCACAAGAAACATCTCACAGTCCTCTGCCGATGCTCAAGCGACCCGCTGGCGAGCGATCCCCTTCCACCGTCGAAGAGACCGCAAGTACAAAGCGTGCAAAGCATGGAGATGGTACGTGGTCTAGGCTCGGATATCCCACCGTCATAACTAACGGCCTCTTGGTGGCAACAGAAAACACGGCATCTTCACTTCGCACTTGGAACCGCGAACAGATAGCTGGAAAGACGGTACAAGTCACCGCAGTTTTGTACTGGAATCCTCTCGAGCAGCGCTACTTCAAGCTAGCTCTTGATGATGCCGAGGACCCTTTAGCCAACTTCATCGCCAACGACTTGGATGTTGAATATCTCTCTGAGTCAGACCATATCGACGCATGGAGAGATCTGTTAATGAATCCACAATACTACATCAAAAAGCGATGGTGCGTCGGCCGGGCTCTTAATGAGAAAGAGGAAAAATTCTTAGGTAAGGATACCGTGAGCAGTAAAACGACGTGTGCAACCTGCATCCAATAAAAGCAGATCTGTGTCCACCTGGTCTATTTCGGAGGATTAGCTAAGCTTGTCTTCTTTCCCTTGCCATCCCGACTACAGTGGGTTGAAGAACTAGACGAAATGAGTTTCTGGACGCTGTCGTCAAGATACGATTAGCATGGTTCCTTCAAGGATGATTCAGTCACTGGTAGGAAACAGGATCAGGGATGCTAGAGTAATCGCTCGACAACCCTGATCCTAGCATCCGATCCGTACCACCGCCGTGGTACATGCGGTCCGTTACATGCGCTGGAGATGTGATGGATATTCATGTAGAACAATGGGGAGAGTGAATGCCGTGAGGGGCCATGTGCACTGATAGCCAACATGCTAATACATAATACAGATCTTATTTCTCACTCGATAGCAAACTACATATTATTCACACGAGATAGATTGTGTATTCTTAGTATCTTCTTTATCTTCTCCTGGCTCTAGCTCTGGTCACTGCTAAGCACAGCGTATGCATTAGTGATCTCTTGTTTGGACTGTTGCCTCTGTTCAGCCTTCCTCTTTTTTCTGTCCGCTTCTCTCAACTGGCGCTTCTTCTTCTTGTTTGAAACGTTCTCCGTAGGTACCTCAACGCCAGCAGAGACATAAATCTCTTCAACCAAAGCTCGCAGCTCGTCGTGGTTTGCTAATACGCGCTTTGACTGTCCTGGTACGCCAAATCCTTCGGGTATGGACGGAAGAGTGCGCATACGTTGATCCAAGCTGAGTAGGCAATCATGTAACCTTTGATCTGCCTTTGGTTTGACTACAAGCCATACGCTCACGATTTGACTGAACATGCGCAGTGAGTATAATGCAGACTGTAGGCGAGCCATGAGTTGTACAAAAGCCCACGTATTGTCAAAATCGCCGTTGATCACCCGGAGTGCCAGAGGAATCGCAGGAGCGCTTTTCAACTCAGCGAGTACCAGACTAAGCGCGAAGAGTGGCCAAAGTAGCATGGGTTGAAGCTTTCTAGAAGTAGACCAGTCTATTAGGGTGCGAATCTGTCGCTCAAGGTCTCTGATTGGCGTTGGCAGATCTACCAGAGAATATGTAGCAACCTCTTGTACAGCAACGACCTGGGCTTTGCGCCTATATTCCTGGACAACCATCCTTTCGGATGCTAGCAACGAGTAAGCCATTGCGCGGATATCGCAGCCCATGTTCCACGCGGATGCTTGGATGGGGTCTTCCATCAGTAGAGGCATGTAAACAAACGGGGTATCAGAATGTTCCAGAGCTTGGTGCACAAACTCTGACACCCGGACATCCAGACCGGGCAGACTGGAAAGATGTTTTTTCGAGTCCAGCTTGTAGAACGGGGCCACAACATTGGCAATATACCTTTTGGTAAAGGCGAGATACTGTGTAGAGTCTTTATCCAAGCTCTTAGCATTGCGGACCAAATCAGTAGCGGTGTCCTGGGGACCTTGCAGAAGAGCGAAGGCAAACGGCAACAGGCTTTTCAACTGCAACTTCTTTTGAATCTCATCGGGCCAATATGCTTTGATGCCAGTAGATACGTCAGCATCATGTAAAAATACTATGAGTGTGTCTACGCAATAGTCGTAGAGAACGAGATCTGTATCGCTGGTGAAGATGATGGATTTGGCATTCTCTTTAGCATGTAATGCACACCAATCGTCTGCTTCTCCTGGTACAATGTGCGTCCTCGAGGCAAAGGGTGACTTTTGTAACGCTTCTTGCAGCGCTGGAGCAAGGAAGGCATAAGATATCGAACCTAGGTACGTGGGGACTGGGCAAGCAGTTGTCGAATAATTTGCACGGAGCTGCTGCACACGCCTGTTGTTCTGCTCGGTTCTTGACAGCCTCTCAGTCCTCTTTGGTGGAGGCAGGGCTCCGTCGAAGAAGATGGCGACCCTGGCGAAGCGCAATCAGCGATGGAGGTCGTGAGGCAATCATTGGCATAAGTTCCAGCACAAAAGATGTGGAGATCCGTTGCACCCGAGGGTACACCGCTGGCCTGGCGGACATTTGACAATGCAAATTTTGGAATGCTGACCAAACCCTTGTGCGAAAAGCGGTGAATGAGGCGACATTTGTGCACACCTTATTGGTTTTGCAGCGAAGTTCCATGGGGTGGAATGTCAATTTGGTGTGCACACCGGCAAGGCGACGAAAAGCAACGACGGTTCACTCACACCTTGATGTTGTTGGCTTCCAGAGCGGTTAACCAGCAAAGAGCCTGAGAGACGATGTCTGAATAAGAGGGCATTTGCGAGGCGCTAGCCGTAGCTGTGAGAGCCAGCTTGTGAGCATGATAGGCGAGTGCGGGCCCATCGATCACGGCCGAATAGCCGTCGAGCTGGTCGGAGGAAAAGCGCGTGGCGTATGGCTCCAGACGTCTAGCGAGTCCCTGAATGCCCATGTTGTCTGGGGCAGCTGCACGGCTGTGCAGAACCCGGTTTCGACAGGGTGGAGTATCGGGTGATGCAGGTGTTGAGAGCTCTGCAATCAGACCTTTTTTTTCTGGCCTCAGCCCGGGAGGCAAAAGAGCTTGTCAAGGCACACAACAGGCGTCTCGACCTTGTATGCAGCTCTAGCGCGTGCAGGCAGCGGTTGTTGGGAATGGACAAGAGAAAATCTGGTGAAGATAGTCGAGCGTGGCGTTGTCTTTCTCTAGGATGAGCTAGCTCCGGCGTCATCCCGCGAGGTGGGGGGAAAGCAGGAGCTGCCCCTCTCCCCAGCCTAAAAGTTGCCCGCTGCTGCCACGCCCCAACATTCCTCTCAATTGCTTTGATCTTTCGTTGCATTGTTTCAAGCAAGCACTCACACACCCATCATGAGCGTCCGAACTGTCGAATTGAAGCCTTTCCAGGACCAGAAGCCCGGAACGTAAGTTGCAACTCCAAGCTCTGCCAGCCCCATAGAGGGAGCTCCGTAGTATATGACAAGCAGCTAACCACAACGCTATAGTTCTGGTCTCCGCAAGAAGGTCAAGGTTTTCCAGCAGGAGCACTACTCGGAGGCTTTTGTTACCAGCATCCTCTTGTCTATTCCCGAAGGCGTCGAGGGCTCGTTCCTCGTCGTTGGTGGTGATGGCCGTTACTGGAACCCTGAGGTCACTCAGGCCATTGCTAAGATTGGTGCTGCCTATGGCGTCAAGAAGCTCTTGATCGGCCAGAATGGCATCATGAGCACGCCTGCCGCCAGTCATCTCATCCGTGTCCACAAGGCGACTGGTGGTATCCTGCTGACTGCCAGTCATAACCCCGGTGGTAAGTAACTGCCCCTCCCGTCTCATGTCGTTCCGGTCCAAAATCTAACACCTCTCAGGCCCCGAGGAGGACTTTGGCATCAAGTACAACTTGGCCAACGGTGCTCCCGCTCCCGAGAGCGTTACCAACAAGATCTACGAAACCTCCAAGACGCTCACCTCATACAAGATCGCCGACATTCCTGATATCGACCTCAGCACCATTGGCACACAAAAGTATGGAGAGCTCGAGGTTGAGATTGTCCACTCCACTGAGGACTACCTCAAGATGCTCAAGGACATCTTCGACTTTGATCTCATCAAGTTTTTCCTCAAGCAACACCCTGACTTCAAGGTTCTCTTTGACGGTCTGAGCGGTGTTACTGGCTCCTACGGAGTCGACATCTTCGAGAAGGAGCTCGGTATCCCCAACAGCACACAAAACTGCGTCCCCAAGCCAGACTTTGGTGGCCACCACCCCGATCCTAACCTCGTCTACGCCAAGTCGCTGGTCGATGCTGTTGACAAGAATGGAATTCACTTTGGTGCTGCCAGCGACGGTGACGGTGACCGAAATATGATCTACGGTGCCAAGTCGTTTGTCTCCCCCGGTGACAGTCTGGCTATCATTGCACACCACGCAGAACTCATTCCATACTTCAAGAAGCAGGGCATCTACGGTCTTGCCCGTAGCATGCCCACATCTGGTGCAATTGATCTTGTCGCTAAAGCGAAGGGTGTCGAGTGCTACGAGGTGCCCACTGGCTGGAAGTTCTTCTGCGGTCTTTTTGACTCCAACAAGATGAACATATGCGGTGAGGAGAGTTTCGGAACCGGTAGCAACCACATCCGTGAGAAAGACGGACTGTGGGCTGTTGTCGCCTGGCTGAACATCCTGGCTGGCGTCGGACAAAAGAGTGGTACCACACCCAGCATTGCTTCAGTTCAGAAGGACTTCTGGAAGACTTACGGACGTACCTTCTTCACCCGATACGACTACGAGGGCTGCGAGACCGAGGGTGCTAACAAGGTCACGAGCCACATGAAGGAGCTCATCACCACCAAGAAGGACGAGTTTGTTGGTTCAACCATCGCTGGCCGCAAGGTCACCGAGGCGGACGACTTCTCGTACACGGACCTCGACGGCAGCGTCAGCAAGAACCAGGGTATCTACGTCAAGTTCGATGACGGCAGTCGCATTGTCGTGCGTCTGTCCGGTACAGGAAGCAGCGGCGCCACCATCCGTCTGTACATAGAGAAGCACACTAGTGACGAGTCTACATACGACATGGATGCCCAAGACTTCCTCAAGGACAACGTCAAGCTTGCGACCGATCTCCTGAAGCTCCAGGAGTACATTGGCCGCACCGAGCCCGATGTCAAGACATAAGCGTGTTGCTGGAATAGATGTGTGTGTAGAGTAATGAGTATGATGAGACGAGTAGGCCACGATCGCACGACTTTAGCATGATAGTAAATTGTAAAAGTAACAACATAGTGTTTGTGTTCTGCTAAGATTGCTGTGGTTGATGCTTGTTGGCCAGGGTGTCGAGGTGTGCCATCTGAGCAGCCAAACTTGTATTATTGATACTTCTGAGGAATAAATTCCCTGAAGAACTGGTGGCGATACCTCCTATCTGGGAGCGTGGCGAGTGAGATCATCATAGCGGACTTGATGTTGCGCGTCCCGCTGATTAGCCTGGAGACGTCATCCGAAACTAAACGCGCCGTCTCCATAACACAAGCACTGGGCCTTCCCACCGCTAACTTGTCGCATCCCCCGCTTTTCACGCATCTCTACCCACGCGCGCTACCCCGTAAAGGCTTCCGCACCCCCAGCATCCTACAAGGACACCAACACACGCCAAATCAACCACAAGTCGCAATCATGGCCGAGAAAGAAGGCGCCGCTGTGCCCCCTCAGGCAAAGAGCTCATGGTCAAGCTTCCTCAAGGTACGACACGAGACCACAGCGAGCACGCTCTGGTATTTGAATCGAGAAATCTCACCAGTCTCCGGTGTGGGAAGGGCAGATGGAACTGCCCCAAAAAAACTCTTCTTTGCCTTAGATCTGACTAGCTAACATTTGACAATAGTCCATCGCCTCCTTCAATGGCGATCTCTCGACTATGACCGCGCCCGCCTTTATCCTCTCTACAAAGTCCCTCACCGAGTTTTCGTCCTACTGGACCGAGCACCCCTCCCTGTTCGTCGCGCCCGCCGCCGAGCAAGACCCTGCTAAACGGGCTATGCTGGTATTGAAGTGGTTCCTAAGCACATTGAAACAACAGTATGCTAGCCGGTCTGAGAAGTTGGGTAGCGAGAAGAAGCCTCTCAACCCATTCTTGGGAGAGTTATTCCTGGGTAAATGGGAAGATGAGGCTGGTACCACGCAGCTCGTGAGTGAGCAGGTCAGGTACGTAGGCATATTCATTGGCTTAAGATTATTGAGACGATACCATTGGGTAGGTCCGATGTCTGTCAGTAGACTTACTAACACAATGCATATAGCCATCACCCACCAGTTACTGCCTACGCCATCTGGAACGACAAACACGGGGTCCGGCTGGAGGGTTACAATGCCCAGAAGGCATCGTTCAAGACCACCATCAATGTCAAGGTGAGTCGGGCACCTGTGTTATTGCATCATTCAATATTAATGGACAATAGCAAATTGGCCATGCCATGCTTCATCTGGATGGCTTCAACGAGAGCTATCTAATTACTCTCCCTTCCCTTCACATTGAAGGCCTTATTACCGGCTCGCCATATGTAGAGTTGAACAGCAGCACCTACATCCAATCCTCAACCGGATACACCGCGCGCATCGATTACAGCGGAAAGGGCTGGGTATCAGGAAAGAAGAATACTTTCTCTGCAATTCTATATCCCGAGGGAAAGGAAAAGGAGGTCATTTACAAGGCAGAGGGACAATGGAACGACACATTCCAGATCAAAGATGCAAAGACCAAGACTGTCGTTGACACATTTGACCACAAGACCACCAAGACGACACCCCTGACTGTCGCCGAAATTGAGGACCAGGATGATTTTGAGACCCGAAGGGCGTGGAGGAAGGTTTCAGATGCCATCAACTCGGGCAACATGGAGTTGACTTCGGCTGAGAAGACCATCATCGAGACTCGCCAGCGAGAGATGAGACAGGAAGAAAAGGACGAAGGTCGCGAGTGGGAGCGCAAGTTCTTCACTCGTGCAACGGAATACCCACTGTTTGAGCAACTGGCCAAGAAGATTGGCGAGAGCGTCAACGACAACCAGACAAACGGTGTGTGGAGCTTTGACAAGCAGAAGGCAGACACGGCCAAGTCACCCTACCACCCGACCGTTGTTCCTCCGATCTACGAGCGAAAGTGAATTAATGTATTTTGAAACTTTCCTCGACCTCGAACGGCTGCTGTTCGTTATAGATTATGAGAGTTATAATGCTGGAAGAAGGATCAAGGCGAAGGGAAAGGCCAATGGTGTTGAAGAAGGAAATTTCGGTAGGGCTTGTGCACAGTGAAAACCACGTATATGGACAATGGGTGATGCAGAGGCATATTAATGAAGGGTTATTGTCGACTAGATATAAAATACTGAAGACATCCAACAAAGCTTTGGAGGTAATGCCATCCAACGTCAGGTCAGCACAGCGGTGATATAATTGCTTTTTCGACTTGATTTTTTACATGTACTAGTACAGTGAGCTTGAGTCGCCAGGCTATTAGGCATCTTTAGTCGCAGTCCGCTTGTTGTTCCCATGTCGCTGCCAACACTGTCGGAATATTTCCATCTAGACAGATTGTGTTAGCTGTGTTCTGGTGTTGTGACTGTTCGGCTCCGTCTCGGCTTCCGGACTAAGGGTAACACTCGACCTACTTCTTGCTTGCACCCTCGCCAGTCCTTCTTGTCATAGTAACAATCGGTCAGTTTGGCATTTTCGTCTGCATAGAGGTTAATTGAGCTTCTTTTCTTCAATCCCACTCCGCTCAGCATACCTGCACAGCCTGTGCTAAAAATACGCTTGTCCCTGCCATCGTCATTAGCTTTGCTACTCGCAACACCGGAATCACCACCCACCAGTCATCGGGTTCGTCATCAATCATCAATTGTGCCGCAGCGGCACGTGCCTTGTCATCGTTTGACATCTTGAAGAGCTTGGGATTCGGAATTGGTGGGTGTTGAGGTCGAGTGACTCGCGCCGACTTACGTACCCTGAAGGCGCACGGACAAACTCGGTCCGCCTGGTGAACGTCACCATACTGTATCAAGCAACATGGCATCCAAGAAGATGAATGTCTTGGTTTACTCGGGTATATTGATCTGAAAGAGACCGGGAAAAGAAACTGATGCATCGTAGGCAATGGAAGTACTACCGAGTCTGTTCGTAACTGTATATACACTCTACGGCGATTATTGTCTCCTTCGTATGCCGTCATACCTGTCACAGGAGACGTGATTATCAAGGAGCCATGGTTCAGTACTTGCGCACTTCTTGTGTTTCCTGGAGGTGCCGATATGGCATATTGCCGTACGCTCAATGGCGAGGGAAACCGCCGCATCAGTCGCTATGTGAATGGAGGTGGCTCCTACCTTGGCTTCTGCGCAGGCGGTTACTATGGCAGTGCAAAATGCGAGTTTGAACTCGACGACCCCAACATGGCAGTAGAAGGTGATCGCGAGCTCGCCTTCTTTCCGGGCACGTGTCGTGGACTGGCGTTTGCAGGGTTCAAGTATGCTAGTGAGGCTGGTGCCAGGGCAGCCGACATCAAGATCCACAAGGAAGCTTTTGATAGCATTACTGAAGGTGTTGCGGACACTTTCAAGAGTTATTATAATGGAGGTGGCGTATTTGTTGATGCGAAAATGCTGGAGAACCGGGGTGTACAGATCCTTGCCAGTTATACTGAAGACTTGCATGTCGACTCTGGGGACAGCAAGGCTGCGGTGGTGTATCGGAAAGTTGGTGAAGGTCATGCTATAGTCACTGGTCCACATCCTGAGTAAGTCTAACATTCTTTCTTTAACATCCATTGGCTGACCCTGCACAGATTCGCACCGCAAAACCTTAGCATCGTACCAAGCTTGCCAAACTACAAAGAACTGATTGACGACATCGCTGCCACAGATGCCACTAGAGTGGATTTCATGCGCTTGGTCCTCGAGAAACTTGGCTTGCGTGCTAATGAGAAGGAACAAGCGGTACCGTCCCTTTCCCGCCTGCACCTCACTGCTCATAACCTAGCAGACGTCTCGGCACTCGTTGCCAGCTGGACTGAAATCATCACTGTAGTTGATGACGATGAATACATCAAGGGAGGCAATGATGTGTTCCGCATAGAGAAGGAAGGAACTGCTTGGAGTGTGAGAGAACTAAAGAGAGCAGTGAGTGTGGTATCGGAGAAATTGCCCATCCTGGCCGCTGTGACGGACGGCGGGAAAGAGCATGCAGACAAGAATCATGTGGTGGAGGAAAGCAAAAATAACAGACCTAAGACGGATGAAGAGGAGATACAAGAGTGCATCGAGTACACTGCAAGTACCGACCCAGATCAGATTGTGGAGTATGGAAAGATTGTCAAGGTCGTGATCCCGCATGAGAAGGCGCTTCCATCGACAAAGGATACACTATTTCATCATGAAGCCTACTATGCTAATCTACACCATTACCATAATAAGCTGCGAAACCCAGCTGCGTCGTTTGGAAAGCATCTTATCTACGGCGAGGTTGTCACTTCTACAAACACTCTTCTCGAAAAGAATCCGTCGCTACTGCGGAGTCTCCCCAACGGCTTCACAATGACTGCAACAACCCAGATCGCAGGGCGTGGTAGAGGCAGCAACGTGTGGGTAGCACCTAGAGGAGCCCTAATGTTCTCCACCGTCCTACACCACGCCTTCTCGCTCAGCCAAAGCGCACCAGTCATCTTTATCCAGTACCTCGCTGCACTAGCCATCGTGCAAGGAATCAAGGGCTACGCACCCGGCTACGAGAAGATGCCCGTAAAACTCAAATGGCCCAACGACATCTACGCCCAACTCCCCGGCTCCGCCAACAATCCCGTCGTCAAGATCGGCGGCATCCTAGTAAACAGCAGCTACTCGGGCTCCTCATACGACGTCGTAACAGGTATCGGGCTGAACCTCTCCAATGCGCTCCCCACCACCTCCCTCAATATGCTCGCATCGAGCCTCTCACCGCCGCTGAAACCCCTGACGCACGAAAAGCTCCTTGCGTCCATCCTCGCGCACTTTGAGACGCTGTACACGTCATTTTGCCACTCTGGGTTTAATCGCGAGATGGAAGGGGAGTACTATGATTGCTGGTTGCATACAAATCAAATTGTTACGCTGGAGAGTGAGGGTGGGGTTAAGGCGAGGATCAAGGGGATTACGCGGGATTGGGGACTGTTGCTTGCGGAGGAGCTGGGGTACGAGGAGAGGCCGACGGGCAAAGTGGTTACGTTGCAGAGTGACAGTAATAGTTTTGATTTCTTTCGGGGGTTGGTTAGGAGGAAGGTGTAGGGTGAGTTAGGTGGACTTGGTTGATGGGTCTATGGGTCGGTGTTTGGGTAGAGAAAAGAGGTACTTGGGGATGTTTGTATATTTGTGAGGAATCGGGGTATACAAAAGTTTCTGTATTTTCTTTTGATATATTTTATCAGCCGATAATACGAAAGATGAAATCACCATATGCAATGCCTTCCTCAAAATCCAACCGAGAACATAATGCGATGTTGTACCACCACCATCAACAGAGCACGCAGTCTCACTAGTCCCGCTTGGCAGACAAGGATGTTGCACCCCTGCCACTTTGAAAGTCGGGAATTTCCCCAACACCATGACGGCGCAACATCGAACCCTCCTCCAAAGGCCCAATTGCGGTCCCCCTCCCACCAACCACCACCTAAAATGAATCTCTCAATCTTCCGCCCGATACTCCGATCATCCACTGCGCCATCGATACAGCGGCCATCCTGCAGTTGGCAATCCCTCACACGCCCACATCTCCAACAAACGAAACCCAGCACACACTCCTCCCCATTCTCCTCTACATCCCGACTACAAAAGCGCTCGAAAAAGGGTGGAGGCAATGATCCGAGGATAAGTACGTCTTTCTCCCCCATGCCACCTATAATCCACTTCCACTTAAGCTAATTAAATAAAATAGCAAACATCCGCTACCACCTCTCCCACCCCCTAACCCCGCGCCCCCTCCACTTCTCGCGCAACCGCTCTTTGCGGCACTGGACCATTCACCGCGCCTGGCTGCTCTTCCTGCGCAAGCGGCGCGCCGCCGAAGAACGCGAGTTGGAGCGTCAATACAACAGTATGCGAGCTGCGTGTGAGCACCTGCGGCTTCTCGACGATAAGGGAAACAGAGTGACTGAGGAAGAGGCGGGGGGCCAGGGACCGGATGCGGGGAGGCTAGGGGTGAAGGGGAGGGAGGTAGGCAGGTTGTACCGCAGTGCGATGTTGAAGAGGGGGGTGTGGGGGAGTGTGCCGGTCGAATATGCGAGGGTGCAGACGGATTTTCCGGGGAGGGAGGGGTGGAATCATGCTTGGACGAGGAATTAGGAATCGTCGTATTTTGTATGTGTGAGGAGGGATGGATGGATGGATGTATATTATATGCGGAGAGAGTACGATTTTCTGTCCAATAACTAAAAACTAGCTACCACTACTACTACTACTATCTTTTTTCTATTCCCCAGACAATTTTCTCGCTTTCTCTCCTCTCGTTCCATGTCTAGCACGCTCTTTCATTAGACCTTCAAACTCAGAGGGGGGAGGGGGTTGTTTCTTTTATCTTCTCTCTCTCCTTGAACAACGTAAATACGTGTATATATATAAATGTATAATCGGGTAGCACACATACGTACACACATACACGCGCACACATGACTCTAATGCCCCTACCAAACAAAAAAAACAGAAGCAATCAACCTTTGTCGTACATTAGAGGTTAGAAGAAGTAAAAAAACCTCATCCTTTCTCTTTCTCTATCTCTCTCTCTCTCTCAATATCTCATTCTCTCTCGCCATCTCTTTACTAAACACAAAAAAAAGAGACAAGCAATACAAGCAGAAAACTCGCTCAGAACGGAAACATGGAACTAAGAAAAAGGCGCCAGGCAAGAAACCAAAAAAACACAGGGGATTTAAAAACGATGTCAAAAGGCCAAGAAATGGATAATATGAGGGAAAAAATAAGAGGATTATGGCAATTGAACCTCCATGAAACGGACATTTACTCCATGTAAAAAGTTTTTACTCCGCCCAATGCATTTTATGTCAGTTGTGAGACAAAGAAGAAGAAGAGAAAGTCTTGGTTAAACGTGGTAACGAGCGAGTGAACGCTCAGCTTTTTTCCTTTTTTGTTTTTTTTATAAAACGACGCATCCGCATCCTGGGTTTTCCTTCTTGTCGACAGAAAGAAGAGCAGCGCGGGTAGCGGCTTCAAAAACGTCGTCGACGCCGTCGCCGGTTAGAGAGCTGCACTCGAGGTATTTGCGGGCGCCAATCATGTCCTTCATATCACTGCCCTGCTTGGTGGTTGTGAAACGCAGTGACTTCTTGCGCATCTCTTCCTGGGCTAAGGGGTCGTCGCGGAGATCCTTTTTCAGGCCGACGAGGATAATGGGGACGGTGGGACAGCGTTCACGGGCCTCTTCGGCCCACTTGTGCTTGACATTGTCGAGGGAGTCGGGCGAGTCGACAGAGAAGCCAATGAGGATAACGTGTGCTTTGCTGTATGCAAGAGGGCGCAGACGCTCGTAATCTTCTTGTCCAGCCGTATCCCACAGAGCAAGCTGTACGGACTTGCCGTCTACTCTGCAGTCAGTGACGTAGTTTTCAAAAACTGTTGGGACATATCGCTGCGAGGCGGCGTTAGCATGCTAGGTTGAAGAGGAAGGTGTTGTTGCCGGTGGCAACGAGTACGAGGACATACGGTTGGAAAGTAACCCAAGGTGAAGACGCTCAGCAGACTGGTCTTGCCGCAGGCACCGTCGCCAATAATGACTAGCTTCCTAGAGGGAGAAGATCAGCAGGGCGCGCAAGAGATGCATGGTTTGGATGCAGCGTCGGAGGGGTGTTAGGGTGTGATGCTGATGCAGGAAGGCCGAAAGCAGCAAGAATTGAGCGCGAGTCGATAAAAAGTGGACATGGGGATGGAGTGGCATAGGCTATTTTTAGGCGGGCGAATGCTCGGACCGGGAGCGCCGTATGCAAGGTGTGACGCAAAAGCCGGGGTGCAACAGGCCAAGGTATCGACGCATGTCAAAGTTTGAGCAGCAGTCGCGCGGGTGGTGCCAGAAGACGGTGTGGGTGAGACGGGGAAAGGAGGCGACGAAGAGGGGAGGTGCAACGAGGGCGAAAGATGAAAGCGAGATAGACGCGAGAATAGGAAAGGCTGAAGAGCAACAGGGGTGTGTGGAATGAGAGTAAGGAAAAAAAGTTGGGATTGTACGCACCTGCGCATGACGGGCTCGCCGTTTTGCTGTTGTTGGGCCATGGCGGGTGTGGAGTGGAGGGGAGTGAGGCCGCGTGGAGGGTCGAGAGTGAAGGATGGAGGATGAGGGAGACGGGTGAGCAGAAGGCTCGGATACAATCAAGTAGCCGTGGCTGAGAGAAGGGGAAGCAGCGGTAGTGGGTGCAGCGACGTGTGTATCGCTATCGCGCGTGTGTCAACAAGCGGCGGCGCGGGCTGGATGGACGGGCGTTGGGTGAGTGAGAGCGCGACGGGCAGCGAATGGATGGGCGGGCGGGCGAGGCGACGAGCCAATGAGTGGGGGGCGATGCAGCGAGAGAGAGGGAGAAGCGAGGGAGTGAGGATGGCGGGAGGTGTGGTCCTCGTGGGTGGAGGTGGAGGTGGAAGAGTGGTGGTGGTGGTGGTGGTGGTGGTGATGGGGATGGCGGTGTTGATGTTGGTGTTGGTGTTTGTGGTAGCGGGTAGTGTCAGTCTCGTGCGACAGCGACGGCGACGGCGGCAGGGGAGCTAGTGACGGCCGGGCGAGGAATAGTTCCGTGGGCGGCGGATGAGGCACACAGCACAGAGGGACGGGCGGGACCCTTTAATAATGGGCGTTGACGATCACGGCGGAGGCACGCACGAGCGCAGACTAGGTGAGGAGTCGGCGGCGGGGCGTGTGTCGGTCGTGTCTGTGTGCGTGTGCGTGTACGGGTATGGGTGGTGGTAGTGAGAGTCGGTGTGAGTTCAGGTGTGCTGGAGGCTCTCTCTGGTACCTATGCCAGCAGCACTGAGCTGAGCGTGCAGTGATACGGGGGCGCTGAGGCGCAGTCATGGTCGGCGTGGTTGGTGCACAGCCGCCACCTGCCTGTGCCTGCTTGCGCCCGCCGTCGCGCCTGCCCTCGCTCTCCTGGCCTTCCGCTGCCGTTGGACACGCACAGGCCGGACCGGCTCAAGGCAAGGCCACAGCCAAGTGCAAGTGCAAGTGCAAGTGCAAGGCTGACCCGCGCCAAGACATGGCACCTGCCGCCCGCGACACCTCCAACAACTGACGCCCTGCCGCTCTCCGCAAACACCAAGCCCTGCTCACCACCCGACCACACTGACCGCGAGCCTCGCTCCCCCTCCGCCAGCAACCCCCCCGCTGTGCCTCTATACGCCGCCCATAGCACCCGCCCGCTCTGCACGCCGCCCGCCCCCGTCGAGAGCCCGGCCAGCCCCTCCTCCCACTGCTCCACTCCCACCACCACGAGAGCACTTTTGTCTACGCCCCCCCGACCCATTCCCGCTCCACCACCTGCACTGCACTGCATTCCCGCTCCCATCCGGCCCATTGCCCTGCAAGTCCATGGCACAGGGCACCAGAGGTCCGGCTACGGCTGCCATGCCGCCCAACGGCACTGCGACTGCGACTCACGATCCCGCTCCAACCCCCGTCAACCGCAAGAAGCAGAAGCGACGCGAGAAGGAGGCGGCCAAGAAGGCTGCTCAGGAACCTCACCCGCCTGCATCTACCCCTGCGCCTGCTCGGAATGGCCTGACCCCCACCCAACAGCAGCAACAGCAACTTCAACAGCAGCAGCAGCAACAACAACAACAACAGCAACAGCAACAGCAATATGCCCACCCCGAGCTCGATGAACCCGCCTACGAAGAGGGCGCCTACTACTCCGACGACGACTACGAACACACATACGGCGCCAACGGCGACTACCAGCAGCCCTATGGCCACGCTCCCGTGCGCGGCAGTTCGGGCAAGAAGTCGCGGCGCAAGAAGAAGGCGCCTTCTGCACCCCCACCGCTGGCTTACTCGCAGCATCTCCCCACGCGCCAGAGCCCCGCCCCCAACTCGCATTCCATGAACCGCTCCGCCTCCAAAAAAGACCGTATATGGAACACGTCCACGGCCGAAGAGCGAGAGCGCATACGCGACTTCTGGCTGTCCCTCGGTGAGGATGAGCGCAAGTCGCTCGTCAAGATTGAAAAAGAGGCCGTCCTGCGCAAGATGAAGGAACAGCAGAAACACTCGTGCAGTTGCACCGTCTGCGGCCGCAAGCGCACCGCCATCGAGGAGGAGCTAGAGGTTTTATATGATGCATACTACGAGGAACTCGAGCAGTACGCGCACCACCAGCAAGACGTCGCTAGTTTCATGCCCGAGGCTAATCATCGCTATGCGTCCAGTGCTCCTCATCCGCGCCCCATGCTCAACCCCCCGCAACCGCACGGCCCCTACGACGACGATGACGAGGAAGAGTACGACTCGGGCGAGGAAGACGACGAAGACTCCGAGTACGACAGCGAAATATCCTCCGAAGGCGATTACAGCTCCGGCGAACCCTCCCTGCCGCCCCCAGAGCCCTCCGACTTTCTCCAGTTTGGCAGCAGTCTACAGGTCAAAGGTATGCATACATATACACCGCCAACCACAACCCCTCTGCTGGGAGCATGCTGATTCATCCCTTTAGGTGGCATACTTACAGTCGCTGACGATTTGCTCAAGAACGATGGGAAAAAGTTCATTGAAATGATGGAGCAGCTGGCCGAGCGGAGAATGCAGCGCGAAGAAGAGGCACAATTCTCGGCCCACCCAAATATGCAACATCGTTCCTATGCCGGCCACAGTCACAGTGCTCCCCCGCCAGAAGACGACGACTACGACGATGAGGGGGAAGACGATGAGGACTACGACGACGATGAGTACGACGAAGATGAGGACGATGAGGAAGTGCGTATTTTTGTGCCGGAGTCTCACTACTTACAACTAATTGACCCCAGGGGACCATGACGGAGGAGCAGCGCATGGAGGAGGGTCGACGAATGTTTCAAATATTTGCAGCCCGGATGTTTGAGCAGCGAGTACTCCAAGCATATCGAGAAAAAGTGGCCGCAGAGCGCCAACAGCGGTTACTCGAAGAGTTAGCGGAAGAGGACATACGAAAGGACGCGAAAGAGGCAAAAAAGGCAAAAGAAGCCCAGAAGCGAAAGGAGAAGAAGGACAAACAAAGGCAGCAAAAGGCAGAGGAAAAGGCTCGTAAAGAGGCGGAACAGGCGGCCAAGGAGGCAGAAGCAAAGGCAGCAGAGGAAAAGCGCTTAGAAGAACAGCGCAAGAAGCGCGAAGAGCAGCGGAAGAAGAAGGAAGTCGAGCGCAAGGCGCAAGAGGAGGAGAAGCAGCGCAAGGAGGCTGAACGACTGAAGCGCCAGCAAGAAGAGCGTGAGAGGCAGCAGGAGGCTGAGAAGAAAGCACGCGAGCAGAAAGCTTTGGAGAAAAAGGCCAAAGAGGAAGTAAAGCGCAAGGAACGCGAGGAACGCGAGGCCAAAGAGAAGGAGGCAAAGGAGAAAAAAGCACAAGAGGAAAAGGAGCGCAAGGAACGTGAAGCCAAGTCAAAGACCGATAACAACAACAACAACAACAACAACAAGGATCGCCCACGCAAGGAGGACCAAGCTGCTGTCGCGGCCGCTCACAACGCTGTTGCATCTAAAAAGGCATCACAACCGCCTGCCGTCGCATTACCTCCTCAATTGCTCAAGCAAAACTCGTCTACAGGAATACCCTCGCCCCATGTCACACCGGCTCTCCCAAAGGCCCCTACCCCGAATCGACCGCGGCAGACTTCGCAGCAAAATTCTCACGGTTCTTCGCCCAAGACGCCCCATGCTACCATGGCGACGAGCAAGTCAACCTCGCCATCGTCACAGTCGCATGGACAGTCAATACCGCGGTCCATTTTGACAAAGCCTCCTATTCCGCAGCAAGCAATGTCCACATCACACGGCCAGCCGACATCTCCAATGCCCCCCATGGGACCGCCACCGGGAATGCCAGGGCCACCGGGCTTAGGCATGGCCAATATGCCTCCAGGTCTGAACGGATTCGGAAATCCAGGGTCGATGATACCTGGCATGATGGGACCCCGCCCCAACATGCCCTTCTTCGCGCAACCCACCCCGCAAGGCTTTCGCGGATTCCCACCGCCAGGCATGCACACTGCAGGTGCGCTACCCATGGGCCGAGGATTTCCAATGGAAGGACCGCCAGGATTCCCTGCACCCCCTGGATTCTCAGCACCAATGCCCTCCGCCTTCCCCATGGGCATGCCGTCACATTCTCGGCAGGGCTCTGGGTCTTTTGAGCGACTTTCGAGTGTTGAGAGCCCAATCGCCGCTCCCCAGGCGCAGCCTATTCAGAGACCGGCGCCCATCCAGCGACCTTCGAGCGTCAAGCCAGTCGACGACCCCAGAGGTTCTGATATTGACGAGCTCGCAAGCCATCTTGGAAGCAAGGCCCTGTTGGACGACGAAGATGACATGCCCGAGCTGCCTGACCGACGGCCTAGCTTACAGCAGCACGGATCTGTGAGAGCTCCATCATTCGGGTTTACAGACATTCCAGGCTCACAGTATGGCTCGTTTGGCGGGCCAGGTGGAGGGAGCATCTGGGGAACACCACCTTTGCAGGGGTTCAACTCTGGTGCCACGTGGGGTCATTCGCCGACCTCCAACATCTTCAACAGTCCCTTTTCAGCCCGAGGCCATGAGCGCAACCCGAACGAACCACGTATTGTCTGGCTCCGCCGCATAGTCTGTACTGCCTGCAGGACGCTAGCTCCTCGTAGCTCTGATCCAGAAGGCTATGTCGACGCTGCAGAAGTACACCGTCATGTTGATGCATCACGGGGTGCGCTTGAACCTGTTGTGTCTATGGACGAGATGAAAGAAGCTTGCGATATTCTTGATGTGACGCAAACCAATGGCGGTGGCAGCCTCGAATACAAAGAGGAAAATGGCCGGCTCTCGCACATCAAATTCAGCGACAACGCGCCAGCTCCTCCGCCTTTGGGCGAAATCGGTAGTCCCATTCCTAGTCACAGCGTGTTGGCCGGTGGCTTTGGAAGGTTTCCTGGACTTGGCCCGCAAGGATTTTGAGGGCATTTGGTCTCACTCATTCCACGTCCTATTTCTTTGGCAGCCGTGTTGTCTTTGGGTCGGCTCACTATGCCATATCTCTTCTGGACTTTTCTTGTTCGACTTTTCCCCCAGATAATTCAGTCGTGCCTTAGCTCAGGCGGAGGCAATCTACTTCACTTTTCTTGTGCCAAGACAAGTCATCAACTACAGTGCAAAATGTGATGTCTTGCCATGTGGGGTCAACGCTAACAGAACAGAGAGAGATTAATTATTCATGCCAGCAATGCGAGTAGCTAATAAGATATTGGCGGGTAGCATCGGGCGGCTCCACTCGAGATGCTAGGGTTGTAACGCGCGCAGTGGCAGTGGACAGAGAGAGGAGCGGTCAAGCTCTCCGCCCATCTCACGACCCCGCATTGGGCCAAGGTCTGTAGCTGCAGCAGAAGCAAAAGGTAATTTTAGTAGCCCAAACAGGGTAGCAACGACTATACTTTGGCGTGAGCTTTGGATCTGGTTCAGCCAAAGGTCATTACGAGGCTGATAGTGTGCAACTAAGAATAGATTGAAGCCGAGGTGGGTGATGGTTAGCCAGGTACGAGTGCAACGTCATCCGAAGCGGAAAGAAGCAGCCCTGCAACATCCCTGCTAGCTGCGTGGGCGGGGTCTTTGCCTGCATCTGCCTCAGCACAACACTGTTGTACATCAAGAGCCACGCTCCCCGCTCTGAGGCCATTACCTGTCAATCTCAGCATCGGTCTTGTCTGTTTTCTTGTCGACTTTCCATCCCCTAACCAACATTTACGGCTCGACCTTTTTGGAAGAAACCATCAAATAAGCATCATGTCTGACCCAATTGTCGATGCCGCGCAGAAGCACCCTGCGCCAGAGGGACTGGTGTACACATATGGCACTGCCGGGGTAGGTACAAACAGAGTTCATCTTATTGACATCATCAAGCTGACTAGGCATCTGTAGTTCCGAACAAAAGCGTACGACACCCCTCAAACTGCCCAGCCGATCCTGCTCGCCGCCCACCAACACCCCGCACTCAGAACCCTTAGAACTAGGCTGACCGTCGCAGTGATGTCCTCGATTCCGTCTTGACCCGAGTTGGTATGATTGCAGCCCTCCGCTCACGGGCACTGAAGGGAAAATGGATCGGAGTCATGATCACGGCTTCCCACAACCCACCTCAGGATAACGGTGTAAAGCTTGTTGAGCCAATGGTATGTTTCGAGTACAGGATGTGCCAGTGACGAAAACTAACTCTGTCCAGGGCAACATGCTGCAGGTATGTCCATTTTCACTGCTCGGACCCCGACACGATCGATAGCGGGCGATCTAATAAAGCACACAGGAAGACTGGGAGGTTATCAGCACCGAGATGGCAAACAAGGCTACGCCCGAAGACGTTTCCAAGTACTACCAAGAGATTGCGGACAAGCACAAGATTGACCTTAGCGCCCCTGCTCGCGTTGTTGTAGCCCGAGACACCAGGGCGTCAGGATCAAGGCTACTCGGATGCCTTGTCGATGGTCTCAATGGCGCCGGCGCCGAGACCAAGGACTATGGGTTTTTGACCACACCCCAGTTGCACTACATGGTTCGTTGCCTCAACACACAGGGCACACCAGAGGCATATGGCGAGCCTACCGAAAAGGGCTACTATGAGAAGTTTGGCACAGCCTTCAAGACAGCTCTGCGTGGCAAGAAGCCTTCAGGTAGCTTGACGGTCGATTGCGCTAATGGTGTTGGTGGACCCAAATTGAACGAGCTGATCAAGTATCTGCCATCCAAGGACGAGGGCGGTCTCGAGATTTTTGTCATCAACGACAATGTCATCAAGCCCGAAAGCCTGAACGTTGACGTAAGTGGTGCGTTGCTTCAGAGTGGAACTTTTACTGAGCATGGACACAGTGTGGTGCAGACTTTGTCAAGACCAACCAGCGAGCACCCCCGTCATCAAAGGCTGGCCCTGGGGACCGATGCTGCTCGCTCGACGGCGACGCTGACCGCGTAGTGTACTACTTCAAGGACGAGAAGAATGTGTTCCGCCTGCTTGATGGCGACCGTATTGCGACTCTTGTTGCTTCGTTCCTAGGCGACACGGTGCGTCAGAGTGGACTTGCTGACAAGCTTACTATTGGAGTTGTTCAGACCGCATATGCAAACGGTGCCGCCACAAAGTACGTCGAGGAGACACTGAAGCTCAAGGTCGACTGCACGCCTACCGGTGTCAAGTACCTGCACCACGCGGCTGAAAAGCTCGACATTGGTGTCTACTTTGAGGCCAACGGCCACGGCACCGTCATCTTCTCTACTGACACGCTCGATACGATCGCAAAGCACGAGCCTCGTAATCCTGGGGAAAAGGAGGCTCTTGACGTGCTTCGCGCATGCATCAACCTCATCAATCAGTCTGTTGGAGATGCGCTTTCCGACTTTTTGCTCGTCGAGGTTGTGCTTGCACACAAGCACTGGGGTCCACAAGAGTGGCTGTCGACATACAGCGACCTGCCCAACCGCCTTCTCAAGGTGCAGGTGCAGGACCGAAGGATCTTCAAGACCACAGACGCAGAGCGAAAACTTACGTCACCTGAGGGCCTCCAGGCGCAGATCGACAAGGAAGTTCAAAAAGTGCGCCAAGGACGCTCTTTTGCTCGTGCCAGTGGTACCGAGGACGCAGTTCGTGTGTACGCAGAGGCCGAAACACGAGCTGAGGCCGACGATTTGGCCAGGAAGGTGCACGATCTCGTCAAGGCGGCGGGTGGCGCTTAGAAGCCGCTGCACGTGTTGCCAAGTGCTATTCGCTCTTGTGGGGAGATGTGTTTGTATGAGCAAAGCATTTGTCAAAGAGACGGGGCAGATGAAGCAAGGTCGGTCAAAAGCTTCAGCATGGACGACTTGTTTGCACCGGATTTGTTAGTCCTGGGCGAACAAAGAAAAAGACAGTGTGGGGAGTCTGAGGAAGTACATTGATTTGGGTTCTTTGGTGTTGAGATGACAAAAAATGGCGGTAGATATTGCTGCTAAACGAATGAATGAAGTATGATATTTGGTATGAATTAGGAAAGAAATTCAACCTTTGCTAGAAACAAACAAGCCTCGGTACTATGGTGTAAGATTACGTGAGATGCTAGTTGTGTAGTACCAACTTGAGCACGATAGCGATTACGAACGGGAGTAGATTTACAAACTGAACTGGCCGATTGATGCAAGCATATATTTGTGATGTACACTACTTTATTGCCAGCTCATTCCTGTTCCATGTGAGTTGCTCATGTTAATGATGGGCCGGAAGAGTCGGCATGGGCAGTGGCCAATGAAGGAGGCAGCGCCACGTGCACACGAAACCCACCCCTTGGAGCATAAAGGTGGCGGTGATTGTGGTGTGGCCTGAAACACGAAACCAGGAAACCGCAGCCTTATCCGGAACAGTGGTCACCCTGTTGAATATGAATAACAGCCATGGGACGGTCCCATCTCGGTCGGCAGTCGAAGCGCCCATTTCCGACGGATCAACGACGGATCAACGATGGCGACCGACTGTGCCGCAGCCGAGTGGCGGTGCAAAATACGATAGTTTCTTCCACATCTCCAGTTCCCCTACGGTTCGTCGGCAAAGAGGGAGGGAAAAACGAAAAAAGGCGTCTCCGGACGATCACTTCTCCTAATGAACGGGCGGCTCCCTACTCCAAGGCGCTTCCAATGACATCCAAGCGAAGGACCAGGGCCTGGAACCCAAAAATAAAGACAGCCGCAAGCCTTGCCTTGGCCTGCCGCGTACCCTTTTCCCTTTTCCTCGTCGGCGTCAAACGGCGGCGCTGAGCCAACGAATGGGCGGGCGTGCCTGGACATGTGACAGGGATCCGCCCGCGAAGGGGGGGCTAATCGTCATCCTGGGGCCAACAGGCACCTCGCCGCCGATCGCAACATTTCGCTGTACCACCTTGCGACTCTGCAACTACACGCCTGTCTTCACTCTCTTTTTATCTTTGCTATCGTTTATACTGCTCCTTGCGTAATCTGAATATTCCAATCGCAGGATATCCTGCGTTTAGAAAACACTTTTGTAGTTTGCTAATCGTCTGCTTCTACGAGGTGACCATCTGCCAGAGACATGCGCTGAGCAACCTCCCATCTGACAATCTCCCCTCCTTATCTTTCCAGTATACAGTGCGCCTGCACATGTCCGACTAAATACCTCTCGCTATACACCGTCACAAAAACTCCCACATTCGCTATGGCTTCCATTTCCCGTGGTACGCTGCTCTGGCGGGACCTGAGCGTGGAAGAGAAGTTTGAGCAATTGATGCAGAATAACCCACTCGGTGCTCAAGTATGTCGCATGCTCCCTCTTCCCCGCCAGAGATCCCCCCTGACAATTCCAGGTATCACAAGACTCGGTTCTCGTCGCTATCGGCACCTCCTTTGGCATAACCGCCGCCCTTTTCATCGCCTTTTTAATTCTACGACCATTTAATACCATCGTTTACGCCCCCCGCCTCCGTCACACAGACGAAAAGCACCGACCGCCACCTCTGGATAAGAGCCTTTTTGCCTGGTACAAGCCAGTCTTCAAAACAAATGAGCCCGAATATGTCGACAAGATTGGTCTAGATGCGACGCTGTTTCTGCGCTTTGCCCGCATGTGTAGGAACATGTTTGTTGTACTCGCCATCCTGGGCTGCGCAATCATCGTCCCCGTCAATGTTGCCAGTTCGGTGCCAACTCAAAAAAAGGTTGAAGGTGATATTAGCTCCAGGATCATTTTTCTCATGACGCCAAGAGACTTGGCTGGTCAAGTCTTTTGGGCTTTTGTCGTTTTTGCCTATATTCTAGATATCACAGTGTGTGCGTTTCTCTGGTGGACATATCGTGCAGTGCACCGTCTACGACGCCAATATCTCGAAAGTTCAGACTACCAAAACAGTCTCCATGCCCGGACCTTGATGATCACCGACATTAGCCGTAGCTTTCGCAGCGACCAAGGTATCATTGAGATTGTGGATACGCTGAAGACTACCCCCGACGTACCCCGCGTATCCATTGGACGAAACGTGAAGGATGTTCCCGATCTAATCGAGGAGCATGAAGAGGCGGTTGTGGAACTTGAGAATGTCCTGGCGAAGTATTTGAAGAACCCAGCTCAGCTGCCGGCCGAGCGCCCCATGTGCACTCCGCATAAGAAAGATCCAGAGTTTATTGGTGGAAAACAAAAGGTGGACGCTATCGACTACTTAACAGCTCGCATCCAACGGCTCGAGGCTCAGATCAAGGAAGTCCGAGAGTCAATTGATAAGCGCGACGCTCTTCCATATGGTTTCGCCAGCTACGAGAACATCACTTCGGCTCATACTGTAGCATTCAATGCCCGCAGTAAGCATGTCAAAGGAACCACTGTCCGCCTTGCACCCAAACCAAAGGATATTATCTGGAAGAATCTGACTCTGGATCCAAAAACGAGGCGGTGGAGGAAGACTGTGAACAACTTCTGGATTACGCTCCTGACACTGCTCTACTTTATTCCCAATGCCCTCATTGCCGTCTTCCTGTCAAAGCTTTCCAACTTGGGTTTCGTATGGCCAACTTTCCAGACCGAGCTGGCCCGACATGCCGACTTTTGGGCCGTGGTACAAGGTCTTGCTGCGCCGGCTCTAACGTCTCTCTTCTACTATTTTCTGCCCATCATATTTCGTCGCCTCTCGATCAAGTCCGGAGACCAAACCAAAACAAGTCGTGAACGCCACGTCACGGCACAACTATATGCCTTCTTTGTATTCAACAACCTCTTTGTCTTTTCACTCTTCAGCGCCGTCTTTGGCATGATTGTCATGATTGTCAACCTCGCAACCAAGCAAAACGTGCCTTTCATGGAGATTTTACGCTCCGTTGCCTTTTTTGATACCATAATGCGCACGCTCTGCGAAGTCTCGCCTTTTTGGGTCACGTGGCTTGTGCAACGTAACTTGGGTGCGGCCATTGACCTGGCGCAGGCTGTGAACCTGGCTTGGGGCAGTTTCTCGCGCAAGTTTCTGAATCCCACTCCTAGGGATCTGATCAACCGGACTGCACCGCCGCCGTTTGATTACGCAAGTTATTACAACTACTTTCTATTTTACTCGACTGTCGCCTTCTGCTTTGCGCCCTTGCAACCTGTAACGCTGGTCATTGTTGCAATCTACTTTTCTCTGGACAGTTGGATGAAGAAGTACCTTCTTATGTAAGTGGACGTTGTCATTTTAGTTTGAGTGCCAACTGACAATATCCAGGTACGTTTTCTGTACAAAGAACGAGTCAGGGGGTGCATTTTGGCGTGTTCTCTTTAACCGTATGCTCGTCGGCATCTTCCTCTCGAACTGCATCGTCGCACTTTTGGTTACTGCTCGTGGAGCGAACTTCAAATGGCACATGCTCGGGGCCTTGGCACCTCTTCCTATAGGGTTAATTGCGTTCAAGTTTTACTGCAAAAACACCTTTGACAATTCGCTCAAGTACTACACCCAGGGTGATAGCAAGAAGGGTGTTGAAGCGCCCACGCCAATCGACAAGGAGTCAAGGAAGAGGGACCGTGTTGCTGTGAGATTTGGGTATGTTGCTCTTATTGCTTGCAGATTTGCAATCGTTACTAACAATCAATTAGTCACCCGGCTCTCTACCAGAAACTCACCGTCCCCATGGTCAACGAAAAGTCAAAACACCTACTTGCTGAAATCTACCGGGGCCGTCTAGACGGCGACATTGGCGACACAGCCGCCTTCAGCGACGTCTACACCATGAAACGCATGTCCAAAGAAAACCCCGGCAAAATGGCATCCGGCGCCGCAGCCCCCGCTCCCTTTGAATTCGTCTCAGAATCCAACATGGACTTTGAAAACTACAAGAACCGACCCGAATTCAGCGACGAGCACGGCGGCGAGGGATCCGTCTACGGCGGCGAATCCAGCACCCACCGTCCCGACACCCCGAATTCCCACTTTGGCGGTGCTGCTGACCGCGGGCGCTCCCACTCCCGCGACTCAGACCGCACGTTTGGTGGTGCTGACGAAACAGGCGTCTCGTATCCAGCTGGCTACCACCAAACCCCTTCTGCACTCCGAGAATACAGCCCGAGTCCTGAACCGGGTCTCGGAATGCGCAGATTAGACAGCACGGAGAGTCCGTACGAGATTCCTGATGATGAAGGCAAGAGGAATTTAGTGAACAGTGCTGCGCCTATGGGTGCGGTTAGAGCACCGGCACTGCAGCAGCAGTATACGCCGTATAGTCCTAGTAGGGATGGGGCTAGGCAGCAGGATTACTTTAGTAGGTAGCAGGGTGGGGATATGATTGGCTTTTTTTTGATGATTTTCTGGCATAGCGGGTTTGGTGTTTTTGGATGATAAATTTTTTTCTCTTGAGGGAAAAAGGGTGAGGTTGGGATATAGTTGCATATCTTGATGGGTAGAGAATCAGATGGGAGGATTTGAGGATATTGATATCGAATTCAATAACATTTTTGAGAAGAAAATTGGGGGGGAGGGGGGGTTTCTAGCTGAGTGAACTTGCTGACGCTAGTGAGGATGGCTGACTTGGGGGTTATCGTGCATGGCTTCGTTACGAAGGATGTTCGCAGGTCTAGATACTAGAAATAATTTCTAGAAGTAGTCTGACTCTTCGCATTTTTTTCTCCCCCAATGTCTTGCCTTTTTATAGGTGGGAGGACTTTGAATGTGTAAAATGGCATCGCGCCGCTTTTCCCCCCCCCCCAAAACAACGGTAAGAGAAATCGCGTTTTGTTTTTCCCCCCCGTAGACTCTCAATACCCACCTCTCCACTCCCCCCTTTTTTTTTATCGGGAGGTTTAAGAGGGGAATCGTGATGGCATACATAACAGGTGAATTCCTGCGTGGTATGTAATACGCTGTCAAGAAAATTAAACTACAGCAGTTAAGAATGTGGTCGAGGGGATTTCTAGACTTGGAACGGGTTTGTGTTGTGCACGAAGTTTTTCTTAGTAGTTATTAGAGATATTTTGGGTGATGGGTGAAAGAGGGTTCAATCGGATATCTTATTTTGTTACGCATAGATGCTCTGGCGTGGTAGCAGGGAGTAGGGTAGAGAAGAGATGTACGAGGTATGGGATGAGGAAGAAAATATAGAAGTGAGTGTGTAGGGATTTTTCTAGCTTGGGTTGTTAGGGAGGTGTTGGGAGAGGGGTGGATAAGGATGGGGAAGGTAGCGAGGTACAGCGATGGAAAAAAAATTTTAGGAGAAGAGGATAGTGGGGGTTGTGTTGGGGGGGGGGGCAGCGTAGAAGTCTGGGTTGGGAAAGGTAATGGATATTCGAAACGATTGCGTGGGGGACTGGAGTACCGCGTAGCAATGGCGCTGTGACTTTGCACGAGGGCGCATAAAAAGGCCATTGAGGATATGAAAATGATTGGAATGGTGCTTGGGTAGATGGGGTTTCCCTCATGGCAGCAACTTGGTCGCTTGGGTCGTTTATTGATGTATGCTAGCTATGCTATGCATTAGTTTAGCATGTGTATCTTTTTATCTTTATGGCTCTGTCTTGCGCGTATTGCTTGTCTCTGTACAAACGAATAAATAAAATGACTATCATCCTTCCTTGCTTAGTCTTGTAGCCGCTAAGAGCTGTCGTAGCAATGCTCGGAAATCAGGTGCGAGAGAATAATAGGCATTCGTGGAGGGCCTAAGGTACCAGTTGTGGACACTATGTGGTTCTAGAATGTGGTCTGTAGAGGCCGTGAGAGGTGAATGTTGTTTTTCACTTGGGAGTTGTCTGCTTGAATTATATCGTAGGAGCGAAGGATCTGCGACGAGAGTTTGGAACTAGGGTTCTCAGGATTATATAACGCGCCTGGTGTATGACTTTACGAGTAGGGCCGAGCCATGCCCGGCAGTCTTTCTGTTTGACGACCCATTTGGAGTCTTGGAGTGCCTGTATGCAAACTCGGCCTGTTTCGCGGAAATTTTTCTAGACTCAATGTTTCGTCATGCTGCTGCTGCTGCTGGTACTTACAGTTTAGCGAGTAGAACTCACGTGGGGATATGCATGGTTTCCGGTCACGTGTGAGGAAACCGTCAAAGCGTTGAGACGAAACAGCACGTGACCATTGATACATCACCGAATGCGTCGCAATGGCAAGAATAAAACTCGCGATTGCGATCAACTTTGTGCCAGAAGATGCCTTATTTGGACCTCCAGACTACACTAATCCTATCCTTACTCCTGCCCAGACGCCGCATAGCTTCACAGGTCAAACCGACTGTGTGGAGAGTTTCGCAACAGCACTTGGCCTCAGGCAATCAGCAAGCGCACCCAGGCAAGGCTGTTTGGTCCCTGAGTAGGTGCCAGGACTGGATGCGACAAAGTTAGCGAGCCGCTGTCATGATTGCCACCTTCGGCAACGTTTCCGGCTTTTTCTCAATGCCAACCAGTATTTTCGCTCTTGGCTCTCGGGCTGCCGAGCCACAGCCTGGCAGCGTTGGAGCCCGGGAGCCTGGGAGCCTGCAACTTCTCAGCCTCTACTAGGAGTTGTTGTCTCAGGACCCTGCCGCGAAACAGTTGGCGAACTTCCATAGTCAAAGTTGTGTACTGGCAAAATATACCTTCACCTGGATGATTTTCATACGAGGGTCTGGAGAAAGGCCGAGTACCTGACCTCCCAGCCAATGGCCATGGACGAGAAGGCGACGATGCGGTTCGCAGATGGGAGCCCCACCAAACCTTGTCGGGTCCCTGGCACGCGTACTCGCTTGGCAAGGGCAGTGCCATGATCCGGATGTCATCTGTCCCGCAACCAAAAGAAAAGCCGCCCAATGCAAGCAACGTTCCATGACTGAGTTTTTCGTCTCCAGCACTGCCTGGGCCACGTTGGATTCTCTCAACGGATGCAAACGGGTGCTACGTGGACCATGGTGCTGATTGATTTCAGCACTTGGCCCCCACTTGCATACTACAGTAAGCTGAAGGACGCCGGCCCAAAATTAGATTGGTCCACTGCGGGGACCAGCCGCCCTACGAGCACATGGCCTTGTCAGCGCTGGCTTGGGTTCACCGTGTTTCGAGCAAGTCAGTGTGGCATACAAAGCGACCGTCTGCTATCTGGGGTGCGACAGGACAAGACCAGAGTACAGCGCACACAAGCCCTGACTGACATCACGCCGATCACGTGCATGACGTGTTTCGCCTCGCAGATCTTGGGCTGTGTGAGATTACTACTACGCCGCTAGCAGACCGTCGCCTACTTCCACAAACAAGCATACCGTCCGTCAGCAAGAAGCTTATTATCCACCATCTGGCCCCCTCGCCAGGCGCCCATCCTCCTCGCTCGAGTCGCATCAGCCGGCTCTTTTGCATACCACACCCCCTCACTCACACACACTCACACACACACTTTTCAGAGTGTCAGACGTTGATACCCGACAATGAATATGATGCGCAAGAAGACGTCGTATGTGCACATTACGCCCATTCCCTCCTTCATACCGCGTCAGCTCGCCATCGACTTCCTCCATAACCATGGCGAGATCATCGAGCTGAACCCGCTCGTCACTGGCCATGAGCCCATCAAAGCACCGCGTGATGCGCCCGCTGACGAGTTCTACTCGACCTGGTACGAGATCTCGCAGCGCATCCAGTACATACCCGGCATTGGTAAAATGGGCAGTGGCGCAATCAAGTTCCGCGGCGTTTTCCATGACCTTCCCTTTGGCCTCCAAACACACACCTATGCGCCTGCAAACGTGGACCTACGCAACAAATGGCAGATTTGCGGAAATCAACCCGGCGAACCACCCGAGCCAAAGGAACTAGGCTCAAGTGCTCCACCCGAGGGGTTGTACATTAGGGAAGATGTCGAGATCAAGTGCAATGTCGCCATGATCAGTTTTGTAAAGAAGGAGATGCAGGCCGCGGCAAAAATCATGGTAGATCGGTTGGTGAAGAAGGCAGAGTTACTCGACTCGGGTGCGCTACACGCCCTGATGGAGAATGGCCGACTAAAGACCGTCAACCCAGCGGATCGTTCAACCCACGATCACAGGTCACCACGTCCATCACCATCACAAGTATACTCGGCACCTCTGTCGCCCCACCAGTCGCCAAATTTCCCCCACCGGCAAAGCCTAAGCTACTCGCAGTCCGACAACCAACACCCTCCTCCCATCCCCCCAAAGGAACTGCTTGGCCAGAACAATGTAGTCATGGAACTGCCAGGCGATTTCTACTATCCCAACCCTCCTATATCCCAAACACCAATCAATGACAAACATGCCTCCTACGCTTCTGAACCCTCGCAACCCTCTCCTAAATTCCAAGACGCCCGCTGGTCGACAACGTCACACAGCACAGTATCATCGCGACCAAGCTCATATGCTACATCAGACGGCATGCGGTCCCCCGGACTCGAGGGGAAAGCATTTGCGTCGGAGCTACCGACTATGGAAGAGACAAGGGAAGAGCACGAGTCAAGGCAAAAGAGAAATAGCATCCAGAAGGGGCAGCAGTCCCACTATGCATATAACCCTCAGGATTTTGCAAGGACGCAGCATCAATACGCACAGGGTCCACCATATCCCGGTTATTGATGTTTTTGCCGTTCTCGGGGTTTTCGGATAGATGGGTGGGAAAAAGTACCATCGGCAAAGGAGAAATGGGTTAGTTTTGGGTGTTTGGGGGGCAGGGCGTTGGAATGAATACACGAAGACGCGCTTCACGACCGGTTTTATGAACATACAAATTGCGGGTTTTTTTTTATTTTAGATATCCCCGCCTTCGAGCTTTGCAGCAAACATAATGGAATTTTCTTGTAATGAAAAAAAAGATCTCTTGACAAAAACCATTCGCAATGTAACCCGCTTCACGCAACGACAACAACATCCAACGCACGTTTATCATCCTTTCTCACCTCCACCCATCCCTCCTTCTCAACCCTCACAATCTTTCCATCCACACATATGCGCCTCCACCTCGCATCCTCCTCCAGCCCCTCGAACCGAATCCGCAACCCATCAATACTTTCATACCTCACCCCCGCCTCGTGGACGTGCTTGCCCCCTTGATACGCCAACCCCATAATCCGCATGGCCTCATCTGCACTCTTCGGGCCGAAATGCACAAGCCTCACGCTCCCATCTAGTGGCGCCGAGGCAGGGGAGATGCAAAACGGGCGTTCGAGATGCGAGACTAGGGTCGCCAAGACGTACATGTGCTCCGTTGTCTCTAGCGGGGTCCATTCCTCCCCATTCTGTAGCCAAAGCAGGTAGAGGTGTGCCTTGTAGGCGTGCGGCGGACCGCCGTCAGCAGGATACAAAGCTTCCTTCGCGGCCATTCGGAAGCGCTCGACGCCGTATTGGCGGTAGTGCGCGGTGTCGCTGTCTGCGACGAGCGAGGCGTGCATGCCCCAGCTTGCTACGACTGCGCCGTGGAGGATGCCCTCTCCCTTTTCATTTTTTGGAAGTGCTTCTTCGGAGCGGGCTTCGTCGACGAGGAGGCGGGCGCCTGGGGAGAAGATTGCTGTGAAGACGGGGAGGGGCGCGGAGTGCGGGGATGCAAGGGCGGCGAGGCCCCAGGTTGAGGACTCACTGCCGGTGTTGATGGAGTGGTAGAGGGCATTTGCGGTGCCGAGGGGGAGGAGGACAACTTGTGGGGAGGTGTAGGTGGTGTGGTGAGGAGGGGAGAGGAGACCGTTTACTAGATCGACTATGCCGCCGTCGCCTGAGAGGAGGAGGATGCGGAGAGAGGTTCCGCTGTTTGCAGCGGGAAAGAAGATGCTGCTTGTATAGTCTGAGATGCTGGTTGCTGAGGTCGTTGTGTGGACTTTGACCTTGGATACACCATCTTCGCCATGGATGGCGGTTAGAACCGGTTTGACTAGGCTGTTGAAAAAGCTTTCTGCCTGGCGGGCACCAGATCCTACGGAGATGATAACGTGGGTTTCGCGTTGGGGAAGTGGTGTGTTTGTATCTGGTGAGTCGAGAGCTCGTTTGGTGATGTCGAGGAGCAGGGGTGGTTTGGTGGCATCTTCATTTTCTTGTAGAGTGACGGTAGCTTGGGATGTACCATCTGCAGTTGGTAGATCAATGACAATCTTCCTAGGCTGTGGCGCCTCCGCCTCATCGACCGTTGCCATGGCCGGGGCGTTAATGGAGGGGTTGAGTGAGGAGTGGGGAGCTGTAAGATGATATCATCGCGGGGTTGCTTGTTAATCAATTTAGTGCCGCTTATAACGACATGATGAATATAATTGCGACATTCTGTTCGTAGTGCCGGCCTCATATCCACGCCCCTCCCAAGAGTTTTATTGCATAAAGAAACAGAATCTACATAGCTCCAAACTCTACTGCTACTTGTGCTCCCGCTCTATACTACTCAGATGACAGGGATCTCCGTATTACCTTAGCGCGATTCTCACACGACATGTACATATCCCTGCTATATAGAACTAGTACAATCAGACGAAATGGCCTTGGCAGGTAAAGTGTAGATCTAAGCACCTTCTTCCATTCAAGAGTTATAGGTAGGCTTATAACGCACCCCCATCTAGCTCTATTGCGGGATCTCGGATCTCGGATCTCGGATCTCTCTCAGTCTGGACACCCCGTCCCGTAGCGCTGACATAGTGTCAGTCTATATATCAAGAAAGTTCCCACCGATCTTCCCACACAGCCCAGTGGTTTGACTTGCATTCGTCGTAACGATTTCCTTAGCATTGCTGTGTTGTCCATTTCTTATGAACCTACTTTGGCACCGTCTAAATGTCAGCAAGGTCTGAAGAATTTGAAATCAGTCTTTAGCAGTTGGAAATGGATCATTGGAACATATCAAGATATGTAATTATAATATCATTAAACCATCATCTATCACGCTTCCTCTAGCGTAAGAGCGCATGGGCCCCATAGTCCCAACCTTAATATGTACATTATAACCGGATTACAAGTATATATCGTATCTAAGAACTGACCTTGGAGCCAACCTTGAAACCTCCTTCGGGGAAGGGCACGATGTTCTGCTCGGTTGTGTGCTTTACTCTGGCCATTGTGATGGTCTTGTTCTCCTGATCGAAGATTGTGTAGATTGCACGGATAAAAGGGTCTCCGAATATACCAATGGACTCTTGCCGAGCCGTCATGAAGAGGCCACATTTGCCATCGGCAAACAGGGTGACGATTTCGTGCAGCGGAACGTCAATCTTGCCACTAGCACCAAATACGACGGAGATGTAGCCCTTGGAATGGTTGGAGTCCCGGTACATACAGTCGACAGGAACCACCTGGGATCCGCGTGGGGGTGTGCCGGTGATGCCAAATGCGTGGGAGATAGCGCCGAAGATGGTTTCAGTCACGTACCAGCTTGCAACGCCCGTGTCGATCAATACGGGGACACCAACACCACTTTCTCCAAAGGTTTGTGACGTGCGGTTGCCGCCGTCAAGTACAACTTCCAGTGCAGTGACGTTCACGTTGTTAGTTTGACCACCAGTGAGTGTATTGGAGAATGGATCTACCATCTCCAGCGTGATCATGTCGCCATCGACCTTTGCCTTGTCATAGGCGCCACCGATGATCATCTGGGCATTGGTGACGTTGAATTCATCCGGACCAAGGTAGAAGCTTGTTGCCATGATGTCAATCAGTGAGGCGTTCTTCAACTGTGGTAGCAGATATGGTCCCTTGCCCATACAGTCAGGTCCAGCAGAACCACATTCGAGAGACAAGCCTGGATGTCGGAACCAAACCGTTAGACTACAGTCGTGCACGAAGAACACAGGTGTCTTGACATACCCAGAATAGTCCCAATTGGTTTTGGAACTCGTCCGAGGGACGGATAATTTGACGTGTACCCGAAATACATGTTGGGCATGGTGACACCGCCCAGGACCAAGGTGTCATTGAGGAAATCGCCATTTCCAGATGCATACAAAGCATCGAAGAACCCAGGCCCTGCATAATGACAAGTTCTGGAAGATGTACAATTAGCGCTTGCAAAAAAGAAAAAAGCCAAAGATGGTCACTCACGACGAGGTCAAGTTGTCAAAAGTGCCATAAGTACTGCATGCGGTTGGATCTAGGACACATTCTTGGTTGCGCGAGTCAAGAAAGGAAAATCGTGGGCTGCCAGTATCGACTTTGAGCGATTCCTTCTGCGGGGGCGTTCCGACCTGGAATTCTGCGTAGTATGCCGCGAGACCCGCGTCTCGGACTATGGGCACAGCGATGGCGCCTGGGGGAAGCTCGGCAGAGACAGCAGGGAGTGCAAGGGCGGCGAGAAGCGTGCGCGAGACTATCTTGGAATCAGGCATGATTGTTGACTGTGAGAGAGCAAGATTGTGCAGATGCGATCAAGGAAAGGGAATACGGAGTCATGGCAGCTCTTTATGTGAGTACATAGATGCCTCTCTCTTGGCTGACCGAACCAAGGCACTCCTGAATGTGGGTTGTGGACTGTGATCTCCAGAGCATATGCACTGCCAAGAAGGTGGCCAAGGCTTATGTTGGCTATGTACTGAGTCGGACCGTGCCGCGAATGTAGCAATACGAGTACGATGACTTTGAGTTTGGCGTCCTGTATTTGGCACAGACCATTGCACCTTGTCTTTGCAGTTGTGTGAGTATCTTGACAGTTTGTATGTTTGCGGGTTTCCCGGTTTTTCCAGAACAATATATAGGATTGTGGAGGAGCGTGTTTCATGGGTGCCAAAGTGGACGCTGCATTATGTAAACACGAGCTCCTTCCTATCAGAGGCCCATCCACGTTGTTATCGCAACCCGCTAGCCGGATTATCCCCAGCCAACTCGTCCGCCATTTCCACCGGCCAGTTCAACTTGATTGGCGGCATCTTTTTCCCTAGTCAACTCTCACACCACTACACAGTCTTGATCGGCAGACAATTTCCCATGTCAAGCAAATTCTTACTTTTTATAGACTACCGGGATGGGAAATACATACATCGCTTTTGCTATTTCGGTCAATCTCCCCTGTGAACTCAATGTCCTTGCTTCTCAATACCACCTTGTTGACATCATGCCATGTAGCTTACACGAAAGCAACGGTGGGATCATAGAACGCCTAGACTCCAAATCGCTCTTACCTTACCCAATGAATACTTAGTCGGTGGGGATAGTGTTTGCAATGTGCCCCGAGCAGAGGTATCCATTGTTACCATGTAAGGTTGTCGGCATTGCATCTGCTGCATATGCTAACGTGAGGTCAGTTCGACAGACAGATAAAAACCCCTATAAATTGAACTTCGTTCGGCATTACTTGGCTATACAGCATTTGCCGGGTGACATCGTCATTTCTCCACCATTTTCTCTCTACTATTCACACAAACACAATGTCACATTCGCAAAGTATGACAGGCAAGCTCGCGCTCGCGATACTTGCATCTTCTGCCTGTGCCCTTGTAGCAGAACCTCGTAGCGCTGCCTACAGTGTCGACGCCCTAGCAGCCGCTCCGCGATCATTTGATTTTGAGGCCGAGTTTCGAAAACTTCGCTCAAGGCATCCTACCACGGAGAATGTCGAGAAGAGACAAGCCGATATTGCAGGTCAGCAGGAAGGATCCGTCACTGTACTGCCCAACGATCCTGGCGTCACCTACCTTACCCCTACTATTATTGGAAATCAGACTTTCAATCTGATTTACGATACTGGCTCGGCCGACTTGTGGGTGTTTGGAAACGAGACATCACAAATGCAAGGTCCGGACAAAACCTACTACTTTCCATCGTCGTCTGCACAACTGTTGCCCAACTATAATTGGAGCATCACCTACTCAGGCGGCTCCTCGGCCAATGGCATCGTTTACACGGATATAGTCAAGGCTGGCCCAGTTGTGGCCGAGAAACAAGCCGTCGAGGTAGCAACCTATGTCCCCTCCTATATCGACTCGGATGGTCTTATGGGTCTTTGTTTCGGCATCCTCAACCAGGTAAAGCCTGTGCAACAAACCCCTTTCTTCGAAACCGTGGCACCGACATTGAAGAAGAAAGTCTTTGCTGCAAACTTGAGGCCCGAGGGCAATGGCTCTTGGGACTTTGGCTATCTCGACGAATCCAAGTACATTGGCGATATCACATATACGCCCGTCGTCGGCAACATGAAGCATTGGACCATAGCGGTTGGAGAGTACGGCGCGGGCAACAAAACCTTTGAATCGGCCACCATCGGTAATACCACTGTCGACTCTGGTTCCCCGCTCATCTACCTAGCGGATCAGGCCGTCGCCAACTACTACAGCCAGGTTCCAGACTACGAGTTGACACTCGGCGGTAGTAACACCTTCCCATGCAACGCCACACTGCCAGATTTCACCTTCAAGATCGAGGACCAGACATTTTCGGTTCCTGGTCAATACCTCAACTTCGGCGTGTCTGACCCATTGCGGAAGAGGTGTGCGGGAGTCATCGTTGGAAAGAGGACCTTGCGTAATTCTCTCTTCGGCTCCATTTGGATGAAGAACTTTTATGTCGTTCACAACATCGAGGACAGCATTCCAAAACTCGGTCTTGCACCCCAAGTTTAGACGAATCGGATATGTCGCCCCCTAGAAGCACACCAAATTTGTATATATTGAATGTTTTTGAAGGTTCACGTGACCGAGATGAGTAGATGTCAACATGTAAATATGTAGTATGTAGACTTACTAGTTTAACGAGAGGTGATTTTGTCGTAGTCGCTCAAGACAAGCTACTGAGCTAAGTAAAGTTACCAAATTTGAGCGAAAGTGTGATATTCTTGTACCCTGCTTTAGGGCGGCTTTGATCCTGCGGGCGGCGCAGCAGCGAGGGTTACGTCATCACTTGGCAATGGGCACCAGGAAAGAAGCCTAGAGTGAAGGGCGGGCAGACTCAGCCGCGCCAGCTGTCCAGCTGTCAGCAGCAACCAACAAAGCGACAATTGCGACGTGTCGACGCCGTTGCATACAAACCACACCTTCTGTCTGCTCCACATAGGAGCCTCGCCGCCGCCTCCGCTGCCTCCGCCAGCCGCCCGTGCTCACATCACGGCGATACCCAGTCCCGCAGAGGCCGAAAACCCAACTCTACGTCGTATCTCGCGCACTCGTCATAGCCTCTGCCTACGCGCACATGTGCAGCTAACCACGCCCTCTCCACCCCATATTTCCGCATTTCCACGCCCGCAATCATGAACGGCTGGCTTGTCTTCGCCATCGTTCTCATCCTCTTGGTCTCCGGCACCTACTTTGGCTGGTATTTTTACGCGCGCTGGAATGCCTCGCGCAATGGCCTTCCCCCGCCCTCAATGAACCCCATGGTGGCCTTCAGCAGCTCAAACGCCGAAGCCTCAAACTACCCGGGCCCCGCTCCCACCGGCATCAAGGGCTGGATCGACGCCCAAGTCCGCAAGTTCAAGAACCGCAACAACCGCTACACTACCGGTAGCGGCTACGAAGACACGGGCTACGGCTCCCGCGGCGTTGGCGGCGGCCGCGGCGCAGGCAGCCGCCTCGATCCCGACGAAGCGTGGAGTTCGCGCGTGGGCGACGAGGCATACTATGAAGAACAGGAATTGGGCCTCCACGACCCCCCGCACGCCGCTAATCAGTCTGCCAATCCGTTTGCTGGCGAGCCCGCCCGTGGCCGCAGTCGAACTCGCGAATCGTACGACGAGCATCTCGATGCTCACAATGCCCCCAATCCCTTTGGCGACGACGCTGCGGCCAGTCTGCGTGGCGTCAGCCCCAGACCCGTCATGGACGCTGATACGGGGTACCGTGGTGCTGCGACAGCGGTGGGCAAGTCCAGTGCGGATCCACGTAAGAAGAATGGGAGTCCCGATAGTCATCATGATAAGAGTCCCACGGAGAGTCGGAGGAGTGTCTTCAGGGAAGCAATATAAATTTTTGTGTGAAAATGGATACAAGAGGAGTTTGGTAAACGGAGGGGAGCATCCTCTTTTTTTTTGAGACAAATATATCTTTTTTTCTGATCTCTTTGTTGAGATATCAGGGGGTTTTTTCAGCTGTGAAAAACGGCATATCTAGACACGCCTGTGGTGATGAAAGTATATATATGCATATACACATGCTCAACCCAATTTTTGCGGGGAAACAATGTTTACACTTGCCACATGTGCTGACCCTGTCTTTTTTTGGGGGCATTACTGGTCTAGAATATAACATGTGTGGGGCTTGGATAGCGCCTTTTGCACGGTTCATTGGGGGATCGACACTACTACGTACGACGAAATACTCAGGGTCCAGTTGCAACGTTTGCTAGTAGGTCAAAAAGCAAGAATGCGATACTGGTAGTTTGACAAGAAAGGAATGCTGTATATACCGCTAAATACCCAATCGAGTAAGAGAAAGGAAATGAATGACTGGAAGAGTGACAAAGGAAAGGAATTCTAAATGCGGGAGAGAAAAGGAAAAGTATATCATCATGTCTCGTGACATCCTTCGTCTTCTCCACGATACCGTACTAGGCCCCTAGCACAATCCACGCACTCCTACTTTCCCACCAAACCGTCACCCCCCCCCCCCTCCTCTACACAACCCACGTCTTCCCATGCATCTTGGCAGGGTTCGACGCCGTCGGCGGCTGATTCGTCCATATGATCCTCTCCTCGCGACGATGGATATCTGGCCATTTCATGTGTGTTAGCGCGGGAGTCCAGACGGGGCGTTTGCCGTCTGCAAAGTCGAGGTCGGCTTGCTGGGTCCCTGCGCGGCGGTGGATATCGTTTGCTTCTGGGTGGGTTACGGCGGGGGTGTACCAGGGGAGAGTGTATTTCCATGTTGGTTTTTTACCTAGTGGGAGGAGGAGGTTGTCGGTTGTTTGTTGCGGCTCTGCGTCGTCTCGACGGTGGATGTTGGTGACTTGCATGTGGGTTATGGCGGGGGTGAACCATACGTGTGGGGGTTTGGTGGAGTAGACTTCTTCGTCTTTGGCTTTCTTCTTGTCTTCCTTGGCCTTCCTTTTCTCTTCTTTTTTGCGTTGTTTCTCGTATTTGGCGTAGTCGTCGCCGAGGCCGGGTTCGGATGCTCCGGGGGATTGGCGGGCAGGAATGTGGGAGGATTCGGGGGAGACGATGGGAAGGGCTTCGTAGGTGGTCCAGTCATCGGATGGAATGGAAATTGGTTGGTTGGGTTTTAAAGGGGGTAGTGGTTTTGAAGGTGAATGACCGTGCTCGAAGAACTCTGGCGGGGGCACGGGACTTGCCTCCCGTTTCTGATATTCCTTGCCAATAGACTTTACGCTCTTGATCAAGGGAAGGGGCGCGCGACCATTGCCATGGTGTAATGGATATCCTAGCCTGAAATTGTTGGCTGGACGGGGGACCTCCCTACGCCAGACTATAGAAGCAGGTTTGTGGGCAATCTTGTCAAAACTCATTGCAATTTGATCCTCTGAGACATCCGGATTCTGATCGGAAACAACCGCCACAGTTTCTTTTGGAAGGAAGTCTTCATCACCCTCTGCAGTCATGGCCTCGACCGGCAGGGAGGATACTGCTGGCTCAGTGTTGGGAAGCGCATCTTCGCGGCGGTAAACACCATCAGCCTTGTGATGACGCTCAGCCCAAAGCCCACTAGTAATCAGGTGTTCTGAAAAGTCCTTATCCACAGGCTCGATACTTTGGACATTGCGACGCTTGCTGGTCACGTACACCTCATCGTCAGTCGGAAACCCTGGGTTGAGTTCAGAGATAGGCCTTGGGTTAATAATTTGCGGAGGCTCTATAGGAACCGGCATGGCGATGGGGAAAGGCCTAATGTGCTTGCCGGTATCAGGAAGAACCGGTACAAGATTCTTAGGATGGTTAAGGTAAGGAAGAGCATGAAGCTTGGTGTCTTCATCATTATCCCCGCTGTCACCAACGGGACCCCCAGCCACTGATTCGACGACACTTGCCAGCTCACCTTCTGATCCATCATCACGTCGCCAGACGCCCGCGGCGTATTGGTGAGTGACAGAAGGAGCCATAGTCGGGCCACAATACTTGTCCCACAATTCCCTGTAGCCGATGAGTATGGTCCTAACCAAGTTTATCGCAGAGCAGATCAAGACTTACATCGGAAAGCTGTCCATGACACAGATTGGGCAGTGCACATCCTTCTTTTCATCCCTGTGTTTCATCAGGACTGGTCAAGTTGAAGTCAGAATGGTTTGTACTTACCAGGATATAGCCGGGTCGTCACACATAGCTGCATATCTTGCGACAACAGAAGGACGACCAGTGGGTGCAGCTAGAACTTGTGATGAGAGGAGACTAGCCAGCACCACGTAGGCGAAGCATTGATGCGACATTGCTGCAGTTCGCAGGGTAGCCAGAATCCCAGAGAAATTGACAAGCTACCAATTGAGAGAGTTGGAGGATGTGAATCTAGGAAAGGCTTGCAGTGAATATAGTGTTCAGTTTAACCTGTCGATTCTGAATGTGTTGGTCTGGTTTGTCTCATGGCTCAAAGGTCGTCGCTCCCTTTATCTTGGTCTCAAAACCTGCCTTGTGAAAAGATTCATGCAACCCATCGTCATTGTAACTCTTGCCTATCGTTTGAAATCCGCCTGAATCCCTCAGGCCAACCCTCTGGTCATTATGAAGCATGTATCAGCGCGAATTTTGAAATTTTTGGCCCCTCGAAGTTTGCGCTATAGAGTCCCTCCTTCTCAATCTGGCTTCATAGAGAGGCGTAGTGAGGTTGATACGCAGGTCTATGCAAGAGCATGCGAGGCGGGCTACGAATAGAAACAACCCAGACCCGAACGTCAGATTGAGATAAGCGCCGTGGGGAAGTTCTAGACTAGTACTGCAGAAGCGATGTTACCGAGTCCACGGTTGACGGTAGAGTTCCTTGGCGTGGCTTTTGGCCCCTGTCGAATTTGTAGTAGAACGTCGATGATTAAGCGGCCAATACGATGACCTACTCCGAAAAACGGGGGGCCCGAAACAAAAGTAAACTCTTTTAGAAGGGAGTCCACAAGATATGAGGCGCCTTGTCCACGATAGTATTGCACATGCTAGTCAGAGTAAGCTAGGATGGGGGCCAAGGCAAAATCTCGTATCAGATGGCTCGCGATTTGAGCAGAAGTAACGCCCCATTCATTGTCTTTGAAGATCGAGGCCATTGATTTGGGCTGTCTCGTCTTCGCGGCAACTCAGGGCCTTCTAGTATGATATCAATTATGCCGCATCTGGCGTCGTCAGGCGACTTCTTATTGAATGGCCCAGATGGATAAACTGATATCTCGGCAACGTCTATCAGCCGCGGTCAGCCACACTGTTTGAATTCGCTTGACCCATATATCTTCTGCAATGTACGATTGACACTGGGAGTGCTATTAGCCACGCGTTCAGTAATCCACCTTCGGGAAAACGGGCGTGCGTCGTTACCCCCAATATCAGAATGTCGTCGGTCAAAGCTCCGCGTGCAGCTGCAACGGCTGCCCCAATCTCATTTGCGCCATCCCAATATTTCGAAGGGAATGATGGAAAATGGTCCACATTTGTAGTGCGAGTTGGCACACCCGAGCAGAGCTTTCGTGTCCTGCCATCTACGGTCTCTAGTGAGACATTCCTCCCAATGGCCGGTGCTTGCAAAGATGACGAACACATGAGCACGGTCGGTTTAGCTCCTGTTACATATGAGACATCTTGACTAATATTCTTTCAGAAAGACTGTGCCTTTTCGCGTGGTGCGGAGTTTTACCAGGGCCGAACGAACAATGGCTTCCAGGCCGATCTGTCCAGCACATGGCACGAGATTGGTATCTACCAAACAACGAACCGCGAAGAGCTGGGTTACAATGCGTCTGGTCTCTACGGTCTAGATACCTTGGGGCTGATGATCGCGAATTCCGGAGGACCCACTTTAGAAAATCAAACGATCGGTGCTGTGGTGAATCCGCGTTTATGGGTTGGAAGGTTAGGGATGGACATAAAGCCTAGCAATTTTTCAGATTTTGCGAATCCGCAACGAAGTCTGATAAAAACTCTGCATGAGGAAGGTTATATACCAAGTCTGAGTTATGGCTATACAGCTGGCGCATACTACAGTGAGTCAATATGTGTACATTACGGCGAAGAAACAGAGAAAACTTACAAGCACTACAGAACAACCGAACGTCTATGGGAGCTTGACTTATGGTGGCTATGACCAGTCACGATTCGTTCCCAACGGTGTCATGTTTCCCTTTGATGCCAATGATAGTCGCAAACCTAGTCTGAAGATACAGACAATAATAGGGCAAAACCTGTCTGGTGAGACAATCAGTCTCCAGGAAGGGGTCGTGCCATATATGCTGGTCGACTTTGCAGAGCCACACATATGGTTGCCAGTGTCGACCTGTGAGCAGTTTGCACAGGCTTTCAACTTGACATACGACAATAGTACTGACCTGTACTTGGTCGACTCTTCAACTCACGCAAAGCTCGTGGAGCAAAATCCAACCATCACCTTTGGACTTGGTCAAACAGCATCCGACCTCTCAGGCCGGGTCAACATAGTGCTGCCCTATAGCGCATTTGATCAGCAGGCTTCTTACCCCATATATGAGAATGCAACCAACTATTTTCCGATACGAAGGGCATATAACGAGACTCAGTACACCTTGGGACGTACCTTCTTCCAAGAAGCGTATATAAAGATTGATTATGATCGAGGGAATTTCTCTATTCATCAAGCGCTGTTTCCAACATCCGGAGCCAAACAGGAAGTCGTCCCAGTGTTCAGTCCAACTGAGATATCGCACCTCCAAGGCCAAAGACCACTGAGTAAAGGTGCGATAGCGGGAATAGCAATAGGCAGCATACTCCTGTTAGCAATTGCATCATTTTTGGGACTCTGGGTTTGTCGGAAGAGGAGGAAGACAAAAGCGTCACAACAGCCTATAATAGAGGACCCAAGCATAGAATGTGAAGGTCAGCCCAGAATAGAGACTGAAGGCGCGGCTGTATTTGAGAAAGATGGGTTACCCTGTGCAGAGATGGAGGGACATATCTTCCCAGAGCTGTATGCGCCACATCTGTTGGCAGAAAACGATGTTCCAGTTATTCAGATTACAAAGGCGGATCTCAGTCCGGTTTACGAGTTGTGTGAGAGTAGTGACAGCAGATCACTGAGCGGTAGAGAGTCAGAAGCTGGGATTTTAGAAGAAACGGTAGGACCCCCACCGGGCTGGGCATGAAGAGACTTGAAGAGCACACAGTATGCTATGCCGTGAGAGCATCTTACTGCTCATTGTACATTAGTCAAATGAGAAATCTATAGAAACCATATGGTTGTACGTACATGGAGGTCTTGTAATGCTTCTCGAAGCTATCTCCGACTCATTACTCTACGTGCTGCCTCTCCTGGCAACGATATCTGACTTCACAAGTGAAACCGCGTCTCAGGATATGTGTGACGTCAGCACAACTGCGGCTAGCTGTATGTGATAGTAAGATGTGTGGATTTCATACTAGTGATTGTACTGATTACATCACGAGATTGATTCGTATTGCAGCGCGAGGATGCGACATTGGGTTTAAGGTACTTCTAGCGTCCCGCCTCGTACATGGTACCATCCACGAATATCATCGATACCTTGCAAAGAGATAAGTAGTATATTGCCAAAGACATCGAGATCGTCTGGCTGCGCTGCCTTCAATAGACTTGCAAAATTCAGTCCCTCGATAACAAAGTGGTTCTTTGCGTTCCAACTCATGGCGAAATCGAAGGCATTGGTAGCTTTCCACAAGTGCGCGGATAGTGTGATGCGAGACTTGAGTGCAACATCCGGGCTGCAAGTTTTCATCTGACCCGTGAGGACCGTGTACATAACTGTGATTTGATATGCCGCAAGGACTGTACGTCGCGCTGATTCTCGGAAGATGAATGATCGCCAGGCAGAATGAGCAGCTGTGGAAGGATACAATGGGAGAGCGCCTATGTGCTCGTTCTCCTCAGTAGCAATTGGTAGTAGCATCGCTCCCATTTCCTCCAAGTGAGATGAAAAGGCATCGGCCTGTGCACAAACGCGAATGTCGCCGCCAAATACAATCATGAGTTGATACAACATAATTGCGTGGGTTCGAGCAAGGATCTCGATCGGTGTATCGGGTACAATTTCATTGATCAGCTCTTCCACACGACTCCGGATATGATGTGCGACGCGCTCAGCGTTGATCTCATTTTTGTTGATGTAAAGTGCACATGCAGCGTGAGCGTCTTGTAAGCAACGTGGTATGTGATCGTCGTAGAGCGTCGGATGCATCCATGGCGTACAGTTTTGCTCTACCATCGTTCTTGGTACCAGCTGCATGTGCTCGAGAAAATAGCCCATCCTCGCCTTCGCGTAAGGGGAGAGGTCAGTTGACAAAAACTGATTTTTCGTCTGTGTTGGAGCCTTTTGGAGAGTTTTCTGGTTTTCGAGGTTTGGCGGGTTTTGCAGTGCAGCTGGGAGGGGAGTGACACAGGTCGTACTAACCGGGAAGCCGAAATCCAGGGTGTCCGTAGTGCAGGTTGTTGTTATGGCAGACTCGTCGAAATTGAAATCGAGATTGAAATTTTCTAGGTCCGTAAAGTCCAGAGGTAGATGGGATTCATTATTTGTAGTATCGATATCAGCTGTAGAGCTGTACGGGACTGTGGCGTGGGTGTGAGGCTGCGGTGGATAAATACAGGAAAACCGTCGTCTGATACATCGTGCGCAATTGGGCTGCTCCAAGCCACATTTACGTTTGGATTTTGCGCATTCCGAGCAAGACTTTTGTCTGCCCTGAAAGTTGGTGCTTCTTCTCCGGTTTGCTGGCATGATGCAGCGCCTGGCGTAGGTGATTTGAAATGAAGGCTTTTGTAGGCGATAGTACCAACAGCATTGATGGCCAGCGCCGTTATTACTCAGCATTGGATGCCTAGTCAAAGCCCCTGGACAGCCCTGAATTCCGGCTATAAGACGTTAGCATTTGCAATTTCCATAGATACTTACTTATCTCCATCGAGAACTATGTTGATGCCCCACTGTGGATCTCTTATCGCATCGCAGTCGACCATTGAAAACAGCGAAAATCGTTACTAGGCCCACCTTCGTGGAAACCTTCCCAATAACATGTTTGAAATCTGCCTATTTCCGTATATTGGCCAAACTTGGCCTTCAAGTCGCTCGTTTTATTTGGATATCTATGACTAAATTATTGCAGACATTCGGCTGAGTCTGGATGAGGTCAGCGTTATTCCCTCCCCGAGTGGAGCATGGCTCAATGCAACATCATCATTATACGAAAACATGTTGCTGAATACTGAAATGACAATTCTGAAATGTCTTTCAAGTAAAATTCCTCCTAAATATAAGAACTGAGTACGAGTGGTGAATCGGCCCGGTTACAAACTATCGCAAAAGGCTAGAATTCAAGATATCAATCACAAATTGGTACATGAACGTATTCTGATGGAAGTTCTGGAATTAAATCACATTTTACTGAAACGTTTTGGGAAATGAGCAGTCTCTGGGACCAATGCGCTGGCATTAAAAAGGTCTCTTGTTTTTCCCAACTCTATATCCTAACCTACTTATCATGTATAAGGTCCTACCATGCAAGCGACACCGCTGTCGCTGCGCTCCAAATATAGCCATCATCAGGCAATTTTGGATGTCTGAATGAGCTAATCACTCTTCGGCCTCCTGCGTGACTGCAGCCAACTCTTGATGCGGTAAGTGATGTATGCAACTCCCAATGTGGATGCGAACATGAGGTTATCGACAGCATCATTCATTGCTTTCGAGACATGAGAACTGGTAGCTGCAATAGCGACAGTAGAAGAAAACCAAACGCCCCCAAAAATGATGAGAGCGCCGTAGCCGCCCATCATCGCGCTTGTGCAGGTTGCAAACAGAGAGTGCGCCACAACATTACCGATACCCGCTTGAATGATAGCTGCGGTGCTGCCTGAGAAGGGTCAGAAATTTATGTCCAATATCTTATCAGACCATTGGATACTCACCAGCTGCGACGCCGGCAGGTCCAAATCCGATAGCGAGAAGGGTGATTGCTGTAATTGCCATAGCAACAAGGGGTACGAATATGAGAGCCATCTCCCTGGGATGCGCCTTCATCCACTTTCCAACCTCTTTTGCGGCGCCCAACATGCCTTTTTCCTTGATAGTCTGAATAGCATTGCTGATGAAGTCTTTGACCTGTGACACAGCCATCCCGACTTTGACTACGACAGAATCAAGTGCCCCTCGGCAGAACACTTTGAACCCTTGTGCAATACCACCATTGTTTCTGGGCGTAGGATCGCTGCGCATGTCGTTGTCCGGCTCTGTGATGTTGGTGTCGCCAGGGAGATCAGCGTCCGAGTTGTTATTTGAGCTTCTGACGTCGCTGTGCTTGTCGCTGTCATCTCCAGACGGGACTTTTGTATCTGCAGGCTGTTCATGCTGTTCAGGCTCGTTCCGACGAGCTTCTGGGTTTTCTGAAGGAGCGTTATTGTTCTGACTCTGCATATTAGCAGCTCGAAACAGGCCGAGGAAGTTGTTCCAAGCTTGGAAGAATTTCGAACCGTCCATGACTGCAACTCGAACTTTCTATTTTGTAATAAGTGGGTTGTAGAGGTTGAAATTGCAAAATGGGCGGTTATCAGGTAACTCTACCGCGCCGTGCGAGTGCAGGTCTCACAGTGAGGGGGGCTTGGCATTCATCGTTCATCGTTTCTCGCATACGTATCGTAGAAACACACCTGGCTGGCTTTTCCTTGATCTCATTTTCACCTAAATTCAAATTTTGTATGTGGCGAACAATCCGCCAGAGATTAGACTATTCAAGAGGTGAGGTTGAATCGACGAGGCAACCGGACGCCAGTGAAGGAACTACGTCTATCCGCGAGAATTAATCGTAGCATGGACGAAGAAAAAGCTAGAATACGAAGTTTCCGGGATTGGGACTGTTGCGGGCTTCTTTTTTTGTTTTGATAACGTGCTCAAGTGATTGCGAGGGTACAACGTGATCTATTCTTTTGCAACCCACTTCGAAGGATGGGAGCGTTCACTCTGAGAGTTGAACAATTTGCTAAAATTCTTCTAGTTTCTGGCGCCGTAGCCTGAGAGCCAAGTCCCTGCTTGTGGTGACGCCTACTCACAACGCATTACATTTTCCAGTAAGATGGTCTTCGTATCGATAAAGTCGCTTAAGTTGTCTCCACCAGTAGAAGCTTGGATGACCACGTGTAGTATTTTGCATTCAGATGGTTCGGAATCCATGCTTCCTTAATTGGTTGAACCATGAATCGACACCCGAAGCCACGTTGGGGAATACATGACCCCACAGAGAAGATTCCGGAACCTTCGTGTGCTTTCTAAATTGCGTTCACGAAGTGAAAGACGTATTGAAAATTTCGACCATAGATCTACAAGATACTTCGCGTTGGAGTTCTGACTAAACCCCCTATTGATGGTTGAGATGGCACAGTCATTGCTTGGTCCTTGAGCCAACAATCACTGAGAGCAGCAGACAGTGGTTGTGAGACGTTCGATATCTCAATCAAAGTAGTTTCGGAGTTTGCTCGCACAGCAAAACTACTGTGGAAATACATAACATGACTCGTCGCAATCGTTTCACAGCAGCAGTCTTGGGCTGAATACCGTCAGCCTGGGGTGATTTCTGACCGGCGCAGAGGGATCAGCTACATAATCAGACTGCAGCTCAGTTTTAGGAGTTAAATTGATTGACCAATTCAGAGACAAAATCGACGGCCATACATGTGAGTGATTGACAACTGGTACTCTGTAATGAGTTTCCAGCATCCTTTGTCTGGGTAGCGATTGCTGCACTTTAAGCTGAGAGGAAAACATGATTCATAATTCTCACAAACGTGTGACACGCAATTTGCTATACCCAGCATCACGGCATTCATGCAGAGAACTGAAAGAGAAAAGGGCGCAATTCGGATATTGGCGATGGACAGAAAGCGTGAGGACAGATTGGTTGTTTTTCACGAATGAGATGTTGACACGAGCTCTGGTAGCTTCCAGGGCTGGATCAGAATAGATAAGAACAGCCATTCGGATTCTCAGCATGACGTTTCGACGGGACCCCAGGATGTGAATCCTTCCAAGTGCGATTGGTGTAGTTGGATGGAAGTATGGGCTTAGCCGCCCGCCTGCAGGTGGTGGAGAGACCAGGCTGCACGCGCCAGCTTGTTTCCAGCCACTGCACTGTGTTTGCATGAAAAGCCAAGGCAGCAGGATAATGAGTGAGGTACGATTTCTTTGTTGCACTGGAAAACTTGCTGCTTACTGTGAGGGGAGCTGGTGTTGTACCAGCGATGGAGTTGTCTGGGCAGGTGACAGGGTGTGTGATTATCGGTTAGCGTCAGCGGCGTAGCTGTGGGTCCGTTCGCCGCCGCCCCCGCTTTCGTTTGCTAACCCGCATCGACGCGTTGTTGTCTCAGCCTTGTGTCTTTCCGCTTGCACACATAAAAAGAATATTTCAACTCTCATTTATTTGGACTCCAGCTTTGTGTTGATAACAAAAACTAGATTGAGCACTTTTTGGTGTTGGTGGGATTCGTCTCGTCTACACCGGTTTTTCCAGTTCGAAAGCCTCACTCAGCCATTCAATCATGTCTTACGCACCCCGAGGCGGAGGCGATAGAGGCCGCGGCGGCGGCGGCTTTCGTGGCGATCGTGGCGACCGCGGCGGAGGTCGCGGCGGTGGAAGAGGAGGAAGTGACTTTAGAGGTAGGGGCCGAGGAGATGGAAGAGGAGATTTTGGAGGTCGTGGCCGGGGCGATATGAGAGGTGATTTTGGGGGTCGTGGTCGAGGTGAAGGACGAGGTGGCTTTCGGGGTGGGAGAGGCGGCGGCACGCAGGAAAACCTGGCCTTCCAGTAAGATGAGCTGTCATGCTACCCACGCCGGTCTCGCATTAATCTGGCCTATAGGAACCCTCGACCCGTGGACCAAAGGGTCTTGAATACCGAAAACGCCTTGCATCCCCCCGCGAAGAAGACCCTTGACCTCGCTAGTCTGAAACTTTCCGAAGACTATCCAACCCGTCCAGGATATGGCACCCAAGGTGTCAAGGTCGAGCTTACTGCCAACTATGTCGAGCTTCTCACACCATCAAACATGGTATTGTATCGTTATGCCATTGACATTACCCCCGAGGTTACGGGCAGGAAGCGCCACCGCGTTGTGCAGCTCTTGCTCGAAGCCCCAGAGATGACGCAATACAAAGGCCAGATTGCTACTGATTTCCGTTCAACCGTAGTGGCCAAGACCAAGTTCACCAATGACAGGGACATCGTTGAAATCCAGTATCGTTCCGAGGGCGAAGACGATCCCGCGACGGGAGCCACGGTGTACAAAGTCTTCCTTCAATTTACAAACACCCTGAACATCGGCGACCTGGTGAATTTGATGAACTCTACCAATCTTTCTCAGCGTTTGGAACACAAGGACGAACTGACTCAGGCACTCAACATCTTCTTGAACCATTATGCCAAGTCGGCTAACAACCTCGCTACCATCGGATCATCCAAGAGCTTTTCCCTTCACCAAAACGCTTCCAGGGGCGACCTTGGAGCCGGTCTGGAAGTCATCCGTGGATTCTTTTCAAGTGTACGGGTTGCAACCTGTCGCATCTTGGTCAACATCAACGTTAGTCATGGGGCTTTCTATCACACCGGTCCTTTGCCAGCGCTTATGCAGGGCTACGGTATACGAAACACGACTGCTCTCGAAAAGTTTCTCAGATTGGTTCGTGTCCAGACCACACATTTGAAGGACAAACGCAACAAAGCTGGTGAGGTGATTCCTCGGATCAAGACCATTTACGGACTTGCTAGGAAGGACGATGGACATGGCATGGAACATCGACCGCGGATCAAACAACACGGTGCCGGTGCCAAGGACGTCGAGTTTTGGCTGGATGGGAAAAACACACCTGCTGCTAAGGGCAAAGGTAAAGGTAAAGGTCCAGTACAGGGTCCAACGGCCTCTGGATCCGGAAAGTACATCAGCGTATTTGATTTCTTTCGCACAAGTAAGCCTACCACCCTTCGCTTCTTCTTTGGAAATTTTGCTAACTCAATACCATCAAAGCGTACAACTATGTTCTTAAATACCCTGATCTTCCCGTCGTGAATTGCGGTAACCGAGAAAACCCTACATACCTCCCACCAGAAGTCTGTGTTGTCGTTTCCGGCCAACCGTCCAAGGCGAAACTAGATGCGTTGCAAACTCAGGTCATGATACGACATGCGGTTAGGAAGCCATGGGAGAACGCTGAGACCATCTACAAGGAAGGAATATCCACTGTTGGCCTGGATGAAAACACCAATGTGCTTCTGCGCTCTTTCGGCCTTACCATCACGCCAGGGTTGATCAAAGTTCCCGGACGTGTCCTGAAAGGACCAAAGGTGATCTACAAGCACGAAGAGGGAGGAAGTGGTACCAAATTTGCCGAGCCGCGAGATGGTAGCTGGAACATGATCAAGATCAAGTTCAATGTCGGTGCTCAGCTACTAAAATGGAAGGCTGTGATGATTGGACTTCCTTCCCGACGGGATCCTTTCAACCAACCTGAAATGAGTGCTATCATGCAAGAATTTCATCAGGGCCTGCGCAGGATTGGTATCGACGCGCAACCACCGGCCCCTCCTGAAAGACTGCAGCTTCAGCATCCGGACGACCCTGCGCTCAACACTTATCTTAAGGGGGCTGTTGGGAGGGTACAGTTGCTGTTTATCATACTCCCCGAGTCTAACATTCCTTTGTACAAGCGCATAAAGACACTTGCCGACAGGGATTTCGGCCTGCACAACGTTTGTGCTGTTGGCACCAAGCTAGCCAAAGAGAAAGGGCGGCCCCAGTACATCGCAAACGTTGCCCTCAAATTCAATCTGAAGCTTGGCGGTGTCAACCAGAAAGTAGAGAACAAGAATATTGGAATCATTGAGCAGGACAAGACCATGGTAGTTGGCATCGACGTCACTCATCCCGCCCCGGGTTCGGCTAGCAATGCGCCTTCTGTCTCAGCAATGGTCGCTTCAGTTGACAAAACCCTCGGACAATGGCCAGCAACTCTCCGCATCCAAAAAGGAAGACAGGAAAATGTCGATGAGCTTGCTGGGATGCTCAAGTCGCGCCTCAATCTCTGGAAGACAAAGGGTCGCCATCAAGCCTTCCCAGAAAACATACTCGTATATCGTGATGGAGTTTCAGAAGGCCAATACGACATGGTGCTCACTGAAGAGTTGGCTCAGATGCGAAAAGCATGCGAACAGGTGTATCCGGCGACTGATACCAAGAAGGGTCTTCCGCGCTTCACTGTAGTAGTCTGCGGCAAGCGTCATAAGACACGGTTCTACCCCACGAGTGTGCAACAAGCTGATAGGTATGGCAACACACAACCCGGTACTGTCGTAGATCGCGGCGTGACGGAAGCTCGCAACTGGGACTTTTTTCTTCAAGCACACGCCGCACTCCAAGGTACGGCTCGGCCATGCCACTACTACATTGTGCACGATGAGATCTTCCGCCAGATCTATGCCAAGCAGATCCCTGCGCCATTTCAAAACATCGCCGACGTTATCGAGGACCTTACACATAACATGTGCTACCTATACGGCCGGGCGACAAAGGCCGTCAGCTTGTGTCCTCCAGCATATTACGCTGATCTTGCATGCGACCGTGCACGGTGCTACCTTGCTCACCTGTATGACACTCCCGCGCCGAGCGCAGCACCTTCTATGGCCGGCACATCGGTTACTGGCACTAGCGCTCCGGCAGCAGAGCCTGGGTCTGTGGAAATCCACCCCAACATTCGCGATTCAATGTTCTACATCTAGAATTTTCATCGCACTGGAACTTCGTGCGAAAAGCAGCAAACATCATTAAGACGAAATTGACATGATCTGGAAGAAATTGTACAGGAGATAGGGTATGGTTGAACGTCTGAGATACAAGTCTTGTTGAATTGAATATTCATATAACAACCGCAACAAGTACATAAGAACGAATACACTCATTATGATTCTCGTAAGAATGACTTGTACAGGATTATGAAACATGAATTGGGTGATTGCGTGCGGAGAATCGGCGGTTATCAATCTCCTCGCACATTGTACGTTCGGAGTTAACGGCTCGGATATGCGATTACCAATCCTGGCAACTGTCGTTATGACTTGTGAATTCAGAATTATGTTTCGCTAATTCCAACGAGCATCGGAATAGGTGATGAGCTTCCTTATCCTAACTAGCGTGAATCCTGAGACCATTCGTGGCTTCGACGTCTACCTAATTCGATGACTCATGTATGGTCATCGTAGTACTCCGACCATATAAAGGACATCTGTTGGACTTTTCGACATTTAACAAAAGCAATCAACATACATCGCCATATACAAATATCACTCCGTCACGGGAAACCCAACATGCCAGACCCAAATTTCCACATCACCACACCGCGACTCTATCTCTCCTACGCCGATCCCTCAAATGAAGCCCACATCGACTTCTCCCTGGAACTCATAAACAGCGCACCTGCACTCCGTTTTCAAGGCTCCACGGAATCCAGCGCCGCAGACCGCGACGCCGCGCGAAAACGTATCGCCGACACAATGCTCAGCTTGAAAAATAAAGGTTTCGGCCGCTACTTCGTTTGGCTGCGTCCCGAAAACGACGACAATACGACAACCCCATTTTTCTCGCGCACCCTCGAACCCATCGGATCCGTAGGCCTGCAACTCGCCCGCCTCGACGGCATCAAAGCACCAGCCATCCCGGACGTCGGGTTTATCTTCGTGGAAAAGCATCATGGCAAAGGATATGCGACGGAGGCTGTACGTGCGCTGATGAAGTATTATGAAGAGGAGAAGGGGGTAAGTGCGTTCTCAGGATTTACGAAGGAGGATAATGAGGGGGCGAGGGGGTTATTTCGGAGGCTGGGGTTTAGGAATCATGGGGTGCGTAGGGTGAGTGGGATTATGTGGTCTGGGGAAGATGTTGAGGTAGATACGTGGACGTGGGGATTAAAAGAGGGGCAGGGGTTGGAGGAGTTAGGAATTTGATGGGAGGTGTTGTAGCTGGTAATCTGTGGCTGGTACCTTTCTTTTTCGGGATATGAGCAAAAGGGTGATAGATGTACAGTCATTGTTGTAAGAGTGGGAGTTTTGTTGCTGTGTTTGTTGTGCACATCCATTTTGTTGTTGTGGTTTATGGTTGTTGAGATACCTTCATCTCAGGACCCCTTTGGATGCTCTGATATCTCCATCCTTGGTATAGCTACTCGTCTGAAACTCCACGTCGACTCCATCTAGATGTTCAAAACCAGTAACGACGTGCGAGATGATCGTATCTCGTTCAGGGAAAAAAGAAATTAGCAAAGTAGTACAAATACATGGAGAGATAGAAGCCATAAAGCCAGTTGAATGTGAAAAGATTGCGAAGACCCTCCGTGAGCTCCAGATCCGAATTGACTTTGTTGGCTAGTCCTGGAAGCAAGGGTATGATTGTGACAAACGTTGCTGCAGCAGCCCGCCAGTTGATGCCATAGCGACCGTATTGATAGATACCGTACAGGTCGTACAAAGTGGGGACATCGTACTTCCTATGTTTTAACAACCAGTAGTCCGTAAACAACGCACCTGCAATTGGTGCCATGAAAATTGCGTATGCGCTCATAAAGTCCAAGAATGCTTTTCCCGATGCGACGATGATCTATGGGCATAGCGCCTAATCACCCATAAAGGCTACCAGAATGGATCCTCATCGCACGTTGAAATATCTCGGCGCTAGCGTTGTAACATCGTTGGCAAAGGACACTGCATTCGCGCCGATATTCACGCTCAGTTAGCCAACTGAGCCAAATAGAGGCGCAGAAGAATGCCGCTGCTCGACCGCCGGACATATCCATCTAAGTGTCGATGATCTGGAGAGGTGTTCAATAGGCCTTACCCCAGATTTCCTGTGCAGCAGACGCAGAAACGATGCCCATGAGAGCGACCATGATTTTGAAAAACAGGATAACAGGGAGTTGCCAGTATTACGCTCGGGGATCTCTGCTGAAGCGCGAAAAGTTGAGAATGTTCACCGCGAGCGTGCTGTAGCCACCGGTGATGCTAGTCATGCTCGACAACCACAACCAAGCTCGTTCCGAACCATGCACAGCCGGTGGACGCGTAAAGAAAGTGCCGTTTCCGCCAGCTTGAACAGCTACCCAAATGGGCATACCAACGGTGACTGGCGGCAGCAATACTGTCTTAACCCACAACATGTATTGCAGTTTATGAGTAGAAATGAGCTGGAACAGAAATTGAGCGAGCCAGTATAGGAAATACGATATCATCCCAGCAGTAGTGAGACCAACTGATTCAGGAAGGTGATTCGCCATTGTACGGAAGTTGGGCCATATCGAATTGATGATCTATGGTTTCTTGTCAGACTGAAGCATTGGGAGCAGTGATGAACGTGCAACTTACTGCAACAACACATGTACCTCCATTTGCTGTTGGTACCCCGAACTAGAACATCGCCAAGACGCCCCGACTGACAACCGCGAAATAGCTGAACCAATACCCGAAACTCGCGCGCGATGCGATGGGAAAAGGAGATGTAGAGGTTTGAGCCTATCGCTCCGGTGAGTACTGTTGGTACAGCATTGCATAGGGCCGCAACGAGTACAATCAGTACGGCATCGGTTGCAGTTAAACCTGCTACCATCAGCATACAATTATATCTTTTTTTCTGAAAAGATATCGCATACCTATTGTCAACATGACAGAGCCAAAACTCCATGTCAAAATCGTGACCAAATCACTAAACCAATACGTGACAAAAGCGCTTTTGCCCCGTGTGCGTTTCTCCGGGGGGACAGGTGCCATATCCGCATTCGCTCAAACATAACTTGGGGCGTTACTGCTGTTTTTCTTGGGCAACTGCCAGCTCGACGGCTGCGTGAGGCGCATCTTTGCCTTTTCTTTTGCCGCATGACTGCGGTTGCGGAGGTAGGTTGCGGACAGCATTATAACAGTTTTCGCATTGAGAAGATGGAATACCTCAGCCTATATTCACACCGAAGTCGCATCATCTTGATATGGCGTCGAAAATAACCGGGATGCTGGTTGGCATGTTGAGTCGACAGTGGAGATAGTCGCGCTGCTATCAAGCCCAATCAAGCAAGAGATGGAGCTGGTTTTATCATCTGCAGCGTGTTGATTGGGGCGGCGACTTTTGGGCTGATAGTTGACGAATCCACATATTTGTGCATGCAACTGTGACTGTGTAATCGTGGGAGAGCACAAATAACCATGACATGTGGGGAAACTCGGATGTTCTTCTGCAAGTGTAAGTACGAGTTAACGCGTCCGAGACTCGGCCGATTTGGCGCTACTTACAAGTGGGTACGGAGTATGACTGCCCCATCTTACCCCCGCAGTTGCTATCGCCTAGATCTTTTACTAGGGTACCCTGGCCACGCGGAACGCGACCCCATTACCTATCATATGAACTAGTCTTGTCATGTTAACCTTGTCATTAAGTATGTTCGCATGCGTAGCTTGTGCAAGTCAAACCTCAAGTACGTATAGAAGGATGATGCTGTGTGTTAATTACAACAAGACAGAGCAAAACACAGCAACTGATTTGAGTGAGGCCAAACAGTGTATCGTATTGCTTACATCACGAACTTGACTAAGGCAAGTGGAGATGCTTTGAAATTTTGTCTACGAAGCTAACATGGAATGGATCAATCTTGATCCTAATGCAGTAGCTTTCACCAGCCACGCGTCGTTCGCTCAGCCATCAAGAGATACAACAGTCAACGACTAAATATTAGTGAATCTCATGTAAGAAAATATTGCTCGGGAGATTATCGGAACATAAAGTCTTATGATTCAGAATACTCACATAAAGCATCTACTATTGAATGACTTTCCCACTACCTGCCCTCATTTCTTCGTCCCATTGATTCAAATTGCTTGAAGGCTTGAAGGCAGGCATCGTTAATTTACAATTATTGCACGGTCGTCTCCAAGCCGTGGACTTTGTCGCATCCAGACCGTCTGGAAAGGCATGCGTGAATACCTCCGTGTCTCCCAAGGCCCTGAGGCCTATCATGCGGATGTCGACCGCGGCACCACAAACCTCGCGCATTCTCGTCTTGTTCTCAGGGGAAAATCGTGGCCTGTTGGATCCGCAATTAGTTGTAGTACATCATTGGTAATTTTAGGCGGACTCAAATCATTGATGCGACTCCATACGTTTCTGCGCATCTCCCAAATGGTACCTTTTCCTCAATCCTGATTCTTCGGCTTATCACATTTGAGTGGAAAGTCAAGGCCCATTACGATAGCGCAGCGATGTTTGCGGTATAAAAAGCGGTAACTGCAGTCGCCAGTGCGGCTTCAACTTCAGCATGCAACGCTATCTCTTTCTGGTTTCCATCAGGGAGTATAGATTTCTTTGCTTTGAGCGGGAACATGTGCAGCGCAAGCCGAAATCTAATCAAGGGTTCGGATGCGCGCTGCAAGGATATCGGATCGCGTGTCTTTTCGTCAAAGCAAACTGAAAGAAGATTTGTTTTCGGAGTTGCTTCGAGCTGCGCTCTCAGTAAAGAATGATTGCATACAAAAGGTAAGCCGCCGTGTTGGTTTGCGAGAGGAATCGCTACTTTGTCATTTGGCGGGGCAGTACTCAGAAACACTGTAAGCAACGACGCTTGTATAGGTTTCACGATTGTGTCACTGAAGATATTGAGTCGAAACAATGTCAAATACATGTTTCGAAATAAATTCCTCGCCGAGTCAGGAGGAAACTTGGGTAGATTTACGACTGGCTCTCCTCGCTCCCAGGGCACGAGATTCAAGGATTGGCCAAGTAATGTTTCGAACCGCCATTGATCTTGGAGAGCAGCTCTTCGGTCTCACTCAGCCTGTATGACCCTAATGCCCCCCGTTTCGTATAGCATACTGGTGCTGAGCATGAAAACTGGATTGTCGCTGATTAGATACATGATTCCTGCCTTCCTTGAAATGTCAGTTGGGGGCACTCCGCCCTGATCAGCTATGCTCGGTGCGGAAGGGGAAGACACTACCAAGGCCAAGTATATGCAGCGTGCAAATATGATGACGAATTGTCTGCATTATGTCTTCCAAGTTGTTTTATCAACAAGTGATTTTGTAGAAAAGATGACACACATCAAGTCCCAAGCTTTCCGGTAGTTTTCTAAGAAGTATAAGATCGAGAGCGTTCTGTTGTCTAGAATTCCTGTACTCTTTTGTCAGCTTTATGTTTTTGATGGTGATGCGAGCGAGTACTTACGGTAATACTTCGAAATATAGAGTGCTGGATTCACTATCTAGTGCAACACAGAACAAATCGCTGCTATTCTTTCTATATAACCAATCGATTGGCGACTAGTCAGAAGGCTGTCGCTTATGAGAGGCCCTGGCGTCCATTTCCGACGTTGACTTAGGAAAACAGAAGAGCTTAAGGGGACTGTAGTATACGCTTTCGCCTCAAGGCATAAGCGTGTTTGAACATGAGCATATTCTGACAGGGCCAGGCACACATGATCTCTGTCCTCGCTCATCATAGACCGGATCGTTCGAAACAGACCATCAGTTTCCTTAGGATAGTAACCAAATCTACCTAGAATGTAGTCACCACAAGTAGATTCCTGGACCCGAAGAAGCTGGTAGTATCCTGGCAGACAGGTTGCCCTTCCACTTGTGAGGCTTTGTCGTAGACGACGGCAGTGTTGCCCAACTACATATTCGGATGCGACACCTACAGGCCGAGAATCCAGATATCAGAGTCCACTCATTCCAACCTGGCATAGTTTTTACACCTGCTAGCCAAAGATTTGGTGTCACTGAGGAAATGTTCGAACGCATCGCGGATGATTTATCGCTTCCATGTGCTTTCGCAGTCTGGCTAGCAAGTCTAGAGGCTAAGTTCACGAAGGGTCGGTTTCTGCATTCTGAATGGGATGTTGAAGATTTGGTAAGAAACAAGCACATACCCGAGAACGACTCAAAATTTTCTACTGTGGAATTGAGACTATGAGGGTTGTGGTGGATCAGTAATAGTGTATTCCTAGATAACCACGGGTAAAAGCCTCGATCTCTCCTAGCGTAGTATTCTAGCAAATATTATAGAAAGAAGTCAACTAGGTAGAATTATGAATACAAGGATATCAGATAAAAAGACTGTTAGTTTATAAGAACTATCTACGTTAAGAATTAGAGTAGTTATAAGGGGTGTGCCGTTATACTGTGATAAATATCGCTGAAATCGATATGTCATCGCCAAGTCTTTGGCGGACTAACGAGGATGCTAAATAGAGCTTACTCTTCCACCTCTCTATGATCCTCAATACAACTCTTCTTTTGTGTATAACCTTGTAATATCTCTACGGTCACTATGACTTGTGATTCTGGGTGTTGCAGCCCGCCCAAGGCCACTCCTACCGTCGCACGCACACCAACTCCACCACTGGTTGATAGAAACACAGATAATTGCTGTGAAACCCAACGTGACTCCATAGTCAGCTCTCCTGGTGACTGCGGAGACGAATGCTGCCAGTCTTCGTACCCACATCTGAATACTAATGAAGGCGACTGCTGTGTTGGCACAACTGGAAAGGGTCCAAATGAAGACGGCTCCTGCTGTTCTGAACCTTCCAACATTGAGCTGCAGTTCCGAAAGCGTCCCAACTGCTGCGAGTGGAGATCTTTGCCTTGCTGCGATTCCTCCTGTATCGACCGACTTGCTCTCCGCAAGTGTACCGTTGAGTGTAAATCTCCATTCCATGCTCTAATTTCGCTACTGACGTCTGCATTCTACAGCTAACGGAACACCCCATCGACCCTCGGATTGCGATGGGGGAAAGGACGGCAAGCCGTGTCGGCAACACGTCCGCGGAGCCTACGAGCAGTATCAGTCCGAACTGGAGGCGCTAGGCTGTATCTGCCGTATGTCGCTCGCTCTTGGTCAGGATTCTTGCTGTATGCCGCCGCGACGATCTTCTTTGGAGAGTGATCAGACTAACTCTCGTGCTTCAATCACGTTTTGTGCATCTGCCAGCTTCCACTGTGCGCCTAAGGCGGACGCATGTGGATCTACTGCAAAGCCGCGCTCCAGATCTAGTAAGGGATGCCCTACGGTCAACGCTACCTCCTGTGCCGATGCTTGCTGTGGTACCACAAAACCTTCAATGACCACTAATCTCACGGGATCCGCCGACGCCTGTTGTGATGACAAGAAATCTTTCCCTGCAGTGTGCGGCACTGCCTGCTGCAGCGAAAAAGAGGTAGTGACCCAAAAAAGAGAAATCAGACCCGACCCAACGCTGAATGTCGACCTAGAAATTGGCTTTTCTGGAATGGAGCGTGTGATCCTCAGCATCTCAGGCATGACTTGCACTGGATGCGAGACCAAATTATCCCGTACATTGGCAACACTTCCCGCAATCACAAACTTGAAGACTAGCCTGGTTCTTTCGCGGGCGGAGTTCGACCTCGATACCGGCACTACCTCTGTTGTCGATGCAATTAAGCATCTTGAGAGGACGACCGAGTTTAAGTGCGAGCGCGTCACTAATCAAGGCTCCAGCCTCGATCTCGTTTGTTGTGGTGATCCAGCCGATGTTGTTAAAGGCGATTGGCCAGGCGGTGTCATTGATGTGAAGATGGTGGACAAGAAGACCATTCGTGTCAACTTTGACGCGAAGACCATCGGCTCACGAGATCTCGTCGAAAAAGGCTGGCCCTACCGTCTGCAACTCGCTCCGCCTCGCACCGATCCCACCCTAGACGCCAGTGCTAGACATGTCCGCAAGGTCGGATATATGACCTTATTATCCATTATCCTGACCATTCCCGTTCTGGTACTGGCGTGGGCTCCACTTCCAAACAAAGAAAAGTGGAAGATCCTGTTCAGTTCCATTTCCCTTGCTCTCGCTACCATCATCCAAGTTGTGGTTGCTGGGCCTTTCTATCCGAAAGCGCTGAAGGCATTGATCTTCTCAAGAGTAATTGAGATGGATTTGCTTATCGTTTTGAGTACGAGCGCGGCATACATCTTCTCAGTCGTGGCGTTCGGCTATCTTGTTGCGCACAAGCCACTGTCCAGCCGCGAATTCTTTGAAACTAGCACATTGCTAGTTACGCTCATCATGATTGGTCGCTATGTTGCTGCGTTGGCACGGCAGAAGGCTGTCGAATCCATTTCAATCCGCTCGTTGCAAACCTCGACCGCTATCATCATGGACAAGGATGGTTTTGAGAAGGAAATGGATGCCAGACTACTTCAGTATGGCGATGTTTTTAAAGTATCTCCAGACTATAGAATTCCGACTGATGGAACCGTCATCTCTGGCTCTTCTGAGATTGATGAGTCTATGCTGACTGGAGAATCAAGGCCTATCGAAAAGTTCAAGGGTTCATCTGTCGTTGCTGGATCTATCAATGGATCAGGAGTACTAACCGTTCGGCTCACCCGAATTCCTGGTGACAACACCATCAGTACGATTGCCGGAATGGTCGACGAAGCAAAGCTATCGAAGCCGAAAATCCAGGAGATTGCTGACAAAGTGGCAGCCTACTTTGTTCCTGTTGTTGTCTCCATAACAGTCGTTGTATTCTGCACCTGGTTCGCTATTGGCATCACCATTCAGGACAAATCCGGATCTGAGACTGTTATTCAAGCCATCACATATGCTATCACGGTACTGATCGTGTCTTGCCCTTGCGCTATTGGTCTTGCTGTTCCCATGGTAATTGTCGTTGCAACTGGTGTTGCCGCTGAGAGAGGCGTTATTTTCAAATCTGCCAATGCTATCGAAGTCGCGTACAAGACCGCTCATGTTGTTTTCGACAAAACCGGGACGCTAACTCAGGGCAAGCTTACTGTCACTCAAGAAGAGTACCCCAGCACTTCTCCCAGTACAAAAGCTCTGCTATTGGGTCTGATCGGGGACAACAAACATCCGGTTTCCATTGCAGTTGCAAGTCACCTTAAAACAAAAGGTGTCATAGCCACAACAGTATCCGACCCTCAGAACATAGTCGGCAAAGGTATCGAAGGTGCTTTTGCAGGTCGCACTCTCCGTGCAGGTAATTCTCGATGGCTCGGCTTTTCGGACGACCCAATTGTTCATTCCATAACATCCCAGGGCTATACTGCCTTTTGCTTTGCAGTGGACGGCTCTCTCGCTGCCGTGTTCGGCCTTGAAGATTCTCTGCGTGAGGATACTCTCTCTACCATCACCGAGCTGCAGCAACACCAGATAACGGTTCATGTCCTCTCCGGTGATGATGATGGTGCTGTCCGAGCGGTCGCATCTCAACTGCAGATTCCTGATTCCAATGTGCGATCCCGCTGCACTCCGACAGATAAGCAATCTTACATCAAGGACCTCCTCGCCACATCCGACCCACGAGGATCGAAAAAGAAAGCGAGAAGACCCGTTGTCATGTTCTGTGGCGATGGAACCAACGACGCTGTCGCTCTTGCCCAGGCCACCATCGGCGTACATATGAACGAAGGCACCGACGTCGCTAAATCTGCCGCAGATATTGTTCTCATGCGACCGAGTCTGTCCGGCATTCTCATCGCCATAACTGTCAGCCGAAAATCAATCCATCGGATCGCTTTCAACTTTGGCTGGAGTTTTGTGTACAATATGTTTGCTATCCTGCTTGCTTCCGGTGCCTTTGTGCATGTCCATATTCCGCCAGAGTATGCAGGGCTGGGTGAGCTGGTTAGCGTTTGCCCAGTGATTGCGGCAGGCGTTCTGTTGAAGTGGGCAAGTATTTAGACAATATATCTTTTACATACTGCTAGCAATTCTACATGATCCATAATTAGCTGCCACCTCAAGGTCTTGTTGTCTACCATCCCTACATTCAATTTGTCATGTTATGGAAATGATGGCTCAAATCCACTTACTCCAACTCCTCATCGTTCGCTGTTTCTTTTCTCTTTAAGTTTCTTTTTCTTAGTCACTATATAGGATCAACTCCTAAAATATCTCTGACTCGTGAATTCAACATAGCTTCAGGGTGGTCATTAGCTCGATAAGATACATATCGGCTATCCAGTAGGGTCCACAAGTTGATCGCAAATATGTTAAGTCTCCTAGAAGATGATGCGATATGTTTTGCACATGAGGCTGGCTAAGCGATTCACGGTTTTGTTGTGCGCTCCTACACTATTCGGACGAGTTAAAGGAAGTGATGCATACAAAATTATACCCCTAGCAATGTCGGCACTTTTGCTAGAGAGACCTTCTATCCTCGGCAAGGGCACTAGCTCAAAGCTACAGTTCATAGTGAAAATGCAACTAACTAGGCAAGAGAGAACATGTTGTTTGTTCTATTTCGACCTTTAAAGCACTGTTACTCCTCACATACATCCGAACTCAATCTATTTTATATTAGGTAACTAATTTGATAGAACTAAAACATCTAACTATGTAGAAGATTCATTTAAGTGTCTGAGCTTTTTCTTAACTCACACAATCATAACACCTCTGTAAGTAGTGTTCACATTCTGCAGTCGGCCCTTCCAAGATAAGCCTGATACTAACCAATGTCTGCTCGTCACTATACAATTTCCATTTGCACAACTTCCAATTCAACGGCTAAGTCACGGCATTACAACACGGTACTGAGGCAATTATTGCAGTTTTAGCAGTATATTAAGACTGGTCTAGAGCGCTCATAGACAAGTAATCTAACCAGCCTGAAGAATCTCTACTCTCATACAGTAGGTCCTTGCAAAGTATTTTCTTGTTGTACCTCATTCCGGCAGGTTGGCACGTGGCCTGCTATTCTTTTCCAAGAAAAACAATTAACACATGATACGCGCAAACAGATACAGACAAGTCAAATCATACGTTAAGTCCACGCTAGGATGGTCTAGGTCTTCATATTTCCTAAGCTAGCGCCTCGGTACTCAATGGGCACTAAAATCTCACTCACTTCAGCCATGGGTAAGAGCAGCTAAAGTAGCCAGAAATACTTATAAACGAAGCTAGACTTTCCTTCGATTGTTTTGTATTATAGCCTTACATCTCCTCACTGGTTACTAAAAATAGGGAAATTTAAGCAAAGCGCCAATTAGTTGATGCGCCTTGCTTGCGACACCAGTTTACCAAACATCAAATGTCACAGTTATCATTGAGAATTTGTAATCGTAGTCTGTATGGACAGCAAGACACGCCGATTATGCGTGGAGTTTATACTAGGCTGTTCTTTATACTATCGTTGTTCGCAAACAGTAGTCTCCAACCTTACTACGAGGGACGCTTATTGAATATTACAGAACCGTCTACGGAGGTGCCTTTCAAAAGTATTGTCTGCCAAGAATAATCTATCCGAAGTACGGCCGCCTTAGCCGAGGCTTGTCTCTCCCCTCTATGTACTCATTGCCACCTTGTAGCTCAATTATCTTTTGAATATGTACAAGAATTCGCTCAATCCAGGCTTAGATCTTAAGTTGCGAGAGATCTCTCCAGCAGTTCTGCCAGATTCTGACTGCCTCAGCCCTTAACTGTGGAGCTCCTTTCTTCGTAGTCTCTCTCTTCATATAGAACTAGCATAGCTTAATACAGTTACAGTCTGGCGAGTTACTACACCAGAGTAGTCTCTCGACATCGTGCAGGCGATAGATCACACTTTGATAGTGGTGGGCGTGGCTAGGTGCCTTATCCTCCATTACAACAGTCTGAGGTCTATCTTAGAGGCATTTTTTAGCGAAAGGAATCAGCTTTGGGATTAGAACACAGGTCTGATATCTCCACCAGTCTATGCCACCTCCAGACGTGCGCACCAGCTTGCCTGTCTTCTCTGTCCATCTCCATTGAGGCTTCCTGCCACGCTTATTACGTAGCCCTATCCTCCTCATGGACTCTGACAGCTCCCATTCCTCTCTCTATAGAGGCTTAAGCTCAGCGTTCAGTTACTCAATCCAACGAGCAGCATCCTCTTTCTCTGCCTTTGTCTCTAGCTAGTAGACATGGCATGGACCCTTCTTATCGTACGAGAAGCAGCCCCAGAACATAAACTTAGAGTATCCCTTCCACCTCTCACGGATACAGCTCTTAACTACTCTCTCATCTGCCTTTCTCCAGACTCTATAGCCCCCACGTCGGTGGTTAATTACTACCGACGTCTCGTCTGTCCAGATAACATTCTTCCAGTCCTCCAACGTCCAGTCCTTATACTCTAATGCCTACTTAAGACGAGCACTCCTCATCTCCTGTGTCAACCCAGGCTTCCTCGTTAGCTTGGTCTTCCTGTATCCTGCTGCTCTTAATACCCTCTAGACGGTAGAGGCAGAGATCTCGACTCCTTGGAGACTGAGCCCACTAGCAAGGTCAGCACAGCTCTTCTCTCGTCCATATCTATCGTGTCGTACTTGTTGAAATATCTGCTCCTTCACCTCCTCTGCCTGCTTAGTAGGTCTACCAGTCTTTGGAGCATCCTAAACGTGGTGTGGAAGGATCTTAATAGGAAGTTCGTTTGGCTCAAAGCCTGCAGCAATAGCTCTACTATAGATACGATCGACAGTACGAGGATTAACACCAGTTAGCGCAGCAACTTGTGACGTATTCTTGCCAATAGGAGGTGACTTTAGCGCGATTACTAAGGTACGGGTATATATATCAGTATAAGGAGCCATAGTAAGAAGATAACTACGTAGTGGCAGGTAGGCTGATCAAACAGCTCCTCAGCTCGAAGGTGGGAGTTGCGCCAAGAAGAGTTGCGCCGAATCGCCGAGATTAGCGTCAGACAATACTTTTGAAAGGCACCTCCGTACATCTTCGCGAACAGCTTAGGTAGCCTAGTTTTTGGGAAAATCAGTGTAAATCAATTCACTATACCATGCTTCTTGAAGCACAGCACAGCGGTCGTCACTGTGCAGGAACACTAGGTTGATCCTGGGAAGCGCTTCTGCTATACGCCGCTAGTGCAACAAACCACGATAAACGCCGGTTTGACAACGGCAGGATGGCTCGAGGCTCTGGTTCTATCTTTATTGTACCTCGTGTACACATCGTATGTTGTACTCTTCGTATATTACGGCGTTGCCAGTTTGATGATAATATTGAACTGGCTTCGGCTCCGGGAGACGGGCCAAGACAGATCTAAGCATCAACTCAACTCGCTACCAAACCATGTCCCGACGGACACATCCGCAGCTGGCTAGAGCAGTCAGACGTCTTGCGCGTAATTCAGCAAGGGTGCATTGTGAAATCTTGGTATCGAATGTTGCAGTCTGCAGCCTAAAATACAAAACCTTGGCAACGAGCCGGAAGGAATAACACAGCTACTTATCACTGCCAAGCCAGTCTCATGGTACCTGTCAAAGCGCTTAACACCCCCGCATATAATTTGTCCGCGTGGCGGGGCTCAGATAAACACCTTAATTTATGGCGCGGACGTGTTATCACAAAAAGCCTAGTCCGACTAGAAGGCCCGAATCGGGAGTTCCAACAGACGATTTGCTCCGAGCTTTCCATTGCCCCTGCCATTTAACGGTGTTGGACACTTGCTTTTCGTTTCTCCTTGAAAGCCGCAACACCTTCGCGACAATCCTCAAGTGAGAAGCTGCTGTAGTACAATGCACGCTCAATCTCTAACCCCGCCTTCAAGGTTGTCGTCTCCGCTGCTTTCTGTCAACTTGCTAGCCTGGGATAAGGGCGTGCAAACAATTCTCACCTGCTAGAACAGCTTGTTTAGCTAGCCCAATCGCTGGCGCTGAAAACGACGCAATAGTCCGTGCCATTGCTGTCGCCACCTCCAATACATCTTCTCCGTTGGGGACAGCCCTATTCACAACGCCTAGACGTTCCATCTCCGTTGCCGAGGTGGTTGCACCAGTTAATATAAGTTCCATCGCCTAATGAGTTAATACGAATGCTGCTCAACAGAAGGAAAATGCTAGCATAATATTGCCCAGCGTACAGATCGGGAACATACCTTCTGCTTTCCAATGGTCTTGGTGAGCCTGAATGAGGTCAATACATGTCAGCCAGAAGACGTCATCCGCTCTCTTACCTTTGCGTGCCACCTGCTCCCGGTATCGTGCCCAGGGTAATCTCTGGGAAACCAAATCGCGCATCTGCTGTTGCGTAAACCATGTCACACTGCACGTCATTAGCGCCCGCTCCAAAGCACACAACTCCAACAGTAAGCAATTACTCATAATCGCTACCAAGCCAATCATGGATTGGTGGAATGCATGGGTTCATCCATACTTACCATAAGTGCGAGTTCAAAGCCACCGCCTAACTGGTACGGGTTGTCAGCATGCCTGTTAGGTGACATGGGGGACGATTGGCTCACTGCAAAACCCCTCACAGCTGCCAGAATAGGCTTCCGAAAACTTGAGAACGCTTCATTCAGGTCTTTGAGCCATCCCACACAGGTTCTGCCAACGGCATGATATGTCAACGGAAGCTCCCATTCCGCTCTATACTTGGATATACGTACGCCTCAGCTGTCGTAAGCTTCGCCAGTTCAGTTAGATCTGCGCCAGCTGATCGTCGTGTCAACACCCACGCATCTCTCTATAAGGACCGATCTCAACATACCACAGAATGGGCCAGAGCTGGTCAAGACGGTAGCGAATATCGTGGGGTTGCGATCAATTTGACGCAAAGCCGTGATCAGCTCATCGATCAAAGCCTGGCATAGTGCGTTCCTTTTTTTCGGTCTATTCAGTTCTAGAATGGCGATTCCATCATCCTTGATGGACACAATGAGACTCGGCGATTCTGCGTTCGAGAGGCTCATGGCTTCTAGTTTGTTCGGTCGTTGATGTGAATTTCGGATTCGTTTAGCAAAATGTGGCGCTTGTTCTGTACTCGTGTTTTTTTTTAAACCGTTGAGGCGATAAGAGATTTTCCAAATAGTCAAGAATCCTTCTTCCTTATATTATTGGGCTATCATAGTTCACAGAGTTGGATTTATACAAAACACTGGGGTTCTTTGAGAGAGCATAATCAGGAAGATCAAACTTAACTAAGGCGCAAAATTACAGTGAAATTGACTTCTAGTCCCCACGTGGTCCAACCCGGCTCCACCTCTATAGGTGCCAGGCTTGGTACTGCATAAATCCTCCAACCCACAGCTGTGTGGGCGTAGCCGTATGCACTACCCGTTTTTTTAGGTACTTGGCTGGTTTCATATACCACGCGGCTAGTTTCATCTATTACCCACACTAAAAAAACATTTCTTCTGCATGATTCGTCCCAAGGCCAACCCCTGCTAACCAACTCCATATTTACAATTCAACCTGATGTGGTTTCTACCGCCGCTCTCCGCCCCTGGACCCCCACCCCCTTTATTTACGAGGGTTCTGGGAGTAGCAAGTCCGTTCATGCTTCGGCACCACGCGATTGTCCGGCCAGCAAAACCGAGGCAATCGCTGAACATGCCATCTCACGATCAGACCGGATCGGATCTGACCGGACAGATGGTACTGTACGGTATAATATCCATGCTTCGTAGACCCGGTAAAGAAACACTCACTAACGCGCTGACAGATCGAGCGTTCGTAATTAGGGGCAGGGTTATAAAAGCCCTAGCAACTGGTTGCAGGGTGCAGCCGCACATGGCCTCGCTTAGACCCCATTGCAGGTACGTACCCCGCTTGACGTAAGTAGGTACTAGGTTACCCCTGTAACATTTCGGCTGTCACATCCTAACCGGAAGGTAACCTTAGCTTCGGGACCTCCTCACGGAGTAAAACAAGGACTGCCTAAGGAACACGCATCTGTAAATTGCCACCTGGATAACGGCTGAAGCTGCCTCTGGGAATATCCAGTCATGTCACTCAAACCGTGCCATTGCAGTGGCTCAGAGCATTATGCACACGCAATCCGTCCTTGTGAAGGTTGTTTTAGTGGCCCCGCATCGGTTTCGTTTTGTGTTTGGCGTCCTGCTTGTAGACTCTTTTCTACTTTGAGCTATCAATCCGTAGGCTCCTAACTTTTTCTTGACATTGTACCGGCGTATAGCACGAATTTGCCCAGGTGCATGTCGTCCGAGAACATTCGCCTGATATTAACTGTCCAAGACATTTTCATAGTGTGTCGATAAAACACCCCAGAAACTTCAGTGCAGCCCTCACCTGGCAATTTACGGTGAAATTTTGCGTCACATAGCATGATCACATGGAAATCCCTTGTGGATCCAAGGTATTGCCACCCATAGGTGTATACGAGTAGGATCTGGCTCCGATTTTACTTGCCGTGTTTGAGACATCCCCTCCCTTTAATACAAAAGGAAGGGCTCTGGCAACGACTTGAAGGTTTCAATAGCATGAGAACTCTATACCCTTCTACTTTAATTTCTTAATTCTCAACATGAAGACGAACAATTGCTTTCAGGCATTGTCATGCCTCCCTGAGGAGGATCGCAGACGGATATCCAGCTTTGGTCAAGGACCAACTGTCCCAGTTCCACATTCCGTGGTGCATGAGGCATTCGAAAAAATCGCTGAAACTCATCCACATACCGTTGCCGCGACCTTTGCTGGTAATTCACTTACGTACCAGCAGTTGGATGAAGCAGCAAACCAGCTCGCCAATCGTCTCATCCATGCCGGATTGAAACCAAAGCAACGAGTGTGTCTCGTTGTGCAACGCTCATTTGAGATGCTCATTGGTATCTTTGCGATTCTGAAAGCAGGATGTCAATATGTACCAGTTGATGGTGGAGTGGCATCAGAGGTTGCACTGACACACATACTTTCCGACTCTGGTGCAGCTTTCATTCTATGCCTTCCCAAATTCTTCGAAAGAACAAAAAAGGTCGCCAAACGAGATGCAGTAATTGTCGCTTTGGAAGCGAACGTTGGTGCCTCTTTTCCTTCGACACGCCCATCAGTCCCAGTTTCCTGCCATGATGGTGCATATGCGATATACACATCCGGTAAGTTAACTCACTATACAGATGAACTATTACTTATCAACCCTGTATAGGCAGTACTGGTACACCGAAAGGTGTCGATGTTGCGCATTCCAATGTCACAAACGCTTTGTTGTTAAACCCAGCACGACTTGACATTACCGTGGGGTCCAAAGTTGCCCAAGTACTTAACATCGCCTTCGACATGGGTAAGCTCCATTGGAAATTTCGAAGAAAATTACCTAACAAGTGACCAGGAGCCTGGGAAATACTGGCATGTCTTATGAATGGTGGTACCTTGTACCTGCGGGGATCAGATTGGACAGCCACACTCCGTGAGGTAAGCGTTTCCATTTAGCCACCAAATCTGACCAATCACGTACTAACCGAGCTACAGGTCGATACACTTATTTCCACCCCATCCATCCTGTCAAAGTACCGTCGACAGTCTTTTCCAAACATTAAATATGTCGTGACAGGTGGTGAGCCTTGCCCAAAAGCGTGAGTTATTTCCCTTCGAAGCTATCTGTGAACGATTTTAACAGTTAGTTAGACTGGCTGATGAGTGGGCGGAAAACGCATGCTTCTACAACATTTGTGGGCCAACAGAGATCACAATTCTAAACTCAGCACATCGCCATACCCCAGGCCAATTTTTGTCCATTGGAAAGCCCTTGCCCAACACAACATGTTACCTTCTCGATGCAGATGAGCAACCGGTTCCTGTGGGGCAAAAGGGAACCATGTGGGTTGGTGGAGCTGGTGTGACTCGAGGCTATATCAATTTGCCTGAACTTACTGCTCGTCGTTATAAACATGACAAATTCGTCAACGATGGGTACGTCTCATGGAATATCATTCGTATTATGTTGGACTTACACAGCGCAGGTCAAGAATGTTTAACACCGGTGATATCGCACGGTGGAGGGAGGATGGTTCACTTGATATGCTCGGCCGTGAAGATGACCAAGTAAAGATCAAGGGCTTCCGTGTCGAACTTGACGGAATCACAGCCGTCGTCGAGGTAAATAGCCTTTATTCTGTATATCTTATGAGGTTACTAACAGAATCAGTCGTTCCAAAACGTAAGACGAGGTGCAGCAATGCTCGTTGATAACGCACTCTGTGCTTTTTATGCAACAGAGGGTTCGGTTGACGAAGAAGCTCTCAAGAGTTTCACCCAGAAACATCTACCTTATTACTCTGTCCCAGAGAAATGGGTCAAGGTCGACTCCATACCACTTACAAATAACGGAAAAGTCGATCGAAAAGTGCTGAGAGAACTGGTTTCTGCCCAGTCTAGCCACACACCTACGAACGAGAAGTCTACAGAAACTCTCAAGCCGAACTTGGTCAGCGTCAATGTGGAGACGTACTCTTTCGGTGGATCTTCCACTGCATCTTTCAAGGATCCAGAGAAGATGGCTGTCATCATCACTAGCGGCGATTCGGAGCGAAGCAGCTCTGCAGAGGATCTGACTGAAAAACTACCAGAAACCCTGCCACCGAAGAACAGTTACCACGGTCTACGCTGGGTTCGTCATCGCGGGCTTATTCTTTACCGCCGCTTTCTGTCTGTCGTTATACTTGCGAACATTGGGGTGGCTGTGTTTCTCTTGCACCGCAGGATTGGAGAAAACAAGGACATTCTCTCCAATTTGTCCCTAGCCACAGCTGCCAATCTCGTCGTCGCAGTCCTCATGCGCTCAGAGCCAGTCGTCAACCTTCTTTTTACCATCTTTTGCTCTGTTCCGGTAAGTAACCACTGTATTTTATGCAAACATGACATGATGACTGACTGGAAATCTCAATCTGCAGACCTTCTTTCCTCTCGCTATACGACGCCACTGCGCTAGAATCTTCCACATTGGCGGCATTCACAGCGGATGTGCAATGGCCGCCATGATGTGGCATTTCATATTCACCATAGACAGTACCGTAGATCTGGCAAAGCCGACATACATGCGTCGAATCTCGGTGGCTCCGGTCGTCGTATCGTGGCTTGCGCTTCTCCTTTTGCTCATCATTGGATCGACTTCGCACCCAACCTTCCGCGCCAAATACCACAATGCATGGGAGATGACCCATCGATTCGGTGGTTGGACTTGTCTCGCATTGCTCTGGACGCTCACATTCCTCGCAACCAAGGACCTTAATCCCGAGCTGCCCATAGCAACCGCCTATTTGCGCTCTCCAGGTATATGGCTTCTCTCCGTCGCGACAGCAGCTATCATCTTCCCATGGTTACACCTACGTAAAGTACCCGTCCGCTCTGAGGTTCTCTCCAATCATGCCATCCGGCTTTGGTTCGATTACACGACTCCTGTGGTCGGTACTGCTGTTAGACTTGCAGAACGGCCCTTGATCGATTGGCATGGCTTTGCAACCATTACCAATCCTGAGGGAAACGGATTCTCACTTATTGTGAGCCGCGCAGGTGACTTCACAGGCCGCACAATTGAGCGCGCACCAACCCATATCTACGTTCGTGGTATCCCGACTTGCGGTGTTCTACGCATAGCCACACTCTTCAAGTCAGTCGTCCTTGTCGCAACAGGATCAGGTATCGGACCATGCCTGGCTGTCATTCTCGCTCAAAAAGTACCCTGTCGCATTCTGTGGACTGCGCCAAACCCTGAACAGACGTTCGGTCAAAAGATTGTGGATAGCGTCAAAGCTACAGATTCACAAGCAATCATCTGGAATACGAGAACACAAGGAAAGCCCAACATGTCCCTGATAGCGTACCAGCTATGGAAAGAGAGTGGAGCGGAAGCTGTTTGTGTGATCAGCAACAAGAAGTTCACCACCAAGATTGTTTACGACATGGAAGCTAGAGGCATTCCAGCTTATGGTGCTATTTTCGACTCATAGATGGGGTTTCTTTTTGTTTATAATTTCTTGGATATATTGGGTTATGGGTTTTGGGATCGTTTCTAGCGCAAGGACAACTGGGAAAAAGGGTTCATCAGTGTTGGTTTTTTAAAAGGCGTCTAACTTTGCATTTATACAGCTTCGAGTGGGATAGCTGCTGTTTTGATTTTTTTTTGTCCATTTCCTCATCAATCAATAACGTATTTTTCACAAAAACCAGCGAAGCCTGAGTTACAAAGACGTCGAACTATATGCAGGTCATACTGACGATATTCAATAGCACTACTACCGATCGCTAGACAAGTTCATTATCAAAACTTTCAATTACGTTTCCCCACTCAACATCTTTCAAAAGAGTCTGATACATTCAGCCGTGTTAGTTTTATGGATCAAATAGCCGAGGGTAGTTTATCAAGACGATATTAACTGTGTGAGGGTAGGGAGTAATGGACGATGTGGGAAAAGTTAGCGTAGAGAACCCGTTTTGCTTCAGCGCGAGCTTCACTACAGGCCAATAGTTTGTCGCCAAGCAGATTTCTGTAATGGGATGATCTACTACGCCATCCTAACATGCTTCAAGAATAGGTCGTATCAAGTTGGAAGACGACGGAGATCCAAGGTGGGTCATGGGAGACTACATCCTCTACTTGAACAGGGGTGCATGAACTATGCTGTGACTTTATAAGCTTTTGCGGCTCTGCCCCACTACGATGCAACTTATCTGTAAATCCTCCAGTCTGATATCCCTGCCTCAGATCATATGGCTGAATGTTTGAATGTGCACCGTTCCGCGGAGTCGATCCATGTCGCGACCCACTTATGCAATCACTACCTTTTAGGATACGCCCCGGTAACACTAGTTAACACTTCTCCTAGTCTTCCGCGGTTGTAAATATGACTCACCTCGCCAGGTGGTAAAGTACTTTTGGAAGAATTTGTCGCTGGTCATAACGACAACCCAGCCTAGGCAGACATCTAGCGTCTGTCATTCAAACTGTTTTGTAACGGGTAGTTAGTTATTGCAAAACCTTAACTGTTAGTTAGACTGCATGCTGACATAACCACTACTATGGTCTTTGTGCACTCGATGAGAATCACTGAAAACAAAAATCTAGCTCGCAGTACGAACTTTGTCTACTAGGACATCAGTGTACTAACAGCATGGGGATACCCACTCGTACTGTTAACCTACCCCATTATCATACTCCATAATCCTCATCCCAGACCCCCTGCCTTCTTGCACCGTACTATCGCGTCCCCGATTTCTAGTGGGTCTGAACTTTACACCTCGGTTGCCAGCATCTCCCCGATATTGGGAAGCCATAAACACTCATTCATCGCTTCACAACCTTGTCATTTCGTCCAAATCAGGGTCGACCATTAATTCAAACAGGTATCTGGATACCTCCATTATGTGAAAAGAACAAAGCCGCTCGTTTTCCACTCTTCACTAAACCCGCTTATGGAAAGGTCTCTGAAATTAGCATGTCTGAGTCTGTGAAGCCTCCGAGCCCTGCGTCACGGGTCGAACTCTGAACACTCACAGCGACGAAAACTACTGCTTCACTTTCATGTCACTCTGCAGCTGAGACTTGAGGTGCCCTGCAAAGAGTGTCTTATTCGGGTATATGTAAACCACTTAGCCTCTCAACACCAGCGCTATGAATCCACCACCACACTACCTGATCCTTTCACTACAATCTCTGTACTTTACAATCCACCTCGTTTTACTTTTCCTACCCTCATTACACCAAACATCTCCCAACATCTTAGTATCCCAACTACCCGCGAACCAGCTCATCAAATGGCGCAAGACAACCTCCTTCGCCACATTTTCAAGCGCAGCCCCCTTTCCCTCAAGTACCGGAAAAGCACACGCAGTACTCCTGTCAGCAACAACAAACCTGACAAGTCTCTCATTCTCGAAAACCCTCGCTACTCACGCGAACCACCATCATGGCGTGATGAAGAAATATCAGACACCAATGGCACTCGCAGAATCCACAGAAACCGACACACCTCGTGTGACTCGTGTTCCACCACCACTTCCGCCACATCATCAACTACCTTCAACTCCTCCAGCTCAAGCTCAACAGATACATCGTTACTCCTGCATCCATGGATTCCTCGCCCCATTTCTCCGCTAGCAATCAGCACGCGCGACCTCTTCCACGCCGTGGTGCAAGAAGCCGTCGCTGCCACAGCTTTGCACATGAACACTTTGGACACGGCGCTGGGAATGCTGGAGACGATGCAGGGACTCAGTGCGACGGTTGATGTCTTGAGGGGAGAGATGCAAGAGAAGAGAAAGGCGTGCGAGGTAGTGAGGAAAGAGATGTTGCAGTTTGGCGAGGTGGTTCGGGCGTTGGGGCTTGTAGAGTGATTGACGGGAGTGGAGTATGAGCATGGTTGTTTTCTACGAAGGAATTCGAGTTGGTTTTGTAGATTGATGTGAGATCGGATCCAAAAGGTTTTGTTTGCATGCTTGAGAATGGGAGAAGGCTCGCAGTCGCTGTACAAGATGAAGTCTAGGGCGATGAGAAAATTATCATTTAAAAGTTTATATCAAGACACACAAAGAAAAGAAAGATTCAAGGGTAGTGTCATATCTCTCACCCAGTCCAATCCAGTCCAGCCTAGGATATCTTGAGACCCATCCTACGTTACTCAATGCCAATCAACCTTTCCCTGCCCTCTAGACCTTCAACCACAGATTCAACACACCCTTGGCATACTCTACAATCTCATCGCCACCAAGTTTGCTCTCGCCGTAAAGACGATCAACAAACGAGATTGGAACCTCGCCAACCGTGCATCCCATAGCCTTTGCACGTACCATCATCTCCATCTGGAACGTATATCCTTTGCTCTCTGTGCTCCGGATAACCTTTTGCAGAACCTCCTTCTTGTACAGCCTGAAGGAGCCCGTGAGATCGCTCACGCCGGGCCTGAGGACAGTATCCGCGAACAGATTCGCACCCCTGCTAACAAACTTGCGCTTCAGGTCCCAGCCGTAGACGCCGCCGTTGCCCGCATACCGCGTTCCGGTAACAATGTCGTAGTTCTTCGTCTTTTGGAGCGCAATCATGGGCGCGATGAACTTGGGGTGGTGGGAGAAATCCGCGTCCATGATGATGACGAAGTTGCCGGTTGCGAATTGTAGGCCGTGAACGTAGGCCGTGCCGAGACCCAATTTGCCTGCGCGTGCGCGGATCTGGATGCGTTCGGGGGAGTAGACTTTTTGGAGCTGGGCGGCGACTTCTTGGGTGCCGTCTGGAGAGCCGTCGTCGACAATGATAAGTTCCCAATCGAGGTTGCTGCGAGACAGGGTTAGTAAGAACGAGGGGTGTGAGGAATGAGGGGGAATGGTAGCGACGTACTTCTCAGTGAATGTCTTGTTGAGCAGCCATGTTATAATAGGGAGGTTGCGTCGCTCATTGTATGTGGGCAAAAGTATGGAGTACTTGTTCTTGTTCGCCTCGGGTGCCATGGTGAAGGTGCTGTATTGCGAATTGGGGGAACGAGCGACTGGAGTTGAGCGTTGTGATTGTTCGAAGTTGAGGGATGATCGCCGAGGTGATCGTGTCCGCATTGCAGTGCAACGCGAGGGAGGACCCTGACCTAACCCGTTTAGTCTATGTCCTCACTCCACGACCGCACTACAAAGTCTGGATCACCAGTCTTGCATGCTTACCAAGATTAGAAAACTAGCTTTTGTACAGCGAGTTTATTCAATTGATTTTTATCATGCTGCCCTCTAAACGAAAGAACCTTCTCCTCTGCCTCGATGCCTTCGACACACTCTTCACCCCTAGTACTCCTATCCCAACCGCCTACGCACAAGCAGCATCTCGTCACGGGATCCAAATTCCCTCTACCCAAAGCCTAGCGTCAAGCTTCAAATCTTCATTCAAAAACACGTCTCAAAAACACCCAAACTACGGCAAATCCACCGTAGGTCTCAGCCCCGAAAAATGGTGGAAAACCATTTTACAGGACACTTTTGCCCCATTCCTGCAACAAGGCCAGACAGTTTCAGAGGAACTCACCAGCGAACTCCTTGAACACTACTCGTCAAACAAGGGATACAAAATATTCGACGATGTCAACCCTTTGTTTAGCATGTTGCGCAATGCAAAACAACAGCGCTCATCGTCGTGGCCATGGGACACGACTATTGTGGGCATAATCACCAACTCCGATGATCGCATTCAATCCATCTTGTCCTCGTTTGGCTTGGACATAGCATCTCGCCGGTACAACAACAATAACAACAACAACGGTGGCAGCGGAGGAGAAGTAAATACGATTTCACGGGATCAAGACATTGACTTTGTACTCCTGTCCTACGACACCAGCGTCGAAAAACCGCACCCTGTGATTTTCTCCCTCGCAGAAGAAATGCTCAGCGATGTGTTATCAAGCAGAGTTGGTGCTCAGGGAACAGGTCTACAAGCAAGTGACTTTGAAAAACTACATGTAGGGGATGATCTGGATAAGGATTATCTAGGTGCAAAAGAAGCGGGATGGGGTGCACTGTTGCTGCGGCGCGATCAGGGGTCAGGCAAAGGTATACAGAATATCGAGGTGGAGGGAGAAAATGGAGACAAGAAACGTGTAGAGGCAATTGGTAGCCTGTTGGATATTGCTGGATGGCAACCTAGTAGTACATAACGTATATCCCCAAAAATGTGAAAAAAATATATATTCGGATACATGAAGTGTAATTCAAAGCACTCACCCAAAACCAAAAAAAATATATCAGTGTTGTCATCACGTCGATTTCTCATACTCATTTCATCTACCGTTACTAATGCCGTCATACATCTGTCTTCGCTAAGAAGCTGAGGCATCAAAACATAAGAAACAAAAAGCCCATTCCTCGTGTACAAGTGTTTAGCCACCAATCCATAAAAGAAGAAAAATATTTCCCACCAAATAGAACTGGGTATTCAAACATCCCAACCACCATAGGCCCGCGTCTCATTTTGGATTTTCCTGGTCCGAAATGATGGATGAAATGGATGCTCGACCGGTATCCATTTGGGGAGTTCGTAATGTCGCGTGGCTTCAAAACGTCACGGCGTAAAACGCAAACAGGTCAGAGACAAAATATGATAACAAGTCATTGCACCGCCCAAATGCATGCTGGGACGTCGAATGTTTCCCCAATGTCTACAACTCTTCGTCTTCTTCCATCTTGGATTCAATAGTAGGAATGTTGCCATCAGAGTTCCCTCGCTCTTTCTGGGCGCCCATTAACGCTTGGCCAAGGCTCTTGCGGACGGTCTCATCAAATCCCGGTAATGAGGCGCGTTGCTTCTTAAAGGGCGATGCGAGGGGGTTCGAGGAGTTAGTTTCTGACGAGTTTGCAGGTGCAGAAGTCGAGGCATCGTTTGAAGATGAAGCATCGGGCGCTGGTGTGCCAGATAGAGGAGATCCGGAAGCGTCTGAAATTGAGGCACCAGCGGGACGGCCCACCGGCTCGGCCGAGTGTTGACGTTTGAGCTGTGCAGTGTCAGCATCGCGCACCACATGTTGAACTAGCCAACATACCTTGATCTTGCGTACACCCTCTGCAAGTTCGCCCTGTTTCAAAGCGTCTTCTGGCGACAGTAAGCCCTTGTCAATGACATCTTTGTCGTCATCCATATCTTCCAGCTTGACGTCGTCTTCGTCATCTGCGTCACTGTCCATAGCGTCTTGGTTCTTTTTCTTAGATTTTGGGGATGTTTCCCGGTAGCCGCCAAAGTTCTTTGTTCCAGCATCTGCGTTGAGGGGCTTAAGGCTGCCAAAGTCGAGTGTTCCTGACTTTCGCTTGGCGGCTGGCGAAGTGACCTTTGGCGGCTCCTTGCTGGTCAGAATTCCCATCTTGCGCAACTGGCCTGTTTGGGGTTAGTATATTCACTCTTGTCTATAAATTTTGCAACTCACGCTCTCCGCGGTATAAGAAGGTGAAGACGGCGTAGGGCTTGTCCGGAGGATCTATGCCAGTCACAGTCTGGGTGCTGATGGACTTGGGATCCAATGTCTTTGGCTTCGCAAAACTTGTAGTGTGGTCGACATCGTCACCCTCTCCGCCGTTCTGTTCGTCGTCGTCGTGTGCGTCGAATTGCGGCGAGTACTCGCCACGCTTGATCTCTCCGGACGCTAAAACACGAAACAAGGCAACCTTGATTTGTCCTGCGGCCTCGGGCATAGGGGGCTCGTCTTCCGAATCGGAGTCGGTGGTGAAGAATTCGTCGTTGCCAGAGAGTGTTTCGACAGGCGCGTCCTGGCTTTCGCTGTAGCGCAGCACACCGTTGGTGGAGGGCTTCTTGTCTTCTTCATCGCTACTGTTCACGACTTCTCTCCGCTTCGCCCGTTTCTTCTCCAGGCGTTGCTTTCTCCGCTCGATCTTTGCAGCCACATCTTTATCCTTGCCTTCGAGATCAAGGCCATTGAGCCATCGCTCGAGTCCGACCTCGCGGAAGAGAAACTCGCGTTCGGCAAGTCCCCCACCTTCCGACTCTGGTACGCTGACCCACCGTGAATTGACCCACGTCTCCTCGCCGCGGCGCAGCAGAGTCGCAACCTCCTCCTTTGCCCTTCCGTCAAAGTAGATATATGCGGCGATGGTCTCATTTGGCGAGGTGGTGAGGGGTTTGTACGGGGCTATCGTGGGACTGTACTTGCCCCGCTCACCAGTTTGCCCGGGCAGGCCACCCACAATCTTGGGCTTGGGGTTGGGTTCTTCGGGCGTGGGCTTTGGGGTCGAGTACGGGACGTGCAGACCTGGGGTGAGCAGAGTGATGGAGATTGCAAAAGACGACTGCTCGGGCTTGGTGGCGCCGGGGGGGATCTTTGCTGGGGGCACGGGGATATACGATGTGATACGGTGGTACTTTGATTGCTTCTGGATGGAATACTCGGGCAGCGGGTTGGAGTCGGCGTGTATCGAGACCGCCAGGCCCAAAAAGGTCGGCATGGTGGGCAGCGGGCGTGTGGGGAGGAGGGGGGAGCAGCGAGGGCTGCGGGAGAGAGAGTACAAGTGGTGGTGGTGGAGGACTGGGCGGCGTGAAGCTGCGGAGATGGCAGCGGAAGAGCGCTGGTCTTGGCAGAGAATGAATGGAGGGAGAAAATATCCCTGCGGACGTAAGCCGCTGCCGGAGGGGCACACTGCGCGAGTAAGTAGGCGAAAAGGGCGGCGAGGCGGTGTGAGGTAGCAACTCCAAGTGTCTGTGTTGTTGGTTTAGGCGGAGAGCTTCCGTAGCGGGCGGTCCCACCATGTTCACGGCGCTCCACGGGTGCCCCCTTGGGCCAATCACGTTGCCACTGCCAGCTATCTGGAAAACGCCATCAAATTCACGCGCCTCCACGACATATTTGTGCGATCACCATATGTTCACCCAGGATATCGAATCAGGGGGCATGCTGAACGGCGATCCAGGGTGGGGTTCGTCGTGCTAGCGGCATGGCGCCTATGTTGCTTCTGCAGGCCCGCTACACTCCAAGTACATCATCACTACCACAGCCCTCACGGTACAGATTGTTCCTCTATATACACGCACAGTCAATTCAACACCCTGCAAGACCCCATGGACAGCTGTCTCAGGCTATCCCCAAGTCTCCCCTCCTCTCCTCACTCGTCCTCATCCAGCGCAAACATGTCCTCCGCCCTCGGCCGCAACCGGCGAGCCCTTGCTACCGCCGTCTCCCCAGGAATCACGTCGGCCTCAGGTTGTGCAAGGGCGGGCTCAACCGCGTCTGTAGCCACGGGCACTTCTTCTGCCTCCATGCCCGATGCTTGATCCATGTCGCCCTCGGCACCATCGTTGCGTGTCTCGTCATCAACATGCATCTTCTCATCCTCGTCTCCATCTTCACCGCCAGTGCTAACCGCTTTGCGGACTACATTGCTCTTCCGTTTCCTCCTCTCTGCTAATCGCCTTGCCTGCTCCTCCTCCTCTTTCTGCCTCTCACGCGCGTTAAACGCCTCGTCAAAATGACTCAGTGTCGACTCGTCGAACAAATGCTCGTCCTGCCAGACCTTGAGAATGACATTGACTTCATCCCGGTAGCTTCTCTCAGTCATCCGACCCATCTCTAGTTGCGAAGGTAGCTGCTCAAGATGTTCAAACACTTTGCGGCTCACAAGATCTGTAGCTATCGCAAGACGATATTTGTACGACACTCCAGACTCTTTTGCAGTGACAAGAAGTACATCTGAAATAATGCGTAAAGCATTCAGCGTCACCTGTCGGGTATCAGGCCGGCGAAGGTCATCTTTTGTGTCTGTATCGGCCGGTCTGTTCCTCGGATTGGTATCAGTGAGCTGAAATGGGCGTATGATGTTTGAAACAAGAATGTGCACCACTTCGTCCATGCCCTGTCCAGCGTGTTCGACTGCAAAGTTTGAAATGGCAGCAATGTCATCGGCAACAATGCTACCAGGCGGAAGGGACGTGAGCAACCATAGCAGCATGGCTCTTGACCGAGGACTCATGATGCCGTATCCATTATCAACCCGTCCAGGATAATTATCCCCAACTGGAAGAGGCTTGTACTGTGGCTTCTCCTTCTCGTCTTCATCATCACTATCCATCATGTCATCTTCTGAATCAAATGCGCCCAAGTGGTCGGCAAACTCGTCGGCAAGGGGATCTATAGGCCCGCGCCAGTCACCCTGGCGCTCGAATATCTCTGGATTCGGACTGTCACAAACAATCTGGTGTAAGCGCCATCGGTAATAGCGGTTCACAGGATGCTTTTGGTCATAGAGCCAAGCGAAGCGTTCTTCTTCTTGTATTTGCGCATCGTTCATCAATGCAGCCTCGAATTCCACACCGCCTAGTATCACACCCTCTATAGTCTGGTGCACTAGTCTTAGCGTCGCAATGTCCGGGGGCTGGTTGGCGGTGACAATGAGTTGCTCGGTGTCTTCGCGAGGTCTATCTCTCCCACCGCCACCACCTAGGTCGGGGGGTGGTGCAAAACCCTTTGGGATCTCAGGCGCCTGCCATCGAGCGCCAAATGGCTCTGTGCGCTGTGCTGTATCCGCCGAGCGGCCGCCCAGATATCTGTCCAAGTGTAGATAGTAACCCTTGCCTAGATACTTCTTGTCGTTGAGTTTGTTCATAGCATCGTCCAAGTCGCGCGCACTTGCATCCTTGTCGAATATGACCTTCATTGTTGCAGACGGCCGGCCTTTGGGTGACGGGCCCTGCGGTGGTATCTTCTCGACTCGTGTAATTTTCAGTGATGGGAAATCGGCAAAGAGTTCTTCTACCCGGCGTGGATCAATGGCAGGCGGGAGGTTCGATGCTTTTGCTACGACGGTCGTAAACACATTCTCGGTCGGCTTTGGGCCATCCAGCGCAGCAGGGCCGGTAGGTGCCGACACACCAAATCGCGACGGAATTTGTTGTGCAGAACGTCCCGGGGTGACTCCAGGCCTTGGGTAGCCGTCGAGAGGCTCAGCGTCGAGTGTACCAGGGCCGCTTTTCATGGTCCGCTGTCTGCCCGTAAAGTGCCTTTTACTTCCAGTTGGAACGAATACATTGTCGGCCTCCTGGTCGCGCTCCGACTCACCCAGTACGCTTTTCTCACCCCCATGCTCTGCCTCGAAATCTGCCATGACCTTGTCCAGCGCATTCTTCTCTTCCCGTGCCTTTGCTTCTTCATCTTCTTTGGCCTTGGAATTCAATTGCGCCTTATTGGCTTTAGAGCCGCCGAGAGAGAACTTGAAAGCCATGTTTGGGGTTCAACTGAGATTGCGTAGGGTTGGTGCGACATGGGGTGTCGAGGGGTGAGTGTACAAGTGTCAAGGTTGAGCTTGCGACATGACCATGAGAGATGCAAACTAGCGCGTCCATCCCGACAGCCGGTAGCTTTCAAGATCCCGGACTGCCATCCCACAACGTCATGCCCATCGCAACACAGACAAGCAGGACAGACTTGTAGAGCAAAGCGCCCGCCATGGCTTCTGCACAGGATATCCCTGTTCTCCTTCGCTTCCTCAACCAAGAGGCCAAAGTCCCTCTCAAGCAGGCTATCGGCAAGGTGCCTGATCTGCAAGCGGCGAGTCTCAACACGTAAGCACGTGACAACGTAACACCGCGTTTCAATCCCCCACTAACGCCAAACGCACGGTACCAGCGCTTTAGACATATCTAAAGCCGATTTCGCAACGCTCAAGAACATTTTTGGGGACGAGAAAGCAGCGCGGCAATGTCTCAATGCGGCAAAACGAGTGTCCAAGAAACGGACGGCTGCAGATCAAGATAGCGCTACAGCGGCATCTGCGCCGTCGCCAGTCAAGAAGGCGAAGGCGAAAGCGACGTTTGGCCAGCCACTGAGTGGTGCGGAGCTCGAGGCGGAGCTTGCACTGCCGGAAGCAGAGATGAACGAAGAGGTGTTGAAGGCGACAGTTTTATACACCAATCGCGCGCCTTTATTGCTTGCATTTGCTGTTACATTGGTAAAGTACACGATGCCTGAGCAGCCGATCTCGAGTAGGCTGAGTCTCGCCCAAGCAGTCACATCTATGAATAGCAAGACGAAAGCTGTGCATGTTGGGCTGGACAAGTGGCGGCCTGCGGAAGAAGAAGGGTGGGGTGAGGGACAGCCGGTTATACGCATCATGACGCGCGAGATACGGGTCATGAAGCGGTGGGGGTACGAGTGGGAGGACGAAGGCTACGGGACCCAGCGAACAGCCAAGTCTTTGTCCGATATATCAGTTGAGGAAAGAGCGAAGGAGACTGCGCTATGGGCTGTCGATCTAGAGGCGTTGAAGCAGGCCAACCAGCCGGGTAGTTTGACGCACTCCAAGAGTGGACAGGGAATCCTGCCGATTTACTCGGCGCAAAAACCTAGGTCATATCTTCTGCAAGCGTTTGAGAAGATACCAGAAGATGGGGTCAAGCAAGAAGGCGATGCGCCGACGAAAGCAAAGGCGAAGGCGAAGAAAAGTGCGGATGCTACGAGAGCGGAAAAGAAACGGAACCTGGGTTTGCTGCTAGGGGCACTAGAACTATTGCATCGGTCTTGGGCAAGCATACTGAGCAAAGAAGACCTAGACAAACGTGCTTGGGGATGGTACGTCCATGTTCGACCCGAGGTGGCTCAAGGGACTGCGGGTTGGGGAGCGAAGGGCAATGTGAAGCTATCAGATATTCTGGACTTGCGAAGACCAAGTAAATAGCAGAACAAGGACATATGCTGAAGGGCGACGATTGATATCAAGATGTATTCGATCTAATGCTTTATTTGGGGGTATCCAGATCACTCGCTAAACTACTACAATTTGAACTCGGCGTTGGTGAGTTCCCAGCCGACACAGCCAGTGCCTTCTTTCCGACTAGCGAGCTTTTCAGCCAGGGCCAGTTTTTTGTCGCGATTCCGCTCTGTACAAAGCTCAAAGACGGTGCTAAGGTTCAAGATTAGGGAATGGAATGGAGGACTGGTGTCAACTAAGTCGTTCAGTATGTTCTTTGCATCCGAGATACGTCCAGTGTAGAGCAGACACACGGCCAGGTTTTGGGCCGCCATAGCGTCATCTGGGAACTGTTCCCGAAGAGCCTGTAGCGATGTTACGGCAGCCTGGTAATCAGAGTTTGCAAGCTCGATAAGAGCGCTGAGAGTGCCGTCGATGAGCTCATCTGGGGAAGCTTCCGAGGCTCGGGCCAGACAGCGACGGGCTGCCTGCACATGGCCCACGCGCAACCAGACCAGCGTCTCCATGAGGGCGATTTCTCTCGTCTGCTCCTCGTCGGCTGCCAGCGTGGATAGGTGCCGGCCAGCTCCCTCGAGGTCGCCCATTTCCACCAAGACATTTGCAACACGGATACCACAGTCTCGCAATCGCGACCTCCATAGCTGCTTTTCAGACTCTGGGCCCCTGACGATGTTTTCTCTGCATTCGTGCGCAAGCTCGTAATAACCCATAATGCCCTTGCGCCACTCGCCATAGCCCAGGGCAGCCAGTCGGACGACCAAGAGTCGCAGCTCCCAAGGTACAAGATGAGCATTTGTGAGGGGGTGTCGGTAGAAGGCACTGGCCAAATCACCCAGGACCTTGGACTCCTGGGCAGCGAGGGCATGCTCCTGCAGCAGACAGAGACATGCTAGACGCACATGGACAAGATGGAAGAGGGTATCGTGGTCGCCTGGGGCAGCGGAGACAAGGTTGCGGGCTGCAGCAATGGCGGCAAGGCGATAGTGGCCCGAGTAGAGGAGCGAGTCTATGGGCGACGAGACAGGAGGGGCGTTGGGAGCGCTGAGGAAGGGCGGCGGGACGTTTGTGACAGGCAGGGCGTGATAGGCCTGGGGGTCTTGCATGAAGCTGAAGTCCTTGGAGGGCATGTCGTCAATGGCGCGGGCCAGGGGTACATTGTGCTGCTGCTGCTGCTGCTGCAGAGCGGGCTGCGGGGCAGGATCGGGTCGTGTTGGAGGGGCGGCCAGGGGGCTGTATTGCCGTGTAAGCACGAGGTCGTCGTGGGAGCTTCTTCACACGGCAATGGGCGCAGGAGAGGGCATACTCGTCGATGGTCACGTCTTCGGCGTCAAGCGGGCCCTTTGTCGAGCGGCGGACAATGCCTTGACGACGTTCATGGCCCGACGCCGCCCGCCCGTGGCCTCGTCGCGCGGGGGCCTGCATGGCATGGAGGAGCGACGGGCAGGAGGGCGTGTATGTATGTACTTATGTATACTATATGGAACCGTCTAGGGCTAGTAGGCACATACGCCGGACGATTAGCCGGGGTCTTGTCTTGGTCTTTGTCTTGGTGGAGGTGGAGGTGGAAGTGAGCAGAGTGCCGTTAGCAGACGCGGCTCCGATGTTCGGCAGCAGGCGCTGTAACTGCGGGGACGGGCCAATCACGTCCCCCGCCGCCTCGACCGCGGACCCCACTGACTTTTCATCAGATGCGCCACGACTCTGTCCGGCCGTCGACCCAAGCGGCGACCACACGGTTTGACTCAAATACACTTTTGCTTATTATTACCCCGTCTCTCCCGCCTTCTCTCCCCCTTGTTCTCATTGCTTTTTCTTCTTCTTCTGAGTGTCGCTGCTGTATATTTCGTCCCCAACGTGGACGCCCGCCTTCATAATGCTCCAGTCACGCACGCGAGCTATCAATGCTCTTAACCGCACCCGCTGCTTTTCCACAACACCACGCACAGCTGCCGTCTCGCCCTACCGCAAGTCTGCCCAGGCGCTCACTGCCAATGCCACCCCCCAGGATGCAAAGCGAACACAGAGCACTGCCGCCGTTGGCACACAAACCCAGTCGCGCTCAAGACCATCGCCCGCCTTCAACCGCGACGACTATGACAGTGTTCAGCCATTGAAGCAGTACCGCTCGCCCGCAATGGACCACTCATTCGTCGGCATGACTGGCGGCCAGATTTTCCACGAGATGATGCTCCGCCAGGGCGTCAAGCACATCTGTACGCTGCTCTTTTTTTTCTTGGGCCACTGTATTGAAATTATATTAATGTGAATAGTCGGATACCCGGGCGGCGCCATTCTCCCCGTTTTCGATGCCATCTACCAGTCCGAACACTTTGACTTCATCCTCCCACGACATGAACAGGGCGCAGGCCACATGGCCGAGGGTTATGCTCGCGCAAGTGGCAAGCCTGGTGTCGTCCTCGTAACCTCTGGCCCTGGCGCCACAAACGTCGTCACACCCATGCAGGATGCCCTCATGGACGGAACCCCTCTTGTTGTTTTCTGCGGTCAGGTCGTCACCAGCGCAATTGGCTCAGACGCTTTCCAGGAAGCCGATATGGTTGGCATCACAAGGCCCTGCACAAAGTGGAATGTCCTCGTCAAGAACGTTGCCGAGCTACCAAGGAGAATCAACGAAGCTTTCGAGATTGCCACCAGCGGCCGCCCAGGACCTGTTCTTGTTGACTTGCCCAAAGATGTCACTGCTAGCGTTCTCCAAAGAGCCATCCCTATGAGCAGCACCCTCCCCACCACCGTCAGTGCCGCCACCATTGCCGCAAGGGAATTGAGCAAGCAGCAGTTAGACCAGTCCATTAGAAGATCTGCCGACCTGATCAACAAGGCCAAGAAGCCCGTCATCTACGCTGGCCAGGGTATCTTGCAAACAGAGGACGGCCCTCGCCTTCTCAAGGAACTCGCTGACAAGGTTACCATACCCGTCACCACCACTCTCCAAGGCCTCGGAGGTTTCGATGAGCTCGACCCCAAGTCCCTGCACATGCTAGGCATGCACGGCTCAGCCTATGCTAACATGGCTATGCAAGAAGCCGACCTCATCCTCGCTCTTGGCGCCCGTTTCGACGACCGCATTACCGGTGCTATCTCCAAGTTCGCTCCTGCTGCCAAGGCTGCTGCAGCCGAGGGCCGTGGAGGAATCATCCACTTTGAAATTATGCCAAAGAACATCAATAAGGTCGTACAAGCGACTGAGGCTGTTGAGGGTGATCTCGGCACAAACCTGAAGCAGCTCCTGCCCCTAGTAAACAAGGTTGATGACCGTCCTGAATGGCTGAGCCAAATTGCCGATTGGAAGAAGCGCTTCCCTTGGGCTTACGAGAAGGAGGGCGAGAATGGGTTGATCAAGCCTCAAACCATCATGGAGAAGCTTTCAGATCTCACAGCCGACCGCAAGGAACAAACCATTCTCACTACCGGTGTTGGTCAGCATCAAATGTGGTGCGCTCAGCACTACCGATGGCGGTACCCGCGTACCATGATCACCTCGGGTGGTCTCGGTACTATGGGTTATGGTCTGCCAGCCGCCATTGGTGCCAAGGTGGCACGACCAGATTGCACAGTCATCGACATTGACGGTGACTCTTCCTTTAGCATGACTCTGACTGAACTCTCGACCGCTGCCGAATTCAACATTGGTGTCAAGGTCATTATCCTTAACAACGAGGAGCAGGGAATGGTCACACAATGGCAAACCCTCTTCTACACTGACCGTTTCTCTCACACTCACCAACGTAACGCCGACTTTGTCAAGCTCGGTGACGCCATGGGTGTCCAGGCCAAGCGCTGCATCAAGCTCGAGGAGCTGGAGGATTCGCTCAAATGGCTGCTCGATACCGAAGGTCCAGCTCTGTTGGAGATTGTGACAGACCAAAAGGTGCCTGTTCTGCCCATGGTCCCCGCTGGTAGTGCACTACACGAGTTTTTGGTATACGACGAGAGTAAGTTTATCTCAATGATAGACCTGATTGCGAATACTAACATTATTATAGAAACGACGAAAGAGCGCAGAGCTCAAACAAAGGCGAGATCGGGTCGCTGAACTGGATAGCTAATGTTTTGTGTTCATCCTTCTTCGTTGTGTATATTTGTGGGTCGACCGGCGTTTGACAGCATATGTTTTACTGTGATATGGCCTGGGGATTCTGGCAAAGGTTTGGCCAGTTAAAAGTAAGATATCATGTTTTTGTAAACAGAAAGGGGGTGGTTCGAATTACAAACATTCCGTTTGGGCAGCTTCCGATTTATCATGAGGGAATCACAGTCTCAACCATGGTTTCAATATGGAAGTTTCAGTGTAAGAATTCAGTCTAAGCATACAAAAGTGAAGCTCCTTTGTGATGTATTCCGTTTCTCATCAGCATTCACATTGTACGATCACAGTAGATCCATACACTACGAACACAGGCCAAGATACATCCTGGGACTCCCGCGCTACAGAAACTACAGACGCCACAAGCAGAGAACCACGAGTGAATCACAAGTAAAAGTCTCAAACTACTAGAGACCATAAGCCAGACTTGAGATCAACATAGGCCACCACCGGTATAGTTATAGAGAGTTGTGTACAACGAGACTTGGAAAAAGATAACACCCACCTAAGACCAGCATGTCTCGACCAGCAACCCCCATACCCAGAACCAGGCCAAGCACCAGCCAGTGGGCCCACCACTACACGTCGCTCCCCCGTGAATCCGACTTGAACCATTCCCCATCTTCTTGTCATGAAGAAGACACATGCGAGTCTTGCACCAAACCCCCTTCCCCACCCATCTCCCGCCAACCCTTACCGCACCGACCCAAATCACCTACCCCTGAAATCACCCTCAGCGACTGGCAACCCGTAGAACCAAGCCCTGCACTCTGGGTCTTTCTCAAAAACGGGACCCCGCCACCGTCTGCACCGGAGTTTGAGGCCCCGTCTGAGGCACAGGTACGGGCACAGGTAGGACCACTGCAAACAGATTGTCATGACGCAAGGTGCGATTCTGTAGTTGACGAGGAGATCTTGCCTCGTGTAGGGAGAAATGGGGGAGAAATGGTTAGGGGGGTAGATGTGCATGTGGAGAGGCAGAAGGACAAGGCACAGGGGGTACGATGGGTGTGGGGAAGGATTAGGGGGTGGATGCTTGGGTGTTTGATATGAAGAATACAAGAAACTATCTTATTTGCATAAGATAAGTATGAGTATATATGTATAATCTTTTTTTCTCTCTCTTTTCTTCTTCTTGTCTTGTTTGCACCAGGTAAGTAGAGATGGGCTATGGTGGCGAAAAGTTAATCGTGAGGTCACGGCATGGATGAGTACGAAGGTTAATCAAAGAGTGTGAGACGAGAAAGGCTGAATCGAGGGAAAGGGGGAAGGGGGAGATATGAGTAAGATGATGACACGAATATCGAAATGGTGAGATTAGAATCCACTGATGTGGAACCAGATGATTGGAATATTAGATTTTTTTTTCGTACTAATTTTATTGATTTTCATGAGTTCATTTGCGGAACGTGACACTGAAATTTCAAAGTACTATGCAAGAACATTCAAAACTCGATTAACTACTTTTTTTTTGAACTTCCGTCTAACGCTGAAACTGAGGGGGTATTAAACATGGTATATACAGTTTACAATAACAAACAAACAAAATCGCTTCGCTTTTCTTTAAATTGCAAATGCAATAGCAACGGCGCCCATCAGCGCTGCGTACCTCCACTTGACGCTCTCAACACCCGCACCGTTGGACTCGGGCAGCGCACTGCTAGTGCTTGCAGCCTGATCAGCCACCGCCGCAGCCGCCGTCTTGCTAGGTCCATTGCTCGCACCCTCGCTGCTAGCACCGGATGTAGTAGCCGACGAGGTAGCGCTAGCGGTAGCAGACGAAGACATAGACGTAGTCATGGACTTTGATGCCGAAGCAGACGCCGAAGCAGACGCAGACGAAGATGACTTATCCGACTTGCTCTTGTCGCCATTTCCATCACCCTTCTTATCCACAACAATGCTATCATACGTTCCGCTCAAGTCCCCATAGTGATACTGCTTCGCAGGCGCATGGTTAATAACCTCGACCTTCTCCACAACCATCGAGTACGGCCCCTTTCCAAAATCCGTAAGACCGCCTGCCCACTCAATCGTGCCGTCCGAGTTATCCGGGTCGCCGCCCGCCCAGATGCCGATGCGCACGTTCATGGGGGTCTGCGGGTATCCGTATGCGGAGTTTACGTCGGCGTACTTGACTTCGCGCTGGACGCTGCCGTCGATGATCCACTGCATGGAATTTTGTGTCCAGGAGATGGTGTAGTTGTGGAGCTCGGTTTCGGCGTTGCCGGAGGGAATCGCGGCTTTGGCCATGCGGTTGTAGGTTGCTGTGTTGCCCTTGGAGAAGTAGTTTGTTTGTACTTCGGCGGCTTGGCCGCCCAGCCATTCCCAGTCGATTTCGTCGAGGTCGTCAGACTGGAGGATGGCGGAGGAGACGATGCCCGTGCCGGGTGCTACGCGCATGAGGAACGAGACGGAGCCGAAGAAAATGTACCATTTGGACTGAATGGTAGGGTGGTCGCCTTTCTTGGAGATTTTGAATTCGGCGCCTTTGTCGCTGTAGGAGACACCTGCGGCGGTCATTTTCCAGTTGTCATCATCGGCGCCTTCCTTGGTGAAGTCGCGGCTGTAGTATGATGTGTCGAGAGCTGCGGCGGCAGGACATGCTGGACATTGTTAGTTTGAACGAGACACATATTAGACTTTTTCAGTCTGAGAAGGAGAGACTTACACTTCTTGGTAGGATTACAGTCTGTATGTGTCTGACCGAATACAGAGTAGGTCAAGCCAGACAAGACAAGTAGGGAGGTAGGAAACAACATTATCGGATTAGTATATATGCGAACTTGGATTAAAAAAATATATGTGAAGAACAGATGATTAATGTGATTAAGATAATTAAGAGACTTATTAGGATGAGGTAAGAAAAAGGCAATGTGAGATGAGATGCTAGATCCCGAACAGAGCCGCTCCGCCCATATAGAATATATATGTGTGAAACCCTCCCTCCCAAGATGACAAGAGAGAGAGAGAGGGTCGCAGCGCCGACTAGGCTACAAAAAGAGTCGGTCTAGAAACCAAGAAGCAATGCAAGCATCAAATTTAGAAAAAGGAATCCATGAATCCCGTATACCACCTGATCGGATAGCGCGAATCCATGGTAGGCTTGGTGTGGACTGGAAAGGGCTTGACATGTCCGCATCGAGGTTGCCCCCTGGACCCAAGCGCCAGGTGTGTTAGCGACAAAAAGCGTGTGGCGCACAATGCACATAATCAGTGCCTAGTACTGTACACAATACGTTTGTTCGGCACCGGTGCCTCTAGGAACACGAAGAAATCTGGCAGCTAATACCACCCAGCCATCCCACGTGGTCCGTGTTCAAGCTGACTTGGTTCTTGACGATGACGCCCGATCCACTAGTGTCACCGTGTGTTGTCCCTAAGTGTGGCTGAGGGCCTGTCAGGCGGACTATGTTTAGCATCGCCAGGCCCATTTTACCCGTATCTCCTGTCCGTCCTTATACATAATACTCGGTGAATTTTTCATTGCTTCGAGGGATAAAACATAAAATCCGTCTTTTGCACGCTTCATGAATCGTAAAAATGCTCTAATCTGCACAAGAGAGAAACAGAAAAAGGAAATACAAACCAATTCGTATGCTTTCGCCACTGGGTTCCAGACACTGTTCTCACGCTGCGTGTTCCAAAACACACAAGTAAGCCGTACATGTCGCAATGCCGCCGCCGCCGCCGCTAGCTCGTACCGCCCGCACAACGAGGCGGCCACCCCGTCTCGCAGCCAGATCATGGTACCTTGGGCTTAGGCACAGCTACTTGCATACGAGAATCTTGTCTTCGGCCGGCCTATGCGAGATTTGGCTCTGGGTCAATTCCAGCTCGCGACTCGCGGCCTTTGCATAGCCCGCGGACCTTGACAAGATGTCAGGGCATCGCAAAGCTTGCAAAACTCTTCGTCATTGCTCACAGCTTATCGGCATCTTCAGTCCTCGGGCAACCCCAGCCTCTCAACATGCATAGTTTGGGTCTACCTGGTCTTCTTAACCTCCGTAGCCCAACCTTCTATGCCCTCACCCTTGCTACCAACTGGAATATTCAAGTTGACATTCTCCATTCCCTTTGTGTCCTTCAAGAATTCATGACCTGCCATTCCTCCAGCATTGGCTCGATCCGCGGGTAGCAGTTCCAACATGGGCAACAAAAAGTCGGCAATCTTCTTGCTCTCTTCCGTGCTGAAATGGTATTTTTCGTGCAGAACATCTGGCAGGGCCCAATGCCGTAATCTGTGAATGTTGCGAAGCTCGCCTTTGCGATTGAAAATCTCCTGTGACCATTTGCCCGACATGCATAGGCCTTTGGGGAAGGTTCCCAAAAGTTCAATAATCTGAGCAATATGATCGTCGTCCTTGCCATACTTGGTGCCGGATTGTGGGTCAAAAAGATAGTCGCCAGTGATGAGTTCGAATGTCTATCCCTGTCAGCAAGGCTGCCTGCTTCTCATAGGTCACACGTCATACCATTGCAGCCATACTCCACACGTCGGTACTGGCACCCCACTTACCACCCAGGATAACTTCTGGGGATCTGTACTGCCTGGTCTGGATGTCGTTGGTAAAGTGGTGCCCAACCCAGCAGGCGTTTCCGAGATCTGCAATTTTGACAGATATTGTTTCAAAAGAGTGTTCGACCTGCTGTTCGAGCTGTGATTTGCCAGAAGCGCTAGCGGGCCTGTCGAGGCTGATGCTGGATACCTCTTTCGTAAGCAGGTCGCTGGCATGTGAGTGTTAGTGAATTTGTTCCTACTTTAGGACATGTCGCCAACTTACGCAGATTTTTCTCGCTGTTTCTGTGCGTCGTCTTCGTTTGCCGACTTGATGCCGAGGCGTTCTGCCATGGACAGGCTCGATGTAGAGGCCGGAGTTGCTAGAGCACCACTCATTACGACACCGTCTGATGAAGGAGGAGGACTCGGAACAGTCGTGGGGGAAAGTTTACCTGTACCCTCGCTCATAACCTTGTTCAGGCTCTGGGTGCTTCCAGGGAAGCTGGACAGCTCGGCGTGGTTGAAGCTCGCATTGAGCGGACTGGGGAGCGGCTGACTGCCTGTGATCAAAGTCCTTCGCCTCCGCCTGCCGTTCCTAACGCTATCTTCGCCACCCTTCTTTGACGGCTCTTCTTTTACATATGTCTTTACGATTTGCTCGACATCGCCAATCTCGATAAGAACGTTCTCGGGCTTAAGATCGGTGTGGATGATACCGCACTCGCGGTGGAGGTAGTCGAGGCCGAGGAGCACCTGCTTTGTGATTTGCTTGACCAGGGGCATGGGTATGCCGCGGTGATTCCATCGCTTGATCAAGCCCAGGAGATTCTCGCCCAGCACCTCAAAGACCATGCAGACGTGGACGCCGTTGGGGCCCTTGTGGTTGAATGAGTCGAGCAGGCTGACGACATGTGCGCGGCCGGGGTGGTCTTTGTTGGCTTCGACGACTTTTTTCAGCAGCTTGATCTCATCGAGGGCCGTTTCGGTGTAATGCGCAGCGGAGCGGACGACCTTGAGGGCGACATGCTTGCCGTTGGTGTTGTCTCTGGACAGCCAGACGGTGGAGAAATGGCCCCAGCCGAGCTTGCGCACAATCGTGTACTTGCCGTCCTTGTACTCCTCGCCTACTTGGACTGGGTGGTAGCCGCCCTTGCAGTAGTCCTCGGAGTCCTCTTCGTCGGCCGTGTTTTCGGCCTCATCGACCGATGATGACGACGAGTCTGGCGAGTGGCTCAATTGGCTTCCGTACATTTTGTTCTGGCTGTGGGGCGACGTTGCGCTTTGCACACTGCGGGGTTATTGTGGTCAGTTTGGGAATGCGGCAGTGCGGCGGCGGTGGCATGGGCATATGACATGCGGAGAAGAGAAAGAGGGAATGTGTGCGTGCGGTGTGTGTGCGCGCGCGCAGAGGGCAAAATCAAGTGCAGTGGGGGCGGGCGGAAGGGTGACGTGATGGGAGTTGGGGGGGAGGGGGGTTGCTGGTCAGGAACGTACTTGTAGTGAAAGGAGGCCGTAGAGCCAGAGGGCGATGCGTTCTGGGCGCCGCCTTGATTCTCCGCCGTGATGATGGGCTTGAGGTCCTGGCCCTTCCGTCGCTTCTTGCCGCCGTTGCTGTTTGCGGCCTGCGCGACCTGCTTGGCCTTGTTGATGGCCGCCTTTTTCATGTCGGTGCCATTCATGGTGGCTCTACCCCCGCCACGGGCTGGGATGGGCTGGGCTGGGAGAGCTGGGACTTGGAGGGGGGTTGCTGGGGGGATGCGATGTTGCGGTTAGGCGTTCCGGACGCGTTGGGCAGCGCTCATGGGCTCACGGGGTGGGGGGCAAGGAGGGCGGTCCTGGGCGGGCTGCGGGCTGCAAACGAGGCCGACGAAGCGGGAGAGGGAGGGAGAGTGAAGGAGACTTGGAAACAGCGGGCGGCGCGATGCTGGCTGTCGTCGCACTGCCCTGCGATTTCTTCAATTGCTGGAGAATGGGCTTAGCGCTCCCCTCGCCCGCCTGGCGCTGGACGGGCGTGTGATTGGCGGTGGGATGGTGGGGGGGACTTGGATAGCGTGGCTGCGATGGGGGGCACTGGGGGCAGCCAGAACAGCAGGTCAAGAGGCCGCTTCGCCTGCTGGGAGATGCGGTGCAGGCACGCGCGATTTTCTGCAGAGCGCTGCGTCGGACAGTTTTCTGAGCAAGCTAGCCACTGCGTAGTCTGTCTGGCTTGCGGATGGAAAAGGACGCATCATGGGGCAGGCCGAGCGAAGCGGTAAAGAAGCAGGCCAGCCAGACGAGACGACTTATGACATCAGTCGACGGCCTCGTTCTCAAGCAACAGCACCACTACCACCACACTACCAGCCTCCAAACAAGGCGCCTGCTACCACCCTAGTCTCTTTTTCCCCAGTCAGGCCACAACCTGGAACGGCAGTAAACCCATCTGTCCAGTTGATCAATCCTGCAGGCTCCCTGCCTGCAGTAGCTGGCCCTGGGACTCGACTCCCCCCCAGCTGTACTTGTGCTTGGCGTCTACCCACTCCCGTCGCAGACTGCCGTCAACCACTATACTAATTACCAGTAGACACAGACACGCTACAGCTTGGGATAACACGTTGTGCATTGAGCCAGCCACACCATCAGTTATGCGCCGCATTACCTCTCCTATCCGTGGCGGCCAGCTGCGAGCTGATGCACCCCCCGCCATACATACTACATATAATACATGTCGTGCCCTACCCTACTCCCAGAGAAGCCCAACAGCCCTCGCTATGCTGACATGGAAAAAAGAAAATAATAAAACAAACAAACATACATCTTCCCTAGTCTCACGTGCTGGTTCCTAGTCCCAGTCCCAGGCCCCAAGTCCCCCACGATGCTACACCAGCGCCTCGCCCATTACACCATCACGGCACCTCAGCTGCGCGCGTCATGCACAAATCACCCACCTGCACGTCAGACCGCAGAGAGCCGCATCCTCGTCGTTGTCGTCATCATCACTATTACCATCACTATTACCATCACTGCCACACTACTTGGCCGACACAGCCGCCATCCACTTTTGCTCGTCCTGCTTGTCAAAGTGCAGCAGCATGCCCAGCACCGGTATGAGCTGCTGCTGGTACTTGCGGTCGCGCTGCTCGAGAAACTGTAGCAATACGTTCTTCAGGTACACATAGTCAATCGCCTCTGCAACCGCTCCCCCGCCACCCTTGTTAGGGTTCGGCGACGCCAGCCGCGACCGCGAAGACTCAATCGAAGATCGCGACGACTGTGCGTGCGAGTCCGACACGCGTGCCTTGACCGCTCGCAATTCGTCAGACATGGTCTGCAACGTGTTAGTGCATCCCACTACCTCACCACATACACCTCCTGCACTGCTCACCTTGCTCGACTTCTGCAGCTTCTCCAGCCGGCTCTGTGTCTCGTCAAACGCCCGTCGTAGCTCCCCCTTCTCCTTCTCCAGCTCGTGTGCCTGCTTCTCGCTCTCGTCCAGTGCATCTCGAAGCTGGCTCATGGTGAGTTTGGCCTCGGAAGCCGCCTCGCTGGCTTGTGCCGCCCGTTTCTCCAGCTCCTCCATCTTCTTGCGGAGCTCCTCCTCAGATGCCACAAGATCTTCTTTGTCTTCTACAGCACGAGCCTGTGCACGCTCTGCATCTCGTACCTTTTGCTTTAGCTCCTCAAGCTCTCGCGCTCGACGACGGCTGAACGTGCTTGCCTGCTCCTCGGCCCGCTCACGCTCTTCAATCGCAATGTCGAGTCGCTCTTGCATCTCCCGTACCCGCGTGTCGGCCCGCCCCTGCGCGTCATTCAGCAGTCTTCGCATCGTTTCAGCTTCGCGCCCGCGTTCGCTCAACAATCGATGCGCATCTGCTAGCTCTTCCTCTAGGCTTTCGCTCTTGGCCCGTACCTCCTTCATCTGAGTACTAATCTCTTGTGTTTGGTCTTGCATGCTGTTCATGAGATCCTGTGCACTTGCATACTGAGCTGACTTGAGCTGGAGATCATCTCGTAGACCAGATACCTCACGTGTGATTTTTGCTACTTCGTCTTCGAGGTCGCGCACCTTGTTGCGAGATGCTTTGAGCTCTTCTTGCGCTTTTGCCACGTCTTTAGTCAACTTGTCTCGCGCTTCCATGACGTCCTTGCGCTCCATTTCCGAGTTTTTGAGGTCGCGCTGAATCTTCTTGTTGGTCTCTTCCAGCGCCAACTTTTGGCTGATTTCTTGCTTCATCTTGTCATTGAGTGATTTGATGTCACTCTCCTTGCTCGACAATTGCGACTTGTATTCGGCAATCTCCGACCGGAGGTCTTTCTCGCGGCCCTCTAGCTTGCGAACTTCACTTGTCTTGGTTGCCAGTTCGTCTTTAGTGCTTCGCAGCTCGGCGACTTCTTTGCGCAGAGATGTTAGCTCGGGTTGTGCCTTCTGCAACACCTCTCGCATCTCCGTCAGGTCCTTGAAGCGAGATGCAGCAAGCTTCTCCGCAATTGATAGATCCGTTTGCAGTGATTCAGCCTTGGATTTGAGCTCCGCAAACTCAGCAGTCAGCGCTTCTCGTTCTTGCTGTGACGACTCTTGAGCTGCCCTTCCTGTCTTCAATCCAGCAATCTCGCCCTCAAGCTTGCTGATATTTTCTTGCAAGGCCGTTTTTTCCGCCTGTAACTGCTTGACCTTGTCTTTAGCTTCGGTATGCTCAAGTCCGTAGTCGAGGAGATCTTGTCGTAGTGTATCAATCTCTTCCTGCATATCTTCTTGATCCTTTGCCTTCTTCTTGAGCAACTCAATCGACGACGTCTTCTCGGAAACTTCATCCTGGAGCTTCTCAATCTCCACCGTCTTTTCCTCCAGTTCTGACTTGAGCTGCGCCACATTCTTCAGTGCCTCCTCCAGCTGCGACGGCGAAAACTCTGCATCCCGAGGACTAAGCAGCCCGTCATTGTCCCCTGCTTCGCTTGGTGTTGCTTCGGGGGTCACGGCTCCAGTCCCCTCCGACCCCTTTGCACCCTTCTTCTTGTTCTTGTTGCGATTCCTCTTCTTGGCAGAAGCACTGAGCGGTGCTGCCGGAGAAGGTAGTGCTGGAGATGAGGGTGCTGGTTCTACCTTGATAGATGCCGGCTTAGCATCTGCCTTGTCAAGGTTATTCTTCTCAAGATCGTGCTTTGCCTGCTCGAGTTCAACCAGAGCGCTATCACGCTTAGATTCTGCCGCCTTTAATTGTTCGCGCACCTTGTCAAGCAAGCTGCTTATCGTCTCATTCTTTTTCTCACTCTTTGCATGCTTGTCACGCAATTGCGAAAGCTCGCTGTCTAGCTCTTCAATGCGGCGCTGTAAAGATTCGACTTGGTCCTCTTCCACAATCTTCTCTCCCTTCTCAGCGTGCAAGTCTTCCAACTCCTTGGTTGTGGCCTCGAGCTTCTTCTTGAGATCACTGATGGTTTTTTCACTCTCACCATGCGATTCCTTGTGCTTTTCGAGCTCCTCCTCTGCGCAAGTGACCTTTGCCTTGAGTTCATCAATGTTGCTGTTCAGCCCCTTTTCACGCTCTTCCGCCTCGCGCTGCAGGCGCTGATGCGTGTCCTTGAACGTGTTCAGATCATTGGTCGTCGTCTCCAGATTCTGCATAAAGGATTGTGCTGATTCCTGTGCTGTCAAAAGTTCGTTCTTGAGCGACTCGTTCTCCTCTTCGAGCTTCTCCATCTTTGCCTCGGTCTCTTGTAGTTGCACTTGCACGCGAGGTAATTCACTGTCGTACGAGAAGAAGTCTTCGCTTTCTTCAGTGGTCTCCGTCTGCTTGGATTCTTTTGATGGCGACGAGGGTGTAGCTGAATCGGTCTGCGTAGTGGAGCTGTCTTGTTGATTCTCGTTACTTGTTTGCGCCTGTGATTTGAGTGTTTCCACCTCTTCAGACGCCTCCTTTGCGCGTTTCTCGGCATCCTCAAGCTTCTTGTTGAGCTCATCACGCTCCCTAGATACGCGCTTGAGCTCCTCCATAAGCATGTCGCTTTTGACGTTTAGTTGACCTAGATATTCCACAAATGCGCTGGCATCGCTGATAGAAGTAAGAGGAGTGTATTCGCGCAGGGAACTCTCAAACGCCTCGATTGCGCCAACTCTAGCGTGTGCGATGCGGTACGACCGGAGTAACTCTGATTTCTAGGTTAGCCTCACGTTCCTTGTATAACAAACTTTCCGGGCGAGGAAGGAGCAGGTGACGGATTTGGAAAGAAAAATGCAGCCAGGAAAGCCTTGAGAGTACATGCGCAGTTTGTAGATCTGGCCTCGTCTCCTGCTCACGACACATGGCTTGAAGGGAATCAACGCATTCGGACTAAAGTACCACTCACCAGTGTACTTGGGTTCCAGTTTGTCCAATCTACGGAGCCGCAGCTTGATCTCTGGCGGGATTTCTGGTGGCTGTTCCGGCTTCTCTTGCGCCTCTGCCTCTACATGCGCCTCCCCTTCTGCGACCTGCGCCTCCTCCTTCTTATCATCGCCGTTCTCAGTCGTGGCATCGGCTGCTGGCGCCTTTTTCTTAGGGCGCGGTGTGGTAGCTCGGCTTGGTTGTTCCTCATCTTCGCCTATGACAAAGTCCGGGTCGAATTCAGAGGGATCGGGGCCCTTTCCAGCGGGCGCGGCTTTGCTGCTGTCGCCATCTTTGGATCTTGCTGTTCGTTTCGAGGGCGATAGATTACGGGAATTGGAGCGCCGTGCTGTAGCCGAATTGGATCGCGAAGGTCTGGTCTGCTGGGCGGCTTGCTGGACGGCTTTCTGGCGGGCCTGTTCCTCAGCAATCGCGTCTATCGCCCCTCGAATGCGCTGTGTCTCCAGTCAGCCGGCGATGTCATAACTCTGGGGAGTGATGTAGGCACCTGGAACATGATGAAGCTGTGTTACAAAGAAGGATGATAAGACATGTAAGAAAAGACACCAAACAGGCTTGTTAATCGAATGTCGGATGCTGGACCGTGGGCGGGCACTAGAGTATCCGGACACGTTCTGGGGTCCATTGGGGCTGGGATTCAGGCGATGCGCTAGGATCAGCGTTCGGTAAACTAGCGCCACAGCCAGGGCTGCCCCGAATCCGAACTTTTTCTCCCCCAGCCTGGCTTCCCCCCACCACCACCATCACCATCACCACAACAACAATGGCAAACGTGGAGATTGCACTCCCCCTCCCGGTCCTGCCCGAGGGTTGGGCTGGCGAGAAGGACTTCAAGGCCATCGGCCAGTTGAGCGAAGCCAACGACCGCAACATTGAGCCTGTCGGCCCACACTTCTTGGCCTATGCCCGCAGAGTATGTTTCAATATGGCCGAGCCACACAACATCAATACTAATTCTCTCATGTAGAAGCGTCACAAGCGCACTTTCTCCGAAGACGACCGCATCCAGGCCCAGGCAAATGTCAAGAGCGTCGAGGAGGAGGATCCCGATGATGTTGACGAGCCCGAGGACCCTCTGATGCTGCAGCGTGAGGCAAAGGACTGGAAGGTATGGATTACTTGATATGTTCCTGGATTACACTATGTTAACATGGTATGCAGTCTCAAGATCACTATGCTGTGCTCGGTATAACCCGCTACCGATGGCGCGCAACTGATGACCAGATCAAGCGCGCACACCGCAGGAAGGTGCTCAAGCATCACCCCGACAAGAAGGCGGCCAAAGGCGGCACCGAAGATGACCAATTCTTCAAGTGTATCCAGAAGGCCCACGAAGTCCTGTCCGACCCTGTCAAGAGGAGGCAATTCGACTCCGTCGACGAGGCCGCCGAGGTTGAGCCACCATCGAAGAAGGAGACGCAAAAGGGCAACTTCTACAAACTCTGGGGCAAGGTTTTCGAGGCCGAGGGACGCTTCTCCAACCAGCAACCGGTACCCAAGCTCGGTAACGAGAACAGCACCAAGGAGGAGGTTGAGCATTTCTACAACTTCTGGTACAACTTTGACAGCTGGAGATCATTCGAATACCTTGACGAGGATGTACCTGACGACAATGAGAACCGCGATCAGAAGCGTCACGTTGAGCGTAAGAACCAGGCCGCCCGTCGCAAGAAGAAGACTGAGGACACTGCCCGTCTGAGGCACTTGGTCGACGACTGCCTTGCTCTCGATGAGCGTATCAAGAAGTTCCGTCAAGCCGAGCACGCACAGAAGAACAAGCGCCGTCTCGAAAAGGAAGCTGCTCAGAAGCGAGAGGCAGAAGAGGCCGAGAAGAGGAAGGCTGAGGAAGCCAAGGCTGCCGCTGAGAAGGAGGCAGCTGAGAAGGCGGCAAAGGCCGACACGAAGAAGGCTAAGGAAGCTGCGAAGAATGCGGCAAAGAAGAATAAGCGTGTGGTGCGTGGTGCGGCCAAGGACGCCAACTACTTCCACAGTGATGGTGAAGCGCCCGCATCTCAAGTCGATGCTGCTCTGGCCGACGTGGACCTCATTATCACCAAGCAGGACCACGAGGAGCTGGCGGCATTGACGAGCAAGCTCAACAACGTCAAGGATGCGGCCAAGATCAAGGAGATCTTCCAGGAAGAGGCCCAGCGCCTGATTGGCGCCTCGAAGCTCACCCAGGGCGAACTCCGAGCCTTGGGCTAGACTTGTGTGAGAGCGTTTATGATAGACATGTAGACTTGAACGTGGATGATGGCAATGATGACGCTTTTGCTTGTGATTGGTGTGCGTGTTGACTATTCCCAAAGCGTCATTACTTGAATGGGACGTTGGTGCATGTGTGTATATGTGTATGTGTACATGTGCTTCTTTTTTCATAACGTTATGTCATGGACGTCCGATGCGCCAAACGCGCCAGACGGGTGGATCTCCAATAGGCCAGGGTCTGGAAGGCATGGCGGATGGTTCGACACATCACCAAGCGCTTGCCGTCACTCAGAATAGGCAGCGCATTGACAGCGACTAGGTAGATGCTCTCTTTCCCGCTGCCCACCCTCCTCCACCTGCGACCTACAGCAGACAGACATCTTCTGTCCGTTACCCACACCATCGCTAGTTATCCCCAACTACCCCGCGAGCTCTCATTCCCCCGCGCCAAGGGCATTCATCCGACGCACAGCAGATCCCATTGCCAGTGCACGCGCGCATTGCCAGTGGGGTTTTTTCTGGCGCCGGCCGACTTGCAACACATCTTTACTGTAGTACTCAACCTTACTTCAAGTGCTCTCGCTGCTTGTCTCTGCAAAGTCCACCATGAGTGCTTCTCCAAAGACCAAGGACGGCCGCCATGCCTCCCCAGCGCCGCGCAAGTCTTCAGGTCCCTTTCCACCGAGCCCACTGCAGACTGCCAGCGGCGCAAAGCCCACACTCGAGGAAACACGGCGGCCGTCGACGATCCAGTTTCTGGCGCACAGGAATGCATCATTACCGAGAGGCACACCCAGACCCCGCGAGCGACGTCGGCTATCGTCGCCGCCGCCTCCACCGTAAGTACTGCCCCAGCGATGCGTTCCTCATGGCTATGTTTGCGTGCGCTTTTCTGGAATAACCTCGGCCCTCTGTCAATATGTAAAGGACAACTACAACCAAGGACGAGCACGCTTTGCTTGGCTTTGGGGGTCAAACGTCAGGCTTGCTTAGTTTCCCAGGCTCAGCCTGCGCAAACCAAAGCTAACCAGCGAGTCCAGTGTCTTCCAGAACCGAGTGTCTTTTGACACATTTGACAAACCCGCCGACTTTATAGAAGAGAGCTCCTTCACACTCATTGCCAAACACAAAGATTACGAGTACACGAAGCGCTCACGGACGTTCCTGTGCGGTTTCGACGAGAACGAGTATTCAGTATATGCCCTTCAGTGGCTCATTAACGAGCTGGTGGACGACGGCGACGAGATAGTATGCCTGCGTGTAGTCGAAAAAGAAGACGCAATAGCCGGAGACCGCAGTGTCGAGTCGGGCCGGTACCGTGTTGAGGCTGAGAACACAATGGCAGATATACAGAGCCGCAATCATGACAACAAGGCTATCAACCTGATATTAGAATTTTCAATAGGCAAGGTCAACAAGGTCATAGACGACATGGTGAGGATTACATAGGGCATGCGACGTATTCGGGCTAACCATGGTGCAGATCAATCTCTACGAACCCGCAATTTTAGTAGTTGGTACAAGAGGCAAGAGTCTAGGTGGCTTTCAAGGGTTGCTTCCTGGAAGTGTGTCAAAGTATTGTCTACAGCATTCGCCAGTCCCTGTCATCGTTGTCCGTCCAACATCCAAACGCGACAAGGCAAAGAGCAAGCGCACGAACGATCCCGATAGGCAGGGTTACCGAGAGCTTCTTGCGAAGAGCGAAAGACTGCCAGAGTATGACAGCCCCCGAAACACCTTCTTTGCGAACGAAGAAGAGGCAGCGTCGGTTGGAGCGGCCGCAACAGCACCTAAGCCTGTCGCAGATACAGCACACCCCTTGGCGCAGGTTGAGCATGCGCAAGATAGCAGCGACGATGAGCTGGAGACGGGCAACAGCGATGCATTGCTCGGAGATGATCCACGAAGTCCAGGTCCGATGATGAAGAGTCCACATCTACAAAATCTCGACAGCCCCGAACTGAGCAGCCAATCCAGCAGTGAGGATGAAGACGAACGGGGCGAAGGCTCAACAATGACTGGAGTGTCTACTGTAGATCTGGCATCGCAGAATGCTGATGCAAGCACCGAAGAACCCAAGCCGGCAGAAAGTCCCGAGCCGCAGGAGAGCTCCAAGTTGTACGTGGACAGTCTCATAAAAGCAGCTCAGGAGGGGTCTGAAGCCGCGGCACCCGCTGGAAAGAGTGCACCAGAATCATAGTTTACTAGCAATACCCATGTTGATTTGTGGTCTCCAAGGCCATGTTCTGGTGCCCTACAATACGTACTTGGATTTGCATTCTCTCTGATAGACTCTAGTGCAGTGGCATGTGGGGGTGCTTGGCCCGTTGATCCCTGCCTGATCGACATGATGACGTTTCATGTGGCTGTGGGCTGCGGGTGCCACAGCTCGCCGGCGCGTTCCTGGCTGCGGCCGCCTCGGACTCGGACAGGCCCTCAGTTCAGTCGGGTGTGGGTGAGCTTGCACCTCCAAACCCAAACCACCTCTGATGTGTAAACGTAGCCATATTGTTTCTCGTCATTGATGGATACCCGCGCTTCCCCCATAACCAGGACAAACTGGCAGTAACACTCGCATTCACGCAAATCCAATGTTCCCGCCAAACCCAGACGACTGCGATGAGTGCGTGCCGGACTATGCCCGCCAACCGAGTCCCATGGCTGTCGCCATCTCTGCCTTGCCTTTTATCCTTACCTTTCTCGGAGTCGCCTTTGTAGTATCGCACAAACTGTTTCCCATCTTATCGGGCCACGCACATCGCAAAGCGCAGCATGAAAACCCACGTCCTTCCAGCCTGGCTCAGCGCGACAGAGCCTCTCTCTTCCGGAGCTTGCGCCCGACCGCAACCTCGCTCGCAAGCATCATATTCTCCACCAACTTTGCCCTCTCTGCTGTGCTGGTAGAACTGATTCTATGCGAAATCTCAAACACCATTGATCGTGCTACTCGGACTCTAGCTCTCAAGATCACGCTGCCCTCGCTACTCTTCCTCCTTGTCGTCGCGACACCAGCCTTCGAGATACACTCCTTCATATCAGGGACCGGCTTGGAATTTCGGGGAGAACGCTCATCGCGACGTAGAGCAGCATGGGCTTTGGAGCTATGCGGTCTGGCCATCTGGCTCGCCTGTTTCTGGTACCTGGGACGAGGGATTCTAGGCTCATATCTCCACGAAGCATCGTATGAACATTCCCACACTTTTAGCGAGGGTTGTCTTGAGAGGATCGGAATTATTGGCATCAGCTTGATGGCTTCCCTCGCTGGCTTTGCTGCCATATCTGCACTATGGCATACGTTCGGTGTCCGGTACAAACCCGTGAGTTTTTTTGTTAACTGAGCAGATTGCGCTTGATGGACTAAACTCCACAGGTCACTGAATCGGATATTGCTCGCAAACAGGCTGGGCTCCAGGCAACAAACGACATGCTCTTGGTCAAAGAAAGTCGACTTCGCGCAATCGAGCGTAAGTTATCGGAGAATCCTCAACAAGGCTTCATGGGCCGAGTGGTCGGCTCGATCCGCGCCAACCCGGATGCACAGGAGCGAAGCACTCTACAGTTGGAAATACAGGGACTCGAGACGATGCGTCATTCACTGCAGAACTCAATGACTGTTCTCCAGAACAGACGGCAATCGCAGCTACGCGCACACACTGCACATGGACGACTGTTGAACATGTTCTCCTATGTATTTGCCATCTATTGCGCGTACCGTATCGGCGCAACGACCATCAGTACTCTCCGCCGCCTCTCGTCTCCCAACGCAAGCTTCTCGAGCAGTGACCCAATCAACAATGTCCTCGCTCTCCTGGCAAAGCACTGGGATCCGACCATTGATCGAGTGGCATGGAGTCGTACCATCTCGTTCCTACTCTCAGGCGTCATGCTCCTTCTTTCATTTAACAGTGTCTTCCAGACATTTTTACTATTTGCGAAAGTTGTGCCTGGCCTGTTGTACCATACAAAGACAAACTTTGCACTCATCATCTCGCAGGTGGCAGCAACATATGTCATCAGCTCGGCGCTGTTACTCCGTAGCAATCTGCCTCCGGAAATGAAGAGCAAGATAGGGGATGCATTGGGTGCGCCATTAGAGCCTAGATTTACAGAGAGATGGTTTGAGGGCTGGTTTCTAGCTGCAAGCGCAGCGACAGCTCTAGGGATCTGGTTAGGTAAACGATTAAAGGGAAGTGAATGGGATGACGAAGGAGACGGGGGCGACGTAGACGTAGAAATGGGGAAGCGGAGCACATAGCTATTGTGTTAGGTAGCGCATACATATGACTACCGAATACAACAATTATTGGTTGACGTAAGCGAGGGAACGGTAGTTACAGGCTTCTCCGGGTCTTTGGAACATGCAGTTGCCAGACACGTAGCGATATGATATGTATGATCGGGGCTCGATGTGGTGAATGATAAGAACCACCGGGTAGGCATGTATTCACACGGCGGCAGGTTGTTAGCAAGCATCTCCTGCGCTTGCTCAGCACCAGCCACCCCGGCCCACAATAGTGCGCCATGCAATGTGCGGCGCTTTGATGAGGTTGACGTCGATGTTGCCCGATCTGAAAGTGACGTCAGGTGCAGTGGGGCAGCTTCGCAGATGAAAAGGCACGAGGGGCCGCTCTTCTTGAGAACCATTACACCCACGCTTGCAACCATCTCTGAGATTTACATTTCCAGTGAGTATTTGCTATCAAATTCAACTCACAGTGCAGAGAAGCTAATCAAAGACAGAACTTTTCAACCCCTACACCAAACGTACGTTCTTTCTTCTTATCGCGTCTGTTCCATCAGCTGTACATGAGCTTCGTCGTAACCCCAAACCTGCACTTGCATTCCCAAGAAAACAATGCTTTGGATCATGTTACAAGTCAGATTCATTATCTGCATCCTCTATATGGGAACACGATTGGAATATGTCGCGACTTCTCTGTATTGCCAATGCTAACATTCACTCCTTTGCTGGCATTGTTTCCATATCCAGCAACAAGTACTGACTCTGAGCAGCTCTTCTACCTGATCAACTCCCCATACCAAAATGTCTGCCCCCAACGCCGGCCGCCAGTCTCCCGACCCCGAGCGCCAGTCTGGTGCTCAAGCCGGTCAGATCTCCGACAACGTCAACCAGCAGGGCGCTGGACCCAAGGAGGGCGCCGAGAAGTCCAGTGACAGCACCAAGAACACCCTGAGCTCAAACCCTGAGCACCCACTCAAGGAACATAGCGAGGAAACTACCAGCAAGAAGGTTTAGATTAGTAGAGATGAGAAGAGGGGAGGCTGTCATAGTGGATGATATGAGGAATGTAAAGACTGCATAATTAACAAGCAGTGGGCAGTTTGAACGCGAAATGATCAATCAAATGAAATGATAATCTATGACCGAACTTTCCATGTTCTAGAGCATGTGCACTGCCCTTACCGTGCTGACATCTCAAGCCCAGACATAGAAACACCGTCGGTCTGCATCACCTCTCCACTTTTTCATCAGCAACAAAACACCGCCCATGTTTCAATTAATCCTTCGTCAAATCAGCCATGGGCTATTGAGATTATATTCGGCAATCTTAGATCTCTAGCCGCTCTCATCATAGACGGAAAGTCCGTTGGCAGATGCGGCAGAAATGCAGAGTAGGCCGCGTCGCACGAGAATAGTACGGGTGCCACTTTGCAGATAGGTGGATACAGCAATCTGCGTGCTGGAAGGGGACCATGTACCCCAGTAAAGTCTCGAGTCGTTGCCCGATCACCTGTCTGCAATTTAGCAGAATATAAATGAGAAGAATAGGGCATTTGTAACACATGGCAAGAGCAGCTCTATCGATATAAACAACGAAAGTCTGGATTTTGCTCAATTTTCCTATTCCTACAGCGTCCCATATATCTGTACACGAAATACATATGTAAGTTACTGCAGAGAAGTTACTGTTGCACCGATGAGCATATTTCAGTAACAAGACACCTGCTACCCGAAAGAATGGGAATTGTAAGCACTAGATTATGTTCACACATGATATACCATATCCGTTGAGAAATCAGTCTTCCAAACTCTAAACTTCAGTTGATAAGCTTCCCGTGGAAAAAATCATCTTCGCTTACCCCCCGGAAATTATAAGAAACAAGGATTAATACAGGTCAAAGTTTTTTTTCTAAATGCTTTTGTCATTCAGACGTCCTCGATACTCAAAAACTACATGAGTTTATAAACTAATAACAAGTTTCAAACGCTGTACTCGAGACGATCCCCTATTGCAAGATTGGTCTTGAAAATTGTTCCTAACCATAATGTGAGAATTGTAGCGGAAGATTACTGCAAACAACATTCTCTTCATTAGTCGCGTCACGAAGTTATTTCTATATTGAATATATATTATAGTGGCGAAGACGTAGGTATGGGCGCGTGATAATTGTAACATAGCAAATAGTGACTTTTTATTGTTAGATGGTTGGGGTATTTACTATACTGCTGTGTCTTGGTCTGCACCAAAGCAGGTGAGCCTAACGATGGCGTACTATGAGGCTTTCGAGTAACAGAAAGGACAATCTGGTTCATATTGCTATGGGTAAAGTTACAACAGCCCTGTTGAGTACAGGGGTGGTAAGGATGTATGTACAATTGGCGAGTTTACTACAACAAGTGCGATAGTAAAATTATTTCGCTCGTACCCTCGCTATTTTCCTCTAAACGACGTATTGATTATATGAGATGGTCTGCACATCTCAGCATGACCGTCTACTTTTCTCTCTACAATCCATGGATGGTTAAGTCTTGGTTGATTGGTATATCACGTGATCCCTTCGACATGACTTGAAAATAGCTCCAGCTTTCCTACATAGCACACAACATACTAAGAATACTATTGAGGGAATTTTCCAAAACGTCTTCGACTCATCATACCCCGTGATTCAAGATCTTTCTAAACTGTCACTCCGAAATGCTCCTCAACTTTATTATTTGGAAGGAATATAAATTTGTTTTTTCGAAATTTCTTGTAAAATTTCCAAGGGCGCTTGGTCTAGGGGTATGATTTTCGCTTCGCATACTATTCACGTGCGTACTTGTGAAAGGTCGTGGGTTCAATTCCCACAGCGTCCAGTTTCCTTTTTGCACTTGAAGACGAATCGGGGTATTGGCTTATTTTTTGTTGGGGGAGGAGAAGGGGTGTGTGGTGGAGGGAAGTGGAGTGGTGTAGAGTAGGTTGGTGGTTGGGAGTACATACGGAAGTCTTTCCTGCGAATATCGTGCACTACTCCTCGAATGTTCGGTATAGCCCTGCAATCGTTTTTGGATACATTTTTTTCGCTCCTTCAAATTGTATGTCCCTACAACTTCTTCCGAATGGTAACCCAGAGGTTATCTCCTTGGAGAACAAAAAAACCGCATAATGTCTCAATTTCCCAACACAAACACAATGACGTGATCAAAAGAATTGATTAAATTGTCTTGAAGCCTATAATACAAAGACGGGAAACCAACATCCGTCGCAACCCATAAACCCATTATCTCTACTTAGCCTTCACACCCCTCCTACTCTTCCCACCCTCATAATCCACAATCCCCCTCTTGCGATGGTTCTGCGCAGTCCTCCACCTCACATACAGCATGACCGCATCCTTGAGCCCCACGAAAAGACATCCACCAACGATACTCCTGCCCCAGCGTGTTTGCAGGAGCCCCGTCGGCTTGGCTGCGCCTCCAATCCTGCTGCCGCCATTCTTGACCCAGCCGCCGAGCCAGGAGACGGCCGGGGAACCAGACGGGGGATTGACCCAGGAAGCGGGGAGGGTTTGGCGTAGGAGTTCGCCTATGGCTGCTGCGATGGTGGGGAAGATGAGGGCACCGAGAATGGTGTCTGAGAGGGAGGTGGTGGAAAAGGTGACGCCGCGTTCGCGTCGGACGTTGCGGGGGCGCTGGGCTGCTGGCTGCATGGGTACGTTTGGTGCAGGGGCTGGGTTCGCGCGAAAATCGACCTCAGGGGGTATCTGGACATTGTTTTCCCAATTGCCCTCTTCTTGAGGCGCATCGGCTGCAGGTGCGTCATTATTCTCTGCATCGTCGCCGTCGTTCCAGTCGGCAAAGATGTCAAAGTCCAGCTCGATTTCTACTTCCTCCACAGCATCGCCCTCGTCGTTGTGTGCATGGTTGTGCTGGGCTTGGTTTTGCATCTCGGCGTCGGTATTCTCGCCTGCTCGGGGCTGTATCTCCCTAAGCCACTGCTGTTCCCGCGGCAGCCATACGCGCTCGTAGTATGCATTGTAGAAACCTCGAATATATGGTAGCGCGGCAAAGGAGAAGGCAGCGCTCGGCGGCCACTGTAGCTGGAGCATCTCGTCGCCTGGATGACCTGAGCTGACGAAGAATATGAGTGGAAGAAAGGGCAAGAACGAGTCTGCGAATGTTGTTCTGCTAGCGACCAGTACCGTGGGTATCAGAGGCAACCCGAGATCCAGCCTCCAGTGTTGTCGCAGGTGCTCAAGCCATTGCATAAGGACTGAATTGACGTTCCGGTTTGGCGTCTCGTAAAGGGGGCCGAGAATTTGCAGCGCATCCTCTGTACCAAATATCTGGTATATTGTCGCTGTGCCAGACAGCGTCAAAGTCGAGTATAGCGCTGTGCCGGTGAACAAAGCAAATCCAGGAAGCGTCAGGTTGCTGACCACGCGCTCAACGCGCCTTACAGCATCCACGACGTAGCTCTTCGGCCGCTGCACTTTGATCTCGCTCTTGCACTGTGGACATAATATCTTATTGGCCGTTGTGCCCGCGCGCCGTCGCGAATTGGGCGCCTCCATGTCTGCTATCCAGTCGAGGAGACACTTCTCGTGCGCAACCAAAGAGCAGGCGCAGGGATTGCGCCACTCTGATGTCGTCTCGTCATCCTCTGTCTCGTCGTTGAAGCAGATCCAGCACTTGCGGGGCTCGTCATCCTCCTCTTTTTGCGGCGCCGCATGCTGAACGGGCGCTTCTTTCTGTTCTTGCGACGCAGGAGTGCTCGTCTGTGACGGCGGAGTGTTGAGTAGAAGCGTTTGAGAGTCGACGGATTGGCCCGAGAAACTGCCGGTTCGTCGTGTGTGGTCTTGTTGCGAAGGAGAGGCTTCAGCCGGCGGCGCAGGTCTTTGTTGCGACGCGGGGCGCTGCGGCGGTAGAGACGCCATGTCGCGGGTGACTGTTGGGACGCGATGGAGCGCCGGTGTCGTTCGTCACGTTGGTACAAATAAGACGCGGAATGCGATGTCACGGTAGGCTATTCGGCAAGATTAAGCGTTGGGTGGTTTGCGAGTAATAGGGTGGAGCGATGCTCGAGTTTAGCTTGGTGTTTATTACCTAGACTTCCCGAGGATCTGCAAGACGTCACCAGTGTTCCGAGCCGAGTCAGACTGCCAAGACGGAGCACGTGTGAAAGGACGACCTTCGTGTATTATGTAGACCACTCGCACTGAAGTGATAGGCTTCCGGCTATCACCTAATTAATCGTAACTTCTACGAGTACACAAAGATTTTTCCAACTCGCTTGGGTTTCCGACACACAACTAACAAGGCACTCTTTCCATAACTTCAATTCCAGTTCAATTGACTTCATGATCTCAACCTCCAAGGCAATCATGAAAAGCAAACAACTCCAGCGCACTCATGAAAAAGAAACAAGATCCGCTAACCAACTGGCAGGATTCCTCTTCCTTTGTAACGACAACAAATAATCCCTCTTAGTAGCCGGCGCATGGCGCTAATCCCATGAGTTTCAGCAATCCTCTAGTCAAAGTATTTACACTTCAGCTCCACCCATCTTGTACGGACCACCGTGCCAGTTCGCAGTATCTACTTTGATTTGGGTTCATCGTTGCCCATTTGGCTTCTCAGGTGATCAAATGCGCCGGGTTCGAAGGGACGGTTAACGTCGGGCCATAGGGCTGGCCACAGGTGTGGTGGCACTCCTATACCATAAGCTCGCTCGCCTAGCCAAACTTGATAGTTTCGGGGAGGTTCCTTATAGTAATGGAACTGCTGTGCTTGGGCCATGTGGTGGGGTAGTTGGGCCAACTGCTCATGCACCATCTCGCGGTGCGACGTCCTGCTTAAAGACTCGTTCGGGAAAGTTGATTGTTGTCCGACCGGCAGTTGGTGCGTATTTTCCCGAAAATTCGAAGGAACATCCTGTAGAAAGGATGTGTTCATAGGTGGATTGCGAGGAGGCGGAGCAAAGTACCGGAGCAAAATCCACGGTATATAGGGTGATGAAGAACAATGATGATCATATCGTCCAGTATAACAATCATCTCTATGTGTGGTATGGGGGTTATTCATGTCGTGTGCAGTGTGGGAGTTGTACAGCGCTGAAGAGGGACTAACCCCATTTTCATAGGTATCGTGGAGAACTTCTTGCGTTGATGGTGGAAAAGAATTCTCCCCGGGCGCTGACTCTGGAGTTTCGAAGAACAAGCCGTAGGGTATAAAGTTGATAGTGATGTGTGTAGTGAGGATGGAACTGTAGGCTTGGGTCCGAGTGCCTCGTCAAGGTCGTCCAGCCGCCAGTGGGACGTGATGCTGTCCACGTCGGAGAGGGCCTTGTAGTCCCTAAGGTTGTTCCACTGGCCATGGCAATCTTGATCGTCCTTTTGAATTGGCCCCAAGTTGTTGAAAGAGACCTCGGGCTTCTCTTCAACCTTCGGAATCGGCGTCGAACCTTCGAAAGGAGCCGACTTCTCCTCCTCTATGCAGATACTGCATTGGTCGCGAGGTGTATAAATCAGGTGCTTACACATTTTGTGCGTAAGTTTGATAGGGAAGTGGTAGAACTAGTAAAGAAGTGTTGATATATCACAATCTGTATCTCATTGTGGATGTAGAGAAAGTTGTTGAAGCGTTGTAGGAAAACAAAAGACTTGTTAATATACTGTGCGGAACACTCTGGGAGCAAACTGTCTTGCTGATGGAAGTAACATGAAAGCGCCTTGGCCATGTGATGAAGAAACTAGTGGAAGTGAGCGTGAAAGCAAAAAACCGTAGCCTGACCGGGATTTTCGAATGAAAGTGGATTGGAAAAACGCCAAATCCATTCACCAGTCTGCTGCAAACACCTATCAAGTCTACAATACCCTACCATCCCTCAATCTGGAATTCAAACATGCGATCCCCATTGCCGTCTTCGATTGGTTTGGCATCAACGTCGTATAATGTCCTTTCCAGATATGTCACTTTGCCCTGGCGATCACAAAGCACTATGATATTCTTCTGCGTGCCATAACACCCACTCGTTGCATCCACCGCCTTGTTCTTGACCACATCACCAATCTCATGCGCAGGCATCTTGTGCTCTTCTAGGTGGTCTCTTCCAATGGCTGGGATAAAGATGCTGTGACGCAACTGATTCAAATACATGTCCCACTCTTCATTTTCCTTTTGACGGGGCATTGTGTCTGTTCTGAGAAGGGTCAGGAGGCGCTGGATGAGTTGATCGCGAGACTCGTTTGCAGCGACCGACTCGGCAATAGCTTTCTTGGTCCATTCCTCGCCGTGAATGACTTTGGGCCATGAACGATCGCTGTATGCAGCATTGCTCAGGGCATGGGTTTCATCGGATTTGTGGAGCAAACGAACTACGCCGTGAACATCTGGTGTGCGATTACTGACGATGGCTAACCCCTTTGCTTCTTTGACGACGTCTTGCATGAAGCCGTAACATAGTGAAAAGCCGCCCACGCCTTCGACACCGTCCTGTTCAATCATTCGCTTCGCGAAGTCATCGGTAGTTTCTTCTTTAGCGGGGTCGCTTTTTAACCATGCATTTGGGATCAGGCCTCTGCTACGTGCACCCTCGACAATCGTTTCATCCTCTTCACGGTAGTTGGTGAGTACAGCGATGCGGCCTTGACGAGTGACACCCATCCAGGTGCCGTGCACAGGGCGATGAAGATCATAGCCGCCTAGGACCTGTATGTCTGGTGAAGGCCACCATGTTGCTTCTGCCGTTGGGCGATGGAGATATTCCTGTACCGGGGTTAGTTGCATCTGGGGTGCTAAGTTGATTAGGCAAGCCATACATCTCGATTGTTCAGCAGTATGAAGGGGTAGTCTGGATGCGCCGTTGTGAGTATGGCGATGCACATCGTGAAGTGAAGTGTGTGTCTGTGTTTCACTATGGGTAGATGGGAAAACGTAGAAGCCGGCGTCCTGCACTTGTGTTGTGTGGCGTTGATAGATGCGGAAAGAGACGGGTTAAAGCAAAGAAGTTTACTTAATGCAGGGCAGGCGGTGAGGATATTTGCCAGCGAGAGGCGTCAACGCTGGCTCATATACGTGGTTCCAACAGTACAGAGTGTGGAGTGAGATGAGATGATACACGTCTAGATGCAGTCGGCATTGTACTTGAGGCGCAGTTCAATGTCCTTGTGATGATAAAAAAGAATGACGGCCCGCCAGCGACCAATTACGGGGATGAGATGCATGGCATTCCTATTTGTCCTTGCACATGGCCTGTTACATGTACTCCCTGTGCCTCTGTGGCTCTCAAGCGGTAAGCTGGCGTGAGCAGTCGTTCTCTAGTCACGCCGCACAGCATGACCTCGCAGTGTTCCTGCAGCGGAGTAACGCAGCGGAGGCAGCCCAAAGCGAGCATCCACGTGACAGTGCCGCTTGCCGAGAATCCCTGCCGCCTGCTGCCTGCCCCAGCTGAGATCCCTGTCCTGTTCCGCGTCACTGGCCGGTTGCGCCTTCCTCTGCGCCCACAGCCTCCCATGGCTCCAATCCCAATCCTTGCACTCCACTTTCCACCGCCCAAGCATAGCAGAGCCTGGAGCTCTGAGTGAAGAAAACACAAAGCACCATCGCCCTCGTCTGCGAGAAAAAGACACCATGGCAGCCAACTTCGCCCCATACCAGGACATTCCCGAATCGTCACGAGCTCTTTCCCCACCACCACTCCACTCGCCTCGAGCATCCGTCGACCGCTCCCGTACCATTGCCTCGCCGCCTACACGCCCCTCGTATGACCACCAGGACTACTTCCAAGGCCAACCCCCCACATCTCCGCTCGGCGAAGCCGAAACAGAGCGCATAGCATGGGACCTACCCTCGCGCAATACGGCCTTTGGTCGTTCGCGCCAAGACATTGACATGTTCACCACATCGCTGGGCTGGCGCCTCGACTACGAAGCTTGTCTGGCATACCTGCTACTACCGCCGGCCGGAGGCGTTTTGCTGCTGATGTTTGAGCATCAAAGCGACTATGTGCGATTCCATGCATGGCAGAGTAGTCTGCTCTTTGCCTTCATCTTTGTTCTGCATGTCATATTCAGTTGGTCGAGCTTTATCTCCTGGGTCATGTTGCTGGGCGACTTGGCACTCATTGGCTGGCTGACATGGAGGGCATATCTCGATGGTGAGTTGGGGAGCTGTCACATATCATCCCGAATACTTACTGATGTTTTCGTAGCGGCAACACTCGATCGATGCGAAGTGCCTTTTTTCGGACCGCTAGCGAGCTCCATTCTTGACGACGAATAACAGAGTCATGTAGGAATGGGGAGAATTCATGCTGAAATGATTTGGGTTTTGCAATGCAGCACGGTGTTGGTGGAGTATCTCATGGGCTTCCAATTGCATTCTTTATGCGCTTAATTACAGGCAGACCTCCTTCGCCTGGAGCAGCGCTCTAATACACTTTTCCACCCGTATAGAACAAAACATGAAATAACTTCTATCCGAATCTCTCCTGTGCAATCTGCTTGAGAAACTCCATAGTCTTGCTTTCCTTTTCCCTCCTCTCCGCCAACCTTTCATTCCTCTCTGCATCCCTCGCCCTTGCAATCTCCTCACGCTGTATCTCCCTTTCATTCTTCTGCCGCTCTTGCTCCCGTTTCTTCTTCTTGTAAACGTCAATGCCATCGTCGCCCATGAGATCTGATTCCGCAACTTCAGCATCTCCCGATTCCTTGGCTTCGCGGAATGACTGCAGTGTAGAAGTCGTCTCGCGCTTCTTTTCTAGTTGTCGTTCGCGGCTACCCGGATCGGCACGTGGAACCAATTCGTCTAGACGCTCCTTCTGCGCTTTGCGGTCGGCTTTACGGGAATAGCGCAGGTCATCCATATACTCAGACTGGCCTCGAGCCCGGTCTTCATCTCGCAACTCATTGCGATATGTTAGGTCGTCGAGTCTGGGTATGGTTGGCCCATGGCCAGCATGTTGCGCCAGATCTCTCGGTAGTGCTGGACCAAATTCATCATCGCTGTCATCTTCGGCACCTTCTTTAGCCGCATAGCTGGGCGACGCTCGTTTGGCCGGGGCTTGGGCGGACGATGCACGGTATGACTGCACTGTTTCTTGCGCCGTCTTGAGCATGGATGGGTCGTACCAGCTGCGGGCCAACTCTCCACGATTCCTGGGACGTTAGAATGATATTTTTTCAACACGTGTTTTCTCACAGAAGATGCACGCGTACCATCGACTGACGAAACTCTTCCATCGTCCCTTTGCTTCCCGCTCATCAAGATCGTCTAGTTGAATCTGCTTTTGTATATCCAGGTATGACTGAAACAGCGGTCGGTACTCGTCATACTGGCGTTTCGATAGCGGCTTTGCCTTGTACGGCAAATCTGCAGGTTTCCGCGTAGGCGAACGCGATCGCGTCCGCGTCCGTTTGTGTCGGTGGCTGTCGTCATCGCGGCGAGGAGAGCGCGAGCGGTGTGATTGATGATGGCGCTTGTGACTACGCGCACCGTGTGGTGAGTGTTCAGCGCGAGGCGGGAGTTGCGCTCTGGATTCTTCAGGTGTCCGGTCTCGACGCGGCATGATTGAGGTTGTGGAATCAGCGCAGCGCGAACGAGACAAGTTCAGACTTGGACTTTACACACCACCAGCGGGCCGTCCCGCTCGCTTGGCATTACTGCATCCACTATTGACTTTAGTCTTTGCTTTTGGTGCGTTCATACGAGAATATGATACATTCACCTATACGTTTTTCACATCACCGAAATTCAGTCTGCAGATACAAGATTAGTTGATAATAATAGCTCTAGTTAGTTGATAGTTAACGTCAAGGATCAGTCATCCGGCCAAATCAGTCATCCGGCCACCCCACCTAACTTGGCCCACCGTTCTGCGCAACTGCTCTACAACAACGCAGTAGAATAAAATAAAATTAAGAGATATTATTCTTTAGATAGATTTACATGAGATCTGAGTGTGTCCTTGAACGTGGCACTTCGTACACGTCGGCGGCGCGCGCTGACGTCGCTCACCAGCCTGGCTCTGGCTAGCCTCCATCACCACCCTTTCTGCTTCTGCAGCCATCTGCTGAGCCTGTTGAACTTAGAGCACTCTACTAGAAGCAATATATTGACGCTGCTGAGTCTGCTTTCGTCGTTGACGCTGGACTTCTACACGTAGCTTCTTATTCTCCTCTGCAAGTATTGTTGCTGACTGCATTGCTATTTGGCAACCTTTAATAACCTGGCGTAGAAGCTGGCTTGTTGGGCTTTGTGATTGCCGATGGAGCCGTTCTTAAAGAAGCTTTGCCTGCTGCTAAAGCTAAGCTACTGTATGCGGTGTTTCTAGCTGCGTTGTAGCGTTATTATCTATAGTTGTCTATAGTGGAGACGGCGTGCGGACAACTGTAAGTGACGATAGGACGCGATCAGGATAAGGAGGGATAAGTCCTGTCGCCTGGAAGCCTGCCTGGATATTCTTCTGTGTAAATACTATCGGCCGGATTCGCGTATAGGCTGCAAGGAAGTCTGTCTTGTCAACGTGGTAGACGCCTTGGCGGGCAAGCTCTTTAATCTCACGTCCGTACGCGCGCTTAAGCAGCGAGAAGCAGCTTACATTAAGCGGCTGGAGAAGATGCGACGTGTAAGGCGGCATATAGAGAGTAATAATCTTGTTATTAGCGTAGTACTGGTCGAACTCTAGCGTAGTATAGCTACTATGGCCGTCTAGGATAAGAAGCCGATAGACTCTAGCTGTACGAGCTGCCGTATACTGATTAAAGTGCTTTACCCACTCTACTCTAAGCTAGTCAGTCGTCTAACTATTGTCTGAGACGCCGATAGCCCAGTCTAGTGGGAGCCTATTATACTAGCTGTTCTGGTGGAACTTGCTAGATAAGATAACTAACGGTGGCAGAGACCAGCCAGACGCGTTGACGCACTCGATCGCTGTAACCCACTCGCGGTTACCTAGCTGTACAATAGCTGCTCAGCCAACTCTATCAGAGCTAGTTACGACTTTTGACGTTGCAGCGACGCCTATCGCGAATCTAGTCTCGTTAAAGTTGTAGATATCCTGGTCAAGAACGCCGTACGTCTGGCGCGTCTCTTCTACTAGCTTAAACTAGGCTGTAATTGCGACAGGATCCTTAGAAAGAGCGCGCTGGCTACTAAACTTCCTAGTCTACTTCGTCTGAAGCTCTGGCTGGCTCTGGATAAAGCGCGACACCCAGCATTTGCCCATAGGTGCTGGAGGTGGATCTTGGCCACGCGCGGCGAGTAACGCGTCTGCCATCCGTCGTACATCGATGATATGGGGTGGAAAGCCACGTCGGTCAAGGTCTAGGATCCACTGTACGAGAGACTGCTCTTTAGTAGGTAATAGCTTTCTCTTCTTAGCATTAGCAAGAGCTTGAGGCTGGCTACCTTGAAGGCGGTCGTAAAGCGTTGAACGGGGGACATTAAATAGCTTTGCAGCTTTACGTTGACTCTTAATTTGATGTCTTTGAATTGATTAAGATGTAAGACAAAGTCTACCTTGCCTTTGAGGCGATAGAGAGCGTCGTTGTCGTGTCATAGCTATTGTAGTGTAGAACGGTGGGCTAAGTTAGGTGGGGTGGCCGGATGACTGATCCTTGACGTTAACGTGCGGGATCAGTAAGCTGGCCGGAATAGTAAGCTGGCCGCCCCACCAAACTTAACGCGACGCTCTACACCACCACCACAATGCCGCGACAACAACGCTCTATACAGACTTCTCGTGAAGGTAGAATAAGTCTTGCTATGGCGTCCTATTATAATAATCTAAAACAATCTATCTACTCTCTCGCGAAAGCGTACGACGTGCCAAAATCGACGCTCTAGACACGCCTCCGCGGTATCCAGCCACGATCAGAGGTTCCGTCTACTAGGCGTAAGCTATCACCTGTCGAGGAGCAGTCTCTTATTTAGTGGATTCTAGAGCTAGACTGACGAGGCTTTCCACCCCATATCATTGACGTGCGACGAATGGCAGACGCGTTACTCGCTGCGCGTGGCTAAGATCCACCTCCACAACCTATAGGCAAGAAATGGGTGTTACGCTTTATCCAGAGCCAGCCAGA